CCATTGTGCTCAATTTGAGCTGGTTCCAAGAAGAAGTATGTACAGTTGGCAGGGTGGGATGGATTTTCAAGGTTGAGCGACCGGGCCTCCACCTGGGCAGTCATCCATGGATGCCATCGTAGACTTTAAGAGCATATATTTCTTAGCAGCGCCGTCATAAATATTGAACGCACGTTTCTGAAGTCTACACATGCATCATGATACTCCGACTACGTGCATAGAGATGAGAAAATCAACCTCAAATTACGACACCAGGGCTACTCAGTGCTATTATTACTGCCTGGTATTGACTGCGGCAACGGACGACCAATCCGCCCGAGGATAGTTCTACTATCTAGGATGAAGATATTAATATTTGAACGCGAACATAGAGGCGTTGAGCAAAGACTCGGAGGAGGTGGATGGGGAGGAGGTAGTGAAGCTTCCACATGCAACTACGTGTCCATTACTACATTAAGAAGGAAGAGAAATTTCAACCCAATACTGCCACTGCGCTTCAGCCTCCAGGGCTTCCAAGGTTTACACCGTACCCCCAGTTCCGAACAAAATAGAATGACCTTGTACACCCGAACGCTGTCCTAGTCCTTCTGCACAGCTTCCATCACAGCATCTGCGCAGGATGAGGCCAGTCGTGCGTTTCTAAACCGAATGCGCCCGGAAGCGAACACTCTCGGGCCGTTTAGAGAGGAAAACATTTGAACGGGAAGGGGATACGGGGAAGAGTTTTCACTGCATTAAAAGAGCCGGAATGACAATCTGAAGAGGAAACACGAAGGGACCCCGCGTCACGACAAACTATTCGAAGACTAGCGCAGTAGGCCGTTGCAGAGTCGGGTTCACACATAGTGCATATGTCGAATAATTCGAGATGGCGTCGATAATCCAGTACTTGACCTCAAGATTAATTAACCACATCTGTATAGACTGGTCTGGACGGTTCGGTGGTTTTGTTTGACTTGTCATCGGTTTTTAGAGTACGTACGCGCCCGTGGTGGCGGCGCATATTACCCGACCGACAGAAAAAAAAAACAAAACTTGGGGGGGGGGGCTGTGCCAGTAAAGTAAACAAGTTGTTGATGTGTTCAGTGATGGTGTGAAGTAAATCAAAGACAATAAACACGTTCATCCAATAAAATAGGTAACCCCGCCTCCCCGGACTCTCATCTCACAGAATGTCTGTGATCGAGGAGGTCTGAGGTCAGCTCTGCTACAGTAGTATCACCAGTGAGTTTCAGTGGCTTCTCCTTGCTATGAGTCAGGGGGTAAAAGCACTTGAGTGAGCTGAGTCTATGATCGCTGTATCTCGTAATAAGGAATGAAGGTGAACGCCCTTGATTCTCAATTTCCCGATTTGTTTTTTTATTTGCCCCAGAGACACGTCGCGGATACTCCGTGCGGAGGGGTATCCGTACTTTCTCCGTACACGGTGAAGATGACCTCAATTTGGCGATCGCAAGCTCCACGGGGACCGCGGATGGAGCTCCCGCGACAGGTTTTGGGTTACTCACACTGTAGGGTGTGGATTCTGATTGCTTGCACTGTTGTGCACCTCCCCTTGTCACATTCTTAGGTGGGTCTCATCTGATACCCGAGCACAAGCCCCCATGGGGGAAGCTGACTTCCATGGGTCGGGACTGGATAAAATGCATCCGTCAATGTGTTTAGACTCCGCTCGGGGACAGATGATAGCTGCATTGAGCAGCTTTCCCTGTTTTATTGTAGTTATTGTGCAGAAGTACATATTGACGATCCAGACCGTGCAGATTGTGGCGAAAAGCTGCAGATTTTGTTGCTGGCATCAGGTGGCGGTGAGGAGTCTGGATGCTGAAGACCTTTAGGATCTTCATAACATGGCGGAAATCTCAAAAATTGTCAGCAGAAACACGAGTTGATCGAGTTGATCGAGTTCGTATAGTGAATCGAGGTGAATCGAGGTGAATCAGACATCGTAACACTTGAAATAGGTACCCCAGACATCAGACTTTGTATTCTGTCTTGATTTGGAGTGTTGATCACTAACTTTCCTTACTTTGCTGGGAATCCCGATCGGATCGAAAATGAGGTGCATATGAAGCTGCAGGGCGATCCCGGGATACCAGGTAGGTGGTAGAACTAATGCAAGTCGACATATCGAGCTGAATAGCATGTATAATCCTGCCACTATCATTTGTTTATCGATTTGTTGAAGATAGACTGTTATTTTCTATCGCATTGTCATAATGTATAGCTCACTTTGACGTGGCGACTTGAATGTGTACATGTGTCAATGTGTCAATCTGCCAAAGGACCGCAAGTAATATCGTTACTACGCCATTCCTCTGGAGTGCATACTCTGACACGGTAACAATTACCCTGACAACATAATCCTCCGGGATAAAGAAATTAAACAGAAAAAAAATCTCCGTAGATTGAAAAGCCTTCTTCCGCTCGAGTCATTTATTCAGGAGGCTCCATATATTTGATGCCCAAGGTCCACATCGGGTGCTATTCTCCACCATAACAGCCTCAAAATCTCCCAGCAATATGGTAGCTAGAATGAAAAAAAGGCTGTTGAAACACCGAGGGACTGGGAAAGGGGGATGAGACCACGATGTGAATGTGAATTTGGAACGCGGGCCGCCCCTTCCACGAAAAATGAATTAAAAATGAATTAAAAATGGGGAAAAAAGGAAATAGTCATGATCGACCTGATAGAGGAACTTATCAAATACAAAGGAATTGTCTGAGGTCAGTGGCTGTCACAGATATTGGGGTCTCGCCCCTTTTCGATAGATTCAATGGATTCAATGGGACCTTTTGATCATTTTTCTCCCCGTTCCCCGGCGGGCCGTAGCTGCACATGTACAAAGCACGGATGGAGTTTGATGTATTGCTTTCCTGGACGCTGGGACAGAAGCACGTATAGATGTATCAAATTCGTACTTTGTTTCAATAGTTTCAAGAATTGGACCTATCTTAATAATGAAGATCATGGACCCCAACTCAGGGGGCCTGGAGCGAGGATGTTGACGGGGAACCCAGGAAAGCGGATCAGACCCCACTTGGGGCCGGGGAAAGACTGCATAACCCGTCTAGGCATTGAAGCTCTCCCAAATAGTAGGTTGCTGGGTTAATATTGCAGAATCCTCCGTGAAAAAAAGGCAAAATAAAGCAAAATAAAGAGGGGGAAGAGATGAATCAGATAAAGCTCGATATGGATAGATTATTCCGTATACGATTGCAGATGATAGAGAGTCGTACTTTGATATTTCAAATTCACTGTAGATTCGAAAATAGATTCTGATTCTTTTTGTTGACGCGGTCTCGAGGCGATTCACGAGGCGATTCACGCGTTCTAGGCCACAAATATCGAACTTCCTCTTTAGTCGAGTACCCGCTACACTAGTTAAAAGGTCGAACGGGTAAATTGGGCATCGCTGATTCGTGCAAAATTAATTTCTCCATAATGTTCTTCGTTCATTCCATGATCCTGGACTGAATTTCATCCAGTGAACTCCTGTTCAAGCCCCAGGTGCCTGTTCTTTGAATTTTTGGTTCTTCGTAGTAAATCAGGGGTCACATACTACTACTCGGTATTCTCCATAGACCGAAAACCCCGAACACCGATATCTTTTTTACTCTTGTACTATTTACTCTTCAAATGTTGAGTATGGAGTAATTTGTACTAGTTTTTGAGGGAAAGGAATACCCTTTATTTGTTGTTTTTATTTATGTTGAAGTCCGATAGTTCCAACTAGAGCTGCAATGCATTTATCCGGCTCAACGCTCTCCCCCATTGTGCCGGTGGAGTACGGAGTACTTCCCGTGAGAACCTCAAGCCCAAATTTCGGCCATAGACCGTTTTGCGGGGCCTCAAAGAATATTTGAAGGATTTTTTACATTTGGTCTCCACGGGCCCTACTAGACTTGACCCGAGGCTGAGGTTAATAGTGGAACGCGGGAGAATTCGTAGGAGCTTGAATGAAATTTCGCGTTCAAAGAAAATAATAAAAAAGCCCTGTTCTCTTTGCGTGCCTCAATCTTTCTTTTTTTCTTTGAATCTAACAAATCCAACAAATCCAACAATATCTCTTGATATCTATCTTTCGGTGTTGACGTGTTGACCGCCAGACGCCTTTTCATCATATCAAACCAAAGGCTTTTTCCCCTTGGGCATATCAATTCCTTCTCTCTCACTCTGCATATCGCCATTCAGCGGTGAAATCCGGCCACTTTTTATTGGAAGATTTCCATCGCAGCCAACATACAATCTGATTTTCATCGGACCAGATCCCCCGCTGCAGCCTGTTGGGCAGCCCTTTCGGGATACAAATTACCACCGCAAGGGGCGGTTCTTTTTTACAATCGTTTATTTTGGATTTTCTTTTGGATTGATTTTTCTAAGCATCTCTTTCTCCGAGGCTTAGAATTTCTCAAATACATCCTCAAACATCTCCGAAATCCGCTTATGTACGAGTATCAGGAGATCCGATCTTCCCCGCGGACGGCTAAAAGAAAAAGCTGATACATCAAAGTACATCGATTGGGGCGGCTGTCAAAAATACTTCTTTTTTTTCGGTTTTATGATTTATTTCATTTTTTGATTTTGATTTTTTTTTCTGATTTCTGATGTGGACGGGTCCGATTTGCTGATCCCTGACGCCTGATTGATTGAATCGACTGCCTCACCTGCACGGAAGCCGCATCCGCCTGTGGATTTTAGGATTTATTCCCTTTTTTTTTTTAAAAAAAAAATAATTTTTTAAAAAAAGAAAAATCCCTAAAATCGGAAAATCGGTGGCTTTGAGGATTTGATTGATTTATTTGACTTGTCTTAGTCTGGACTGCAAGGGTGCGGGAGTCTAGAAGCCTTCCCCGGCTTTGATATAGTCCACACCGTCTTAAGCACCGGTCTCTTGTCTTACTTCTTTTATATCTCCACATTCCCTCACTCCCTCTCTTACCTTTCTCTCACACTCACACCATCTCCACTCTTACGCTTTGGGATTATCTACATCAACATGATTCCCATTCAGTCGCGCATACGCGATATGGCTTTGGCCAAAGCTACTGTTGTGGCTCCTGTCGCCAGCACCGACCCTGCAGAGGTCACTTTCAGTTGGAGTGGTAGCTCATTTGAGTGCTCGCCACTATCCAACCCTTCAGCTCCTCCACCAACTCCTACCGACTCACTCTACGATATCAGTCCTCGCAAGTCTTCATTCTCAAGCGAATATGGTATGGGCGCAGCATGTGCCTTCCCATCATGGCCCAACCGAGCTTCATTATCTAGCGGCGACTCTTGCGACTCCTTTGTCAACAATGCATACCTATCTGACGAAGACCTTCTATGGATTCCTGAGAACCCCATCCCCGAAGAGGAACCCACTCCCGAAGAGACTGTTGAGGTCTCATCTATGACCATGGAACAACAGCTGCAACGCATTCGAGCAATCGCCGAACAAGAGGATCGCGCGCGTTTTCTGGCCAAGGTCCAGGCTCATGCTCTAGCTACCCATGCCTTGAGACAACCAAAGGTTGTTGTTCCTGTCGAGCGCGTCACAGTCACACCCAAGAGCAGCAGGAAGCGTCGCGTCGTTCCTACCAAACGACGAACTCACTCAGCTCCCAAGGTCGCAGTCGCCTAAGCTTGTACCGTCTTATCGGTACAGCGCGGGCGTTGACCGAGTTAATCTTTCCAACTTCTCTTCGTGGCTATAAGCCTGTGTCATTTGAACCTACTTTATTTTTCTATCCGACTATTTTCCACCCCACGACTACCCCTCCAAGACAGGGACCCATACACAATCGGGCCCAGACTGGTAGCCCGTGATACCCGCCCCAAATCAGATGATGGGGTCCCAATCTCAAACAAGCCGCCCCTCGACAATGAACACGACCTTCCCTCGGGCCGTTTTTTATGGGGCGTGTTTTGGATTTGAGTTTCGTCAACAAATGACGCCGAAATTCCCAAATCGCAGATCTCCGCATATCCCCGCGCTTACCTAATTCATCGCTGTCGGCGCTTCCAGAAAACCCCCCACACCGCTGGTTGATGAGACTGACTCACACTTCTCTCTTTTCCCTCCGATATACCTTTTTTTGTTTTCTTTTCCAAACATTTGGTCTTCTGACTGTTGCATTCCGAAGCGGGGACCCGGTGTTTTCTTTCTCCATCATGATTATTTCCTTTTTTTTTTGTGGTTTCATTTGCCTGTTCATTAGCCTAGCGTTGTTCATTTTGTTTACTCAGATACCCCCGCTAAATACCCCGTCTTGTATCCCTATTCATTTTCGTCCCGACTTCGCAATGATTCCGGAAAATTTCATTTATTATTATTTTCTTATTTTTATTTCCCGATCGCGCGCACAGCGCTATCTTTGATCATCAACGCCATGGAAACGCCACGCGCCACCATCACATCACCTTCGCTGCCTCATGAGAGTCGGTGAGTGATAATGAGCTGGACTGCAGCGTCTTCTCGTTGGGCACGCATTAGTTTAGTACTTAGGTAGCCTACTATACAAACGAAGACTCGTCCATTCTACAATATCCTACTCTTTGTTTGCCTAAGAATTTATCATCCTAGTACTTTTTTCCTTTTTCTTTTCTTTGCAACTTGAAATGGTCGCCTCGTAATGGGCACTATTGGATGTATCCTGTACGAAGTCGATCAAACACTTATCAATGTATCTCAGGCCTCGTGCGAATCTTGAAATCTTGCTCGTGTAAACCTTGGATTTCTACTCCGTAATCCTCGTGCTCATTTCTTTCTTTTTTGCTAGCGCTCGTGCTGCCCAGAATAACTTGGGTCCAGCCCAACTGCCCCATTCTGCCAGTGTGAAGATTGTGACTCGCATCTGACGGACGGCCCTGCAGATAGTGCAACGGTAAGATTAGAAATTAGGGGCGATGGCTATTTTAGATTTTTAATCTCTTTCCGAGTGGGGGGGGGGGGGGGCGAAGAGAAGTATACAGTTGTACACTGATTAGACATTATCAATTCTAAGATGCCAGTGTTGCCTTCTAATTCTATTAGTATTAGTATTAGTAGATGTTTCTTAGGCCTCCACAGAATCTAAGTAAGCTGTATACCGTAGCATTCATAATTAATAATCCTCATTAAAAACAATATTTCGAAACGGCAAAATTCATTCCGCATGTGTTCTTCCAAACTTCTTTCATTGGTGATCCACCATTTCCGAACTCCGGTATAGTTGCATCTATTTGATCTACCCTGATCCACCAACTATACCAGGCACGAAAAAATAATAATATTACACTACTCCTCTGTGGCTTGAGGCGTGGGTTATATCGGAGCTAACTTATACCACTGTAAGCGCTTATACATGCCACGGGCATTGAACACCTTTCCATCGGTAGATGAGTTCCGGTTCATTATCCGGGAATTAGCCGGACTCGGCATTCTTTCTTCTCAAGTTCGGGTGATTTACCTTACATTAGAGGATCGTGATGAGCTTTTTCAACATTAAGTGTTCCTTCGACTAAGATTTTCCTAGCACTGTGGATTCCGTTGGGAAATACTTTGATTTGTGGATTTTGTACAGCACTTGATGGTCTTGAGGATTCTCAAGTACACATGTGCTGTGTTTAGTATACTACAGACTGCAGGAATTAGATAAATAAAACTTGAAGATGAACAGTTCTGCATATGCAGTCCATATCTCTAAAATGCAATTAATTGTTGAATTTGATCTCGGAGTATTGATCAGATGAAATCAAAATCCGTTTGATTGATTCATTTCATCTGCATTTCGTACTCTAGATTGACCACTGGTGGATAGTAATGTGGCAACCCCGACTCACCGACATTCAGGGCTGAAATTTGTGGGATCTAGAAGAACCGAAGAAACCCAAAGTTGCCTTTTCTAGCATTCGCCACTTTCACCTAACCCCCCGGAGTGCGGAGTAACGGAGCATACGGAGATCCGCCGAGCTCTTCCGTTTCTGGAACAGATAGGCGCAGTACACTCCTCCAAACTACAATGTGTCCTTCGGTGATAAGATTCCGTTGTGAGTCAGAGTTCGTGGGATCTTCAACTATGGACATTGAATCCACATGTGTGGGGGTATGGTCAAGTCCCGGATTACTCGATTTGTCGCTTTCAGGGTTGGAAGAGGCGGACTATCATTCTTTCACCTTTATTCGATTTGAAGGGCCGTGCTTCGGGTTGCTGGGATTTGAATTTGGAATATGTCGCTTTCTTTGAACTACAGGTATAGTTCAATGGGAATACATGTACGAATATCATTTACAAGCTTGATTAGAGTTGCTTTGATGAATTAGTTCAAAATCTATCTACAGTACTAAAGAGGAGAGACACGTGCCTTTACAGATTAAGAGTATCCCTTTGTGCAAAAGTCCCATTAAACTCCTTTCCCGAAAAGCTCGCTCCCAACCTCCTTCAGTAAAGGCTCCTTCTGTAAAGCAGTAATCTTAGACTTGGCAGCAATCGTCTCAGACGCACCCATTGCACGACAGAGATCAATTAAAGCCCCGTCCAGCGGAGCCTCGTAAACAAATAGACCAAGCGCAAATAAAAGACCGTGTAGCGCTTCGATGCTCTGTTCCTCACGCGAGGTCGCCTCTAGTAATGAGGCGAGTAGTTCAACTTGGTCCTCTTCGGGTAAACAACCCGGGTTACCCTCAAATCGAGCATTATGGTTAATCGCAGCGAGGTTATATGCGAAAGATGCTGCTACGACGCGCAGGTTCGAGTGTGAGTCTAGTAGAGAGTTTGTAGTGAGGCGGACACAGACTTCTCGTAAGGGTGAAGATGGTAGAGAAAGTTGATCGGGGTATAGGGGAGTGCTGAAGAGGTTGCAGGCTAGTTGGAGAGCAACAATGCGGAGATTGTACGGGCATGAGGAGATTTCATCCTGTGAGAGTGGCGAGAGAAGGGTGAGAAGCGTAGCGTGATGCTTCTCTTCAGCGAAGTAGCCGCTCACACGTGGGTCTAGGAAAAGAAGACGGACAAGATCCACCACGGCAAAATGGCACTCGCTAGGTAGAGTAGGGTACATCGACTGTAAAGTTGTCGCGAAGGTATGCAGATCCGGAACTCTGGTCAGCCCAGCGGGAGACATACCATCTTCTGGGTGTCGGATCTTGATGAAATCGATGATTGGTGCAACGGTGGGTGCATCTCTGAATTCAGCGGGGAGCTTTTGCACGAGTTTCTCGATGGGCGGAGCCTTCTGGTACATGACGAAGTTTGTAATAGATCGTTGCAGACTAGGCAAGCGAAGCTCTCGATGAGGATGGCTGGGATGAGCCATCTGGAAAAGCATCCGAACATTGCCCTGGAGTTGTGCCGGATTGGCACCCGCCCACTCATCAACTTTCTGTCCTTTGAGGAAGGTCATGAATGTTGGTGTTGCGCGCACACCATACTTCATGCTCACATCGTAGGCAGAGCCAATATCGACCTTTATGAGTCGGGCCTTAGCACCTGCCTCTGCCGCGAGCTCACCGTATGTCGGATAGACAACCTTGCAAGGTGGACACGTTGATGAAGTGAAGAAAATAACTGCACAGGAGTCCGATGCGGCAGATAGCTCACTCTCAAGCTGACTTAGGTTGCTGACAATGCGAACTTTGCCCAGTGGCGATGATGTGACTGGTGCAGGAGGTGCCCTTGCTGCTGAGGAAGCGGCACTGGGCCCTGCGAATGGACTGACTTGATTACCCTGGGTGACACCTTTCAGAGCAGCCTCGATCTGAGGTTTCATCATCTGCCCAAATGGCGTATTCAAGAAGGTGCGCGGCAAATTCCGGATATTTTCTGGAATACTCTTGCCGACCAGAAACATGGCAAAATCTTGAGTGAAGTTGTTGCAGTTGTGCAAGAACATGTCATAGGACTTTAAGGACTTGGAGTTAGCATTCAGATGAAGAAGGAATAGGATTCGAAGTAACCTACCTCTGGAGTGTAAATCTCAGCTAGAGATTCGACATACTCTTGAATCACATCCATGGGGAGCTCTGTCGTTCCCATATGCACTTTCTCCATGGGCTGTCCATGGTGAGTAGTACCCGGAGCAGCCATCTGGATTCCCTGGCCATAGTAAAACTCTTTGCCATCAACCACGATGGCTGTGTGGTAAATAGCGTCGATTTGGGTCCCTGTCAAGGAAGCAGAGTACTAAAGTGGGACTGTGTGAGTAGGTTCCATTTAGATATTTTAGCATTGTGGGGCATTGTTGTATTTACCATGCGCGCCAGACCCTGGAAATTGATTAGCTGAGAAATAAAAAAGTGAAAAGTAGACAGGGTCTCACCTTGGAAAGGTCATAAACATAGAGTTGTACATCCATAGTGATGTAGGTAACTCTCAATATCGATGAGGGAGTTTGAGTGTTGATAACCCTGTGAGCGCCCCAGGCAGCGGTCCGCTCACGTCAGCCCTGGATTCGGGGGTGTTCGACTGCCTTCTACTATGAACAATGAGAACTGAATATTTGAAATAATTAACAGGTAAATAATGGTGGAATTTCTACCATAGGTATTTGCCACATGACGTGATTAAATGTTTCTCGCATTGGATTTGGTCTGAACTGCCAAGTAGAGAAGACACTAGTCACTGATAAACAAACTTCTAAAAAGAGAAAAAAAAAGAAAGAAGAAAGAAGAAAGGCTAGGAGCCGGAATCGAACACCGGCCCCAAACTTCTGAATAGCCTCACACCTCAACGAAGCTTCGGTAAGGAAAAAAAAACTGGTAGCTTCTCTTTGATTGAGCGTGTCATCCTTAGTGCAGGGGCCATGCTAATCTTCTCTGTATATTTTCATTTGACCAAATGTCCCGAAGGACACTAAGTATACTCAAAACTGCGTGATAACCTCGCTTGTTTTCTGCCACCGCCCTAATCCCGAGCTCCCGTCTCGCATGTAACTGCGTCACTCGACATCTAACATCTAAAGCCTGTGTTCCTCTCTTTACCAGCGAAATGGTATGTCCAATTATGATGACCCTACACCAATCCATATATCCTATTATACAGACTAACTAAATTGCCACTAAACAGCCTACAAAGAGGCGCGGAGCTCCCAGCTCCTCCTCAACAGGCCCGAAGCGCGCGCGCCCCTCCAAGCTCGCAAAAGAGAACAATATCAGCGCCGAAGAGGAAAACGAAATAAAAGAAGTATTTCAGCTTTTTGCCGATGAGAATGAAGAATTCTCAGATGAGAAAGAAGGCGTGATCCCACGAGAGGATGTGCGCAAAGCACTGGTGTATGTTTTTATCTCCATGACGTGCCTACCTTGCAAAAGTGGCGACGCGCATACTGCATGCACAATGTACAATGCCCCTGTGGATCATAGTTTACTAATACTCATGCAGCGCTCTTGGCCTTACACCTGAAGACTCCACCGAACTCTCTGAGATCCTCTCTGCCCTCGATCCTACACTGACCGGGTACGTCGCCTACAGTCCCTTCGTCTCTGTCGCCGCTGCGAAATTGCGCTCTCGTGATGAAGACGCTATGACTGCTGAGGTCGATGATGCCTATCAGCTCTTCACCAGAGGAAATAGTGGGCCAATCTCGTTGAACCATCTGCGACAAATTGCGCGGGAACTGAAGGAGGATTCGGTGGATGATGAGCTGCTGAAGGATATGATCATGGAGGCGAATGGAGGGGCTGGATTAACTGCGGGGGTCACGCTGGAGCAGTTTCATGATGTCATGACGCGTGCTGGGGTCTTCTAGCCACCTTGAAGTTTCATTGGATGCATTTGGCGCAGGGACAGGGACACAATATCGATGTCTCTTGTATAATATTTGCTAGCATCTTGAAAAATCTTGATGCGAGACGGTTGGTCGGCGTTATCTAGGCAGGGTTCTGGCGTTGATACTTGCATAGCGTGGAGAATTCATTTACATCACAAATATTTAACGCTTCTACATACTTAGCAGTGCTTACCGGATGGATATTATCCATGGATATTAGTAGCAGTGGTGGCGGACTTCTGTGGACTACCCGAGGAAGTACTAGTAGGACTTCGGGGCTTGCAAATACCCATGGTTAAAACCTTAGAAATAGTTGGGACGGAAGCTCACAAGCACTACATGCCACATTGGAAGTCTACAAGAATCATGAGACCTTTCAATATGGTTCGTGTTATTGTAGATACATGCCATCCTATCAATTCATTTGCAGCGAGTCAAAGAGATTAAACGAGTTGGTTAGAGAAAGAGTGAAATTAAAAATGAAAACTGGGCGTAAGAAACATGCAAAAGGCAAGAATCAAGAATAAAAAGACGAGGAGAAGAGCAGAAGATATGACCCGCGCATCGACTATCAAAATCCCCCGTAGAGAAGAAGTGCAAAAAGCGCTCAGGATGACACAGCGCTAGCAAGAAAGTTCAAACTGTTCAATTTACTAAACGAAAGTCAGTATGGCGATCGCATCTCGTGGTCGGGCAGTTCAGGCTACTTACAGAAATCTCAGCCATGCCGAGATCCTCAGCACCGTTAGCCTGAGGGGCAGCGCCGTTGACGGGGGCAGCGTTGTTAGCAGGGGCGGGTTCACCACCGGCGAAGTAGTCAACCATCTCGGCATCGAGTTCCTCGACGGTCTTGGGCTTGCCACGACCGGGGTTACGTCCACGGTTCTGACCCTGGCGGCCTCCACGAGCACCGGTCTTGGTGGTGGCGGTCTTCTTAGCGGTAGCCGGCTTAGGCTTGGACTTCTGACTATGAGGGCATGAGCATTTGGACCCTGTAACAGGGACAATGAGAACAACGTACGTAGCAATGCGCTCGGTGAGGGGCTTAGTAGCTGGAACGGTAGGAGCGCGGGAAGCATCGAAGACAACCTCGATCTATTGTTATCGTTAATGGGATGGAAAAGAAAGCCAGTATGTCAAAAGGGAATCGGACCTTCATAGGGCGACCATCAACGAGCAGACCATTCAGGTCCTTGGCGGCCTTGGCAGCAGTATCGGCTTTGGCAAAGGTGATCGAAGCAATACCACGGCTGGTACCATTCTGGTTGTAGGTGAGCATGACCCGCTTGACGGGACCGGCAGACTTGGAGAAGTAGTCCTAAAGCGTAGATAGAAGATCAGTATTTGCGGTTGAAAGATTGAGCGACATCAACGGCGGTCGAATTTCGAAGGTAAACAACGGCGACAACGTGAACATGATAACACATCCGCGAGAGCATCAGCGAGCACACAGTCGTGATCCATTGATCGGGTCCGATTCCAGGCGTACATGACGCGTTTCTGTTCCCCCAAAATGATATTGTCCGCAAGGGGTCCCCAGCAACCCCATCACACATTTAATTCCATGATTCCGAAGCTTCCCTCAGTCTGTGATTTCATCAATCGAGCGTGACAAGTCCTCGAACAACGTACGCTCCCGAGAAGGCAATTCAAGATGCAACGCCCACACCCACTATGTATCGCCAGCCGGGAGTGTAATGATATGTTCTCGTGATCACTCCCCAATCAACACTCTTGATGATCGTAAATCAGGAAGCATCTGAGTCTTCAGATTACCACGGTGGGATTCACCCCATAAAGCAGCAAGAGTGTCTCCTGTAGGGAAACTCGTGAAGACAAGCCTAATGGCCGATGTGTGAAGCCCTCAGTCACAAATGAATCACCGCTGGTTCGCCGATGTGCTCGCTGATGTCCCTCTAAAGCTCACAACATGAAGTAGAAAAAAAGTAGAGCGGGGTTTCGAAACGCTGGTCAGGATAGGAATCAAATGATTCTTCTCCTCGGCATAGTACCCAAGAAACGCGATGCTTGTCTGTCACCTCGGCGCGAGACTTTTGCGCATACAGCATAACTTGTTGAATAGTACTAAGGGGCAGTGCTCAACTTCCTGCTACGCGATATGCCAGCCAAAGAACATGCGCAAGCTTTTTCTTTTTCTTTTTCTTTTCTTTTTTTTTTTTGGAAGGAGCAACAAGCCCGTGCCAGACACCGAGCGATAAAAAAACCATGGATGGTGTAGGAGGAGAGGCAGGTCGGAACACGAAGTCGAAGGTTGTTGCACCACAAAGAGTTCGAAAACAAAGATGGCGATCACAGCCAAGGCAAAGGCCTCTGGATCAACATACCTTGATACTGCCCTCATTCACATCGGAAGGCTGGAAAAGTCAGTTCTGTACGCGACGCGAAAGAGTTTCCAGAGTAGACAAAACATACCAATCCGCTGACAATGATCTTGCTGGATGCGGCCGGAGCAGCAGGGGTAGGGTGAACGGCCTTGGGGTTGGCCTTAGTAGTCTTGGCAGACTTCTTCACGCCTCCGACGGTGGGCTTAGCAGCAGCGCGGCGGTTACCACGACGGCGAGCGCTCTGACGACGGTTGCCGACGAGGTCGTCGAGAGACTTGTCCAGGTTGGCAGACATGTTGTAGAATTAATGAGGAAAGCTGGCAGGTCGAGTTACTTAAGAGCAAGTCGCGGTGGTAAACGCGTCGATGATGAGTGCGCACGGGTTTAGTAAAGTCTCTTCAGGTGTAGATTAAATCGAAGAGAAGAAGTGGAGCGTTGATGCGTGGTGGTTTTCTACCAAGGGGGAAGGGAAAACCAAGTCAGTGAAGGCTGAGAGGAGTGAATGGGGCGAGGAGAGATGGAGGGAAAGGGAGTGAATGAATGGGGCGTCACGCTAGACTATTTTGGGAAGATCGGGTACCACCATGTTTGTCTTGTTTGCACCGAGGCTGAGATCCCCTAATCAGGGGCATTGCTTGTAGCTTCACCCAAACGCGCTCTCAATACGGAGTAACCGATCATCAATGTCAAGATTTGATTCTCTATGGGGGCTCAGATTGTCATAGAATACTCCCGTACTGGCCGAAAGAAATCTATGGATAGCGATAAGGGGTTTTAATATGGAGACTTCAAGGTTATCTTTTGGGCTCTATATTAGCCGCCTTGCCTTTCAATTGTGATAAAGGCTTTCTTGCGACCTGCCCAGATCGCCCAGCTTCAAGTTCTACATGACAGGCTCATTTCTACCGACCCGAAAGAGTTTATTGTCAACACCACGACGAACAGCAAAGACAAGAAACAAAAATTACAGTCTAGATCAAACCAACATCGGTACACAATGCTCCGAGGGCCATTTCAGGCTCTTCTCCATACAAGGTTCATGTGATATCAAATGGCCCGAGCTCGGCAAATGAACTTGGGGACGGGGGTTGAGGAGTCATCTTCCTGGCAAATCGCTATGCGAAACTTGGCAGGACTTCGGTCATCCAAATACGAGTTGGAATTAGCCTTGTTGCTGTTGATGAAGACCAGCTGACTCATGTAGACTCCATCAAAGCGGAGCGTTCAAATGTTGTTCCATATCGGGCAAGTCGCGAAGCTTCTTCAGCAGATTCTGAGGTCTGTAGTGTATCCGCCGCTCCATTCACTCGTCAATTGAGAGGATCAGCTGTCCATTCCCGGACTTTCCGACATCGAGCCGCCTCTTGTCACATAGAGCAGATAGCCCAGATCACGAAAGTTCTGGAGACGGTCTTTCGGAGAGGAGCCTTTCGAAGAAATCATTCCAGACCTTGTCTTCGGTGCTCAAACTCCGGAGAAGTCGAAAAGAGAGGCATCTCAGTCTGCTCTAAAGCTTGTCTGATGAAGTTGGTCACAAAGTGGCCTCGTCGTGAGACCTCGATCGAGCTGCTTGATGGATGAACATTACGCTTGAGCCGCTCAACGTGAAGAGTTCGCAGAAAAGTTCCAAAGATTTGGTCACTCCGTTGTTGCACTGCCTGCATCCACTGCAAGGCCTCGGTGAAAGTGCAGGTCTCATCACGGAACTTTGAGTCCACAGACAGGAATACGGCTCACGTACCATCTTGAACATTAATAACATTTGAAATCGCTCCCGGATGCGTGTACGTGAGAGTAAATCGAAGGCCGGCCCTTCCACGGTTCCAGCCCTGAAGGGCTCAAGTGGTACCGTCACGGTGACGGTGTACTAATACTGATTCTGTTACCTACTCGTATCAACTGCCTCTATATAAGTACTCCCAAGGTCTCATTAAAATGTTCTCCTCTAGTTCAAGCTCGACTACTATTCTCAGCTCCAGTTCATCTGAGATATAAGTGTCTTTCAACATTCGAAGGTTTTAAGATGCGGATTGGAGACGATGCCAAGGGGAAAGATAAAGGTACAAACATCATGGAAGAAAATCCAGCATTGACGGTGGACGATAAGCCTACTGAGATGGCCAAGTTTGATCAATCCGATTTCCCTTCCAAGGACCTCCGAATCACAATCCACCTATCGCAACCAAGTATGGCTGAACAGGCAATCTACCATTGTTTACGATCACAAGACTGGACGGATCCACAGTGCGAGATCTATTTCAATGAAATCAGTGGGATGCAAGACGCCCTTCACCATTTTTTTACCGACCAAGGCTGGTCTGACAGCTTGCTTAGGGCGTTCCATGAGCGTTGCCGGGTTGAATTACCAGAAAACCTCGCACCTCCCGGGGGAACAGATGAACCAGACCCGGTTATTGATACATATAGAGCAGAAGGTCGTTCGAATTCGCTTTTGAAGGACAGGAAAATGCAATTAAAGTTGCTCGAAGAGATGAAAAGGAGAAAAACTATTGGGAATGAGTTATATCAGAGTTTGCGAAGTTAATTGTTCGACACATGCATACTTGCCATCATTTGCCCAGGTGAATGTTTTATGAAATTACCTAGGTAGCTATATCTATGATTAAGTCACCTGTCAATCATTCAAATGTTTCAAGGTTCTACCTGGCAACTACTAACCGCCGTTAAACATTAGCAATCCGTTAAAATGCCAGGGCAAGCACTAAGAAGAAGTAACATTTGAAACTCAAGGTGTGTGCGGGAAAGAAAGCTACTTGAACGACTACGACTCAGTAAAATAGTTGCATATTGAAAGCTCCAGTGGACAAAGATAGACCATTGACAGGAAAGACTTTCAGAAAATGTCTTCGGGGCACTGGCATTTTATCACGAACAGAAAGGCCTAGATAATGACTTTAACTCCCTCGTTCAATTCGACGTAACCTTCATCCGCATTGTCGATTACCTAGCATCGCATGTGTGCAGGCTAACATCCATAGCAAAACCTCTATGTGACAAAACTCGTTGACGAGACCAAAGCAAATCCGGATCTCCTCAAAATACTTCTACTTCTCTTTCCCAGATATTCAGACAGATATCATATCCGAATGTGCGTATGCCAGATGCAATGCCAGTAGTACAGCGATCAATCAAACACAATATCGCTGGAATGGCTATGCATTTGCTTTCATGTGTGACTATGCTGATGGGTTGTCTATTCTTTTCCAAGATTTCAAGGCTTATACTAGAATAAACCATTGTTCCCTGAGACAGGTGGAATGAGATGCACATCTGCTGCCTCATTAAGCATATTATTTCCTTCTATTCTCCTAGCTGGATTGTCTGGTGCTTTGGTAACGCTGTTGGCCTAAGATGAGACATCTGGATTCACAATCATTTCTTGCCCAGAAAGGACTTGAGACACCCAAGAGAGAGAGAGTATTGAGGCGGAGGACATGCACTATATCGTGATGGTATTGATTCGATGGCTCAGGCAACTTAATGTTGGAAAATGCCCATGCAGATCCAGACTGAAAGGATGTCGATATGGCGGAATGAGCATGTTTATCATCACTATCAAGGTCGACGTGAAGTTTGGAATTTCCAGGGGGAATTAAATGCAATAAAGACCCAATGGGAGGTAATGAAATGATCCGGTAGATGTAGCAGAAGGAATAGATTTGATGTATGTAGGTCCAGCCTGTGAATACAGAATCGAATAGCCCTGAACTCCTTCTAGGTAGAAGAAAAGCTTGAAAAACAAGAACAAAGATAGTCAACCAATACAAAAAAACAGTGGAAGCGCTAGAAGAAAAGGGACAGAGACTCAATGAGGAGAAGTATAGTCGAGAAGTTAAATGAGGTATTAGAGAATAAACAAGTCAACTCTTCAAAGCCTCCAATCGATTCCGCATCTCGTCGAGAGTCGCTTCCTGATCCCCAAATTCGGGCTCGGCCACTGGGGCTTCCTCGACAGGTGATTCGGGTTTGGCTGGTGCCTGAGAGAGCTTGCCCTGCAGGATTTCTTGCAGAACCTTGTCCACCTCAGCCTCAGCCTCATCTTCTTCCTCTTCTAGAAGGTTATCAACAGGCATGGCATCCTCCACTATCTCATCGATGATTCCAGCCCTGACCAACTCCGTAGATAGTTGGAACATCGTACTTTGTAGCTCAGGCATTCGGACTAACGTATTCACATCTTTCATGATGGCCGTCGACTTCTGCAGACTGCCTTGGATTTTGCGAACGGAAAAGGCCTCGTTGACTTGCATTCCAACACTCTGCAACTGTGCTCGACTTGTATTCAACCGAGATGATTGCTTTCGGATGCGCACTAGTTCTCGGGCAAATGTCTTCGTTTCGCTTATAGCTTGTTTAGCCTGGGATGGGTTTCGCTCGGCTCGCTTGGAGGCATTGATAATATGTTGTCGGGTCTTGCTATCGAGGGTCTTGAGCTGCATGAGATCTCGATCAAGTTGTCGTGTATTTGCGCGGATGAGAGCATTGCATTTTCTCATCTATCAATAGTCCCAACAGTTAGCAGGTTGAATGCGATGGGTCTCCTGATGGGTGACGGAGCATCCTATCCTACCTGAGCTTGAGGGTCAGGCCCAAAGAATACGGCCTTTAACGTCTCCATAATGAGATAGCAGTTGCTTTTTGGAGCAACGCAAAGAGGTCAAATATGTCTTATCGGCTTCCCAACTGATCGGACTGGATCGCAACCCAGAGATTCAATGTGTTTAACGGAGTGGGGTGATTGGTGGTGTTTTCCAGGCACCAGGTCTGCATCAAGGGGCGGGGAGGTGATATACTGAGAGAAGAGATAACAATAGAATCTCTGAATAAGCCAGAGACATTCAATAGAAATCTTCAACTCTCGAGTCCGTTTTATCAGGATTGCCCTTGTCTCCAAGCAACTTGGAGGGGGTCCAAGGATCGGCTTAGTCATGCTTGTGACGTCCAGGGACCTTGACACCTGGATATTCAGGCCCCATAAAAAGAGCAAACTAGACAAACAACCCCCTCAGTCCACGGGTGCTTCCAGTACATTCTCTGAGGTGAATGCGGTACATGCTCTTTCACAGCTAAGCTTGTCTTTCTTCGTTCCACTCTCAGCATTCCTCCGCTTCCAAAGCTTCATTTCCATTTATTTCCGAATCTCCCCCGGATCATCATCCATATATCTCTTAACTATGGCTACCGTGCACCCCGAAGGTAGGTTATGGCAGCTCTTACGTTCCCCGCTCTGCCCCAACCCTCGGATCTGCACATTTTGCAACGACAACCACTATGACGTTATTGCAATCTGCGAGGCATTGGTGGAGAAATGAGATACTCGAATATCTTGAAAGAAGACTTGTAGATCTTGAAAGATGTTCAAGACCAGAATTTGGCTGACTCGATTATTGTTTGGTTTTCACAGTTACCTGGGCCCAGCGCTCCTCGGCTGATGAAGCCGAGCGCAACTACCTCTATGTGAGCCTTAAGACCGCTGATGTCCCCAAGGACAAGGCCGACCTTAAGCTCACCCCTACCAACGTCTCTTTCACTGGCCCCTCTGGCAAGGGTGTTACATACTCCGTGTCCCTGGACCTCTACGCCGAGATCGACCCTGAGAACAGCAAGGTAAACCACACTGACCGTGAGGTCGAGTTGGTGCTGCGCAAGAAGGAGCTGGGTGAGGAGTTCTGGCCCCGTCTGCTGAAGGAGAACAAGAAGGTTCACTTCTTGAAGACCGACTTCGATAAGGTATATATAACCCCGCTGTTTCAATTGGATCTTTGAGATAATCAATGAGGCTGACCCGAATTCAAGTGGGTTGATGAGGATGAGCAAGATGAGGCCGCTGAGGATGACTACGCCAACAACTTCGGTGGTTTCGGCGGTGAGGGTGGTGAGGGTGGTGCTGGCGGTCTCAGCAACATTGACTTCTCCAAGCTCGGCGGTATGGGTATGGGTGGCGAGGGTGGCATGCCTGACTTCAGCGCTTTGGCTGGTGCTGCGGGCGGTGCTCCTGGTGCCGAGGGCGAGGATGATGATGTGAGTTATTCTGGATATCCGTGGCCTGTGAATGATTCACCTTTAACTAACTGTCGTTTCTAGGATGAGCTCCCCGAGCTTGAGGACGAGCAGCCCTCCAAGATCCAGGAGGTTTCTTAATTCAACTCATACTCCAAAGTTACTTCTGCGCAGTGTCTTTGACGACCAGAAATGAAAAAAAAAATACAGGCTGCCTTTAGGTGCCTGCGGGATGGTGTGCCGGATAATTTTTCTTTGTTTCTTCGATTACTTGGAGTCCCTATGTTAGTAGAGCAAAGCGACCAGGCTCAGCTGAATTGAATTGGTTTCTATTTAGCCTGGCTAGATCATCATTGGGGATCTGAGAGTCCTGACATCTGGAATGATGGATGTAGTGGTGAGAAGGCAGGTTTGGATGTAGCTGACTAGTAAAGAATTTACTATACAATACAAGTTGCTCAAGTGATTCTTCTCCTATATTTCTTCAATATCAAATCTATTAGTCCCTACTAGACATTTTTATGGTGAAATTTGTCTTGAGTCTGTCCATGAGACTGTACCCTAGACTGAGATGTGTGGGAGGGGGCTATGACGCAAATGCCCTTCCACTGAATATCGCCAATCCATCACGCATGAATGGAGCAAATCAAGAACATATTTGAGATGAATCCACTGTCTAAATGAATTTTTTTGTATTGATCTTCTCTCTTGAATTAACTCATTATCACATGTGCACTTAATAATCTAATAGTTCGAGAGTCAAATTCTTACCCTTGGAATATACTTGAAGGTCCCGGGCGGTCATTGGTCAGTCACGGATTGTTCCGCCACACTCTCACCCCTCGAATTTGTGGAGGCTCTCTCTTCTTCTTTCAATCTCGACTTACACCCTTACCCTACGGGTTTCTCCCTTTCTTTTGGTGTGCATCAGCGTTGAAACTTTGCTCTCACTTGCGCGACCGGGCGCCTTGCTTTTTCACCTTTTTTCCATTCTCTACTCGAATCACTCGTCACACGAGCCAATCCGTCACTATGCCTCCCAAGAAGGTCGATCAGCCTAAGAAGAAGGTCAAGTCCGTTGATGACAAGGTCAGTATATCTCTAGGCGATATGAACTATTTTTTTCAAGTTGGGAGATTGTTACTAACCTCCTCGTATCAACAGACCTTTGGCATGAAAAACGTACGTCACCGAAAAAAAAAATCCGATCGCTCTCCCCCACACATCGAATATCACTTCCACCAAGTCTGTGCAAATCACAACTTACTAACACAACCACAAACAGAAAAAAGGAGGAGCTGCCAAGAAACAGATTTCACAGTTGAACGCACAAGCCGCATCCAACAAAAATGATTCTGAAAAGAAAAAAGCAGCCGAGAAAGCCCAGCGTGAGGCCGAGAAGAGGGCCGCTGAGTTGGCTAAAAAGGAGAATGCCGAACTCTTCAAGCCCGTTCAGGTTCAGAAGGTTCCTTTTGGTGTCGATCCCAAGACTGTGCTGTGTCAGTTCCACAAGAAGGGTGGTTGTGAAAAGGGTCGCAAGTGCAAGTTCAGTCACGACCTGAACATTGAGCGCAAGGCAGCTAAGAAGGATCTGTACACTGACTCGCGTGAAGGAGAGGAAGAAACTAAGAAGGCCGATACTATGGATACATGGGACGAGGAGAAGCTGCGCGATGTTGTCATGAGCAAGCATGGAAACCCCCGCACAACCACCGACAAGGTTTGCAAGTTCTTCATCGAGGCAGTTGAGAACCAGAAGTATGGTTGGTTCTGGGTTTGTCCGAACGGCGGTGATAAGTGCATGTACAAGCACAGTTTGCCTCCTGGGTATGTCGAATTCAAGATTTTATTTTCAACAATGTCGCCAGCTAATAATGGTTTTCCCTGATAGATTCGTCCTCAAGACTAAGGAGCAGAGAGCCGCCGAGAAGGCTTTGATGGACAAGTCACCTTTGAACACTCTGACCCTGGAAGATTGGCTGGAGTCCGAGCGACACAAGCTGACTGGTACCCTGACGCCAGTTAACCCAGAAACCTTCGCCGAGTGGAAGAAGGGACGTCTGGATAAGAAGGCAGCCGAGGCGGAGGCACAGAAGGCCAAGGAAGCAACTGGTCGCTCTATGTTTGAGAGCGGTGATTGGAAGAACCAGGAGAGCAGTGAAGAGGAGTCAGATGGCGAAGATGAAGATGACGACGGCTTCAACCTGGATGCACTGCGAATGGAGACCGAGAGGCTACGTGCAAAGAACGAAGAGGAGCGCTTGGCTAAGCTTGGTATTGCAGTTCCACCTTCGAATGACGATGCTCTTGTACAGGAGGCTGCAGGCTGAGCCTCCCCACCTCCTTGCGAGATCAGTTTTGTGAGTCTCCGGGAATTACCATTTCCCTGCCGGACACTGAAGCCCGACTCTGTCAGATTGGTTGCTTTGGTCCACGGGGATCGGATCCCCATGACGAGTGATCGTTACAATCGTCGATTATTCGGCGTTATCTCCTGATACATCCAAAGTTTGCGTTGTACGGCCTCGTTATGCCCCCTGGGGACTCACCCGGTCACCCTTGCCATTCGCTTTCTCTCCACATTACCGGGTATCTCGAATATCAGTTGAGTGGGAGAGGTGAATAGCAAGTTGATTGGTAACGAGAGCAGAAGGGTTTGAGAACATCCTGTGTCTCATATGACGGAAGAATCAACGACTGATATATGTTATGGCAGCTTGCTTTAGTAGCAAAAAGTCCTTTTCCAAGTTCGCACAATTTAATGCAATGATTCCCACAGTATCACTCGATCGAGGTCCTCAATACACACTAAACGCTGGCCTGCAAGGTACCTACTTGAGCTGACCACGACATTCCAAGTATGCGCCTTCAGGGCTGGCCAACGGCTTTCTAACATTTGACGGTCTGAGTCTGAGTTCAAAATTTCAAATTCTGCTCTCCGCATATGCATACTAGGTGCTGGCTACATCCAACAAGTCTCGTAGTATGTAGCAGAACCTGGAATACAGGCGACGGCTTATCCCGACTCACTGCACCCCATTATAACAGCCTGAGCCTAACTTCGCCTCGTCATGATACTAGTATACATTTTGAACTTACCATTTCTTCACGCCACCCTAGTGAAACATGTATCAACCCGATCTTGAAAGGGCTGGTATTCCATGAACTTACTACCTGGAGACTCCCTCGCCCATGCGAGTGGGATTTCACAATCTATACGAGTAGTAGGTAAAGCAGCCTTTGTAAGTTCAAGTTCTAGCTGCATTTTGAGGAAAGCACTCGCATCTTCCAAAATTTGAAGGTTCAAATGTTTGCCGAACGGAAGATCCCGTTCTTCGTTGAAACTGGTCCCAACTTGAAGTCGAATAAAAGGAACTAGTTACATATTTTCTACTTCTTCCTTCCACATATGCATTCGATTGCTACTAGTCAACAGGCTTACACCACATTGCATCCTTACTGACTACAACAATCGCTACTACATCGTCCAACTTGAATAACGTTTGCAAAATGTCATCTAACCCGACTACCTCGACCTCACAGTACTCATGCGATTCAAATATCTCAACATCCACTGTCGACTTTGATGAGGAGCCGTTTGAAACCTTCAAGGATAAAGTTCTCAAGCTATGCCGTAATGAACTGGATATGCCCAAGGGAAGTGTGAAAGTCGAGCGGCTAACTGGTGGGACCTACAACCGTGTCGTCAACCTCCAGTCCCCAGACAAGGACTGGATTCTCCGCATTCCTCGCCTTTTTCATGGTAACCCCTCAATGTTCCATGATATCGGCCCACTCGAACTTCTACAAGACCACCCAGGAATCCCTGTTCCAAAAGTGCTATGTTTCGATCACACTGATTGCAACTCATTAGAGCTGGCTTACATGGTTCAGGAACGGGTTCCAGGTCAATGTCTTGTGCACACCTATCGCGACCTATCACACCAGACAAAGTGTGCTATTGCTAAGGACTTGGGCCACGCTTTCTCGGAAATGCATCAGATCCGGAATCAATTTGCAGGAAAGCTGTTTTGGACAGAGGAAATAATGCGTGTACAGCCCCTGAACCCCTCGCATAGGGATTTCTACCTGCCTCGTCATGTTGCCCGGGCTAGTGAGTCTACAGAACAGTTCATACTGGAACTCCTTCATGACAGGCTCGAGATCGCAACAGAACGTCTTCCGGATAAGGATGCGGCCTGGAAAGTCAAGTCCCTGAACAAACTTATTCCAATTGTAAAGGAAATGGGTAGGATGGGAATCTGGGATACCGCTTATTCCTACTGTTTCTGCCACCTTGATCTCGAGCCTCGGAATGTCATGGCGGATGAGAAAGGCATCACCGCTATTTTGGACTGGGATAGTGCGATGTTCGCCCCTTTCATGCTATCGTGCCAGCCCCCCCATGTGGATATGGTGGTGGCGTGAGAAGGCATCCAAGAATGATAACCATCTGGCTGCGGAGGTACCCCCTACACCTGAGGGACAGGAGCTCAAACGGTTGTTTGATGAAGCTGCTGGGCCGATCTACGCCCAATACGCTTATCAGCCACAGTATCGACTGGGACGATCGTTGATCAAATTGGCGGTGTATGGGCTTCACATGGAGAAAGCTCACCTGTTAGATGACGTTTGCAAAGATTGGAGGGAGTGGAGAGGCCAGAATTAGTCCTACAGATATGGTCACCGAGAAACATGGAGGATTAGGTACAAGTTGACGAGGATGGACATGGGCTGATGTGAGCATGTACTTCGAAAATTGAGAGATACTACAGAATCTACGGCAAATTTAAAACGCGAGTCGAGCTACGGGGTTGTAGGTGTAACCCAATTTCAAGTTTCTTTCATTGATTTAGACAGGGTACTGCGATAATGAAAGCAAATCACTAGAGCAGTATTCAAATCTTCGCCTTATCTTCCAAAATGCCACCTTCCAGCATCAGAGCTACAACGTCCTCTGCAACACCTCTCGAGAGCTCAAAGCCACGACCTCCAGCGCCATACGCATGAACCAGCTTCCTATCACCGCTCAGATTCTCAATTTCAATTCGCATGCCTCCTTCGCGAGCAGGTCGTCTTCCAACGATATCACGAATGACATCAAACTGGCCATCACTTTCAGGTGTGAATGGGAACCATTTCTTTGCATTAGCAAGAAGCCTTGCTCGTGTCTCTGGTGAATGATTAGGATCCCAGTTTCCTGGCTCCTTAGTGCCACCAATGACAGTCCCACCGTCGAGGGGACGGGGAATACAGAATGACCAAGAGCCATCCTCGTTCTGTCTTGTGATTGTGGCATCGACAGCATTACGAACAAGACAAGTTTGTCCTAGAGAAGAATCAGTATGTCGTCTCGAATTTGATGACAGCATGAAAAGAATATACCTTTGATAATAAACGATTTCGGATCCTCAAAGCCAACCCCCGAGCAATTAACCACAGTTCTTACTGCTGGAGCCAAAGAAAAAGCCTCTTGTATATTCGCAAGAGCATATTGCTTGGTACTTCCACCTTTCAACACAAACTTGCGCAACATATACGCACAATAAACCGGCGAGTTAACCACATACGTTCCATACTCCACACCCCATTTGACTCCCTCGGGAACCTCGCTGCTGGATAAACGTCGGAACCCATCCAGATGGGCATACACATTACGCACGCTCTGCGCATCTAGATAGTCCTGCGGCGGAGCCTCGAGGTGCTCCACACCCTGGAGAAATTTAACTCCCGCAGCCGGTTCATCGGCGACTCGCTTCATGAACTCATATGTACGTTGCGCCTGACTTGCCTCCCGAAGGGCTTGCGGCGAAGATCCTGGTACTGGTCGATAATGCGCTCCGGCCCATGGGGAGGCATAGTTGACGGAGGTGTCGGAAGGGAAGTCTCTGGCTACCAAGAGGATTGATTGTGTGGGGCTGAGGTGTTGTTGGATGTATAATGCGGTTGTTAGACCGATCACACCGGCTCTAGATGTTGGTTAGTTGGATGATTCTCACAGGTTCGTTTACTATGGGTTCTTACCCTACTATGATAATAGTCTCAGACATGATCAATGAGTCACAAGGTAAACCTCAAGGTCCGAGTGTTAACTCGAGTGTTATGGAATTTGACGCCTTTGGATGATTCTTGGATTCCTGAACGAAGCTATTGTCTGGCAAGAGTCGCAAGACATGAGCGAGATTGAGTGAGTCAAAGCCCACGATAAGCCCCGCACGATCAGATGATAGGAATGATAATATGAGTATAGGTATTTGCATCAAGTGCCGGTGCTTATGGGTAAGATTTCGATTTAGAATTTGAATTTGAGATCAGCTAGGACCTTTATAAGGAGTGTATGTTAAAATTGTTGGAAGAATGCACCTCTTTTATTGATCAGCATTGAACGGTGTACTCTGGGGACCCGAGCGGATCTACTCCGCAGTGTAGTTCGTCCCTTTCAACCTTTTCAACCCTTTCAATCCCTTCATGCTAAGGTAAGTGAAAATTGGGATTGATCACCGGATGTGATGCAGTCTCCCGAATTTCAAGTTCGATTGGAAAACTCTCCGTTCCTTCTTTCTCACTCCCCGATACCACTCCACAGACGGCCCAAGCTCCATTTGGACCATACAATATATGTGCCTGATGTGCAGCAAGCAAGACCCCGGCTTGAAGCACACAGTCACATCACATAATATCAGGGACTGGGGCGTATGTGCAACGATCAAGGAAAAAAAGGAGAAGACTATCACTTCAACCTTGAAATTGTGAAAAAAGCAAAATCCGATCTCAAACCGATCATCATGTTCCAAGTAGTATAATGTGTACTCCATAATCTCCCATGAAACGGGGCAAAACTCCATGAGAATTCTCCGTCAGGATTTCAAAGATATTTTTAAAATATAATTTTTCTTCCATTCTCATAGGTTGCATAAAACAAGGCTAATGAATTCCAAGCCTTGCGTACCATGGGGATAATGAACAGTAATTGGTGGAGGAGTGAAGTTGTAGGCGCCGAGGGATCAGCAGTGATAAGATGTGATTGGTGGTTTCAACGTGACGAAAGGTGCATCTTGTCAACTTCCTGCACAGATCTCCTCTATCACATCAACCAACCCGTTATTTTTGGGGGGATTTGGACGGGGTTTGATGTTTTTTTGACTTTGACCAGAAAATACGATTCAGAATGGTCCTTCTAAGATTGTCTGGCGCCAAAGAAGAAAAGAAAATGGAATCACCTTGTGATCCCCATTGTGAATCCTAGAGGCTGGGAACATCTCGGATCATTAACCCTTTTTTTTTCCGCAAATATCTAACGGCTGTCAGTTTTGTCAGGCTTGTCAATTCCGTGCAGATTTCTACATACTAAATGTACCACGGACCTTCTCTAGTCCAGAAAATTGGAGCAATCGACCTTTTTTTTTTTACCACCCACGCGCTTTCCAAATGGTATCGACCCACTTCTCCTCGGGCCTTGAACAGACTGCTGATGGTTCCCGTCTGTGATTCGGGAGCCTCCTGCATTGATCTAAACCCCATAACTTCTTCTGTCTCGTTTCTGCATGCTCGTTGGTGCAGTCCCACCAACCCAGAGCCACCCAACCCCAGCCACCAAAAGGCTCGATCTGACCTTCTCCGCTAATGATGTGATGTCTTTTGGTACCATTGTTTCAGGCTATGGGGTTGGAAACTCCCATCTTTCATAAATGGAACATCATGTATGGCTAGTCGTGAAATGAAGCGCCCTGTATAGTACCCCGGCGCCAACCCCGATTGATTGATGGGTGGGAGATACTGATCGACTATTGAAGCCCTCTCCACTTCTAACTGGTATTTTAGTTCAATATGTTTGGGAAAATAAACCAAAAAAGGGGAGCTTTCTGTCCTACCGGAGTAAGCGCATCAATCCCACGGGTGACAAGGGTGGCGCCAGATTATTCCCTATATCTCGCGTATAGGTCATAGTATAATACTATAGATATACCCTGTTACTACCCATCTCCACCCCACATCCTGTCACAAACTTAAGCCCCTCCAGCCACGCTAAAAATTTAATGGGAATGTGATGAACGTGGCCCTCGATTCCTTCCGAATCCCTGCTTCCTTTTTCTGTTCATATTTCCCACCCCGGTCAACTCTGCATCTAATTACACCAATCTCGCCTGGTCGCATATCGCCTACAGCTCCTCTTCCTTATTAGGTCCGGATCTTCGCGAACAGCTAGCTGCAATCTGTTTTTTTAACCTGCAACTAAATCCATCCGGCGTTTCCCCAAGTCTCCAAATGTTCGGTATCCTGACGCTTTCAAGTTCCCTTCGGCCTTAGACGGTATCTTTAGGGTTGTGGATTAGTAACCTCTCTGTTGAGAAGCTGGGTTAGTATTTTTTCCCTCTTCTTCTTTCCTGCATCTATCTTCTGGGTGGATACTCTTTTATTCTTTTTACGTCCAGTGGGATCTGGAGCACAGCACGAGACCTTTTTAACAAAGGTTGCTCTGGTAGTGCTTGGAAATAGCTTCCCATTCTCCATATATTGCCTACTTGGGTTCGGAGCTTGCAGCTAAAAATCAAGAATTTATATTTTTTTATAAAAAAAAAAGAAAAAAAAACAATGGAGAAGTTAACATGGAATAGAAGCTTGTTACCAGAACCACGACTCCCACAGACTGTCAAAGCAATGGCACCGATGCCGGTACAGGCTTCCGAGCCTCGATTTCAGGCTTGCGCTGCAACCGCATCCCTCTTCCTATATGCGGTTGGCCCGTTAATCCTATGCCTTCACCACGATATACTCGCAGTCGAACGTCAGTTTCGTAGCCATCAACATGATATCGATTTTATTTCAGTGGACAATGTGAGCGAGCGTGGGTCAGGAAGATTGGCTGTCAGTTACGATGTCAACCAAACAGCAATCGTCTGGGATATTTTTACGGGAAAAGAACTGTCAAGATTTGCATCATTTGATCCTCTGCGGGTGGCATCGTGGTTGCGCAATGGCAATGTTGCATTTGGTATGGAGGATCTGTGTATACCAACATTATAAGACTCGGATTACTGACATTAAACTATTTTGTGATAGGAAACGACAAGGGTGAAGTCATTCTATTCGAACCCTCAACTTCAGAACATATTTCCACCAGAACGATCTTTGATCCTATTACCTCTCTTGCGCCATCTATGGATTGTCGAACATTTGCAATTGGGTATGTCGATCGTACTAAACAACTGCATGACTCGACAAGATGAAGCATGAATTAACAATTATACACTATCAGATATCAAAATGGATCGATTCTCATTGCAACCCTCCTCCCCCAATTCACTATTCTTCACACCTTGACGACCTCGCGAGGACCTTCACCAATCATCTCTATCTCCTGGCATGCCTCCTCCTCGAAGCAGAAATCAGATATGCTAGCAACACAGGCCTCAAGCGGCGACTTGCGAGTATGGAGTGTATCAAAGCCAGCGAGCAAAGAGTCTCCTCGAGTAATTCGTGTCTTAAAACGATCTGATTCTTCAAATGCGGATCCAAAATGGATGGCATGGTCTAAAAATGGAAAAATTCTGCAATTCCTTGAAGGGTGAGCGAAATATCTATTCTAACTAGGCTTTCTATGGAAACAACTAATTTAACTGGAATCTACAGAGAAACATGGTCTTGGGATGTCAGGACAAAGCACGTCACTTATGAGCCAATCCCAACAGTGCACGGAGTACGAGGACTTGCAAACCATGGCCCCACAGCGACACTATTCACTATCGGTCCCCAAAACACCGTTCAGCAGTATGATCTGGATACCCTCACAATGGTAGCAAATGTGCAGCCTCCGGTGGTCACCCCTCCACCAGTAGTCACTCCCGAAGAACAATTATCACAAAGGGTCTCTCCTCCTCGGCGCTTGCAGGAAGCTCCAAACCTTCGAGAGGGACCAAACAGGAGACGAACACCCTTTGAATCAAATGTCGATAACTTGAAGCAACAGAGAACGAATGTCATCAGCCCTGCATCTTCCAGAAGCCAAACAGAATCTGTAAGCTCCAAGGCTTCTTCTGGGAAATTTAGAACAGGTGCATTTGCACCGCCCAGTGTATCTGCACAGAGTGCGACAACCTTTTCCATGACTTCTGGCGACCAGGACACACCCCAACCGTCAGCTGGGTATCCCTATGCATCTTCCGTCTCGCTGTCGTCCGTAAGGAGCTCTCGCGCTGGGTCTCGACTGCGAAATGAGGTGCAGATGAGTCCCGCGGAGAAGAATGTTGTTGATCTATTCCCATTTATCCGGGCGCGACTGAATGATGTGCCCTATAAACCACAACCATCGATTGACGAGAACAGCCTCACGCCAAACGATCTGCGACAGCAAATGCTGAGTGTTGTCTTTGGTTGGGATGGAGATATTGCAGATTTGATTAGAGATGAGTGGAGTCGTCATGCACACGGAAGCCAAAGCGCAATTCTCCTAGCACAATGGCTTGGAGAGACCGACACGGATCAAATGGCGGATATGATCAGTAATGGACCGACGACAACAACCGACTGGATGCTTCTAGCTCTGAGTCAAATGACTGGACACGCGCAAGCAAACAAGGTTGGACAGAGCTTTGTACGAAAATTGCTAGAGATTGGAGACATTCATACCGCGGCTTCCATTTTGATTGGCATTGGAGACAGCAACGATGCCATCGAGGTTTACGTATCGCGCAAGCATTTCATGGAGGCCATTCTTATGACATGTCTTCTCATGCCAACCGACTGGCAACGTCAATCATATCTTGTTCGGCGATGGGGAGAACATGTGGTTACACAATCTCAGCAACAACTCGCTATTCGTTGCTTCATGTGCAGTGGCTCTGAGCCTTCTGAACCGTGGACTTCTCCTGGTGCTCAACAAGCGACTACTTTTGCCGATGTCATGGGAGGAAGGTCCCCATTAGCTTCACCTGAACCGCAGCCCTTGATTGCTCCACCCCGTCCATCATCAGCCTCTAATCAGCGTGGAGCTGCGAAGGGTCCCGCGCTCAAGCTCATCACATCTTTTGATGCAAAATCGAATAAACGGTTCCGATTCCCGGGATTGAAAACTGATGACCAGACACCAACAAATGCACCTGGTGTCACACCTATCGCAGAGTCTGCTATTGCTGAGTCGGCTGTTGGATCTTGGAAACTGAGCAATATTCAGAGCCTGAACCAGGCGATGACATCCCGCACAACCACCCCTGCATTCAATCGCCGTCGTCTGCCCTCAATAGGTGAGACTCCCGTGGATGTCCATCCTCCAGCATACCCTCGATCTCTCTCGTACAAGAGCTCCAGTGCCTATGGCTCTACATCAGAAACAGACGATACCAACGGTCAGGACCAAAGCCAGGATGAGCAGGGTGATGATGGATTCTTGACGCCCGCGAAATACAACATGGATTCCGTCAAGCCAAGCCCACAGACTGCTGTTCAAGGCTCAGATAAATTTGCAAATATCAAGGGACTCCCATCGCCTGGCCCAGGATTGTTCGAAGCTTTGAGAAATCACTCAGACATTAATGGATCTCGGGATAGAAAGCCTGGTGGTCTTCAGCTTGATATTATGCATGGAGAAGAAGTCTACCCAGGTCCTCCCAGTCAGTCCGGCTTACTTCACAGTGCAAAGAGCACATCAACTATGCACAGCTATGCCTCCGCGAAGAGTCCAAGTGTAAGTGTTCGCAGCATTGACCAGTATATCAGTAGTCTGGATGAGGCCAATTACCACTCAAAGCAGCGAAGCCATCGACCAGGTCGGGAGCGAAGAAATACCGATGATGGTGCCAGTCAGCCCTCGCGCATTGGGCGTGATGAATCCAGGGAAACTCGCGGTCGGAATGAGCGTCGATACATCCAATCCGCAAACAGATCGCCCTCCTCTCCCGTTCCTATGTCTCCGGATGAACTTGCTCGCCATCACACTGCCGAAGCTGAGAAGCCACGAAAGAAATCCGGTTCGCGTGTGCGTAGCTCCAGCAGAATGAGAAAGGGAGAATCACGCAACCGTCAACGTTCTGCTAGCCGACAGACTGCCAGCCGTCTTGCTCGAGAGCAGTCAACACGAGGTCGTAGCACTGATCGTCAAACGCCTTCTGCTAGATCTCCATCCTCGCCTCTACCTATGACTCTGCCTACAACTGATTCTTCTCAGCAAGATGGTGTGGATGACCCACTTCGCATTGTTGCTGGCAACCGGGAACGACTCCGCTCACACCACCGAAGTGCTAGTCGTCGTCGGACTGACAGAGGTGGGAGCTCTAAACGAGAGGCTTCTCCGGACTCAAAGCACAAGGTGTCTCACAGTCAGCCTGAGATCTGCTTACCTCACGAGTTTGAGCTCCCTGCTCGACCTGAGAACTTCGAGCAGTTGAGTAGCAAGGCCTTTGGACAAGAGGAGGTCTTGAGCGCGAAGTCATTTGGTCAAAATGATATTCTTAGCAGCCATACTTTTGGAGATGTTGAAGTTGAGGTCCTAGGTAATCATGCGTATGGACAGGAAGATCTACTCAGCAGCAAAGCATTTGGTCATGAGGAAGTTTTAAGCGCCAAGGCGTTTGGACATGAGGACACACTGAGCAACCACACTTTTGGACATCAGGAAACATTGGGTAGTCAGGCCTTTGGACATGGAGACACACTTGGCAGTCAAGCATTTGGACATGAGGTCCAAACCTTGAGCAGCAAGGCCTTTGGTCAACACAATGGCTTTACCAATGGGCACAGCCAAGTTCGGCCTGCCTCAGCTGCGAATGACATGCCTGAACTAGTCTCCCCCACGACACCATTTGTGAGTCTGGCCGAAAGGAAGAGAAGAGAGCTAGCTGCCGCGGAATTGGAAGCACGCCGACTTTCCCTTGCACGCAACCCGTCCGCACCGAATATTCCATTCCCCGGGGAGCTGAGCTCTGCTAGATCCCCATTGGAAAGTCCGCCTCCATTCCATGGAAATTCGTACTTCCCACGAGCTCCATCTAGAAACAACATTCCTCCTCCCAAACGATCGCCCGAGTATAACAGTGGCTCGGACTCGAGCTCGTCAGGATCACGAAATCATCCAATTGGCTTGCCAGCAACCCCGCGTGCTATGCGACACCCTAAGTATGGTGGCGGCCGTGAAGAACGACCACCTTCTGTTCCTGTCGTCTCACTCGATCACTATGGACGTCCCATTGCGAGTGATGCTCGATACCAGAGCGAAGCTGCACAGAGAATTGGGCGGTCAATGTCAGTTCCTATGCCAGAAGGCCCAGCAGCCAGATACAAGAACCCACAGCCAGGGCCTTCTGACGTCCCAATGCACCCTCACTACAAGCCCAATCTTCCTCGAAGCCGGTCAAGCAGTCGCGTCCGTAACAACGGAGGTCATCGTCGCACCGGCTCTGGTGGTTACATCGCCGTCAACTCACCCCAGGTATCCGTCAGCATCGAAGAGGCAATCGACAACTCAATGCTAGGACAATTCTCTGGACCACAGATCGAGCTGATTCCTCCACCTCCTCCACCACCACCCGCTCCACCTAGTGGGGCCATTCTTCTTCCTGAGCTTCAGCATCTTAGTGGACCACCACCACCTCCTCCGTTCCCAATGCCTATGGAGGTTACCTCACCCCGACAATCCACCGCCACGATCGACGTTGCCATTGAAAACGAAGACTATGGTCGCCACATTCCACGTGCCATGACCGCAGCACCAACAATCCATGTCAATGCGAGCGAGCCAACGAAGACTGTTAGTAAACGTACATCATTTGAGCATCATCGTCGCAACCGAAGCGGAAATAATGAGAGCTTCGCTACTAAGCTGCGCAGTTTGACTCGCATTCGAGGTAATAGTCGCAGTGTTGAGCCTTGGGGCACAGCTACTGAATGGGGATCTGATCCTCATGAACTTGATATGCCTTATGAAACATTGCACTCGCGCTCCTACGCACCAGGACAACATGCACAGGGACAAGGCTACGGCTTTTAAGATGGTTTGAATTTTTTGTTGTCTCCTTATGCATTTGCGCTTTTTTTGATTGATAATCGTTGACAAGTAATTGTCTTCGACCATGTTGTTTATGCTGTTTTTTGCTCTTTTTTCATCATGATCTTATGCCAATATTTCCATGTTCAGCGAATTGCGATGTATTTGTTTTCATTTATCTCTCTATCACGATCAACATTTCTCCTTTGATATACCCTCACTTGCTATATTATCCATTTCTCCATTTCGGTCCCGATTTTCACTTCGTCTCCTTGAACATCCATGTTCCAAGGATCCTGTTTATCTCATTCTTTGCTCTCGTTTACAAGCCCCTAGCATATATTTCATTTCAAGATTCCCTATCAAAATTGCAACTCCTCTCTTTTCTATATTTCATTTCTTCCATAATTTCGCCATTTTTATTAGATGGAATATCGATGCTAGGTATAGCTAGGCGCCTGCAAAGGCTAATAATAGATTGGACTTGTGAACAAGGAAACCATGAATTGAGAAATTGATATTCATATGCAGAGAAGATCGATGGTGTTGTATTGTACATAGTAGATAAAGACTGAAAAAAAAATCAAGGGTGAGACTGTATCAAGCTTATGAGCCCCAACCGCGACGGGACTCGCCATCAGCTCCCTTCCGCTCATTATCCATCATCCGATCAAACTCCGATTGCGCCATATCCTTCTCCCGTCTTCTATCGTAATCATATTTATCCTGGGCACCAGTAGGAGCAGAGTCTGTAGACTCAGATTGACCCTGCTCCCATCCCATAGGAGACTGGCGCACAGGATTTTGGGCTCCATTTTGAGCTCTGATGCGATCCCAAGCACTGATAGGTGTGCCATCGAGCTTTGTGTTCCGGTGCTCGGGGGCAGTCGGGCTCGCGTCATCGTCCTGGTTACTACCAGTAAGGAAGAAATCCGAGCCGGATTCCGACTGAGAAGAGGGTTGAGGGGCACGGGAAGATCCAGATCCAGAGGACTGGTAGGCGGATTGGGAGGAATCATCAGTCGACTGGCTTTGGGTATCATTTGACGAGTCGTAAGTGTATTGCTGCTGTTGGGTAGGAGTATCGTCGTAGCTGCCCATCGCATCACCATTGGCATTATCCATAGACTTCAGCAGCGCCATAGTGGCATGTTTTAGTTCCTGGATTCTTGTCGTTGCGAAAGCAAGTTTCCGTTTGCGAATATCTTCATCCTTCTGGGCCTTGGAATCTTCTCTCCACTGCTGCAGTCGTGGGTCTCCAAGAATAGAACTCATATCGACCCATGAACTTGCGAATGACGAAATAATTCCACCAAGCGAGCCGATGAAAAGCATTTTGAATGCCGCTCTACTTGCGATACTCCAGAATACTGCCTTCTCGTGTTGGAGCAGAATACTCATGTTGCGAAGCCGTTGCGTGGCTGTAAGATTGGGGTTCTTTTTCACTGCGCTTCGGTACATCCACAGAACACCTACAGATGTGAAGAGTGGAATTCCCGTTCGTCCGTAGTATGCCGACCGCGAGCAAGATTCAGTGAATGCGTCGACTTCCACTTGGGTTGCTCGACGGCCGGTGAGAACCCAGGTGCCATGCATTCGGTCGGCAACCTTTGCCACGATTGTTCCCCTCCACATTCTCTTTCCATAAAACCCAGTATAAAGTGTGAAGGGATCCGGGCGGGTCATGAGTTCAGGCTTGATCCTGATGCCGGCCAAATCTGGCAGGCGGGCGTCGCTGGATACTGGAGGTCTGGAGGGGTTGTTTGTTGAGGTACTTTGTCCTGCATATGAGCCCCCTTGGGGCGAGGTATCATTGAGAACCATTGTGCTTCTCGGTGGAGGTCAAGTGTGGAATGGTCGCACTTCTTGTCCAAGTTGGAGAAGCAGAGCTCAAGATCGAATGACGTTGTGTTGATGACTCAGCGGGGGTGGAGCCCTCCGGGGTGTAGGAGTAAACTTTCAAGGTTGGAAGCATCGCGGTGTTCAACAAAATACCACATGCTACTGCACTGGTCCTTCCTGAGAATTTGGCTGAAAATGAAAGATGAATTCAGCATGCTGTCAGAGCTGTCAAAATGAAGAAACACCCAACATCTGTGGAACAGCACCCCCAACTTAATTTCCCGCCTGTAAGAAGCAGTTTCTTCTTTTGCTGCGAGCCTGCGACCAATCAACCGCAAGTTGTTTAACTGAGAGCTCGAATGACGGAAATAACGGATAATTTCCCTCCAATGTACTGCTAAATCTTTTATAGACCACTGGCACATCTGACTGTCCTATCCAGGCTGACGTCGTGTACGGAATACTATGGGACCATTGACCTGTCAAAACCTCACACTAATTCATTAAACCAAACCTAGTGACTCAAAGCTACAGCAGGATCCCTAATACCCAAGGGATAAATATCTGACAGTCCATTCATACTTGCCAAGTTTTGATTAAAAAGCCGACTGATTGTTATCACTACCACTTCTCAATATAAGGTCTCAAGTCCAACTCGAAGGCAAAAGTAGTTCGTGGCTGGGTATGCAAATACCAGTACGACTCGGCAATCTAAGTACATGTTAGCTTATTCAAATGATGAAAATCAATTGAGCTTACAGCATCAGGACTCAGCTTCGCATCTTCATGCTCAAGGACCCATGCCTTCGTGCGAGGGATATCGATAATACCGTCAATGATAGCATGAGAGACATGAATGCCCTGTGGACCAAATTCCCGAGCAAGTGACTGAGATAGTGCTCTGACAGCAAACTTTCCAGCTGCAAAAGATGCGAACTGAGGAGAGCCTTTGACGCTTGCGGTAGCTCCAGTGAAAATCAAGGTTGGAGGGTATTGGGGAGATGAATCTTTGGCTTTGAGAAGAAGAGGCAGAGCCCTCTTGGCGAAATTGAATCCTCCCTTTCTGTAAAAAAACAAAAAAAACAATAAGCATCTCATCTGATAATAGATAATCGGTCTGATAGTTTTTGATTGATCGGATTAAACATACGCCTGGATATCAAGGCTTGCTGAGAAGTCCTCCTCTGTCAATTCCAGAAACGGCTTCCTCACAAAGCCACCACCAGCATTAAAGACAGCGGCTGCTACTGGAGAGCCGGAAAACTGCTTTTCAATCTGATCGAAAGCGGCATTGACACTACTGCTGTCGCTAACATCCGCGCTGATGCCAACGGCGTGGCCGCCACTTGAGGTAATCTCCTGAACGACGCTGCTATAAGTGTCGGTATTGCGAGCCAATACAACGACAGAGTATGCTTGAGCGAAACGCTTAGCAATAGATGCTCCCTAGGTGCTGCCTTAGTATTATGTATGATTCAGAATGATATCGGAGGCCTACTGTGCCTGGTCCGACGCCAGCGATGACTGCAAGTGCCTTGGTAGCCATATTGAAGTTGAATACTGTTGAGATAATGATAAGAGTAGCTAGCACTTGGTTGATTTTCAGAGAAAAGAAGTTCAAATGTTCTTCCAAGATTCACGTTCGTCTGAACTCTGAGAACGCGGATATCTCGGTGTTCGGTTTATGGATAGCCCCGCGACGCTTATAAATGCGGCGGGAATTGATCATCAACTACATGAATGATATCATTTCGGGGGAATGAGACCGCTGCTTGGAATTCTCACAATATTCCGATTACACTATCTTCCGAGGTCTCATAAATTGCATCTCGGTCATCGAATGATACAAATCATTCTCCACCGAAGCAATGAAGCACATTGATTGGATGATGGATAGACCCGCTTGGGTTGTGGGCGTTAAGGGGGAATAGAGCACTTAACGCCTCGACCCTCCACTACACCCCGATCAACGAGGGAAACTGAAAAGAAAAAAAAGACAGCTTGAACCACATTTATCACGACCATTGGCAATTTTCATCAAATGGGATTTTTAAACATGTTGAGGCGTGCTGGACATTGTCATAAACTCAAGTTACCCTTCAAAACAAATCAAGGTCGATTTCAGATCATACCTAGCACTGCCAGTGTACGTATCTAAAAATCATTCTCCGCCTGCAGCAGCGGATACATTGCACCGTTTATGCTGTGGATCAGGTTCAGTAAAAGAAATCGATTTTCACCACTGAGAATATCTTCACTTACCGACATAAACAGAGAGACAACTAAGCTCACACTCGCGGCCACAGATATACAAATGAAACTAGGATTAGAAAGTCAGTGTTTGTGCACGAGACACTTAGAGATGAATTCAAGTAACTAACCACTTGTGCCATGCGGAGACAATTATGGCAAGCGAATCGTCTCGTAGATTCTGAGATAGAGAATTGAGGAGTGTGCTACTCGTTCCAGAGACAATTTGGCTGACTTGAGACCGCGAGTAGTCTGGGAGTAAAGCATAGAGACCGTTTGATGCGATATTTTCAAATACAGCTCCGGCAATAGATACACCAAGTGCCATGCCACCTACTTGAGCTGTATCATCAATACATTAGCAGGGATATTCGGGATTGGCACAAGAGCGACAAACCTAGTAACATGAGAGTCAACCCGCTAGCCGCATCAGATGGGATTACAACAGCCTGGATGACTGCGAATGAGGCTTGAGTACTGGCACCACCTCCGACTCCGAGCAAGACTTCCAGTCCATAAATAAATCCCGCTGAGCTGTGGACATGGATAATAGAGGCTGGTGAAACAAATATTAGCAAAAATCGGTGGATTCAATCGACACAGCTCTTACATACCAAGGCAGCTGGTACCAGGGCAATCAGACTACCACCGATGTACCACGGCTTATAGTAGCCAAAATGAGACATCATAGCTCCACTAAATGGCATGGTTGTGATGAGAAGAAAAATGAACGGGAGTAGTTGACCGGCAGACTTGAGCGCACTGTCGCCTTGGGTAAACTGGAAGTAGATGGGGATATAATAGACACTGGTGTAGACCACAGCACCAATTGTCGCACATGATACGAAAAGTAGGACTGGTTCCTTCTGAGTGAATAAGTGGATTGGTAGAATGCGGTTCTCAAAGGAGGTGACAATGTTGAAAGCCTGCTGCAGGGCAAAGACAATCCGTAAAACTCCAGAAACAACGAACAAGGCGATGATTTTCCCGCTATCCCACGGATGGAGAGTTCCGCCAAAGTTGATGCCCATTACCAAAGTGAGTATTGATCCAATGCCGAGCACAGATCACACCCAGTCGAATTTCGCGAGTTTTCACAATCGCGAAGTTCCCGGTGCCGGTTTGTTGGATGGAATGATGAACAAATAAGTTGGCAGCAAGATGGCGCCAAACAATAAGTTAATATAAAATGCCCAGCGCCAATTGTACAGCTCAAAGCCACCGCCAACGACAGGACCTGAGACTGTTCCAAGTCCCCAGACCAGGCCACTATGGTTTATATTGTCAGCACTCGCATCTGCTCATCAGCTTGGTAAAAGTGGACTTGCCTGAGACTCAGATACTTTGGTCGCTCTTTAGTGGTTGTATTCATCGATATCAATGCCATCAGACCAAAGTACATGCCATTTTCACCTTCACCGGCCATGACACACCCGACAATCTCAGCATTGACATTGGGTGCACCACCACAAATCGCAGAGCCTGCCATGAACATGATGGTGCAGACAATGAATACCCACTTGGCATCGAAAAGCACGTATGGTTTTCCAAATGGCAAAATCATTGCCATGCCTCCGATCACAAATCTGTTCAGAGCGTCAGCTTCCGAGTCCGAGTCATCTTGGTTTGATCTCCACAAGTGTATTCTGTTATCATACCCTACCGAGAGCCATGGCAGGTCTTCAACGGCGTTGAATTGATTGACGATTTTCTATTCACAAGGTTAACTGATAAGAACATGTCTAGTGATGAGTCTATTTTAATGAGGACATGGACAAACATACCGGAGAAATATTGGCAACGATCGTATTATCGAGAGCATAAACGAAGATAGCCGTGAGTGCGCTGATCAAGAACACAAATCACTGGCACGGTTAGCACGTTTACTTGCTCAAATCGAATTCACGATAGCCAAACTCACTCTGAAGCCAGTGATATGCCTCTGTTTCTCAGGGGCCGGTGAGACAGGTGAAGTGTCGCTTAAACTAAGCTTTTCGACATCGCGAAGTGAATTGGGGCCTGATGAATCAGAATCTGTAGCCATTCTGGTTGGTTTCAATGATATTATCAACCCAAATGGAAAAAGAATTTTGACGAAAGATGCTGAGGCATGGCACCACTACATAACCATTCCAAATTGAATGCATAAAACTCCCTAATTTAGACAATTTCAATGTTCAGACTGAAAGGGCGCATTTGTCAGTTCTGCAGCTCCGAATAGGGAAGCGAATTTCACCCTGTTGGTTAAAGAACTGCATCATGAATTCAATCTTTGTACTATGCACATGTTGCACGCTTTGTGAGCCAGATATCCAAGTCATGACAAGTGAGCGAATGTACGCCTGTCCGCCTCATGATTCGCTGAAGATGTCCCAGTCTCTACTCATCGGGTATGGAGCTCGGAGCTTAGCTGGAATTAGTGCAAATCAATTGTAGATCTCAGGAGGATTACATACTTCCCCCTTGATAGTGGACAAATCATGGTGAGATTCCAAATATTTGAGCCCTGGGTGTTTGCCATGTAGGTCTTGAGCTAACGGCATTGGGGCCTGCCGAGCGCCACATGTGCATAAGAAAGAAATATCACTTTCTGCATGTCCGAAACTTTTTGAACTGAGGTCCAGAAATCGGACATGGCAATCCTTGCATCAAATATTTACGAGCTCACCAATCGAAAGAGCCTCCAAGAATCATTGTCCTAGCACGGAATTTACTAATTATGTCCGAATTATTTCCGGCCATTCGCCCCATGTTTCATACCTGCCTCTCGGACTTTTGTCATTCCATCAATAATGATAAAGTACCCAGGGACTTCCCGACTCATTGTTGACAGCAATTGATTAATCACTCAACAGTCCCTCTCAAGTCCGCTGGGCAACCTTGCTGGCAGGCATCACTCCAGATCAGTATGCACCTTTGCTGGTTTTGAGATAATGAATGATCCCGAGGTCATATGGATCAGTATTAGCGTACTTGGTCTATACATTGTATACAGCTTCAGAATCATGTCAAACTTCTTTTTCGAAATTTATCGAGAGTCTGGCAAATTAATTTGATGAGTCCGAGCACCCATACACAGTTATGCTGGTAGTTCAACTCTGCGTACTACGCCGCAGTACCTTGACAGTTCAAAGTCAAACAAGTTGGGTGACCAACTTGTTTTTTTTGTGTACTATTATTTTAGACATTTGGTGAAGAGCGAAGAAAGGAATTATCATATTTTGTGCCCAAAAATAAAAATATAGATTTATACAAATGAAGTGGGGCGATAATTGACACCTGAGGCCAAAATCTCTTATCGATAAGCACTCAATTTTCCAAGCTTCAAAAGTCGCATTTTCCCCGACTTCTCCAAATCACCATCAAAATGGATAATAACGACCCTTTACTCAGTGAGCTGTGCTCAATATGGTACGTAATACCTCAATAATCAATGTTTCAAAATGATCGAACCTAAAAATTCTCTCAACAGCCACGTCAACCCCCCAAAATACCGCTGTCCTCGCTGCTCCACCCGCACCTGCTCTCTCCCCTGTACAAGACGCCACAAGCTCTGGTCCCAATGTTCCGGTATCCGGGATCCAGCCGCCTATCTAAAGCGCAGTGAACTAATGAACGAGTCCTCACTCGACCGCGACTTCAATTTCATCACGGGTATTGAGCGCTCGCTGGAACGCGCGGATAGAGATGCGGAGAATCGGGGGATCGATCTTGCGCGTGGACAAGTTCAGGCTCAGGATGGAGATGGAGGTGATTCACAAGATTTTGGTGCTGCTGCTGGTCGCAAGAGAAAGCATCCGCAGCAGGGTCTTGTTAAGGGTGAAGCGGGATTTTTGCGCGGTGCGGAGACAGGTGCTGTGACTGTAATCCGGGCGCCGAGAGGAATGTCGAGGAATAAGGAGAATAATTCACGGTGGCATCCTAAGTATGTTTTGGACTGGGGTATTTTGGGGCTTTTGCTAACAAACATGCTAGGCATAAGTGTCTTAGTTGGTCTGTGGAATGGGTTTTGACGAGTGGAGAGAAGATTATTCGGAATTGTCTTGAGAATTGCCCTATTGCCGATGCCTATGATCGTGCTTTTCCGCTAGCGAAACAGGAGAAACCGAATTCTGAGCCTCTGAAAGACGATGAGCAGAATCAAAGCGAGACTGCTATAGTTCAAGACTCGACTGATGCGGCTACGTCTGACGCTGCAGTGGCCTCGAATCCGTCCGAGCCTACAGCGCAACCCGAACAACCTTCCAGTAGAAATGATGCCGAGATCTCGACGGAGACAGAGAAACTCACAGAAGAAGACAAACCCCAAGATCTAACGATTGGTCCGCATCGCGAACTATACTTCTACCTCCACCGACCACGAACGAGAACTAATAAGCCTGTCTTGGTACCACTCGCACCACTAGCAACACTCGCAGCTGTACTTCGTGAGCGAACAGTTCTCGAGTTCCCTACAATACACGTCTTGGCAGATTCACCAGAGAAACTCCTGGAGCAGAAAGATACGTCGTCATTTATTCTGGAGGAGGAATATGTACGCACTCTTGACCCTGAAGAGGCCGCGGGAAAAAATAGTGAGACTGATTCAGAGGATATTGATAACGGTGCTTTGGGTCTAGAAGGGTCTTCAATTGATTTGGAGAACGTGGATGAACAGAAGGTGCTGGAAGTTTTGAAGCAAGATCTGTTTGAGCCAGAATCATGAACAAGACGTCTTAGTGTATGAGATCTTCGAGGCGCTCATATGTGCGTGCGTGTATATTATTACACGGTGAAATTCCAGTTGTATATTTCATCAAAATTTCCAAGGTTGAATTCTCAAGTGCTCAAGGCACTTCTACTGGTACCTAGTAAGCGGTAATAGCATGTAGCAATATGTATGGACATTGGACCTTGCTTTCAAGTAGACCCCCTTCACTAATAGGCTAATAGCCAACTTGTAGCTAACATTGGAAAGTGAGAGATGACTGAAGTGAGAGGAAAATATATAGTTTTTTTTTCTGCCAGCCAATTACCTAGGTAGGGGTTTTGGTTGTATGGCCGTTATAGACCCCTGTAGAGGGACCTCTGAAACAAAGGTCCGGCAGGGTCTAGCATTTGGTCCATCTATGGAATGGAATTCGCCAGTTGCCGCAATGTTCAAAAATGGGCAAAAGTGGGCGTACAAGTGCACGGACCACCCCCATAGTTAAGAGCGATTTTTCAAAAATTTCTGTACACTTGAACATAGTTTTGAATAAAGCTCGCCCAGGTGATGCCGGAGAGTATGTAAGTTAGAAGTAAATCAGACAGACCGAGTCTGGGGAGGTGATCGGTCTTATATGTAGTTATGTATGTACTAGTAGATGGGATTCACCCAAGACAGACTTACAGTTGCTAGAGTCGTGGGGCTCGCCGAGCGCCGCGCCTATGCGGGGCGGGGGATCTCCGGGGGCTAGATCGGCGCTAACATTTGAAGGGCCTAATGGACGCCCGTTAGTTGATGCCCGGCCCTGATCTGGGTCCCAGTTGATTAGTGTGGGTTCAAATGTTGCGATCCAGACCAAGTAAGTCATTCAGATGATAGGTAGAATTCCACATGTGAGATAGTCTTTCAGTCGGTGCGGTACGAAGCGAATAACTTGAAGCCGGGAGAAATACGGGAGACGTTAGGTTAGACAGTTTCAAAAGACTCGATCGATGGAACAGAAGACCTGTGCCATCAACGAGTTAATCAGATTGATCACCAAGACCATAAACTCGATCCCGCAAGGCTAAAATAAAAATGCAGGAAGGGTATTGAACTAAATCACATAAAATCAAAACTCCCAATATGCAATGTAAATGCAAGATCCAAATCCATAAATGCAAAAATCGCAAAAGAAAATCGCTAGAAACGCAGCACATAAAACATCCAATATATCCAGTGTATCAAAATCAATAACTCCAGTCGATGCAGCACGTAAAATATAATCCGATATTTCAATCCAATTGATCGAAACGGAGAAGGAACTTTGGAAGAATACACCAACAGCCACACAGGCTAATTGTTGTGGTTAGAAGAGATAGGAGGGACCTCTGAAACAGAGGTCCGACGGGCTCTCTCCGAATATGGTGAAGCGGTAAGAGGTTCGGTAGCATTTAGTCCATCTTGCTGGACGGGATTTGTCGCCTGGCGGAAAGGATTGCCACCCTTTGATTCAGTTGGTGACGCGTTCTGCTGTTCAGATCGACTGGGTTTCAACTTGAGTCGTCCTTGCTCCAAAGCACGTAGGACGGCACCAAGATCATGGGGATCAATGGACCGCAGTTTGTCTTTAGCATCGTCCGAAACATCGGAGAATGCCTTCCAACCAATCTGATCGAACTCCTCTGAAGTCGATGACTTCGTGTCGATAGATGGGCCATGGATAAGACGTTGTAGGAACGTGTCAGAGACACTAGGCCGGCGAGGAATCTTGACTGGCTTTGATTTGCTACTTGTGGTAGAGGACGCAACCTCTTCTTGCTGGCGCTTGGGAGGACGTGGTGCCATCACGGAATGAGGTCCTTCGCCCACTTCATTGCGGATCTTGTAGTACACAAGACCTAAAGTTGCCGCTAGAGCTTGATGAGCTGCTTCGGGAAACAGATGCACTGCCTCTTTACGAGTCAAAGCACAGTTGCTATCACTAGAGTCGCTAGAATCACTATCATATGAATTGAATTCCGAAGGCTGTAAGCGACTCCAGCTCTGATAGCCTTCAAGTTGGTAGAACTCTGCGAGTTCAGCAAGGCGATGAACTAAAAGAGATAGAATGTTAGATTGTAAAAGCTTATCTGTAATAATACCTTGCTCACCTCGACTTCGTTTCTTTAAACACCAGAATCTCCACACCGTACGCGGGAACCATTCGGGCCATTCGAGATTACCGTCATCCAGAACCACCGGGATGGAGTTGATAGGGGCGTGAAGTGTGTGGGCGAGAGAATTGAACCGAACACGGTCTGCATGTTTCATTCGCGATTCGATAATGTTCAGACGTCCATTTATACGCGTTTCCATCAATCTCATATCCGTGCGAATGTCGTTGGTAATGGTCTTGAGCTTGCTCATCTCGATACGCCAGTTTGATGAATCACTTCTCACCAACTCGTCCAGTTGATTCAACCTCTTCTCCACCCGATTAAACTCGCTGTTCAGGAAATCCCTCTCGTTCTTGTATAGAATAGCATTGGAGTCCCCATTCGATCGAATCTGTTCAACGGTGGAGCGAAGGGCGACGACATTGAGATCGATACGATTGCACGTGGCGCTGGTGTTGGCAAACTCGCGTCGGACATGGCTATCTTCCCGGTTTCGGCGTTCGACGTAAGAATCTTCGGAGAGGAAAGTAGATCGGAGCTCGAAAAGTTGAGAGTCCAGTTGGTTAATTCGATATTGGAGACGTGTGAGAGACGGTTCGGCACCCGGCGGTGTGGTCTCTCGCACGGAGAGCCGAGGACTGGACATTGAGAGAGAAGCACTGGAGTGACTCCTTTCTAAAGTGGTCATGGTAGACATGGTGGGTGGACTGTATGATAAATTCTTTATACGCTTTGTTTGCATATATCGCTTTTAGATGAGGTTGTCCATAGTGATTTCTCAGGTAATTGTGGAAGGGAAAAGCACGAAAGGGACAAAGGGGGCAAATTTCCATTTTGGTATGACAAAGTCTGACCACCATCCGGTCACACCGAATCATACATACTTTACCATTCTCTTTCCCCTAATGACTCTTATCTTTTTTTTCTCTGATTTATCTCTGATTTGTCTTTTAACTTTTCTCTCATTTCTCATATGTTTTATTCTAGAACATCTTTAATTATCTTTGACTCATAGTATAGTCACTAGATGGATATTCTAGAGATATCCCCCTTGACAATATATTACAATACATTACAATACACAGAAATCAGCGGTCAGACCTCTTGCCAAGGATAAGCAAAGTTCGGTGTTTCTGCCGCTAAAAATGCGCTAAAAATGATGGTGCAGCACCGCATGCAGTGTCCCCCAACTGCTGCATTAGTGCGACAGGATTCGCCCCACAAGCCCATGATGACTTGGTCTGATTGGTAGACCTCATGATTCCTATGAGCCACTTCCAGGCGGGATTCCAATCACTGTCCAGAGTTAAATCTGCCCTCGCGCGCGCCCCCTCCTGTGTTGGACTGGTGACGACAGTCTTGATTATTGACCCGGATCGATACACGAGGCGAGACACCTCGCATTACCAAAAATGTCAATATTCCTCCGGAGTACGAGATACAGCCTATCACTATTATCATCCTAATATACAGGTCTATATTTGTTGCTTTGAGTGATTTCTTCGGAAACAAATTACAAACGGGCATTACGCGTGCTTTGTTAACTGAAAATAGAATCTACGTGCTTCAAACACCGGTGGCTGAAAGGAACCCCCAACATTCAAATCCACCTGGACAGGCACTCATATACTTACAGCTTACAGTATGTATTACATACCAAAGTTGTCAGTGCTTGGCCCCAGCGCACCAGGGTTTGCCTGGGCACGTACATATTTTCTTTTCTAGTCAGCCACACATAATAAGGCATCAGGCACTAAAACAAGCACAGTGAAGCGGGGTCGATTTGACAATATTTGCTTCGTGTTAATCGAAGTATCGATGTCTTTCAAAAATCTTGCATCAGTATGGAGCCCAATATGGTATGGAAAGAGTACCAATTTGGACTCAACGTCACCTTGATTCTCTTTTTGAAGAGTCCGAAAGGGAGTCTCACAAACATACTGTGGTCGGCTGACATGGATAAGTTCTGTGAGAGTTGAAGCCGAGCCTTCCAGGTTCCTATGTTACTAATCCGACGCGAACACGACACTTCGTATCTTGAAAAGTATCCATGCGGGCCTGATCGCTAGCGGGCCCTTTGCTCCAGGCCGCCCACATGTGCACATGCCTGTGGGCAGGCACAAATTGAGAACCACTACATAACTCCGAGGTCAGTCTTACATCTACGGAGTAAACCTTGGATATCTGGCCTACTTCGATCGATGACATATTCTTCAAATGGTCGAAACGGTTATAAATCATGACAGATGAGCTGCGAAGCTTGAGTGTCAATACCTCCAGGGCTCAAGTGCTTGAAATGCTTGCCATTCTGATAACAAAACACATGGATCGAATTTGCCCCAACTGCAAGGCATGTATAGTACCTAGGTATCTGTAAGCGACGTATCTCTGCATGTCATCCATCTCCGATTCAAGTTTTTCCCACCGGGCGCAGTATCAGTGAATTTTCTTGATTCTCAAGTCGAACCCTGAACTGAACTGTTCTGAGTAGACCGTGATCATTTATCCGATAGAATAGATTACACATTAATGAGTATTTCAAGTCATGACTGCCTTTCCCCAGCTCATGAATTATCGCGGCCATCTCGGCTTGCACCAATGCAGTAAAAGGCCGCAACGTGGAAGAACCTTGGGAGCAGGGTAATCATATCGGCGCATTCCTCTGTAAATGTAGGCAGCAAGGCTTAAGTCCTCGAGACTTGCACACGCATGATCTCTAGTATTAGTATCTTCTCTAATCTTTCAACTGTTTTATGGGAAAATTTTTAATTTGTCTCAGTTGGTTCTGACAGTTGACCAACACAATATTACTTGGGCTAAATCGGAGCCTTATGCAAGAGGACTCTTTTGATAGTCATCATGAAGAGAATTAAGCTCCTTCTTGATAATTCTTTGTAAAAAATGTTTCTGTTTATCAAATTTAGTCGATTCAGAAGAAACCAAGGGAGGCAGCAGGATTATTGGCTGTTGTTGAATGTATAGTATAGACAGGCAACTAAGAAGAAAAAAGAAAATATGAGGAATCGCCATATTCAGTGCTAGCTTTGAAAATTCTGCCTTGAGGTCTAACATTTGAACAAAGGGTATGTTCATGTTACTATGATGGACCTGTTAATTGCCCAGGTGAAGTGATTGATGATGTCTCGAGAAACTCGCAAGTCAAGGTCGCGACTTCCTTACTTCTACCCAGAACACACTCAACTACGACGAGAAAATGACCACATCTTCAGTCCACCGATCGCTCTCAATGTTCTCAGATCCAATATTAGCCCGTCATTATGAAGCGAGATGTCCCGGTTCTAGGCATCTTGGTTCTCGCCATAGTCTGCTTCACTTCACTTGCATCCTCAGAGTCCACCGACCCGGGAATCTCAGCATCACTTCCAGTGGACCGGAAAAATCCTCGAGAATGTGATTGTTTTACCGTGTCCGGCGCGGATCCAGGATATTTCCAACACTACAAGCTCTGGGACTTTCGCTATGTCCCTCTGAAGAAGCCGGATCCGAACACACCAGATTCAGACGAGGACTGGGACGAATGGGACGTGGCCGAAGAATCAGACGAAGACGAGTATGAGCACGAAGACGAGGACGAGGACGAAGTGGAGGATGAAGATGAAGATGAGGAAGAACTTCAATCACAGCTGGAATACCCATCAGAGTCACTCTACTTCTTCAAAACTACCTTTGACAAAGACTGGATCAGTCAGAAATGGCATCGTCCTCGAACTCCCATCGCACCAGTGACGATGGTTAATTCCAAACGAAACGTCTTCTTCACTCGCGCCCCAGACAAAACTGATCCAAGAGCAACGTATCTCGTCTTGCGAACTACGCGCCATACAAACTTCACTTCCACCGCTGAGATCGAGACTCGGGTGCGCAATATCTTTCGCTGTTCTCTACGAGTCCACATGCGGATCTTGCCAGCCAGCACCGTCGTTTCACAGCCTCCGCATTCAATGTATCTACCACAAGATCCGACCCAGCATGCTATTGCGGCATTGAACGATGGACCGGGGTTCAGAAATCTCACTGAACTGGGAGATACTAGTCGACCACCATCAGGCGCTTGTGTTGGTATCTTCACTTACCAAGCTAAGAACTGCGAATCCGATATCGAGATCTTAACGAGTGATCCCTCTCACCGAGTTAGATACGCTAATCAACCGGATTACGATCCTCAAACCGATCAAATGATCCCGGGAGCAGCCACAATTGCAGATTTACCAGTTCCCTGGACAGGTTGGTCAACCCATCGCTTGGACTGGCACTCCGATCGCTCGCGCTGGTACGTGAACAATATGCTACAGGAAGAGAAGAGCTACCGTGTTCCGAATCTTCAAAGCAGATTGGTGATTAACCTATGGAGTGATGGAGGCGCTTGGACGGGCGATATGAAAATCGGCGATAGTATCTACCTCGGTATTGATTATATCGAACTGGCATATAACCGGTCCTCCGATGGGAATAGGTGGGGGGAGATTCCACCGGATCAGAACCATGGTGGACATCAAATACCAGTTCCTGTTCCACATCCCAATACTTCGCTGGCTGATGCGGATGTGGAGAGTGGGTTCGAGGGCCAGGACTCGTTCGGGTCGGAGACGGATATTGTCACTGGGATCGTGAAGAAGAAAAAGAAATGCAAAAAGGGTAAAAAGGGGCGGAAGTGTCGAAAGAAGCAGAGAGAGAAGGAGAAAGAGAGGGACAAAGACAAGCAGAAGCATGGTAAGGGAGGGCATAATGACAAGGGTCCCAAATGCCATCGCATTTGTAACATTGATGAACTTCACTTTGGTCAGGTGGATTGATGTGTATTCTTAGATTTCTTTTCTCCTAGGTCGTCTTGTGTCTTTCAGTTGGTGAAATTGTATTATTAGAATGAAATGAATCGAAATCTTCGCTTTGGGCTGATATTCAGACTCGGATTCTTTTCATCAAGAAACAAAGGCGCGTGTAATATGGATTTCAGAGGTTTAATAGTAATCGCTGTTATTATTGGAATCTTTTAAAGTATTGGAAACAGAGGATGATCTCAAGGGCAATGCTGCCATGGAATCAATAGAAAGGCAATTTGTCCTTTTTATCTGAAGAACGGGGTATCATTTGTATTTGTTCGAACATGAAACCAAAACGAGTGAAAAAGATGAGATTGAACACAAAAAAAAACCCATGAATATGAACCATGCCTTTTCTTCTGTTGCTCTTTCGCCATGCACGCCCGGAATTTTTGGACTAGACACCATGAACACCGAGATATTGTATGAACCTTGTAATCGTAATCAAAACGGAGAGGTGTGGGGTTTGTAGAGAGATGTTTGAGTGTGAGAGAAGTAAAAATCTCTTGTATGTGTGGGGGTGTAATGAGTTGTACAGAACAGGATAGAATGTGCAGTGTTTCGCGATGGGAGAGGAAGGATGAAGGGGAGCGTGGAGGTAGAGGAGCTTTAGACATATGGTCAAAGCAAAACAGTTCCAGTTTTATCAACTGGAGAGAACTCGCCATGAAGACCTCCATTCATGATCTCGGCGACAATCTTTCGACGGAGCAATATCGTATCCTTTGCTCCAAATGCAGTGGGCTCAATATTCAGCGCAATGGCTTTCGCATTTGTCAACAAGAACACGCCACAGTCGCTGCCGTTGTCTTGATATGATGAAACTGAGGGGAGAAGGGTCCATTCATCGGCCACGAACTTGTTGCCAAGCTCTCCATGTAGCCATTTTCTGATTGTGTCCACTTGACGAGCCCCGCGTCCACCTAATGAATCAAAGTATTCAATGGTTCGGTCCATGGGTCGAACAACCATCAAAGTCCAATGACTGGACTCGTGCACTGGAACAAAGACTGTGTCCACCTCCAATAGCACTTCGCCGCCAATTTTAGCTCGTTTAGCCCATCGGCGCACACTATCATATCCCTTGTCTCGTAGACTGGAATAGAAGAAGCTGTTGAAAGCGTGATATCGAGGTCGCTGGTCTGGGGTGTTTCCTGTTGAATTTCGAAGATATTGGATTATAACCGCAAGATATGAGTTGATAATCTCATCATTTAACCAAGCAAGTGGTTTGATGCATGTTGCAATATCCTTTTGGTACAATTCATCACCGGAGAGGGATTGAGCCACCGCACCATGTGAATGCATGGCCTTTGTGACTCTATCTAACCAGGAAACCGATAACTGACGTACGCATTTTCCTTGAGGTCTGATCCTTATGGCACGGCCTTGTTCGGCATCCCATGCCTGCTTCTCTTGTTCTCGCTGGTCCCATTCTTTTTGATAGATGGATGCAATGCGATTGTTTGGGATTGGCGTCCTTTGGGGAGATACTAATTGCACAGCTGATACGGGTGCACCGAATGGAAGCATTTCGAACATCATGGAGCGCGCGGCCCATGGGTCGTCGATTTGCATAGCATCCGGGTGCGTTTCATCTGTGCGTTTCGGGGTTTCGATCGGACGCGGTTTCTTTTGAACAGGCGTAGATGGTATTGATAGTCGTTGAGATCGTTGAGGTCGTAGGTATGAGCCGAGTTCTGTGCGAAGCTCTGGCATGAAGGGAATGTCGACATCCATACGATCCAGCTCCGCCGTTTTCTCGGCTTCTCGGCTTGGCCGCGTTGGGGGTTCGTAGTGCTTCACATGTTCGGTAGGCGCAAGTCGTGGAGTTCGGGGCGGTGACGAAGGAAACGCGCCCGGTATTTGAAATAAGGCAGCATCTATAAGATGGGATTGTCTGAGCAAACAATGTGCTATCTTGCCGGAAAGCAGTGGTGCCTACCTTGCAAGTCAGGTTGTTCTGTTGCCTGCCAACCCTTGCTGACTTCCGAAGAGCTCTCGGTGGCAGAAGTGAGTTTTTCCTGTTTGGAACGGGCCCCTGGGAAGAGACGCCGCAGAAATAGTGGTAATCCCATCGCTGTCGGTTGCGGGCTATTGCTCTCTAGATGACGTTGAAGCGATGGCTGGGGCTAGTTGAGACTAAGTTGCTGATTTGAGAAGAACCCGATGGGTGTATGAAGACAGACGCGATTTGAGGTGAAGGAGAGCGCTGACAATGACAGAATAAATTCACATTCTCAATGAGCGATCAAGATCGATCGGTCTTGAAAGAGTTGCGACTGGAAACAATGCGCGCGCCGTTGCTCCCAGCTTTCATCATGGGGACGGCTGACTAAAATACGCGCTAACCGCATTGGACGATCTGCAGGACGCGGGCGCCCGAACTATGAAGAGCTATAACGATATGAACTATATGGAAAACTCATCCGGATGAACAAACAATCACATTTACTAGTAAAGATGCAGTCATGGCAATTGATTCTATAATGGGCATCATCTGCCACAGAATTGAGGGTGCCTGTACTTGATCACGTAAGAAATCACAAAGAGACATAAAGATACAATCGCAGATATGTACATGCGGAACTAGAACTATGTCTCTGAGACAGTTAGTTTCCAGCCCAGCCCGCTGGACTGGAACAAGCTCAAGCAGCAGCCAAAGTCCGTACGGGGGCGCAAAAGGTCCGACTTCTCACTACATCACTAAGAGGCAACTCCAAGCCCAAGCAATTCGAACACTGGGGGTGCAACATTGATAACAACCCACGGAATCCCTAGACGCGCATGGATCAGTCTGATGCCCGTGAAAAGAGTGCTCAATGACAAGAAAAAAACATACCTGCATATACAACCAACTTTGTCACAACTTCTACATCATACCGCACTCGGGGCTTCTTGATCTGAGAGAACACCTCTTTCTCATCCGACCGAGCTGTGTCATACTCGGGAGGTGGGAGAGGTGATGATCGGGGGATATTGGAATCTACATCCACAGTAGCCGAAATGGGGCTCCCTGTACCCATCATGTGCTCGTATTCATCTAATTTCGAGGCTTTCCGTAATAAAATGGGAGTACCATTTGGTTTTGTCTCTCCTTCCATAGGAGAATCGCGGGTACCACTAGACAGGCTTTCACGTCGGCGCATCTCACGGTATGCAAGCGTCTCATAGGCGTCTGCTTCGGACTGGGGTCCAATTGACACTGCTCGCCTGCGCGGATGCCGAATAGTGGTGATGATTGAAGGAAGTTCAGAAAAGTTAGGAAGCACATCATGGTCCTTCAAGTTAGTTGGAACAGTTGTATATGATCTAGGTGACAAGTTAGAGTGAACGGTACATTAAATACTCAGAGACTGAACTTACGAAGCAGTTTTGAAAAATCTCCGAGGTAGTAGAAGACCAAGTTTCTCCAGACTGCGGAAAATGGGTGGTAAGATGCGAAGCAGGGTAGGCTTGGTGATCTCTCGCCACGCAAAAACACACAAAACACCCACAACTAGGCGAATGGTGGTTCCTACCAGTCCAAGGCTTTCATACCGGTATGGAATAGTTCCAGGGAGAGGGTCTGACCATGCGAGGCTAGATTGGGTGAAGTACCACGAACCAACATCAACGCCAAGAGTCACACCAGCAAAGGCAACACTGTCGTCAAAACAGGGGCAGTCATCAGCCGGCTCTGGGTGGATGCGAACCAGGATCAAGATGACGATTGGAACGACAAGGATTTCCGTGAGGGATGCAGAAAGGATGTAGTCGTCAAATGCGGGGCCGAAGCTATACTGAGCGAGGCCGATCAATGCACCCAAAATACAACCAATGACCACGTCAAGCATTCCATGCATACCACAGTACAAACGGCCCAATACGATTGATATTACATAGAGGTATGTGACAGCTTGGAGGATCAGGCTGGTCTGCGGGCTAACAGTTGAATCGGGCGCATTGAGGAGAGCAATCGCATAGACTGCGACCGATACAGCGTTGGTAGAATGTGTGGAAGGGAATCCGTACTCTAGAGCAGCCGAGCCGGACATGGTAATGCGCTGTAAGGGTGGAGATAGTGGCCGAGGAAGACATAACAAATCCTTGATGAATCCACTGAAGAAGACACCGGCCGCAAGGATGTGAACCAGTCTGCGATAAAAGAGATTTGTCAGTCTCATTCAATGTGGAACCGTAGACTCTGGTGTATATTGAACGCATACCCGCGACCTAAGCTGGTGTGTCCACACCAGAAGAGAAACGGCAAAAAGACCATGAAGAAAGTATGAGTGCCGAGGTTGGCTGTGAACGCAAAGTAAGAATCCAGCGTCGGGGTGCGAACTTTCTCCTGCGCCCAGGCAAGGTATGGCGTTTCATATCGAATTAAAGGTAGGAGTTTTTGTCGCGGCCAATAGCGCCAGAGGGGGAGTCGGTTTGAATCTAATCAAGTCGCAAACAGTGCTGATTAGCAATCATCGGGCAAGAATCCATACTCAGGGGAGTACAATAAACAGTCGCAGATTACATACAATGATTCAGGCTCTTTAGCCCCGCATCAGGCTCGCCATTTGTGCCTTTTCCCATTGTGAAGTGTTATCGATCCGGATGCGATTGGACCCCATACATGGACAGGTCGGTGCCTGCCGCTCGGTTTTTTGAATTTTGATGCTCAGGGCAATAACATAAGGAATGAATAAAGTTGGATTGGACGGAAGGAAGAATACAAATGAGGTTGAGTGTTTTGGCCCGTCAAGTGGGATGTTACAGGAGGTTTCGCGACGGGGAGATCACTTCTGACCGCGGCTCCCCCAGACGCCGCCATGTGTGGGCTTAGTCAGTGATAAACAGGCCCGGGGGCCATTATCTACATGTTGACAGAGATATAATTAGAAAAAGAAAAGTTTATATGAATTCGTAAGATTGTTCAATTCAGCTTAATGCTCTAATAAATGGGGCTTTATGAGATGATTGATGGAAAATAGACGAAAGGGTGAATTTATCATCAGGATAAGTGCTTAGCCCTGATTCCTGAATACTGACAACCTGGCTTTGTTCTATAGTAATGACATACCTCATAGTTTGATTGTAGCTGCACGAATATCTTGTCATGCACAGCATGTAAGGACTGATGTTTAAGAGAACCACTCGACCTCTCTTTCCAGATCCTAAAGAATGCATAGGTGCTCCGGTGGTTTAAGGCGTCCGGGGACATGCAGCATTCTTGCTATGAAAAGATATCCTCATGCTCAAGTGCTGACACTCACTTTTGCTTCTTATCTGATATAACGCTGAAGATCTCATCAATATCCCTGACTTGTCTGGTTCTCTTGTCGCATCTTTGAACTGCTGTACTCATATATTGCCTTCAGCTTGATCAAACCAAACTAAACCGCATCAACACACAGTGCTACGATGCTCTCCGTTGCAAAATCCATATACCCCTTGCCTGAGCTTCTACAAACACCAAAACGATCAAGACCGATGCGAGTGCTCTGTCTGGGCTTACCACGAAGTGGAACGGACTCACTACACAACGCACTTGAGATCCTCGGGTTGAATGGCGTTTTTCATGGCTACAATGGTGGATGAATCCTCCAAACACTAGTATGCTATATTGTGAACTTATGCAACTCAAACTCCTGGGCTGTCCACCTAGTTCTGAAATACTCAGAGAACGTTACTTTGATCGTGTACTAGCAGACAAGGTAGCTCTCACTGATGTTCCCCCAGTTTGGTTTGCCCCAGAGCTTCTTCAAGCTTACCCAGAAGCCTTGGTTATCCTGAATCGGCGTCGCGATATCCAAGATTGGAAATGCAGTTTCAGGGACTCGATTCTTCCCATGATGCAAAGCTGGAAGTATTGGCTTGCTAGTTGGTTCGAAGCAGAGTTGTTCTGGGGTGTATGGTTGACCAGATTGGGTCATGACGAGTTTCTGTTCAAAGGGGACTTTGAAGCACACGCGGAAAAGGCCTACATCGGACACTATGAGAATCTTGAAAAGATACTTGAGGCTGAAGGTCGCGCTTATCTCGATTGGTCGGTTGAAGATGATTGGTGAGAGCCGATTCCACCTTGCAAGGAATCCATGTCTCTTCAGCTAACTAAGGTACAGGGCACCGTTGTGTGAATTTTTAGATCTTGCTCGGCCCGATGTGCCATTCCCCCAAGGAAATACTGCGCCAGAGTTTATCCCTAAGTTATTGACTGTGGATGATGCGCGCTTCAGAAAAGCAACTACGAATTTCTTCATTATTGCGACTGGCCTTGTAGGAGTCATGTCACTATACCTTTGGAGATGATATTTCGAGATCAAACTTTTTTGTGCAGCCACATGTCCCTCCACCCAATGAGCCTCTGAGCGGCTGAAATTGTTCTCACCGTATTCCCGCTCTCACGATATCATCTAGTGGGGCGAAGGTTATGGGAGTGGAGAGGATTTACTTCCCGAAACGCCATATCAAGAACCATCGGGAAAACCGGAAATGATTTGCGATTTGGACCACAATTTCCGACTTAGTATCCTATGAGCAGCAATCACGACATTGATTTCGGATTGCTCTCGGGGCATTGTGGGACGTGACGCGCATGATGTCAAATTGCGAATGATCCGGTGTGCCCTGACCTGCATAAGTCAGTCAACAAGAAGCGCCAACATCCCGATGTTTAGATACCTCTCCAATCAGACTTCAAATGTTCTACTTCACTATTGAACTGCCTAGTCATTTATATTAAATTTATATTAAGTGACCGGCTAATCATAATTCCTATTTTAGTATTTCCACCCGACAGAATTTCAAATACAGGATAGAGATATTGAGTATATAGCACATGATATCGGCCGCCCCGAGGGAAATACAGAGAGCCGGTTCTGATGAGCTGAACGGTGGGGAAGAGGGGCTGCTGAGGGGCTTTCAAGCGGAGTCAAGAAAAGCCAAAACAGGCCATTAGATCGGAGAGATCGTAGCCATGAAGGTGGCAGTGACAGTTTAACCAAGGAGGAGGCACCTTACATCGTCATCCGGATGGTTGCCATAACAACGAGGATGTAAACACGGGTTTCATCTTGGGCGAGACCCTCACCTATCTTTATCGTAGTCGATCCCTAGATCTGTGAAAAAGATTCCCGATTTTTTTTATTTTCATCTTTTTTTTTCTTTTCCCTTCGTTCCTATTCCCTTTACAACATACCCATATTCGAAGAACTTGTATCTTTGTTTTCTTTTTCTCTCGCAAATTTCTACGAAAACTCTCAGAACCCGCCATCCCTTCGGCAGATAGCCGCTCATAACCGTCCAATCTACCAAACGACCCGCTTTACAAGGGGCAACCTTCCATTCCACCATGAGCCAAATGTATGACGACCAGTACTATGCGGCTTCGCGACGCCGTTCCGTTGCCACACCTCCCCCATCCCACACCCCCCAGCACAGTCGAACCCGCAGCCACAGTGTGCGAGTGAGCAACGGCACCGCCAGTACCAACACCAGTTTTTCCAGCGGACGCATGTCTGAGGCAACCAATATTACCCAGCCGCCCTCCTACTCAAAAAAGTTTGTTGTGGTTGGAGATGGCGGCTGTGGCAAGACTTGTTTGTTGATTAGCTATTCCCAAGGTTACTTTCCCGAGGTAGGTCGGAATTTCCCGTCGCCAATGAACGCGTTGCAGGATTCATGTGTACTGATCCTACTTGCAGAAATATGTCCCCACAGTATTCGAGAACTACATTACTCAGACGGTACACCGAAGCTCGGGGAAGACAGTTGAATTGGCACTCTGGGATACAGCTGGACAGGAAGAATATGATCGTTTGCGTCCTCTGTCCTACCCTGAGACGGATCTTCTGTTTGTCTGCTTCGCCATTGACTGCCCTGCGTCCTTAGAGAATGTCATGGATAAGGTGAGTCGAGTCAACCCCGCCCACATTTTTCTTATCTGGGGTAATTTCTTTTCTAATCAGATTGACAGTGGTATCCTGAGGTCCTGCATTTTTGCCCCACAACCCCCATTATCCTGGTTGGTCTGAAGTCAGATCTCCGCAATAAGCGCACATGCATCGAACTTCTAAAGACACAAGGCCTCACACCCATTACTCCGGAACAAGGTCAGGCTGTCGCTTACCGAATGGGAGCCAGCTATGTCGAGTGCAGCAGTAAGGAGATGCGTGGAGTGGATGATGTGTTCGCCCATGCAGTCGACACTGTTGTGACAACCGAGGATGAAGGCTGGAAGACTTCAAAGCAATCGAATAGCCGTGCCGGTGCCAAGCCCTCTGGTCCTAGTGGCCCTGGCAAGAAAATTAAGAAGCGGAGTTGCAAGATCCTGTAAATGGTTCTCTGCATACCCTGTTTTCTATTATCTCTTATGCCATACCCCCTTTACCCCCATTTCTTTCTTCTCCCTTGACCCGATCACAGCCTGGTTGCTTTTCGGCTGGCTTGCTTGTTCCCTGCGTATGTGACATGTTACCGCAAGCTGGACAGAGCTGAACATGAACTGCAAAAATTTCTTCTTATTCTGGAGACGCTGCGCGCTTTCGGACAGATACCTTGATTTCTCTTTTTCTTTTTTTTTACTGGAGGCGGCTTCATTGATTTCTGAATTGTCATATTGATTTTTCTCCCTATTTTTCCCCGCTTGCCTTCCAATGTGTTTTCTCTCATGACCCCTATGATATTCCTCTCATGACTCGCATGATCATGATCCGGGTCTAGGCCACTTTTGGCATTGTGGCATGCATGGAACTGGTGTTCTCACTTATGTTATTTGATATGTTCTGTTGGCGAGCGACATCCTATGTGTTACTGAGACAATACATTGCGACTTGATGTTATCCAAAATCCTTGTAAATGTAAATCGTAAACTTTTCATTCGTCAAAATCATAAAGTAAGGCAATGGTGGTATCTAGAGACACTTGAATCAAAATGGACTCCAAAGCAGTCACTCCACTAGTGGTATAGCCTATTGTAGCATGGGTTTATTTTCATCTTCCTCTTGCTTGATCGGCTTGTCCTGCCCTTCGCTCTCACCACTGACTTTCCACTTGCCCTCAGCATTCTGCTCTGTCTCTTCAGACTGGCCCATGAAGTTTTCGAATTGAGACCAGAGAGCCTCCACCGAGCTGAACTCATTACCGACCTGGTTATATCAGTACACCAATCACTAACCCAGAAGCTCGTATCAGACATACCGTGATGATACTCTCTAAATTCCGATTCAATCGATTCATATTCTGAAGCACCTGTTCCATACCCTACCAAACACCAATCAGCCTCAAGAACACCAAGTATCCATACCAGAAAAACATACCACGGCAATCTCCCGAACCAATTCCTCCCGTTGCTGCTCAAAAACAGTAGGGGTCGCAGCACGCCCAGTGGTAGAACCAGGCCAAGCCATTTTGATCCAACCAGGTATTTATCTCGATGTGTCAAACAGAAATCTCCCTCAATCGTAATTCTAGACGCGGCTGGCGCTCCGTTATTGTGCTCAACGCGACGGCGGTTGCGTTCTGTCTTTGTTCCGGCAAACGCGAGTGGTTCGAGCTAGGGGAGGGAGCTAAAGTCTTGAATTTGACTGGACGGGTATCGGTTATCGGTTGTGCAGGGACTGTTTTCTGGTGGTACTGTTGAGGATGGATTGTGACTTGTGAGCCAGGAACAAGAGTTAGTCTTGCACAGGAGAGAAGTTGTTGGTGGGGCTTACTGATAAGAGCTTCCGATTGGCAATTGGGCTGATACGAACATGAGCTTTCAGTGAGAACTTTGATTTCGATATATCTTTAGTATTATTTTTTAATTGACTTAATGAGTTGCTTGTTTGATTTCTGTACAAAATATTTTGGACAGTTTTACCATTCAAATGTTTGTGGTAATTATCGTCGAGTTGGGTAGATTCAGAAGCCATAGTATCACGATCAGTGGATTAACGATAATTGGTGTGCCTCATCTCGTGTCCTTCCACTGCAGCTATTCAGGCAGCGCAAATCTTAATATGCACTCTCCAGTGTACTTATCTCCGAGGTTACTGAATGTTGCCCAGCGCTTATACTTGGAAATCCCACATTGCACATATGTCCTCGGTTTCTGATATCTTTCTTGGCATGGACATAGCATAGGTATACCAGTCACGGTCTTTTCAACAGACATCTCTGCCTATTAAGGAACCTTGGAAGACCATAATACGGACTAATTGCTTCTCGCTTAATCAATCATAGATGATTACTGGACATACCTAAGACTGCCGTTTTTCAAAGATCATCCTTGATCCTGGACATTGGGAGCCCCAATCATAGGTACTACAAGTATTGTCTGATGGAAGATTAGGTGACAATTTTATACAATATACAACACTTGCATATACTACTAGTAGTAGCACGCCTGAGCATGTTTGTACTCGGAGATATCTCTTCTAATTCCGATTCCAAGGACAATTTATCCGAAGATTTATCTATATTAAGTCAGATCAATTCGGGTCTCTTGAGACTCAATTTTATAGTTCATGTGAGTACTCAATTAGACTCAACGGTGGCACTTGAGCCAAAAAATGAATATACCTGGACCTAAAATATAGGTTTTCTCCTGATGTCTACATTTTAGACATCAGTTGATTGTTTTCATTGAGTGGCTAAAATTTTCGACGACCAAGTGGCTTGAAGGAGCGGACCATGGTACTCAAGTTTCATCAAACATGGTTCAATTTGACTTTCGGATGCTTCAAATCATGATGTTCTATTTTAGAACTGCCATCTAGACCTTCCGCTTCTCCGAAAGAATATCTCACTAACACAAGCATTGTGTTGAGATTCTCGTCTAGAATGATCGGCAGTTGGAGTGATCTGGAACCCGACTGCAATCTCGTTGTACTCTTTTGTATACTCCAGGATTTCTTGAATATACCCGAGCCCTGCAGGATAGAAACTCAAAGTTCAAGTTTCTTTCATGTTCTACTCTTCAACGCCTTCAAGTCCTACAATAATTCCCATCAATAAGCCAATTTACAATTCCGTTGGGGGCCTGTGTAAGCCAAGCAAAAACCAACCAAGCAATAGCCATAATTCAAGAGAAAATCACCCAGCCTGAATAGGCTCAATTTCAAGCAGTCCAATTTCCGAGATTCTTACATAACCCGCCCAATACCACGGATGAATCGAAAGAGACCAGACCACAACTTCCCACATCTCATTGTCATTTCTTCCATTTCCCCTCACGAAATTCTGAAATTCTGGAATTCTGGAATTCTGGACTTCTCGAATACGCCGTCGAATACGCTAGTCCCACGCTAGAAGATATCCCCACCAGACTAATAATCAGAGACATCAAAAAGCCCAGTCTGGCCTCTGCACCAGTTCGCCGAGCGTCACACTGTCTCACCTACAGCCGAGCCGACTCGTCCCAGGGTCCAGGGGTCCACTGGTACCTGGAATTGAAGGGCGTTCCGTGCCACGGATCACGAAATTCGAGATCCAACCCAGACCACTTAGGCGGCTTCGGCTTGGTTTCAGATCGGTTCAGGTACAAAATGAGATCAACAGTGCTGGACTGGAGGGTTGTGTTTCCTACGCGGTGCTAGTTCTTTTTTTATGGAATTTGAGGGGGTAATTGGTTCTTTGTAAGGAGGGAAATTAGATCTGCATTGGAATTGATACTTGGTTGCTTTTGTATTGGATACTAGTACGGAATAGTACTACTCCGTGCATTGATTTGGTTCGTTGATTAACGAATACCTAGTGAAACGATGATACCGTGTGCCCAGAATGGAGATAGAAATAAAAGGTACCAAAGATTAATCATTTGGATTTAATTGTCTATATACAATTTTGGGAATTTGATACTCGAAAAAGGTCCATAAAAAAGAATCGGTCTTGAAATTGGATTCAATCCAACTCAAGCCCGTCCTATCCCAGAATCCAGACACAGTAAAGTGGTAAGGATCCTAGGGAATAAAAATAAAAGGCTCGTCACATCGTTATCATAGAAAGCGGGGCGTGAATCTTTCCCTCCGGTAAGATCGCACCCTTGTCAACACAACCAGTGAAATCGGAGCCCGGTCAAGGACCGAACAACCCCTCCTACTCATTTCCACTGCTTGCAGCTCCCCCCACCATGTCCAACGTGAATTCTGTCAATTCTGCTCGTGTCGGGTGTGGAGATGCCACTGCATGGATTGCAAGGTTCATTATCGCGTGGGTCACATTGGTTTCTCGTAGTCAATTGAAAAGATGTTTCTCGCTTTCGTGAAGATCCATAATCGTTTCGGTCATGTATTCGAAGATACTTCTAGAGGATATTGTGTATAGGTGATGATGTAGTAGAGGATGGCGTAAAGAGGTAAGAGGGTGAGAGTAGTAAAAATAACTTCAAGGCGAGAAGAGAAAGGCGTTAAGAGTTTCGTCGCGGCTGAGCCAGCATATTGCTGAGACGTTTCCAGCGTGGAGTAGGTGAGGTTGAACTGGTGCGCGAAAGATGACCCTTTTCCATTGGCTTGGAAGATTGTGTAGAGGAACGCGGACGACCACCGATAGTAGCCTCGTGGTCAGCAAGGACGTCTTCGAGACGGACGTCAGATTCAGAACGTAAAGGTGAGTCCTTGGGATCAAGGATCTCAATGAATTTGGAAGGTGTATCCCGCATGATTGAAAGGTGGAGGATGAGTGAAGAGTAAAACGAGTGTGGGTTGAGAGATGAAATACTCTCGGGGGGTTTATGGGAAGGCAAGAGGGATGACGAGTATATAGTCCGGGCAAAACACAGTATGTCACAGTAAGCGCCGTTTCATCATGAGGGGGCAGAGAAGAGTATATATAGGATCAAAATTTAGGGGGGGAAATTTCCGAATTCAAAATCCTAAAGTTCAATAATCTCCATAATTCCATAATTCGTTAAAAACCCAAAAAATCTCATGTTGATCCGAGCACTTGAGTAATTCCATGAGAGTACAGTGGAGACCCGAAGATCAGGGGACTCGAAGAATCCACTTTAACCAATCTATGTAACGGAGAAATTTTCTCCTTAGTCTATTGTTGCACATGGAACATTTGAATAATTTGTTCTCTTTAACATGCCTTGTATAAGGTGGTACATACTAGATAGCTCAGTCGGATGTATCACTTCTTATTATCATATCTTGTACTAAGTACATACTATTCATAGTCTCCATAGAATGCCCCCTCTTTTTCCCCCAGTGAAAAGGCAAAAAAAGTCTATATTGAATTTCCAAAAACTTTTAAAATTTTAATTTTTCCTCCGCACTACACACATTATGCATCATTCCCCGATTGGGAGGCAGTTGGGAGGCAGGTGATGGGGAAAGGGGTGTGGATGCTGCTACAAAACGGGGTTGAGATCAGCGCTCGGCAGCCATTCTCATGGCTCAGTGGCGTCTGCAGTCTGGGCAGTGACCGTTAATCGGTCCGCAAAAGAAATCCCTTGGGAGTTCATACGATCATCGTGGGTCTGTGAGAGGGGCACACTTGCGTGGCCTAGGAGGGGGGAATAAGAGCGGTGTTGAAGGGATCGTGCGAGTGGTGTGTTCTTTTCTTCTCTTTTGATTTGAGGCTTCAAGGTTGGGGGCTTTTGCACCATTCTTGCTTTTCCAGGTTGGATAAAACGATAAATTTTTCCATTTTTTCCAAGCGAGATCCCTCACGCTAATATTCTGCACAAAGGGTCTCCATGACGTTGGGGGCTCCGGTTCCCACAGTGTTGTGTGGTCGTATTGCGGAGGTGTTCGTGTGCCCGGGTATCTCCAAGTCTCCAACTTCTCGGGTGATCGGCTGAAGCTGTGTGCTATATAAAGAAACCCTTCAAAACGTGCATATCGCACCAGTAGGAAGTCCGATGTGGCGTTGATGGCGACTGTGCTTCTATGATCACTGCTTAATCTAGTAAATAATCATGTAGCAAGATGGATACTGCTTTGAGGATCTGCCTCGAGTGAGTGGTTCGCCCCCTCGCTAGCCTGGTCGCATGGCGGTGCACTGCCTACGCTGATGTCAGGTCCCTCGACTTCCACATCAGCTTCCACCTCAGCTTCAAGTTAAATGTTCATTTTGAGGTTCATGATCCGTCAATAATATACTAAGATGCCGGTCCCTCCCGCTGCTACGAGCGCTCAGACGCAGGAGCACTTCAAGTTGATCCGTTGATCGTATGGAAGTTCTTGTCACCTAGCTCTATGCACATGTGGGAGCTTCGCAATGATATGCATTGATGTGCAGTATACATGTACCACTTCGACTTGGAGTTGCCTCTATCCTCAATTCTACGTTTTTCTCCAAAGCTCAAGTGTTCATTCAGTCACGGTGTTTCCATCACCTTGACACATGGATGTACAATTAGATACTAACCATAAAGGCCTATAACGGCCACACGGACAATTCCCATTTTCCTATCATAATTTTTGACTGCCTAGCTTAACCCTAGTTAATCCTAGGTAGCTTATATAGTAGGGCTCAAGTAAGAGATAGCTAAAGTGAGAGATATCTGAAGGAAGAGATAGCTAATATACATAATTTTCTTTTTTGTCCTATTAACCATCTAGGGCGTTTGACTGTCTGTTACCCTATAGGAATAATACTAACCTTGGAACTTGAAGAGAAAAAGACATCAATGTTCAAGTGAAGTTGGAAGCTGACGCGGGGCTAGTGCCCCTCTTAGCCCAACTTCAACTTGAATGTTGACCTTCGAAGAATCCACAGCCACTGTCAATTACACACCTGGCGACAATTGAATTCTGCACTTTACTGGGCATTCAATTTTTCCTGCTTCAATGGATGTAGTGTCCTCGTTGTCTAGCGTTATCGCGATCATTCAGCTAGCGGGGAGCCTCGCGCAGCTTTGTGGGGGCTACATCCAGAAAGTGAAAGGTGCCCGTGATGAGATTCTGACTCTTCAACAAAGTATTGGAGGCATCCAAGGCATTTTCAGTGACCTCGAGAGGTTGCTAAGCCATGATCCTCAAAGTCTTCCTAGCTCATCCCAGCTAGTGAGCAATATTGAGGCATGTCTTTCCGATCTCCAAGGCTTAGAAGCGAAACTTGATCCTCATGGAGGAAAGGGAACCAAGATGATGAGAAAAGTGGGATTGAGAGCTTTGAAATGGCCTTTAAAGCGTGGAGAAGTGGAAAGCATCGTCCAAACTCTCGAGAGATACAAATCCTCATTCATTCTGTCTTTGCAAGTGGATCAGACGTATGTTTTCGGATGGATGCCCTTCGAGTTTCTGCATGTGCTGCATTGATATAGCTAACTCATACCTTGACCAATCAGTTCGCTGATCGTCGCCATGACTCAGAAAATAGACCTGACTAGTTTGAAGTTGGAAACCGTGACAGATGCAGTGTTTGACTCTTTCTCCGATCGAGATGAAGTTCATTGTCTTGAAGGCACTCGAGTCAAGTTGCTACGTCAAATAAAAGAGTGGGCTTTATCATCACAATCAAAGAGCGTGTTTTGGTTGAATGGGATGGCCGGAACGGGCAAATCTACCATATCCCGGACTGTAGCGAGATCATTCAAAGATACTCACCTTGGAGCAAGCTTTTTCTTCAAGAGGGGCGAAGGAGAGCGAGGAAGCGCAAGGAAACTTTTTCCAACACTTGCAAAGCAATTGGCTCTAATTACTGGACCAAGCTTTAGTGCTGCTCTGCAGGAAGCGCTCAAAACTGACCCCGAGATCGCTTCAAAATCACTAAGCGAACAGTTTCAAAATCTAATTCTCAAGCCACTGCTCGAGATCGACCAGCTCGACCACCCAGCCAAATCCGCAGTCATTATCATTGTGATCGATGCCTTGGATGAGTGTGACCATGAGAGGGATGTTCGAACCATAGTTCAATTATTCTCTCTGCTACAGGATGTTAAAGCTTTTCGCCTTCGAGTGTTTATAACTAGCAGACCGGAGTTGCCGATTCGACTTGGTTTCTCTGATATCTCAGGGCGTTATCAAGATATAGCGCTTCATGAGATCCCTGAAGAGGTCACTGAGCATGACATCAGACTATTCCTTGAAGATCGGTTCAAAAAGATCAAATCCGATAGAAAGATCTCTGACGAAAAATGGCCTAGCGCCGACATCCTACGGCATTTGGTTGCGATGTCTGTTCCATTGTTCATCTCGGCTGCGACTGTTTGCCGATATGTCGAAAATACGAGATGGGAGCCAACGAGACGCTTGAAAGAATTACTACAAGACCAAGGCCGATATGTATCGAAAATGGACAAGACGTACCTACCAATTCTAACACAACTTCTCGATGATGAAGATAGCGATTTTGAGCAGCAGCAATTGCTGGAAGAATTTCAGAAAATAGTTGGAACTATCGTTCTCCTCGCCGTTCCATTCTCCATCAAAACCCTCTCCAAATTCCTCGATATTAATCAAGACTCAATCAGCCACCGGTTGGACTCATTTCAATCTGTGCTCAGTGTGCCTAATGATCCCAACCAAGATACCCCTGTGAGGATTCTTCACTTATCGTTCCGAGACTTCTTGGTTCAATCCGAGAGCAAGTATAGGGTTGACGAACAAAAGAAGCACCGGGAAATTGCTTCCCGCTGTCTGGAAATAATGTGCAGTCACTTGAAGAAGAATATGTGCAACTTGAAGCCCGGTACTCAAAGAGAAGATGTTGATGCTCGGTCTCTCAGTCAGTGTTTTCCCGCAGAACTGTCATATTCCTGCCGCTACTGGGTACATCATTTTCAGCTTGGCAGGCCTTCATCCTCTGAAAGGCTCGGACAAGAAGTTCTGCCTTTCTTGCAGAAACATTTTCTTCATTGGGTAGAAGCGATGAGCCTGCTAGGCTTTGTATCCGAGGTTCTGGACATTATCAGTACACTCAAGAAGTCCTTACCAGTAAGTCCAGAATTACGAGTCGAGATTGATGGCGATAACCGCACAAAATAAAATCTACCGGTGATACAACCGACCAAAACTAACTTTGAATCACATCAGGCCGATTACGATGCGGCTGTCTCTGATTTCCTCTATGATTCAAGTCGATTCATCCAAAAATACGTCCAAATTGTCAACGCAGCGCCCCTTCAGCTCTATTATGCTGGACTCATATTTGCCCCTCGGAAATCAATAGTTCGTAGAAGGTTCAAATCGGAGTTTCCATCTGAAATTTACCATCTACCTTCAGTTGAGTACAGATGGAGCGCGGTTTTACAGACACTTGAGCTGGACGGGTATCCGCCGTCGGTGGCCTTTTCACCCGATGGTCAACTACTGGCGTCCTCCTCTACAGAGGGAAACGTATACATCACAGATTTAGCGACAGGCTCTCTGCAGATCACGATTGAGGGTCACTCAGCAATCGTCTCTTCAACAGTTTTCTCGACCGATGGCCGGTCATTAGCATCCGCTTCACACGATTGTATAGTGTGTCTATGGGATTCTCTAACGGGCAAACTACAGCAAATGCTCAAGGGCCACACAGACTGGGTTAATTCAGTGGCTTTCTCACCAGATGGCCAGCTACTAGCATCTGCTGCGGACGATAGGACTGTCCGGCTCTGGAATCCTCTGACAGGGAAGTTAGAGCGAACTCTTGAGGGCCATAAAAAACCTGTTACCTCAGTGGCATTTTCATCCGACGGTCAGCTACTAGCATCAGCTTCAGGCGACCGTACAGTGCGTCTATGGAACCCTCTAACAGGCCAGCTGGAAAAAACGCTCGGCGGCGACAAGAACAGCGAAAAGAACGCAGTGCTTGTTAGCTCAGTGGCTTTTTCACCTGATGGTCAGCTCCTAGCATTGGGTTTAAACTCTAGAGTGTGTCTATGGAGCCCTCTAACAGGCAAGCTTGAAAGAACTCTCTACGGTCATACAAGACTTGTCACCTCAGTGGCTTTTTCGCCTGATGGCCAGCTCTTAGCATCCGCTTCGATTGATGGCACAGTGAGGCTATGGAATCTTCTCACAGGCAAGCTACAAAAAAAGCTTGAGGACCACACAGGAGCCGTGAATTCGGTGGCTTTTTCTCCTGATGGCCAACTATTAGCATCCGCTTCAGACGATTGTACCGTGCTACTTTGGGATCCCACGGCAGATATGCCACAGCAGGGACTCGATGGTCTTTCAAACTCCGACCAGCAAGTACTAGCGCCTGCCAGTGTGCCAGAGCAAGAACCCAGAATATTCGAAAGCTCTGAAGGACATGTATCTGATCTGGGAATTAAGATCCCGTCAAATCCGGTAGGATCAATGTGTTTCTCACCCGACAACAGCATCCTGGTGTCTGCTTCTGTGGATGATAAATACCCTGTCCGGTTTTGGGATGTTGCGACAGGTTTACCCAAAGATATGCCCCCGGATACGAGAATCGCCGGAATTTCTGTCGTTTTTTCATCTGATGGCCAATACTTGAGAGTTGCCAGTCAGATGAAAATACAAGTCTGGGATCTGGTGACGTGTACGCTGAAACCCGAAATTGATGGCGAAGATTATTCATGGCTTCATGTGGATTGCATGTCGATCTCGAGCACTGGCAAGCTACTAGCATGTAGCTCTTCAATGATGATATGGGTCTGGGACTTGAGCAAGTGCGTGGTGAAAACAAAGCTTGAAAGCAATAATGGTACAACCGAATTCAAGTCCATGGCGTTCTCCCACGACGACCAATTGTTGGTTTCGGGATCTGACGACGCCGTGAACCTCTTTGATCTATCGACTGGTATGCTACAGAGGACATGGAATGTTCAAAGCACAGTGATTACTCTCAAGTTTTCGCAGGACAACTTATACCTGCATACTAATTTGGGCAGGATTGACACCCGGAGCCAATCCCAAATCCCTACATTTGTTTCAGATCACAGCAGTGAGCATCCATTGATAACCATTGATCGCTCAAATTGGGTTTGTTTAAATGGCGAGAGGATGCTCTGGCTTTCTGCAGAGGTTCGACCTAGCTGTTGGGCTATTAACGGGAGTATGCTTGCACTTGGACAAGCTGAGGGGTGGGTTTCTTTTATAGGATTCCGTGGATAGATCAGCTATTTTCAAATGCTTTCGTTCCGAGTCCTTCATTGTCTAAGAAAACTTTCGAGTCAACTGCGAAAGGCTGTTTATACCAATCCCCTTATCATCTACTCAAGCACAAAAATATCGGATATACCGTAGTTGAATTGATTTGGCCAGTAGGCATGCAACAAGATCGCACGGAAGAACCATCAAAACGCCTCGTGAATTAAAATAGCAAAACCAAATCAGAGAGAAAATCAAATCGACATTTTTCAGGCCTTGTCGGTATCAGGCCCCAGAAGACCCTGGTGAACTCCTCATCATACCCAATATTCTCCAACTATCTCGCTGCGGGGTTCCAATCGCCAGTCTGCATTCAATGTGCGCAGATTCGCCGCAAGCTCCAAAATACCCGCCCGATGATTCGCCGGCATCGGAATAGTGGCTCGCCGTCGTTGGATAAGAGAGAAGCGTTGCAGTCTCCAGAAAGAAGGTAGCGGAAACTCCGTCAGCTGCGCGTAGATGTCAAGCGCGCCGTTGCTCCCGGTTCGTTGGCTTCATTATTTTAGTTCGAGGTCTGTCATTTCCACGCTGTCTGCTGAGCCCATCCAGAGAATGTTGTTACACCTGTACACAGAATCGAATTAGTATCCGTTATTGACAAAGCTCCTCCGTTCGTTCGCTTCCGCTTCTTGTCCTGTTCAGATTCCATGGACTAAACGTACCGGATCAGAACAAGACCCAGAGATCCAGTCTGCTTTCCATCGATGAACTCCTCTGTATCCCGCAGCAGAACGTTCATGTACGAATCGATGCTCTCCAGGGTACCCTTGTACTCAGTCTGTCCCCACTTCAGGCGGATAATCATCTCAGTGCCGACTCTGTAGATTCGTAATATGTTAGCATCAGTCTCTTATTTGAGAATCTCGGGTAGGCGCAAGTGCGCTTCGGGTGTATGCTCGATATGGGGGGTGGGGGGGACTGCGTACCGAGCCTGCAGGAATGGCCGAGGATTGACGGGTTGGAACTATATTGAATCAAGACATGTCAGCATATATTCTGCGATTGAGTGGCCTCTATGCTCCTTGGAGAATGAGCGCCGTCCCGCTAAGCTTGATGGCAGGCTAGAGGATCTGAAGCTGGATTTAAGAACATACACTCATTGTGATGGTGGTGTGGGTTATGTGCCGTCTAATCGGGTGATTGAAGGATGGATGGAGGCTATAAGGAGAAAAAGAAGTGAATAACAAGCTTCCTTCTCGAGTTGATTCTGATGGACCTGGACTGTGGTCTTCTGTAGCCGTGAAGCGCGAAAATGTGAGCTGGACGGGATTCAGGCTACTGCCAATCAGCGTCCGCAACAGCTCACCGCCTTTGTAAGTACTCACAGGCTCAGCTTCCAAGCTGAGTTCAGATTAATGCTATTGTTCAAGTTGAACCAGGTGATTTTTCGTAAAGTAGTACTGTAATAGACTCAAAAGTGGGAAACCTTGGAATGCAGTATAGAATATCTCTCACCTACACTATATGAGTATATTGTGGCTTCACTATCATCTCCGCTAGTAGTGCATCCGTAGCACAACTCCGTCTCCAGTACTCCCCAGAAGCAACCCCATGCCACAGGTAGTAATACAAGTTAAAATAGAATTGTGGAAAATATAAGTCGGTAAATCATTGATAATCATGGCTTCCGTGGAAAAACTTCACCAGCAACGCCTCCCCACACTCCATTATCCACATCCCTGGCCTTAAACCAAAATTTATGCACGACCAACGGTCCAGGCAACGTCCTTGATGCTGACCTCCTCACTGGACTTCTCATCATAGTCATACCATTCATCCTCCATGAGGTCAATCCCGGTGAAAGGAGTAGAGGTCTCAGTGCCCTTAGCTTCCCATTCGCCCTGAAACAATAGTATAAGAACCATGATATAAATCAAATTTGAAGGGTAGTATTGAACTTACATCAGCCTTGAAGTCGACAAACTCAAGTCCACGGCAGTCCATCTCAATGATCTTCTGGCCACCCTTCTTGCCTTCAGCTTCAAAGGTGAGGGGGCCTACAGTGATGGAGGCAGAGTGGGTTTTCTGGATATACAATTAGCCCCGGCCCATAGATAGCGATGGATTAAATCGCATGATCAAAAGATCCTTCAATGATGAGAGCAAGACCAAGCTCATTCACGGAGCATAAAGTCAAAGATGAGAAGGAACTCTTACCGTGCACAGGCGGCACTTCCACACAAAGTTGGCCTCACCACGGCTACCAGGGATCTCATGCTGCTCCTGTAGGTCAATGGATGATTAGAACCCATATCTCTGTCTTTCTTGCATCTTGCATATTAGGCGCTGTAGCTTACAAATCGGTTGAAGCTGACCCAGTTAGGGTGCGTCTCACGGCAAGAGCTGCATTGCACCTTGAAGGTGTAGAAGTAAGGGTTCTCCTCAGTATCGGTAGGGCGGAGAGAAGTAACGCTAGTTCAAAATTAATTTCAAATCCAAATTTATAGTCATAGTCATGGCTTGTTTCAAAATGTTTGCATTTCATGCAGTAGCTCTTTTTGAGCTTGTGCGGGGAGGATTTTTTTCTTCTTGGGATTGTAGTATTCTTTGGAAAGGATCAGACGGAATAGCGAAATAGAACACTTACCCCTCCAGCTCAGCTTTAAGAACCAGTGAAAGCATTTTGAAGATTAAGTTCTGAGTTTCGGATTGCTGGTTGTGAAGTGCAGTTAACGCGTCCAAGTGGGAGAATGGTTGATGCGGGGTGGAGACGGAAAATACTTAGAATGAAAATAGATCATGAGGGGCTTGGCATGTGACCACCACAACTATGAAATGATGACTTAGGAGACTTAATCCAGGTGAGATTACAATATAGACAAAGTGAAATAAAATATTCATGAAGAGCTTCTATTCATAGAAATCATAGACAAAAGGCAACGCCGATCATGCTTAAGTGCAACCAAACAAAAAAAAACAAGCTATGTACATCCAAAGAAAAATTTAATATATACAATCAGTCAAGCTTACAGGCGGCTCTGCTGAGAGTCCTGGCCCAGAGACTTGCTAGAGAAGGCATTGAAGTACTCATTCAGAGCATCAGCGGTGCCAGAACCCTCCACCAGCTGGATGGTGCAGGCAACGTGGCTGTCAGGGCGAGTAATGACAATACCACCCTTCTCAGCGTCGAAACCAAGCTTCTCGTGGGCAGAGTACTTGGCGTTGGGGACACGGACATCGGGGATGTCATCAGCGTAGAGGTGGTGGTGGTAGTCCCGGAGAACCTGAGGAATGGACTCGACATCGAGCTCGTTCTTGGTGGCAGCGTAGATGACGGAGATGGTGAAGAGCTTAGAGTGAGGGTTGTGACGCTCGAAGAAGGAGACATCAGCGATGTCGGAGCGACGGTAGACTGAGAGGAAAGAGCGCTCCTTCTCGAGGTTGGCGGCAAGGTCGGCAATGGCCTTCTTGGTGGTCTTCTGGTTACCAGCGAAGACATAGATGCGGAATGATCCATTGACGGGGACTTCCTGCTCAAGCTCAACAAAGTTGGAGTCGGCAAGACGAGTCACCATAGTAGGAGTGAAAGCACGACCAGGAGTCAACTTAACACCAGGGATGTCGAACAGAGCCGACTTGGCGGGGTGGCTAGCATCCCAGTTGAAGACATTGGGCTTGTAGGCAACTCCGTATCCACTGGTGAACTCGCAAGATGACTTGAAGGTCTTCACAAACTCATCCTCCTCAGCGTCAGCCTCAGAGCTGACAGCCTTGCTAGCAGAGACCTCGCTGGCGTTAGGGCGGCGCTTGGAGAACAAAGCGGCGTATTTAGCGTCAAAGTTAAGCAGGGTCTCGGCGATGTCCTTGCGCTCGCTCTCGTAGGTGCTCAAGATGGAGCGGTCGGCGAATCCACTCTCAACAGCATGGAGCTTCCAGGCCATGTTCAAGGCATCGTGGAAGGCAGTGTTCATACCCTGACCGGCCTTGGGGCTGTGAGTGTGGCAGGCGTCGCCACCCATGAAGACACGCTCATCCAGGGTGTACTGCTCAGCAATACCCTGGCCAATAGGGTACACAGAGTACCACTCAACGCGATCCCACTCAATCCAGTAGGGCTGGAGAATCTTCTTCGCATGCTCTTGGACCTCCTCGGCGGTGGCGGTCTTGCGGGGGTTCCAGTCGGCATCGGTAGACGAGGCGATCTGGACATAGAGACGAACCATGTTATCCTCGCGGGGAATAACCATAATTGAGCCAGCATCGGAGTGAATGGTGCACTTGGTCTAGAATGCATGTTAGAAATCAATGCGCAAATATTTGGGACTAAAAAGTGGATGCTTACCTCAATATCGGGGAAGTTGGTGCGGACAACACCATCCATGACACCCCAGACGTAGGCGATAGGGTCCTTGTGGTGAATCTTGATTCCGAGCTGCTCACGAACGAAGCTGCGGGCACCCTCACCACTGAAGAGGTACTTGGAGCGAACGGTCTCGATGACGTTGGTATCCAGACACTTCAGGTTAACCTCGACAGGGTACTCGGCGTTGGCACCGTCATTCTTGAAACCAGTAATGGTCCAGGGACGCTCCACGCGGTTGCCAGTCTTCTCAATCTCATCCAAGAACACGCGCTCAATCTTACCCTGGTGAACCAGAGTGGTGAAAGGGTAGCGAGTGTCGATAAAGCGAGGGCAGCTGGGCCAGCTACCAGTGCGGCCAATACCGGTTCCATCAGACTTGGGGTCCCAGAAAGCGACATCATAGACCTTAGCGGGCTCGTAGGCCATGATCGCGCGCTTCAGACCCAAGTTGCGCAGAATCTCGGTGGAACGGGGCTGAATACCATCAGCGCGACCGGTGGCGGTCGGCACGGGGCGGTTGTCGATGTGCTTGACCTTGTAACCCCATCGCGACATGCAAAGGGACAGCAGCAGACCGACTGGGCCAGCGCCGACGATAACGATATCATATGTTTCCTGCGCCATGGTGGCAAGGCTTGTTATAGGCGGGAGGTTGAAAATCTGTATATACAACGACTGCGACTCGAATTCGTAGTGATGGCGACTCGAGGTATTTCAAGGAAGATTTAAAATAAAATGAGACTTAAGGATTTAGTCTGCACGGTCGTAATGATCTGAGCAAAATCATGGAGGGCCATAGCATTTTAAATAGTTGAGATACAGCCCGGGGTAAGCGGACCGACTACGCTTTGCTGGAGATGACGGGAGCAGCCACGGCATTGAGAATCGGTTTGTAGAGAGGATAAGCAGTGGCCCAGGCTGGGGCAGCGGGTCAATGAAAGCCAATCATCGGAGGCAAAAATCGGGTTATAGGACGTAATAGAAGGGGAATGGAAGCGAGGATGTGGGGATCTTAGAATCGATCATTATTGGAGTGCCGCAGGTGAAACCGAGCTGCAGGGCCCAGTATGACCCATTATGATCCAGCAAAGATCCATCAAGACAGACCTCGGGAGCCACTGGAGCCTTTGAGAGGACAGAATATGTGGATGACTAAAGACTACCCAGGTGACCTCAGAGTGACTCCCCCACATCACGGGAAACACTTTCGGCATGTGGAGTGGAGATCACGTGCTGGACTCGGCAGGCTAAACCGGGATTCATTATTCATGGAAACTTCATGCAAAAGAACCATCATAATGGATTTCCCGTCTTTCTCATTGGCTTGATTTGGTTAAGATGGATCCATCCATGTACATGCCGTTCTTATTTCACCCGTGTGTCTCTATTTCTTTATCCCCGGCCGCGTTACCCATCGTCTCCACTTGATGGGAGTTGATCCTGGCAGTTACTAGGGGGGGAATCCCGGTGTAGGTTGCCATCACTCAGTGGTTTGGTCAAAAGATGGATTCGGGATCAAGTAACGGGTGACTTGAAAGTTCTTTGCTGTTTAATAGAATAATACACTAATAGATTATCAAGGACATAACGCTATCTCATCACCATGTTCGTATTGCTTCATATTAGCCTTGCCCGTGGACCTTCACAGTGCTGAAGAGTCTTTGACATCAGTGGAGACTAAACTCCCATGTAGTATACCCATGGCATTCAACCCGCATATCAATCTTCTGCTTTCCCGAAGTAACATCCGCTTGGAGCAGCTTCTTCTGGATACCTAATTCCTCGGCCCTAGCGTGGATTTGCTTCCTACCCCGGGATTCCGGGTGGCAATGGTGGCTCCAGTTCCACGGACAATGGGGAAATCCACGGGAAATCGGCCGGGGTCGGCACAAAGCACCGGCTCGGGTCTATATAGCCGCTTATATCGCCTAAGAAGCGCTCGGGCGTATATCCGCGTGCATCGCTTGAGCTATGCTCTTTTTTTTGCCTTGGGTATTCGAGTTCTGCAAAGCTTCAAGACGGATCAACCATCAATCCCGGTTTGCTATGGTTGTCCTTGCAAATAATTTATTTGCAATCTATGGCACTGAGATGCCTACCTGAACGTCTGTGGCAATGGAAATAAGATCAGCAACGAGTCATCCCATGGTCCAGTTCACGCCTATTACCTGAGATTCAGCTTAATCTTCATCCATGGTGGGAGCTTGATTCATATCGGAATCTCCGTCAAGTGAAGGAGCTTGATGCATTTCGGCGTCCTCATAACAGAAGCTTAGTGAAGGATGATTGGTACAGCGAGCCGGTTCGATGTGCTAGCATTGGACGGAGTTTGGCTATGATGGGAATTGAAGCTCCTCATACTGTTGAAAGCGTGGAGCCTGTGGAGACGAAGGATTATGAGGCTCATGGAGCATGGGGAAAGAAAAGAATCCACATGTGGTGGGAGAGCTCATCTATTTGGAGCCTCAAACATGACTTGGTCTGGTAGATTTCTAGGATTCCTAGTTTGTGGTTAAAGCAGGCCCGCGGTGGCCTCTGTTGTGAACATGTATTTTGTCAGTCCCAGGTTTGTCTCCAGGGTGGAAGCCCTAAGAGTCCTAATTAAGTTGTGGTTGTCATTCACTTCACTTGTGGTGAGAAATCCAATTTCCTAATTGGGAAAAATCACCACAAACCAGGACGCGAAGTGAATGAGAGGACGCACTCCAAAATGAAGCCAACGATGCTCTCACTTCCATCTCCTCATTTCTCTCCACCCCCATCCTTTTGTTTATCTTTTCCATCCACTCTGCCTACTTTCCATCAATTCTTTCATCATCATCTTTGATCTCCATCGTTCCATTTCTTGTCCATTCATTTCGATCCCATCCAGGTTCCAATTGCCTTTCGCCATGGGTATCGCCATGCTGCCTGAGCAGGCTGCAATGGCGTCCCCAATCGAAAGCTCATTCCTTCTGCCTGCCAAGGTGTATTGTCCTCCCGGTCCTCCTTCCAACGAGGGCTTGTTCCTCTTGCCTGCGAAGACTTACTCGCCTCCCAGCCCTCCTCCCAAGGATGACTCGCTTCTCTTGTCTGCCAAGGTCTTTTCTCGCCCAGTTTCTTCTTCCAATGACAGCGGGTTCCTCTTGCCTGCGAAGACCTATTGTCCTCCCGGTCCGCCTTCCAATGACAGCGGGTTCCTCTTACCTGCGAAGACATATTCTCCCAGTCCGCCCGCGAAGAGTAACAGTCCCTCCGATTATGGATCTCGCAACTCCCCTGCGTCCCAGGAGGCCCATGGTCGTGCCAATGACCAGTCTTTGTATGCTGTCTCATCTACTTTGAAGAATTATTGCACCACTGTGCCTCCCATAACCGCGTATGGAGTTGTTGCGAGCGCAAATCAATTTGACAACAAGATGGATTATGAAGCTACCAATGTCTCTTCCAACCCTTCACTCGTCAAGAGTCTCAATCGAGCTCCTCTTCTCAACATTCACCCACGCTCGGCTTCCTCTCAGCCATTGAATGATAGAAATTCGAACCGCCCCTTCACGGGCCGATCAGCCTGGGCCGATCCGTCTTTTATCTCGGATTGGGACTTTGAAATGGAACAAGCTCCTGCTCTCGATGAAGATTCCGACATGGAACAAGCTCCTGCTCTTGATAAAGATTCTGATATCTCGATACACTACCCATACTACGACGGATTCGACTTCTGGGAACATATCTCTCTCATTGAACCCGTCACTGTCCCAAGAATGTCTCAGATTCCTGCTGGTTTTGATGATACATCTCCTGACGCCATGGATTGCACTGACATTCCAGCTTCAATTTCAAAGGCCTATCCAAATGACACGATAATTCCATCTCTGGTGCCTGCCCGTCTCTCCGTCTCAATCAAACGCGTACCTCAATATCAGGCGGAAGTGATCAGTCCTGAACCCAAGCGCCGTTGCAGTCAACGTGTTTCAGTCGAACCCTCCTCTGACATTCACACATTGAGCCACACTCCGTCCTCCTTATTCCGACAGAGAATTTCAACCTTCCTCGATGAGTTTTACGATTCTAAGCACTTAAATCAGGCAAATGAGTCGCTTGTTTCTCCTCAACCTCCCACCATAGCCAATCGAAAGAATCTGTTTGGCCCTGGCGGTCTTTTCAGCAACGACCCACCCATCAAGGACCCTGAGATCCTCCAAGACGCACCACCTGCTGGAAAGGAAACACTCCTCCGAGGCCTGGGCAAGAAGCTCAAGCAGCAACTTACTGACATCGTATGTATGCCCTCCCGGCAGCATCATTCCGGACATTACTAACCACATCCTACAGTACCCCTCAAAGTCATCTACAAACTCTCCGACAGGCAGATTCAAGAATCAAATCCAGGTGTCCCTGAATCCTGTTGATCAAGCCAAACTCTTCTCCCAGCTTGAAATGATGATTTGCACATCCGCCAACAATTTCTTGCTTCGACATTACTACGAAGGTCACGTCTCTCAGCATTCCATCAATAAAGTCACCAACCAGTGGAATTCTAAGAATCGGCCCCATGTCAACCAATTTTGTTTTGATCAAGGCACCCAGCGCGAGCTGATCATGGAAAACCGTCGCACCATCATTTTCACCGGTGGTTTTGTTAACAAGGCTGTCATGTTTGACTCCAATATGCGCAACTGGAAGGCCATTGCTATGGAGATGCGCTCTCGCACCTTCTGTCTGCCCGACACTGCCATTCGCAAAATTCTGTACGAGATTCACGAGATCCTTGAAATGCTCGAGGCATCACTTTCAACTCTTCAAGAACTCAATGAAGCACACGCCTGTGCGCAGCTTAAGATGGTCAAGGCTTCTGAGATGAAGCGCTCACACACTCGCAACCGCCTCAGCCGCTGATATGTTCCTTGATGGGCTCAACTGGGTATTCCCACTTCATCCATCCTCTACTGCCTCATCTTCCACTATTTCTTTTCTCGAATCATCGCTCTCAGTTGAACCGTTTCTGCTTTTCTCGCTTGATACCCCCTTTTGCGTCTGCTGCTTCGTCAGCTTTGGTTTTTTCAAACTTTCTGCTTTTTTTGTTTTTTTCATTCCTATTTTCCACTTTTCATGGAAGTAATCAAAAAGTTCCAATGATAGTCAAATGAAAAAGAAAAAAAAACATTATTTGAATATGTTTCTCACTGTAGCTTGTAAACTGGCCCTTGCGTAGTCTGTATAGTGAGTCAAATGGTTGGGTGGCACGTGCAGCGACGTCATCAGGTTCACAGGGGGGGAAAAGCAGGCAGCTTCATATTGCTATGAATGAGTCTCTTCTCTTTCAACTTTCTCTTTACATTATCCTTCTACCTCATATGACTGTCCATCGTGTTTATTCGATTGGATGTATTTGAACTCACTAACTAGTCTGACCAGTTACGGCGCTCGATCATGATCATCTAAAGCGGTGTCGAGATCTGGATCTGGATCCTAGGCTTGATTATTGATCGCCCCCGGACCCTCAAATCTCCAACCACAAAAAAAAGTGGGACCTCATCGGTCCATCATGACGGGCCCTTTCCATACTTATGGCCCGTCGTGCCTCTTGGTGGACGATGAGCCAGAACTGCCGAGTTTCTACTCGCTCACCACCCCGCCAGACATACGGTCCCACTTCTTTTACGTCTCATCACTGCCAATTGACGATCCTTTAGCGCCGTTACCCGCAGCAACTGGGCAAGCATCGGAGGATGAAAAAGTGCCTCCCCAACCATTTTCAGCAAGAGACAATACCGCCTTGGAATCAGCTTGGACTGAGCTACGGAAGTCTTGGCAGTGGAAATCTGGCCACTGTGGATCTCATCCGGAGGCATCTTCATCGCGAAAAGATTCTGGAATCGCCGTACCGAATCAAAGGTCTTCTTTGGAGGGGAACCGTCGCAATGCGACGTCAAGTCGAGGGGATGCCAGTCTGGCAAGCAGCAGAGGCACTCATAGTAACCCCACCTCGGTGCCAGATGTTATGCCAGAAGCCCCCGGTGCCAATGCCACCTACCGGAAACGAGCGTTCTCTTCTGTGAATGAATCATATTCAGCCAAGAGGCGAAGCCGCTCGCCGCCCGACGACGGCGCTGAGGGCCAGGAGTTTACAGGTAGTTTCCAAGGCCCGTCATCCCATACAAGCATCAGTGGATCTCCTTTTATCCGAGCACCGATATCCCAACCAGACAGTCGTCCTACAGGCCGTTCGGTTGAATCGCTGGTGTCAAATGAGGGAGCCGAGTGGCAAACTGAAGTTCGCAGCAATGCTCCCCATCACTCGACCTCGAAGCCATCAGGTCTCCGAGCATCCATGAGCCTAGACGAGATGAGTGCAGCAGAATCCGCAGAGTCTTCGCCTTGCACCGAACCTCAAACAAAGATTCCAGTTGGAGCACTACGACTCCATTTGGTAGAATTGCCCAATTTAAAGGTATGTGGGATTCCAAATTCCTAGTAATACTCACTAAATGGAAAATACAGATGAAACCTATCTACTGGAGCCCTTTGCATGATATCTCGTCAGTCGTCAGAGCAACATGGTTCTACAAGAATACAATGTTGCCAGTCGAGACTGCAGTAGCGAATCAATTAGAACACGGTTATGCTGAACTTAAGCCATGGACAGAGACCTGGCAAGATGAACTGAACAGCTGTGTTGAAAATGGCGCCGATGCAGAGACGAAGGTAGTATACAGACTCTGGCCCAAGAAGGAGCCGAGCTCTGGTACTCGGCCTGGAACTGCGCAGCTTTTGCAGAATAGTGAGCCCCAGGCAATTAGTCCTCCAGTGGATTTGTCCTTCGATATGAACCATGCTTCTGGAGGAACCGCAGCTCATTCTGATGCTATAAAGCCATATCTCACATCCAGTGCCATTTATGTGGATGCAAGGAATGCTCAGATTCTCCGGCCTAGCTTACTTCCATCTGCTGCTCGGGGAAGACGACCACTCAGTGCGATCCGTAAAGGTCGTCAGATTGGCATACCAGTTGTGCGTGGGTTCAACAGGAAATTATGGGATCAGCTCCACCCATCCAAGCCCAACCCGGTAGATGTACGACACTACATTCGAACAAGCCAGTCTCAAACTCCTACCGTCCCTGGTGAGCAGGTATGCTACGCATGCAAGATGGAGGAACTACGCCCGGCGCCGACAGATTTAGTTTTTGTCATCCATGGTATTGGTCAAAAGTTGTCGGAGCGGATGGAGAGCTTTCACTTTACTCATGCGATCAATGCCTTTCGTCGTCAAGTCAACATGGAGCTGAACAACGAGCCTGTCTGGCCCCATGTGCGCCAGGGTCATGGAGGAATCATGGTCCTGCCTGTGAATTGGCGTACAACACTCTCTCTGGAGGATTCATCCCTTGAATCTACAGACGAGGAGGACCCATTTTCCAATAACTACTCTCTTGGCGATATCACTCCTGAGACGCTTCCAGCTGTGCGGTCATTAATCAGCGATGTGATGCTCGATATTCCTTACTATCTTTCACATCATAAGCCGAAGATGATGAAGGCAGTTGTCAAAGAGGCCAATCGCATCTATCGCCTATGGTGCAAGAATAATCCCGGGTTCCAGCAGGAAGGCCGTGTTCACCTCCTTGCTCATTCCCTGGGAAGCGTCATGGCTCTTGATATCCTCAGCCATCAGCCGACTAAGGTTCCTCTATTCACTTTTGCCGATACCCCTCTGCATAGCGATATGTTTGAATTTGAGACCCGCAACCTTTTTCTATGCGGCAGTCCCGTCGGCTTCTTCTTACTGCTGAACAAAGGTATAATTCTCCAATTCTCACACTCTGCCCTCTTTTTTCCTGCAGGGTTGCTAACTCTATTCAGCAAACTTACTACCTCGGAAAGGGCGAGAAAAGCCAGGAAGTGAAGGTGAAGATCGACTTCGCGGTGTAGCAGGTGAACCTGGCAAATACGGCTGTCTCGCAGTTGACAACTTGTACAACATTATGCACAACACCGATCGTATGTACAAAATTCCCATCCCCATTTTATTCCATACTAACTAGAATCTTATAGCAATCGCATACCGAGTCAACGCCGCCGTAGATACAGATCTTTCAAATTCACTCAAAATAGCCTCTATTCCAAGCCCATCATCCACTTTCTGGCAATCCTTTGGCAGCGTCTTCCGCTGGAGCTCTGCTTCTTCAGGCTTCATGCCATCTTCAGCAATGCCAGTTCGTCCTGCCACCATTTCCAAATTACCGTCCAATGTGGAGATGGAGACACACGACTTCACACGTGAAGAAATCGCTGAAAAGCGCATGCTCTTACTCAACGATAATGGTCAGATAGACTATTATCTCTCTGGTGGTGGAGGTCCGCTCAACATTCAGTATCTGAATATGCTTAGTGCGCATAGCAGCTACTGGACCTTGGGGGATTTTGTCCGTTTTCTTGTGGTTGAGATTGCTAGGAAGCAAGGTAGGGATGGAACGTTACTTGCCTTTCGTGCGGAGAAGAAGAAGGGATACAAGTACAGTAAGGGTTGATCATGGATCACATTATTTCTTTTACGTCATAGACATAGATACATATTACTCAATTCCGGGTTTGCATGGTTAATGTGGAGTCTTGGTTGATTGAAATTCCTTGTCATTTGCTCATAGATGTCTACTGGCAGTCTGTCTAGAGATAGATCGAAATCGGTGTATGTGTCTGAAAACCGGACCCAAAACCAAAGATAACAGATAGAAAATGGTGATGAAAATAAATCACAGAGACAAATATTGAAAAGTAGAAAAAAAGAAATACAAAGTCTAGAGAATCCAGCTCCCCTGCATATTTAGTCGTACTCGTCGTAGCAAAAATGCTTAACAGATAAGTCGGGTATCAGATCCATAAACAGGACCCATCATCAATGCCTCCACAATCTCACCCTTGATCCCAACACCGCGTCCAGGACGTAAGACAACAAGTGCATTCGCACGGGCAATGCTGCCAACTCGCGAACTACGCTGTCCAACGCCCTCGATCCCCGTGCTGGTAGCATACAGACGGCCATCAGAGCGCGAGCCTGTCACAACAGCACGGTGGTACTCGGTGCGCTTAGGATCAAGAGGAAAATGATGCGTCAAGACAACCGCCACCTGGGGTAGGCCAAGTTGCGGCGCCATCCAAGGCTTTGTGGCAATTGCTTGAGAGCTCTCTCCCAGGCCGGCAAGTTTATGTAGAGAAGGCAAGACGAAGAGGTTAAGTGTGACGAGTGCTGAGGCTGGGTTACCGGGGAGCGAAAAAAATGAGTTTTGATTTGCGTTCCTGTTGAGATGAAGAATCGGACGCGGATTCTTTGAAGGGGACTGTAGCGAAGGTGGTGGGTTTACCAGGTTTCATAGAAACACGACCGAAATGAATGGTACCGCCGAGTGAGCGTTCAATGGTTGGTTTGAGGAGATCCAGCTCGCCCATTGAGACGCCACCTGTGGTAACGATTACATCCACGCTTGATGAGGCGCGTCCGACACCGCGGAGAGAGTCGCGGAGGGCTTGCTCTAGTTCACTGGAAGGTGTGTCACGAGCAATTCCTAGATCGACGGTCTCAAAGCCCCAGGATTTGAGACATGAGAGTAGAGAGGGTCGGTTTGAGTCGCGAATTTGACCGCCAACAAGCTTGCGGGGATCGTCATGCTCCACGAGCTCGTCACCTGTGCTCAAGACACCAACACGAGGCTTCTTGAATACCTTCACGGTCCGGGTACCTGTAGCTGCTAGTAAACCGATTTCACCAGCAGCTGGGGAGATCAGGTCTCCACGGGCTAGGATCTTGGATCCGAGGGGGACGTCGCTACCGGGCTCGCGAACGTTCTCACCAGGCTGGATATCGTCAGCGAGGATCTCGACGGTGGCTTCTTCGGTGCCGTCGGGGGTTGATGAGGCAAGGACGGTGTCTTCGACCATAACTACGGCGTTGGCATTCGGAGGCAAGGGGGCACCGGTGGTAATTCTGGCAATTGTGCCCGGTTGGAGGGGCTCTAAAACTCCACCGATGTTGGCATGAGCGATTGATGCTACTGGGAAAATACCGTTCGTGGTGACACCAGATTCGTTGGGATTTGGTGCAATAATGGCATATCCATCAACGATACTGGCCCGGTAGGCAGGTACCATCTCGGTGGCATAGACGTCTTCAGCAACTACAGATCCCACAACTGATGTGTTCACTGCGGCTTCGACGACCGTTGGAGCAGGGGTGTGCTCGCTGATAGTGCGAAGGGCTTCCTCCACAGAGAGCATTGGGTAAGGCGAGGAACGATAGCGCCGGTTAGGGCCAGCGGAAGGGTCATTGGATTGAGGTCGGTCTGATGGGGCAGTGTGAGCCTTGGGCACAACATGACCATGGCTATGGTCATGGGCATGATGATGGTGGTGGTGATGATGGTGATTATGTTGACCGGTAGAAATACCAGCATCACTCTCTAACTTCTTGACACCACCAGCATGCAAGCTACGAGAGTTCGCTCCAGCAGACTGCATGCATGCATGAGGTAGAAGTTTTACAACAGCTTCGAGGTTCTCCATTGCTCCTTTTGGGGATCCAGGTAGAGTAATGATCAATGATTTATCGCGCACACCGGCGACTGGTCTAGCCATCATAGCAACTATGGGGAATCAGTGAGATGTTTATAGGGCACAGGCCTGGATGGGTGATGTCATCTCACATGGTGTTACTTTCAACGAAGCGGCGATCATACCATGGCTGAACAAGTTAGTTTTCAAGGCCTCTTAGCGTGGTCTTTTTTTTATTTATTCTTCTCCTCGCGCATGGATATTCGTATACACTTACACCAATCCTGGAGCATGACGATGAATCAGGGGAGACACAGCCTAAAATGATGTCATTTAACAAGGAGAACCGGTTGACCAACAGGACAACAGGTCTTACCTCGGGAGTGTTATCTTTGACTGCGAATCCAGTTCCACCGCTGAGCAAGATGAGGTTATACCAATTGTCTCCATCTGCCCAGTCACATACAGCTTGTTGGATCTGGAACACATTGTCCGGTACGATCTTAATTGCGGGGGGGGTTCCCACTTCCCTTCTTGGGAGAGGATGGGCGCCAGAGCCCCCGCGACCTTGTCAGAAGCGGGGTCCTTAGAGGCAGTATCGGAAACGATTAATATAGCGACCTTGAGATTGAGTTCCATTGTGTGTATTGGTGTGATGTTGTGTGTTGTATGCGGGAAAGTGGAGATTCAAGGAGGTGAGAGGTTTTTGAAATTTATGTAGTTCAAGTTTCCGATAAGGCATGATTTTCACAGTTTAACATTGGACAATCCCGGTGTATCGCGAAACTTCGGGTACAGATACAAAGTGCTGCAACCTATGTCATTAGTATAAGGTCCGTGCTATATTTTCATGTGCTTTTGTTATTATTATAATTATATTATAATTAATATTCTTTGGTTCTATGGTTGATCCTGTCATTTACTGTGGGTATTTGAGGGATTTTCCTGTGGATTCATACAAAAACGCGGGGATTATGGAGCATCATGGCATGTTACTGCCAGAATGAGGGACTCTCATTTGCTATAGCTTCATTACTGTACACATGAATGGTGGACACGATCCTCCTTTCCCCGGATCAGCGATGCAATCGCAGGAATCCAGTAAAAACAAATCATAAAACCCCACAGAGCTTCTCTCTTACGAATTGAATCGAAATCCCAGACGCCCCGATGCTGTGTATCAAAACATAGACACGAAAAATAAAAAGAGATCCAAGGTTTTGTCGCGACGGGAAAAAAAAGGAGGAAACAAGAAAGTATGCCGAGGGGAATCGTATATGGGCGTTCAGGGCTAACTTCATAGGTTCGACTAAATGTCTTGGCCCCAAAGCCCTCCAGGTTAGGCAATCATAACCTCTCTAGCGGGATGTGTGTATGCAACAAGGGTAAGTGCGGCACTACGCTGCACCCATGTCCAGAGCCTTGCCACCCACCAACAGGCCGATAATGAGACCAAACAGACCCAGAACAGAGCTGAAAATCTCAATAACGAGAATCTTGACAAAGCTAAATTATTAAAGATGAAGGTTAGTCACCGCCACACTGACGAAAGTGTGAACATTGGGTAAACGAATTCAGACACATACAGGCTAGGATCGGCAGCGTCAGCAAGGGCAGCGCCACTACCGTTGATACCAACAGAGATACCACAAATCAAGTTGCAGGTTCCAACTGTGATACCACCCCAGAAGAGAGCATATCCCGTGTAAAGGTTACTCATGGTGTAGAGCTGGTCCTCGGGGACGGGACCGAGCTTCGCGGAGAAGACGATCGCCATGATAACTCCGTAGATAGCCACAACCTCACAGAAAATAATGGAGATCAAGTTCTTTGTTCGAATTCGAGGGGCCCGAACACCACCACCAACAATCGAAGAGCCCGTGAGGAAGATACCCCTGTAAATAGTATCAGTGGATTGAGTTCCAATTATCCCGAGAGCTCAGAGCCCGTGACTGGTATTGTGACGAATAATGGGGACATTCCGTACCATGCAGCTCCGACTACAGATAGACCAATGCACAGCGCAATACCGATGTTCGCCCAGGCGTAAGGAGATACCTCTTCGAGAAAGCGGCCGACCTAGAAACGTGTCATGTCAATAGAGTGCGGGAAAGGACCGATTGATTTATTTCCAATAAGCAACATACATTGAAAGCTTCACCTTCTCCCTGGAAGAGCATATCTAAATAGTAGACGCCATGCGTGAGCTTGCCGAACTGTCCATATCATTGGGGATCACAACGTACACAATCCGACCACCACAAAGGCGGTCGTGGAGAGACCAAACAGATATCGGAGAGCCATGACGACCTCAACCTGAAGATAAAGGAGCGAAAAGGCCTCGTGAAACGAAAATGGGGACGAAGAAAGACACAGCTATTGAAGCTGTCGCAGACAGTTGGAGTGGATTGCTGCTTCGGTGGCCGGAGCGGATAAACTCAGGTGCTTCCGAGGCGGTGACAAGTCGTGGTTCCCCAGATCCACGGCTCCAACTTGAACGTGGGATTATCAACCAGAGAGATTGTGTTCACAACTGATTGATCGACTCTAATTCTCCCTTTTTGTACTCTTCTACTCTAGAGGCCCTTTTGTGTGGTAACCACTTTGGCTCACTGTCCGGCGGCGCATTTCAAATTAAAAACCCCCTGAAGCAACGAACCCCCCCTCCTTATCACCAACAAACATGGCCTCCGCCTCCGGGGTAGGGTCGTATTCGAACCCGTTGAAGAAGTTCAAGTAAGTGAAAGATACTTGGATTTGCTGAAATCAGAGGACCAGGTCATTGACAAGAAATCTAGATTGGTATTCCTAGGCGAACAAAGTGGTACGATATCCTCGAAGCTCCTCACATGCTCTCTTAGAATGAACACGAAGGGAAGGATCAAAGAACAACAATTCTGATGATGCGCTGCAGTGGGAAAAACCTCTTTGATTACTCGATTCATGTACGACTCCTTCGACAACACATATCAAGCTACGATCGGCATCGACTTCTTGTCCAAGGTATGCATATTGGGTCGCGCCACAGTTAAACCATTGGGACAAAAATGTATGGGAATGAAATTCTAATGAACTTTGTCTATAGACGATGTACCTAGAAGACCGCACAGTCCGTCTCCAACTCTGGGATACTGCTGGCCAAGAACGATTCCGCTCTCTGATTCCCTCCTACATTCGTGACTCCAGTGTTGCGGTTGTCGTATACGATATCTCGAATGCCAAGTCCTTCCAGAACACTCGGAAATGGATTGATGATGTTCGTGGAGAGCGTGGGAACGATGTTATCATCGTATTAGTTGGCAACAAGACGGATTTGAACGATAAGCGAGAGGTCACCACCGCGCAGGGCGAGGAGGAAGCTAAGAAGAATGGATTGATGTTTATTGAGACCAGTGCTAAGGTCGGCCACAACGTGAAGCAACTGTTCCGGAGAATCGCTCAGGCTCTTCCTGGAATGGAGGGTGAGGCTAAGCAGGGAGAAAGCACAAGTACGTCCATGTCTTATCACACTAACCACTTTTGTACTTCGATACTGACCCAGCTCCCACAGTGATCGATGTGAACATCCACCCCAAGGAAACCACCAACAATGATGGCTGCGCTTGTTAATTATTATCCAACCTCCTTTACACACATCTCCTAATGAGGAGTCGAGTCTGTCCATGATGTTGCACCATTTCTCTTAAGATGTACATGTTTTTCTTCCATTTTTTCCTCCTTGCTCCGGTGAATAGCGTGTGTTTAGATTCTCCAGTGTCGACGCAGTCCGAATTTCTTTTGTGTGAGCTCATGCCAGGAGGCTGAGCGTTATGATTCCCGCTCTCCCGCATTATATCCTGTTTCCTGGTCACGATAGGGTTGCTTTTCTTGAACACGCTGATGGAAGCCCATCTCCTTGGCCAGAAAACTGGTCCATGCCCATATGTCGAATATCCAATAATCGATGAAGCTGTACAATATGGGCACTTCTCTTCCAATCATAAAATGACGGCGCATACAAATCCCAACGCTTGAATTTGTTCTCTTAAGGGCATTAAAAAAAAGCTGAATATGTTCTAGATCTAAGGAATTCCCGCCATAGCACTCCCATTCCCCCATCGATCAATCCCTGCCCAATAATCATGCAGGAACATCTCGTGCAAGCGAGGCACGAAAGATCGTAAAACCGACTCTTGCACAGCAGCTGGAACCAAGCCCTTCCCAATCCAATAATGGCGAACAAGTCTCCCCATGCATCCGAAGTGTGCTGATTCAGGACACCCATTCGCTTCGGCACAAGGAAGCACCTTGATATCTTGCGATCCATTGAAATCATACCGAATGAAATTGCCAAATGCGCCCTGTTCATGCGGCCAATTGAAGCCCCAACGCGAGCATTTTGGATACCGTTTTTCACCCAGACATTCATCCCACGCTTGAAAAAGCTCCTTCGTCCGAGAACTTTGCTGCGCAATCATGAATCCAGTATTGAGTAATGTGCGGCCTCGATCATCGTTGTTTATCGGGTCTGCGGGATCCCGCGCAAGAGCCATGAGGGTCTCCGGAACAATATTCCAGTAATTCAGGAGCCATTCCAGGGGAAGATGTAAGTATGGAATGACTGTGTCCGCGTCTAAGAATACAATGAATCTGTAATGATTCAATTCTTGTCTTATGGCTGGCACTTTACACCAGGTTCCGTGTCTTCGTTTGGGGTCTTGGACTTGAGCGAATTTGTAGTCGTATCCGTGAATTTTGGCTGGTTTGGTCAGTGAATTATGTTTGGATCATGTTTATCTTTTGTTGTATGAGAGATACCTACCGAAAAGGTAATGATTGAGTCGACCCATTGTTGCTGATGAACTAGTCCCATATAAAACAGTGGTGTTGAGGATTTCCCCCGTCCCATTCATAGATCGGGTATCTGCATCGAGTATGAGAATTTCTTTACCTAACGACTTGGCAAAAGGAGGTCTCTGAGGCGAGAAATAAGGTAGTGAGTAAATTATTCCATCCGGGCCTGTGAAGTTCTCGGCATCAACGGGAAGCCGAAGATCCTCAAATAAACCCAGGATACCGGATGCTGCTGGATGATCCCCGGGATGACGAGTCTTCCCCGAAGCCAAAGCTCTGTTAGAGGCCCATCTAAGTCAGTATCCATATTCTCAAGGCTTTTTCCGTGTAATAGCAGAAAAACTCACCGTAAGCTCCAACCTTGTACATCTTTTTCACCAAGCCAAGCAATGTAGAGTAAGCCGAGTGCGTAGAGGCATACCGCGAAGGATAAGAGCCAACGCCGAGTCAAGAGGAACAAAATCTTCTCTATGGCAATCACCATGGCTGCAAAGTAGTCGAGACCTCAGGCTGGGTCATGTTAGGCGGAAGAGGAGGAAGTTGGTCGTCAACTCTTCGTTGAGCTTAGAAGGCGATATGAGAGTATCATTTCAATCCCGAGAAGATAACAACGAGGAGTCATTTGATCGGACATAATTCCGTGGATTCCTTCAGGTCTCATTAATATTATATGTGATGAATCCAGGGTTTGAACCGTGATTAGTATCCATGTCGGTGCGAAACAGCCTGTCCCCTCCTACGGAATAGCCGGGTGCAACATTATGCCAGTAACTTTATAAGTTATGGGCTCTACCAGACAATATCTGCGAGTAGCATTTCTTTGCTCTCTTGTCCATACCTCTCTTCCTTGTGCTGGCTCGGAGTATTTCATGGTTTGAAGATGAATTGCCTTCTTCGGTAGTGTGTTTGGTCTGAACTAGTATGCATGCGTATACAGCTGGAAGTAATCACTGATAAACAGTAATTAACTGAATTCCGCCTGACTCAAGCTAATTCGAATTTTGAGTTAAGAGTAAATCAAGAATAATCCTGGATTCAAAATAGCTATGGTTTTCCAAGGTTGAGAGTCGTGCTATACCTGGATCAAATCGAAGAATGTAGCGCTTGAGATGAGTATTATGACCGGCAAGATTTTTCTTAACCTTCCACTGATCTATAAAACCCTGGAACCAGTTGACCAAACCTTGGAACCTATCAAGGATGGAATTTAGTGATAAGGTTCATATGTCAGCGGCATAAATGTCAACATTTGAAGCCTTTTCAAGTATAATTATTGCTGATTTGAATGGTAATGTGGCGCAGTGGGGACTGATGAGAGCTATGCTTCGGTTAAGCTTAAATGAAATTGAATTCCCGAATGCCGAGTGCATTATTGGCTTATAGTTGGCAAAAACATGTGTAAAGATGTAGACAATAGAAGGATTAAATTTCACTGAATGTGAAATCTAGACCATTTATCTGGATTTGGTTCGACGTAGCGCCTCAAGCCGGTTGATGTGATGTGAAGAATGTGTACTCCTTACACTCGAAATCCTGCTCAGGATCAAGTCAAGAATGAACAAAACGGACCCATCCAGCTGAATTAATTGAGACATCAATACGACCTATTGGCCTATAGCCTCAGGCGTACCGTGTCTGCCTAATTATACCGACCTATCGTGATGCAAGTGGTATGCAAGTGGTGCGCCCGGGTTAATTCCTGCGTAGGGGCGATGCACTGTTCCCCGCATGGGATGAGAGAAGTCACAACTACGCCTCACTACTAGAATTTCAACTTAACAAGATGAATTTCCCAGATGTCTGATCCAGAACTTATCCGCAACCATGGATCCCGTTTCTGCTTTTGGAGTCGTTACAGGCGGTTTCCAGGTCCTTCAGGCCATTGCATCAACCGTTCAGGGTCTCAAACAACTGTACGGCAAATTCAAAGATGCCGATCTTACTATCTGGGCCTTAATCTGCGAGTTGAATAGTATTAGGACCGCTCTGACAGCTCTCGAAGCGTGGTCACCGGCCTACTACCATGGATCTAATGCTGATGAATTTAGTCGAAATTTGGCTATGACCAGGGAAGGCTGTTATTTCATGATGAATATCTTATCTCAAAATGTCGCGGATTTACAGCAGGGTGCTCAGCCTGATACCGGCATGGGATTAAGGATTCGAATGAAGGTTGTGTGGAATGATGAGATGATGAAGGAACACCAAGGGATGCTGCGCGGTCAAGTACAGGCACTGAATCTCCTACTTCAAGTTTACCAATGGTAAGCAAAGAAACGTGTCGATTCTTGGAGGGTCTCCTTGCTTGAGTACTAACAGCTTTCAGTACTTCGCCGGCTGAAAAGAGCCGGTTACTAGGAAGACCCGAAGCTCGTCAGATTATGTCCAAAGTCGCCGATAGTACCGAGGTGCTTCGATCACATCACGGAAGCCGAGTGGGAACAGATGCTGGCGGCCTCTCGAGAACAAGCAGCAGACCGCCGCTCAGTCACCTTGACTTTGATGAGTATTCAACCAGTTCACCAGTATATCATCAACCCCAGCCACAACGGTCGCTTCCAAGACTATCGCTACAGACCCAGTTTCAGTCGAATTCTCCTCAAATTACCCGAAGTGCCTGCTCAGACGAAGGCTATGCTAGCAGCAACTACGCTGAGGCGTTTAATATCGGCGTGTCATCGCTGAAACCACCTCCAGCAAGGCCGAGACATCTATCTTTACCGAATAGCCCATCGACGCCAATGCAGCCACCGCACAGCAGAAGCATATCATACAACCATAGCTTTTCGAGCCCAAATCCAAATATTTCCAGGCAATGGCATTCTGACTCTCAAACTTTTACTCAAGCAGCTCGACCTTCACCGTCAAAATATGAGAAATTCTCAGCTTTTCTTGGGCGCATCAACACCCGTAGCCGAGTACATCTCTCGGCTATATCGCAAGCGAGCTCTCCAAAGGCCAACTCTCCCAATTCTGCCACAAGCCCAACAATGAGCCGAGATAGACGCAATTTTGAGGTTGATCTAAGTCCTAGCATTGATTTGACTACCATCGATGCTGCATTGGTGCCGCCAATTGTGAAAGCTGCCTAAGCTGGCTCTCTGGACGAGGTTGAGCGGCTCATTGAGCGAGGCTGTAATGTGGATGAGCGTCACATCCAGACCGGTCGGAACGCCCTTCTTGTCGCTTCTCATTGTGGGTATGATGCTGTGGTTGCCTTGCTTATTCGAAAGAATGCTCAACTAGCCGTGGTGGATGAGTGTGGTGCCACAGCACTCCATCTGGCGGCTTCTCGAGGAAACTGCGCTGTTCTCGAACTACTTATCAATCAAAGTGAACTCATTGAAGCCACAAATCCCGACGGCCAAACACCGCTTCGAGTTGCTGCTGATCGCGGCCAACTATATGCATTGGAGGTATTGCTTAGCCACAAGGCGAAGGTGAATTCTCGAGCTGAGAGGCTGATGACTGTCCTCCATGCAGCGTCAAAGCGAGGCGACACTCACGTCACCCAGCTTTTGATCTCTCATGGGGCAGATATCGAATGTAAGGACGGCATGATGATGACAGCTTTGCATTATGCATGCGAAATGGGCCATATTGAAGTCATCGCACTTCTGCTAGACCATCGTGCACAAATTGAGTCTCCCGGTCCTGAGAGAAAGGCCCCTTTGATATGTGCGGCTGGGGCAGGTATGATCCAGGCAGTGGACCTTTTATTAAAGCGACGAGCCACTTCGCGCGCCATCGATGATGCTGGGATGACAGCTCTCCACTGGGCCGCTTACAATGGCCATGAAGATATCGTTCAGATCCTCAGTCAGAAGAAAAGTCCTCTTTTGTCTGAGAATCATGCTGGCCAAACACCATTGCATTTAGCAACCCTTAGCTCCCAGTTTGCTGTGGTTGAATTGCTGCTGCGCAAGAACGCTCCAATAAATAGTCAATTCAACAAAGGCTTGACTCCTCTTCACTATGCCTGTGAAAAGAAAAATCTCGAGATCGCCAACTTACTTCTGCTCACTGGTGCCGATACTGAGGCATCTGACTATGAAGATCGTCAAAGAACTCTACATATTGCTGCAGCGCAGAACTCGCCATCGATTTTGAATTTGTTATGTGATCGAAAAGCTATACTCGACGCTCGTGATGTTCTTGGAGATCGGCCACTATGTGTGGCAAGCCGTTACGGACAAGCCGATGCTGTCCAAAGGCTTCTCGAACGAGGCTCCCCGCTCTATTACCGACATGAGAACAGTAGCTTCGAAGATTCGCCTCTTTGTCTGGCTGCCAAAGGTGGGCACTTTGCTGTCGTCTCCATCTTATTAGAGTATGGAGCATCTGCTCTGCGAAAGGACGAAACAGGGTGGCAGCCGTTTCGTTATGCCGCATATCATGGACATCAAGACGTTCTTCAACTGCTCCTTTCCTATAGCAATATTTCCGACATTGACTTTCCAGACATCATGATGATGCCAGAGACTATTGGGTTTTCTACAGATGCCAATATCTCCGATGAGAAAAAGCGACAAATCCAACAGCTTCTTGCGCAGGTTTTTGGACAGCTTAGCCCAGAGAGAATAATGAATGCAAATTCCCATTCACCCTCCATGATATCTCAACCTCCTACAGTGATACAGCAAGGAATCCTCGCTCATAAATACCCCAAATCTTACTACCCAGATTCACACGAACTTGAAACGCCAACATACGGTGAGCTTTCAGGATCTCAGACTATCTTTCCAGAACAACAGCAGTATTCACTCCAGCCTAGAGTGTTCGTGAATGCTAGGCTCAATACACACACTAAAGGAAGACAAGACCACCACCACTCCCCTCGACCACCGGAAATACAAATCTCTCACCCGCCTCCAATACCCGATATGCCAGAGGATTCATGTACCTGGCCGGGCCCTCTTATCAGATATGAAAACCGAGAGTCGAGTGATCATCAATTCCAAGACCCATACGGATCATCTACAAGACTTGGCGATATTTCTACATCCTCAGCAAACCTCACCAGATCATATTCATCTACAGCAACATTATCCCGAAGTGAAATAAATGCTCCAGGGGCATCGACTTCATCCACCAAGCCTAGATTTCACCAAACCATCAGTTCATTCCTACCACAAAGGTCGCGAATACCACGACTTAGGCTACGGCCACACGGAAACCTAGATTCATCATTTACGTAAACTTCACATCTTGATACAAATCCACACTCAGAAATATTACCTATACGTCTAGGACCTGAGAACCCGGTTCATCTTACCACCTATATAAGCCCTAATTTTCCGAGTGCCTGTTACGAATTGGAATGATGAAAGCTTACACGCCGCTTGTTTATGATGGTTATTTTATTTTATTTTATCGCCATGCACCCATATTGCACGTTACATATTCCCCTTTAGGTCCTTTGTTCAAACTTTTGCAAGGCTACTTACTATCCTCTGTTTTATATCAAATTGTTAAGGCTTCAACTAGGAGCCTATATGCCTGTGATACCACTACATACTACTGTGACACTTTCTCGCAACTTGATTCAGATATAGACCATAGAAATAGATCGTTGGATTGATTGAAAATAGTAAATAAAGTAAGAGATTATTTTGTAAGAGGACTCTCGAAGTTCCTCGTAAGGGTGATAAATAGGGGTATATGTGGTATGCATCCGAGTCATGATATTTTCAATGACACCAAAGGATTATTCAGCAGCTTCATATTCTTCCTCCCCTTCCTGCTCACCAGAGGCAGCCTCCTGGGCAGGCTCAAAGTATGGAGCAAACTTGCTCTTCATTCTCAAATTCTTACCATAGAAATAGAAAATGACAGGAATGGGAACAAGAACGGCTGCGAGACATCCAAGGAGAGTAGATGCCCACTGAATACCCATGTTGTCGAACATTTGGCTTGAAAAGAGTGGAAAGCTTGCCGCCACCATGGAACGGCAGAATGTATTTGCAGCAATAGCTGAGGCAGCACTGTGGGTAATTCGTTAGCATTGCGCAGGAAGGATTGTTGGGATTTGGCAACAACTTACAACATGAGGTATGTGTCGATGAGGTAATTGAACAGTTGAATGAAAATAATGAGAAGACCGAAGCCGGTGAAAAGACCACTCAGGGTAGGGACGATCCAATGGACCTTGCCAGTGTATCCAGACCATCCAAACCAGAACAGACCAGCAGCGAAGAGAGCACCTCCAACCATGACAGGGGGAAGACGCCATTCAGGAACAGGGATGCCTCCATGGGCATCCAACTTGCGGTTGTAACCCTTGCTGGAATATACGATGTATGAAGCGGCGATAAATAGACCAACGACCAAGCCGAATAGAGGCAGGCCGCTTTCTCCAGCGTTGAAACCGTACACGCCTTCGAAAACAATGGTGTATGCGGTCAAAAAGCAGTAAAGTAAACCGTAAATGAAACTCAAGTAGATGGTGACGGCCAAAATGAGTGGCTCCTGGAAGAGAAGGCGCAGGGGACGCGAAAAGTTGTTAACGACCAGTTCTCTGAAGTCGACTTCGATTTCTTCCTGCTTTGCGTGAATTCCCCAGTTCTTAGTGCGACGTCGGAGTTCGGAAGCCTTATCAACTAAGACAACAGGTGGGTAAGACTCCTTCAAGAAGAAAAGGTTCATCACAAATGCGGCATAGCCCATAAATGCAGGAATATAGGCTGTCCAGCGCCAGCCCAAGTAAGACATATTAATGTAGCCACCGATGAAAGGAGCGATGAGAGGCCCCAAGAAAACAGTGCCGGAGAAGAAAGCAATAGCAACACCACGAGTGCGGTTGTCGTAGATATCAGAGAAGACTGCAGCAACAACTGCCAATGGCGAACTTCCAAAGATACCACTGAAGAATCGACAGATCATGAGTGTTTGGATATCCTTGGATACTGCCACAGCGGTGTTGAAAATACCAAATCCTAACATAGCGGCGACAATACCGGGGCGACGTCCCTTTAACTCTGATAAGGGTGCCCAGATCAAAGGACCAGACGCATAACCCATAATGTATAAAGTACTGGATAGAAGTGAGACCTCAGTCCCAACGTGGAAGTGTGAGGCAACGTTGTCTGTCGAAGCGCTGAAGATAGCAGAGTCGAAGGTAGAACAAATACTCGTAAAGGCAAGCATGGCAGTGATGTAAACCCTATTGAATTTTTTTCATCGTTAGTGATCTGGAGAACTTTATATGAAATCATTTTTATTAAGAAAATCAATTGAAATTGCACATACTTGGTCTTAGTAGGCCAGTTTTTAGGATATAAAGGGTCATCTGGCCCATCAAATTCTACAACATAGTCGTCGCGATCAGGTAGAGGAGGTGGGTAAGGCTTCCCCGCGCCGAACGCCGGTAGAGGGGTTTTCGAGGCTCGTGACTTCACACTCTCACCAACAGTAAGTTGATGCTGAAGACGTTGTGTTTCGATACGGCTCAAGGATCTCGAAACAACCGATCGATTGCGCTCCAGATCCACCTCTGTGTTTCGCGACTGGAGTCTGTGAAACTGTGGGTTGTATTCCACAGAGCTACTAGACCCTGAGGATCCAGTCGTTCCTGATGTCCCCGGTCTCTCTGTAGAGTGCCTGGGCTTCTCATTATCCCACTGAGAGGACTGAGCACCAGCATCGACCTCAGCATTCTCGATCTCCTTGTCTGTGATGTTCTCCATGGCGACCGGGTGAGATGCGTAAGTCTGGTCGAGCTCTTATCTCAGGCTCGTGCGCTTGCGACACCTGGAATGCGCTTTGGCAAAGATGAGATAGCGGGGTGAAAGACTAACTCAACAGCCAGGGATTCTGTTTATAATAAACAAGGGTTTCTTTTTTTCTTAAGTGGCAACCTATATTTAAAAGGGTCTTGGAGCGAGAGGAACTGGATCCGACTTAACCGTTCCCGACCCACTATCGAAACGCGGCGGCTTTATCATATATGCACAAGTGCCGAGCAAGTAAGCCAGAGGCAGGATTTTAATGTGAGTTTGAATTTTCAATCTTGAATATTTTGTGATATATCATTTATTCAGATGGTTCAGTTTGATTCTATCTAACTAGAATCTCATTTTTACATGTAAAATTGGGTTAAATGTCGTGCATCTCCTATTCTTCACTAAATCCGAAAACATCAAGCTATGGATCGTCATCTTGCGCTAGTGGGAAAATTTCCTGTGCAAACAGGTCTGATGTCATTCATTGGCCCCATGATTCAAGTCATCCATTCTATTGTGGATATGAAATTAATAATTAAGCCCGAGACCGAGATAAAAAGTGGCCCCCCAGTGGCCAGATCCGGCTCCGTCCCGTAACTATTATGGGAGAGTAAATTTTAAGAATGTTACAGGAACATTCCTGGAATCTTGGCGGAAGCCTCCATGTATATCTTGGAGGTCGTCAGATCGTATATTAGTCCGAATAAGCGGATGTATCAAATTCCGTAAATCAGATCTAATCTTCAATGTTCAGCCCTGGAGGGCTATGCATCGGTTAACTCGGAACCTTGGAAGGCAGAGTTATGTAGTGTTCATGTATGCGCAATACTATGGAGCATAGAACTGCATCCAAGTTTCTAATCTTGAATTTCTGCTTTATTCTATCATGCTTTGAAATCCAACAGTTGAACAGTTGAAGTAGTATGTATGTCCAGGGCTCTATTACCCCAGCACATGCATATCACAACGGTCTTCCTGCAGCACACTATTAATAGGTTAACTTGAGTAAACATGATACCAGATCTAGCCAAGGTTATGAATGAATGTTTCTATTATCCACTTCCAAGTAGCATAGCTTTATGCATGAATAAGAAACATCCCACCAAGAACCTTGGAATTCCTTTTTGACAGTGTTGTGGAGGATCGATGGAAGATCAGCCTGTTTTGGAATGACCTTGAAAGATCTCCCGCGATGAGCCATGATCATCTTCAATGTTTGTATGTACACCTCATATCATACCTATTACTTATTCAAGTTCTTGGAACATTCTTATATTCAATCCTATTTCAATGTTCAAATGTTGGACAAATAGATCCTGGTGATGTCATCAAGTAAGCCTTTGAGGCTCCTTCATTGATGCCTTAGGCCGACACAGCCCAGGAACAACATCATGATATCCACTGGCATGGATGACCCTGTCATACATCGAGGACTAGGGCGGGTACATAGTGAGGGAATCCTCGGTTTAATCCCAATATTTATCACTGTTAGTCAACTGGTTTTCCTTCAAGTCTCCGGCGAATCAAACCCGTGGACTTGAACATCCTCGCACTTGTGTTTAGCCCCCACGGATTAGTACTAGCTAGACTGCCTAGGTGGCATACTATTTTTATTTCTTTCTCCAGATACTATCTGCTCTGGATTTATTTTGAGCTCAAGAAGAACAATGAACCCTAGAGATTCACAGGTATCCGTGCGCAGATTTACTACATCTAGATAGAACCATGGAAAGATTCGGCGCCACCTAGTGCTAGATACTAGTAGAGTACTCTATAATAACCACAAGAAGCCTCAGGGACGGATGCCCGGGTAACCAATCCTTAGCATATTCTCTAACCTGAGGATTCATAAAGTGGAAATTAATCACCCTGAGCTTTTAAAACTCAAGAAATGAGAACTTGAAATCATATTGGACGTAATTGACACATCGTACTATGGGGCCAAAGGAAGACTCGGAGTTGACAGGACTACTCTCTCTTGGATTTCTTGACGGAGTTCAAATATTGACAACAAAAAGAAAATGAATAATTTCAAGTATGATTTGAACAAACTGCATAAACGAGAAAATTTACATAAAACCCTGCAGTCCCTTGGACCCGAAACCGCAATCGGGCATCGATCAGCGAAAACTGCGGATCAGCCGGAAAATAGCGCCCCTGGATCATTTGCGGTCCCATAATATCCCAGCCTTCTCTTTCCCTTTCAACCCTTCCATATATACTCAGTCCCCTACTCTCATCATTCTTTCCTTATCAAACATCAGGATGGGGCTCGCCCGTTTATTCCGCATTCCGCGGCCAGAGGTAAGGATCACGTACATCCGGAATTTCCGCTTTTGAATGTTTGATGTTTGAATGAAAGCTGATTCAGACCGTCACTCTTCAGTCTTTTCTCTATCTTATGAGCCTCGAGACCGGTGCTTCCCTGATTACATTATCGCTTCTCTTGAATAAGATCAGTGGTCTCTATGGCCTCCTTGCCTTGTTGACCGGTTACCACCTCTCACCGGTACAACTATCTATGTACCTGTATTCTCTCATCGCCCTCGCTCTCGCCGCCATTCTCTTCCCACACATCCGAAAACAATCTCCCCTCGAGTGTCTCGCGCTTGCTTGGCTATACCTCATCGACAGCTTGATCAATGCCGCCTATACCGCCGCCTTTGGTGTGACCTGGTTCCTGGTCGTGTCGCAGGGTTACGACGGTGGCAAGGCCTCAGGACCAGGTAGCGAAACGATGGCACAGACCGCCGGCTTTACCAGCCCCAAGTACGATGCCGCTTACGTCGAGATTCAGCCTACAAAGGATGGAAACAAATTTGTCCCCCACCCACCTCGCGGTACCGATCACCTCAGCAACGTTGTCGCTCAACCCGAGAGCTTCCAGAGCATCGTCTTCATTTCGCTCCTCTGGGCCATGCGAGTCTACTTCGTCCTGGTCATGCTTGCCTTCGCTCGTGAGACCCTGCGCATCTGGGTCGCCATTCCCGACACACTCAACTTCCCACTCACAGTCGCAATGTTTCCGTGGCTAGTGTGGCTGATATCGACCGTGAACCCTTCTCGGCTCACAGCCCCGAAGGTCAGGGCTGGAAGGGCAAACTGGGTCGCATCATGGTTGGAATCGGTCACAGTTACTGGCTCGGCGAAGAGGAGGAAGGCAACTGGCTGGGTAACCTTGGCCAGAAGTTCCGTAGTCGTTCCCAGAACACCGCCAACGAGCTGCCGGGTCCCTTGGAGCGGGAGCGAAGACGCCGGTCGGGCACAGGACCTCCTCAACCATCTCAGTCGATTATCCGCTCCGGTATCATTCAACAATCTATTCCTGAACATCCGCCAATCAACACCGGAATGAACGTCAAAATGCAGGACTGGCCTGAATCTCGCTAATTGGGGGCCAAATCCCCCAGTTTCCACGCTTGGAGCTGTATTCCCCTAATATTTTTCTCCCCGTCACAGCGCCTGCCCATCCTACAGCTTGGCCCCCACTCCCCTGAGTCGCCACTAACGGTTGACAAAAAAAGTCCCCTCTTCTCGGGCTGGGTACACCCCCTCTGTATGAAAGGGCAAAGAACACGATCCATCTTCAAGGCTCTCGTGTTCGTACTATCGTTTCGCTCAAAAGCTGAGCTGAGCCCGCACTCGCTACAGCCTCGATCTTCGAGAGCACCCCCGCTTCAAAGCTTCATGCTTGAACGGCATCACGACATGTATATGAACAAAGGGCTTGATTGAGCCACATTACACGGAGATTTCGATAAATCACATATCACCTGATAGCTATTTGATTGTATGCTCTACTGGAATGTGTTTTTTCTTGTTATCGCGGAGTTGGTGTAGATTTAAATGATCTTGAGAGCCGGATTGATTTTTACTCTCGGTGTGCATCTTATTCTTCATTTTTGGCGTTGGAATATGTACATTGACTTGATATGGGATGACTTCTACATTGGCAGAATGGCGGATATGGGATAACCATCTTCCAAAGTCAGGTTTTTATATGGATTTGATTATTGTACACACTAGTTATCCTTGGCTATGGAACATACATACATCCGTCTTATGACTCCAAAGTACTTCGTACTTTTCTCTCAGTATTCCCATCTAGAGATATGAGAGCTCTATTCTCCAGAGCTTCGGTGAACTCCGTACAAAGACCCGACTCTAACCAGTCTGATTTCACATGCACGGTAGCCTTCAGCTTTGAGAGGTTCCATTCTACCTGTCAACTTGAATGTTAGAGAATTATTACCTCGTTTCAACCCGATCGTCAGGAAAAGAACGCCCCAGCCGACGAGTAAGCAGCTGTAGAGGATATTTTCGAGATATTTACTAGTATCTTGTGCTACAATGTCAGACGATAAAAGGGAACGGGGTACTCCATAGTAGATAGCGTTTTCTTCTTTAGGATGGTGTAATGTTCAGAATGAAAGAAACAAACATAAAATTGATCCCTCACATACATCACTAGCAATGCCCCCTTTCTTTTTTTTGAAGGTTGTATCAGCAACGCCACAGGAGAGCAACCCATGTCAGTTGCCCCTCGATTTCAATTATCAGACAGATCTCAGTGTTTGGCCCCTGTTCAGGAGAGATAGATCAATCTGATGACCCTTTTGATATCAGTTGCAAGAAATCAGATACCGGTGAAGTCCTCGGAGAAACCAAAGATCTAACATCGGGCCTCGATTGGGTAGTTTATCTACTCTGAAAAAGAAAAGAAAAGTCAATAAGGAGTACTCGAGGTCTTAGTATTGAAGATAAATTATTCAGAATCAAATTGATCAATTTTCAATTGAAGATAAAGATTGCATGACAGAAAACCGCATAGTTGATAGCCCCTATTCTGGATCCATTTGCCTGTTCTCAAATGTTTTCCTTACTTTTTTATAGAATCAACTGCCCAATCGATGCCCGATATCAAATTTTCGTTTCTCCGAGGCTTGCTCTGGTGGATCTACTGGAGCCTGGTAAAGGTTATCTACCCCATTCTGAGACGACCCGTCACTGTGGCTTGGAGCTAAGATCATCGGCTTGCGCGTGATCAGGGGAGATCAACATCTGAGGTTCTTTGTGCTTTTTTACATAGTAGGTATCAATTGCGTATATCAGTGCGTGGTTTAAATCGAGCCTATGATTGAAATTGATTAGGTTCCAGCATTTCTTATATTTAATTTGATCTCTCTCTTTCTTACTCCCAATAACCCTTTAATCACTATGTCTATCTACTATGAACTATTTCAATCTTATGGTGAGTCTCCTACTAGTAGCACTTCTCTTATTCCTCACTGCTTGAATATCCTTGACTGATCATCATGATATAGTAATTAGCGAGTCACGAGTTGATCTATGGGGTTGAGTGCTCCTGTCACTTGAGGGGAAGATATTTTTGATTACATCAATACCAAGTCACATTTCAAGGTATGTCAGCTCTCTGAAGCAGCCTTTCATGGAATTGCGATCTAAACTACTAGGAAATAGATGTTCGGGATCCAATTTGATGCCATGGGCACTTATCTCGTCGGAACCCAGACAGAACAATTACACGTCTCCTTCGAAGAGATGATATCATGCACCGGAGGAATCATCGGTCTCCTCGAATACGGCATAACCTGGAAGGTTCTAAAAGGCATACTCGGCAATATTCGAAACCGATTATCACGGCGCGCGGACACATGTCCGGAAACTGAATCCACAGTTTGGATTGATAATTCAGGGCCCGTGCTTTACGAGATCCGACACGGAGTCGAATATATTCGAGTTAGTCCACAGGACTTGGAGTCTTCTCGATTTGGGAAAGCAATGAAGGACTATTGGGATGGGGGCATGGTTGAGACTGGTGTTGGGTGGAATATGCAGATGATGATTGAGGCATTCTTTGTTGGTCTTTGGAGGGCTTTTTTGCGGTGCATGAAGCCGAGGAAGCACTGATATGACCTGTTCTATGCCGTGACGATTTCAAGTTTCAGACATCGAGACCCCACATGCACTGGCAGTCTTGTCCATCCAATGGCTCATGCACATACACCTACTATGTCGAGGTATATGAATATGCCGCGGCTTCAATGGTTCGAATATTCGGGACCATTCACCTCAGATGCTTCAATCACAACCGCGTGATATTGAAGTATCAACCCCTTATGAGCTTGAATTGGCGCTCTTAGTGCCAGAACTTTGGGCTCATGTGCTTCAGCTTGCATGTGAAGCAAGTTTTCAATTCAATTGTTCAAGTTGCTAGAATAGCCTGGACTACTCGCACGTGCGAGTTATAGACATCCAGACTACTAGTAACACTATGAAACCTTGGATGTGACCGTGATGTAAATAGTGGTATATCATGATCAATATCCCGGTCTCACGATTGATACCCCTCTGTGCTACACACATGCATGTGTGAGATTGGGTCTGTTTTTATTCAAAATGTTTTGCATCATGATTGATTGATACTATCTATTCCACATGTGCAGATGTCCACGAGTACAACCTTGGAAACTTGAACTCTCGGATCTAGAAACTTGAATCCGAATCATGATTTACTAGGTAGTAGAAATCCATTGAAATTTTACAATGCATGTTCAACCAACGATTCAATCTTGCTCAGGTGGAATATTCCAAGATTTCCAAGGTTTGATGTTCAAATGTTGCTAGTATGTACTATGTAGTACTAGTAGTATGCCCAGGTGTCAACCAGTACATACTAGGTAGGTAGGTACATCCATGGATATGTAAAACCTTGGAAGGTTGTACTATATATTGTGCTCTCACATGCACATGTGTGCACTGGCACAACTTGAACTTGGTCCACCGTCACAATTGAGTATGAAGGTACCTAGGTGGTAGCTGCTAGCAGTGGACTTGAGTACTATTATTGCCAGGGCTATTTTAATAAATTCAAATTGACGGAATAGCTCAGGCTCATAAAAATCAATACATACTGTCCCTTCATGTAGTTGGCAAACATGACGACTATCTCAATTGTAAGATTGACTTACATAATGTACAGTTGTTTGATTGGCGTAGTGGTTATCGCGTCCGTCTTACACACGGAAGGCCGCAGGTTCGAACCCTGCATCAAACAATTTTTTTTTGCCTCTAGGATATCTGGACTTGCTCTATATCTTTTTATCTGGGTTGGCTACATCTATGTACGAAAATTCCGATCTACTTCAGGGCTAGGATGAACAGCCGGATTGGGAACTTATTTCTAAGCAATACCACAATTTTTTTTTGCAAACCTGAAGCTCTCGACCGAGAATCTTGGAACACTTGCAAATCGGTAATTGCCGCTATGCCATTGGTAGGGAGACCAACGCGGTGAGTCCATACGCCGGTGAGCAGGCCGTAAATTCCATGATAAGTTCCAAGGTTAGGGGGGCATATATGCATAATTTACACAGTTAATATTTTCATGCAAATAATTAGACTAATTAGGATTATATTCCATGAAAATTGATTACTCTGATCAATAATTTCTATTGATTATATGCAGAGACTGCCATAGCAAATGCCGACCCTAGTCATGACGTGCTCACTCTTAGTCACAGGATCCCCCGCACTATCGCCCAAAACAGACTGTTTGCATACGTTAAAGTATAAGTTTGCATTGATGTCGTGATCGTGCACCAATCAGGGTGATGCTGATCTAACCCCGATGGCGGAGAACTGACTGGATGCCATGAAGAAAACTTACAGGCGGGACTTTTTTTTCTTTCTATTTTGTTGGATTGATCTAGTGAACGTGCGAAGGGACATCAATTGTGTCATTACTCTTGTCCCATCTCCTTGTTCTCTTTGGTGGAACTGCAATAGTGGGAGATCGCTGCATGCGCCGATAAGCTAATATCGCGAGCGCCTGTTTCATCCCACTTTGTGGTGTGAGCCTCACAATTACTTGCCAGCCATGGCGTCTATTACATCCGCTGGCGAAGCCGGTAAGTTTAACTTCAAATAGCTTGGATCAGCCTCAATTTCAATTACTAATAACTCTGTTAATTGTATAGTGGCCAGAATCGCCTACCTGGCCAGCGACCTCGTTCTCTCTGTCCAGCCATCTCTCCGGACGGATTCCCTGTTCTCCAAGTCCCTCAAGGCTTTAAAATCAACCAAGACAGCTAGTGTAGTGTCTAGGGACTCCCCTGAAGTGAGTTTCAACAGTTACTATACATTCGAATCCATGAATTAAACTAATATCCACCCAGGTGCAACCTGTGCGCTTCAACGAAGACCCTCTCCTCTCTGCTTTCTACCCTCTCCAGAAAGGCGAGACTGTTTCAGTTGTTACTGGATCCTCTATTTTGATCTCATCTGTCCCTCACCTGTACCGCCTTGCTAGCTACCCGGTCGTCATTCATGTCGCTCTGGAATCCTCCCCATCACCGGACTACTCCGTGATCAGCTCCATTCGCCAATGCGGCTTTACATTCCTGCACTCCGAGACCGTGCAAGAGGCTCAGGACATTGCTCTTACTGCTCATGCTCTGGCTATCAAGTCTGGAAAGGGTGTTATTCACTTCTTCGATCCTGCCAACTCCGCCAAGGACTCTCCTATTTCTGTCGAGGACCGCGAAGTTGTACGAAAGGTTCTTAACCTAAGTGGAAGCATTGCTTCTCACAGTGCCACCGGAGAGCAGAATTTATATGCTGACTCCGGCCGCGTGGCTACTGTTTCCGCTGAGGCAGTTGGTACTGCTCCTGCCCAGGGTGAAGTTTCCTCCAGCTTGCCCGCAGCCTCTCAGACTCAGACCCCATCAAACGTGAGCGTCGACAACTCTTCTGTTGGCTCATCAAGACGTGAGAGCAGTGCTGGAAGTGAAGCTCCCAGCTCCACTGCTACTACTGTTGAGAATGCTAGCGTTCGCCCTGTCAACGCTGCCGATATCTTTGAGTGGACAGCTCAGATCTGGGATGCTATCTCCCAAGAAGTCGGCCGCAGCTACAGTGCCATTGAATACACTGGCCCTGCGGATGCTAAGTCTGCCATCTTTGCCTTTGGATCTACTGGAGTTTTCGTGGATGCTTTGTCCAACGTTGGTGCTAACGCCGATCTGGAGAATGTTGGTCTCATTACCGCCCGCGTCTACCGCCCATGGGTTGGTAGCCAGATTGTGAACTCCATTCCCACTTCTGTCGAGAAAATCGCCGTTCTCGAGCAGGTTCGCAAGACCACCAAGTGGGGACCTTCATTCATGGATTTGCTTTCCAGCTTGACCCCCTCTACTGTTCGCGGACAGGAGTTGAAGATTGTTGGATACCGCCTGGGATACGTGGAGCCCTCCACCGCTGTCCAGGCCCTGCGTGGAATCGTTCAGAACCTCAATGCTCCCTCCCCTATCCAGAACCTGGATATTGGAAGCTCCAAGGCCCCTGCCCCTCAATCTACTCTCGAGCAGCCCCGCATTGAGAACGCCTACGTCAAGATTTTGAACCAACTCTTCGGAGAGAGTCTCTACATTGCCAACCAAATTGATGCCAAGGATGCTGGTATCTCCTCCACCATTGCCGCTAGCCCTGAATATGGATTTGGTTCTTTGATCGCTCGCAAGGAGCACCGCACTCGCTTTATTAAGGAAGTCGAGGAAGCCTCCAAGTCTACCACCTTCGCCACAGATACCCCTAAGACTTGGTTGTCTCGCTGGGCTTTGAGCGCCAATGAAAGCGCTAAGGCTAACAAAATTGCCCCCGATGTTATTGCTCGCCTGGCGAACGATGGCTCTAAGCTTTCTCGTGAGCTCTTGCAGTCTAAGAAGCTGTTCTACGACGAGTCTCAGTGGCTCATTGGTTCCGATGCCTGGGCTTACGATCTTGGAAACTCCGGTGTTCACCATGTTCTCGCCTCTGGCGCTAATGTCAACATGCTGATCATTGACTCGCAACCATACTCTGAACGCACCGCTGCGGACCCCACTCGCCGCAAGAAGGACATTGGTCTCTACGCCATGAACTTCGGCAATGCTTACGTCGCCTCTACTGCCGTGTACAGCTCATACACTCAGGTACTGCAGGCTATGGCTGAGGCTGAGCAGTTCAAGGGTCCCTCCGTCGTTGTTGCTTACCTCCCCTACAACAAGGAAGATGATTCCGCTCTCACTGTTCTCCAGGAGACCAAGAAGGCCGTTGAGCTTGGCTACTGGCCCCTCTACCGCTGGAACCCTGCCAACGAGGAGAAGGGTGAGCCCAAGTTCGCTCTGGACTCAGAGCGTATCAAGCGTGAGCTAGAGGAGTTCCTTCGCCGGGACAACCAGCTTACACAGCTCATGAACCGCCAGCCCAAGTACTCAGCTGTTCTCTCTGAGTCTTACGGCACCGAGGTCCGGGCTCTGCAGAAGCGCAAGGCTAAGGATTCATATGAGAAGCTCTTGGACGGTCTCTTCGGTGCTCCTCTCACCATTCTGTTTGCTTCTGATGGTGGCAATGCCCAGAACATTGCTAAGCGTCTTGGCAACCGTGGTCGTGCCCGTGGTCTGAAGACTATGGTCATTGCTATGGATGAGTACCCCGTCGAGGATCTGCCCACCGAGGAGAACGTTGTGTTCATCACTAGTACTGCTGGCCAGGGTGAATTCCCTGTTAATGGTCGTTCTCTGTGGGAGCATGTCAAGAACTCTGGTGACCTGGATCTTTCCGCCATCAACTACTCCGTCTTTGGTCTGGGTGACAGCCACTACTGGCCGCGCAAGGAGGACCGTATCTACTACAACAAGCCTGCCAAGGACCTCGACGCCCGCGTTGCTTTCCTGGGTGGCCGCAAGCTTATTGATACTGGTCTGGGTGACGACCAGGACCCTGATGCTTACCAGACTGGTTACTCTGAGTGGGAACCACGCCTGTGGCAGGCATTGGGTGTTGACAAGGTCGAGGGCCTGCCCGAGGAGCCTGCTCCTATGACCAACGAGGATATCAAGATCCAATCCAACTACCTTCGTGGTACCATTGCCGAGGGTCTTTTGGATGAGTCCACCGGCGCTATTTCTGCCAGTGATCAGCAGCTCACCAAGTTCCACGGTACCTACATGCAGGACGATCGCGATGTTCGTGATGAGCGCAAGGCTCAAGGTCTTGAGCCCGCCTACAGCTTCATGATTCGTTGCCGTCTCCCCGGTGGTGTCGCTACTCCTAAGCAGTGGCTGCAGATGGATGCCATCAGTAGCTCGCACGGTAATGAGACCATGAAGCTCACTACCCGTCAGACCTTCCAGTTCCACGGTGTTATCAAGCGCAAGCTTCGTGGTGCCATGCAGGCTATTAACCAGTCTTTGATGGATACTATTGCTGCCTGCGGTGACGTTAACCGAAACGTCATGTGTAGTTCCCTTCCCGAACTCTCTGAGTTCCACCGTGAGACTTGGGTTTGGTCCAAGAAGATCAGTGAACATCTCCTCCCATCTACTACCGCCTACCACGAGATTTGGCTCAAGGACGATGCCGACAACAAGATCCAGGTTGCTGGAGATGCTGTCGTCGACCACGAGCCCCTTTACGGCCCTACCTACCTCCCCCGAAAGTTCAAGATCACAATCGCCATCCCCCCTCACAACGACACTGACGTCTATGCCCACGATATTGGTTTGATCGCCATTAAGGGTGCCGACGGACACCTGGAGGGTTTCAACGTTTTGGCCGGTGGTGGTATGGGTTCGACCCACAACAACACTAAGACCTACCCCCAGGTTGGTCGCATGTTCGGTTTCGTCCCTAAGGACCAGGTCCACATCGCTTGTGAGAAGATCATGCTTGTGCAACGTGACCACGGTGACCGCAAGAACCGTAAGCACGCCCGTATGAAGTACACCATTGACGATATGGGTGTGGAGGGCTTCAAGGCCAAGGTCGAGGAGTTGATGCCCGAGGGTCTGCGCTTTGCCGAGCCCCGTGCCTTCAAGTTTGCCTCTAACGTCGATATCTTCGGCTGGCTGAAGGACGAGAAGGGTCTCAACCACTTCACCTTCTTCATTGAGAACGGTCGTATCGAGGATACCTCTGACTTCAAGATGCGCACTGGTCTCCGTGAGATCGCCTCTCTCGGCAAGGGAGAGTTCCGTCTTACCGGTAACCAGCACTTGATCATGTCCAACATTACTGATGAGGACCTGCCTCTCATTAAGGAGACTATGGCCAAGTACAAGCTTGACAACACAGCCTTCTCTGGACTGCGTCTGTCTTCTTCAGCCTGTGTTGCTTTCCCCACTTGTGGTTTGGCTATGGCTGAGTCCGAGCGTTACCTGCCCGTCCTCATCTCCAAGCTCGAGGATACCCTCGAGGAGAACGGTCTGGCCCGGGATAGCATTGTCATGCGTATGACTGGTTGCCCCAACGGTTGTGCTCGCCCATGGCTTGCTGAGGTTGCCTTTGTTGGTAAGGCCTACGGTGCTTACAACATGTACCTGGGTGGTGGTTACCACGGTCAGCGTCTGAACAAGCGCTACCGTTCCTCTATCAAGGAGGATGAGATTCTCGACATCATGAAGGATCTCCTCAAGCGCTACTCTAAGGAGCGTAACACCGACGGCGAGACTCCTGAACGTTTCGGTGACTGGTGTATCCGTGCCGGTGTCATCAAGGCCACCACTGATGGAACCAACTTCCACGAGGGTGTAAGTGAACTATTTCTGTGACTGCTTATGAAGTGACAATGCTAACATATATCAAATAGGTCGCCGAAGATGAGGAAGAAGAGGAGTAAACGCTGGAGTAATATCCAGTCTATCATGTCAGACGTGTTACGACCGCCATTGAAAACCTAAAATTTCTTCTTTTTTTTGCGATAATTCTTGTCTATACCTTCAATGTTGCTTGCTTGTATCTAGAGATGCATTTTTTATTGGCGAACAATTGATTCCGCTCGTGCAGAAACTCATACTGGTTTTGATTCCTAGATCCTTTTTCACTGTGTATCCACTGATGCAATATTCAAAGAATCAATTGAGAATAGAAAAATCAGAATTAAAGCGTCTCCTACTTGTATTTTGTTGCATAGAATTGCTTGTCAACTGGTGGAAAGATGATTGATAGCTTGGCGGTGAGAGCCTCGTTTTCTGCCCCCCGCTTATCGATAGAGAAAAAAATGACATTCACTGCTAGACAATAGTACAGCCCTAGAGGAGGGTTTAAATTCGCAATTCTCTTTTAAATATACTCACCAACTGCTACTCTTAACCCGCAACAATGGGCTCAATTGAAGAAGAAGATCCCGTCGTCGCCTCCTACGATGTATTCCTCACCGATTCCGAAATCTCTCGTTACGTTTTCCAGTATATCGACAGACCCCAAGACCTCCCCTACAATGCGCGCCAGGAGCAAAAGCCCCTAGAGCTTCGAATGAAACCCAGCACGGGATTGGTCGAGATCGATGTTCCAATTATGACTGGTGCGACCTATACCCAGGAGAAAGGTCTGAAATATGGTGAAGCTATGAGGAAAAGTCGCTCCGCCCGTGACGGAGGTTCATTTGGTGTTGCCGGTGGTTTCAGTGGCGGAGCCATGGCCTCTAGCGGTGCCATCAGAGTCAAGACCGAGGGTCCCAGCGAGGTGGAGGTTTTCGATAAGAAGAGGATGGTGGATGCGAGTTCCTTGGTTACGACACAGGCCATTGGTGGGCGCATCAAGCCCGCAGAGGAAGGAGACCCTGTCCATATGCTCGGAACATTTAAAGGAAGTATGTTTACTCCTGTTTTATGTCTGGATCTCTTCGGGGATGAGATAATATCCTGTGGATGGAGACAAAATGCTAATTAATGTGACTAGAAAACCTGCACCTCTCCCCCGTTACAGCTGTGGTGCAATTACAACCTCAAGTCCATCACTTGGATGCCATGGACGAACTCCCCAAGGGACGTGGTGGCAAGAGCAAGAAGGAGGATGAAGAAAGGACAGAGCCCGAAGCTCGCGCGATTGATGTTAAGGTCAAGGGCGCAGAAGAAGGCGGCGCTATGCTTGCTGGAAACCTCGAACTTCTCAAGAGAATGCAAGAAGAGAAATGGAAGAAATTCGACTGGATTGATGCTGAGGTATGTCTTCCGGCTTAACTGCCAACCTGCAATGAGTTTCCTGGTATCTAACGCCATTTGAATGACAGACCGAAGAATCTTGGTACACCTATGAGAACTTTATGATGAATCAGAACCCAGAAGAACTTCCTCAGCTCGAAGCGAACATCAACAGCGAGACATATCTCGATGGCATGAGTGCTCCCCGGATTGACCCGGCCCATCCAGAGCTGACAGGGTGGGCTATGAAGCAAAACCGAGAAAAGCAAAGAGACGGAGTTTCAGAAAGCGAGGATGAAGATAATTGATATCTTTGTTCTATGAAAATGAACATGATTTCCGCCATGGAACACGAATAATAATGAAAGACTTTTCGTAACGATTTCTACTTCAACATTAAAGATTTTGAAATTAGAGCTCTTAATTACGCATTGAGATGAAATTTCGCCGTCATAGTATGGGGCTTATCACAACTAACTTTTCAATTTAATATCTATCTCTTTATCAAGACATTTATTCCATTTGTACAGTAGTCATAGTGTATCAAGTGCTTCATTTGATGAGTCTCATTCCTGATCCACCAATCACTGATTAAGTTCAGGTACAGTCACGTGAAGTCACGCGTCCCTATTGTAATCCATATCCGCGACTGCCCTTTTTTTCATCCCCGAATTGATCGTGTGCTCATCCCCCTTTTGCCTCCTCCTTTCTTTTCTATCCTTCTCGTTTACGGAGGGCTACACCGACATCGGGAATTCGACCCCATCCGCGGATATCGCATCCCCCGTCGGATCAGTCTTATTCCTTTTGCTTCTTTTATCTTTTTTTTTTTTCGGGGCGCTACATCGGATCGACCATTTTGCATTTTCCATCCTCCTATCATTCTACATCATATTATTTAATGACGACTCTCCTGATATATTCTTTTAATTGTCGATTTTGATTTACGCTTTATCAAGCATATTTGCATCATGTTGTCCCGACTTGCTCGTCAGAAAAATGCCATATTTCATCTACGAAAGGCCAATGCTCATCGAGCATTGGGCGCATCTTCAATTGTGCGTCTACACTCGAACACAGCTCGATCGAGTCCTATGTTGAATCCTTCGAATACGGCATCTGAAAGACGCAGGCCTTCTCTTCAGTCGCATCGCAGCCTTGCCACTGCCGCCGATCCGTTCGTCCTCGATCAAACCTCCTACTCCTCTTTCGCCGATGAGGCCTCTTTATCCCAGTCCTTGGGTCCGTCTACGAATCCCGAAGCGCTGTTTTCGAGTATCAATTATGACCCATCATCTCTGATTATTATCAACCAACCACCTCAGAGCCAACCGAAGATCATTCGCAAAGTTAGAGGAATCGGAGGCGATCAGAACGAAATGATGTCGAACTTCGATATGTCACTCAAAGTTGGCCGATTCGATCGTGCCGCAGCTTTAATTACCCGTTTGAAATCTGTCTATGATGTGGATTCACCCGAGTTTATCACTCTGCATAATCGCTATCTGACACAAATGATCTCGCATATGATCGTTTCCCGAGAAAATGACATGGTTTTGCCCGTCCAAAGATGGTTTGAGGTAGATATGCCCGCCATCGGGGTGAAACCGGATGCCATCACATATGCAGCCATGATTCGGATGTCACTCCGTATGCTCCACGGTCCCAAGCGAGACCGGACAGTGCGTCGATACTGGGAACTTGCTAAGAAGGAAAACCTACATGAGGATCTTTTGGCTGTGGAAGTCCTTACGGACATGGATCTGGGTGCATTGTCCGAGGTTTGTCTTCACTGAATTCTTTGCGCCTGTGAGTTTGAGGTAATCTAACTTGTCTGTGTTTTTTTCTAGATTTGCGTTGCCGACCTGGGACATGTCAAGCTTGACCTAGAAGATATCGAAACTCCCGTCGACCTCTCCCCGAAAATGTGGATCAAATTGCCGAAGTCCTGGCCGCGGACCAGAAAGGCCTGGGATTAACATCTTTGAGGGAATCATTGGCCATGTTCGCGAATAAATATCAGATCTCTATGCCCGCCGATTTCGAAGGCACCGATGAACAGCGCAAGGATTTATACTCGCAACTCAGACAGCGACAGCTTGAAGCGGATACAATTAAGTCAGCCAGAGACCGCTGGCGAACCGAGTATGAGGGAATGACAAAGGCTGGAATTGATGTGATGAGCGGTAAAAAGCAAATCAGTTCTGTGATGAGCCAGTGGCACGGTGATCTTGTGCGCAGGATTCAGAACGAAATCAAACTGGCTGAAGAGGAAGAAGGCAAGCCTATCAGAACGCCCGAGCAGGTCAGCCGGTGCGAATACGCCGTGTACCTCAAGTGTCTTGATGTTGATCGTCTTGCTGCGGTTACGATCATTGCTACAGTTGCCTCATTTACTCGGGCCGGAGTCGACAAGGGAGTGAAGCTCTCTGCGGTAGCCTCGACTGTTGGACGTGACATTCAGGACGAGTTGATTGCCGATGCTTTACTTGAAAAGGCTAATCGCGGCCAAAACCAACGCTCCAAAGTCATGGAACAGATTTTCGCTGATCGAAAGAAGAGAGCCGGTCGGGCTCAATGGAAGACTATGTCTGACCAGATTCAAGTGGAAGACCCGACTTTGTCGTGGAATTCCCGGGTTCAAGTGAGAATTGGTGCAGTCTTTACATGCTTCTTGTTCGACGTTGCAAAGGCTCCTGTTCGGGTGAAGGACGAGACCACGGGGAAGACGATTCACTCCATGCAGCCAGCTTTTCAACATATTTACCAGGTTGCTTTTGGAAAACGCCTCGGTCTTCTTCATCTGCATCCCGAAATCGTTAAGATTGTCAAGTCAGAACCCCCAATCGATCTTCTCGGCCGTCACCTTCCCATGGTTTGCGCACCAAAATCCTGGGTGGGATCAAAGGATGGAGGCTACTTGATCTACCAAAACAGCATTGTCCGTACCACTCCTGGTGAAAGCCTGCAGCCACTCTATGTCAAAACTGCCTTGGAGAACGAGGGGCTGAAGGAAATCAGACGCGGACTTGATGTTCTTGGTGGTACCGCCTGGGTTATCAACCGTGACGTGTTTAATGTCATGCTTGAAGCCTGGAACTCTGGCGAGGAAGTCGCAAATCTTGCGCCCCTGGAGCCAAAAATTCCAGCTCCACCCAAGCCTGACCCTACTGAAGGCTACGAAGCGGAGAAGTTGTGGCAAAGTCAGATGCGTGACGTGGAAAACCAACGGTCCGGATTCCATTCACAGCGATGCTTCCAAAACTTCCAGATGGAAGTGGCCCGTTCTTTCCGCAATGAGACATTTTACCTTCCTCATAACTTGGATTTTCGTGGCCGAGCATACCCGCTACCTCCTTACCTTAATCAAATGGGAGCAGACAACGCCCGAGGTCTGCTACTTTTCAGCCAAGCCAAGCCATTGGGTGCCACTGGTATGCGCTGGCTGAAGATCCACATTGCCAATTTGGCAGGGTTCGACAAAGCAAGCATGGATGAGCGTGAACAATTCGCCGTGGACAACCTCGACAATATTCTTGATTCTGCCAACAATGGTCTTCATGGTAAGCGGTGGTGGCTGAAGGCTGAAGACCCATGGCAATGTCTGGCAGCCTGCTGTGAACTTCGCAACGCTCTTCGTCTTTCGGACCCACTGCAATACATGTCCCGCCTCCCAGTCCACCAGGATGGATCATGTAACGGTCTTCAGCACTACGCTGCACTTGGTGGTGACAGTGTAGGTGCTCAGCAGGTCAACTTGGAACCCTCCGACAGACCCTCTGATGTTTATACCGGTGTCTCGGATTATGTCAAGAAGACTGTGGCTAGAGAAGCCAAACAAGGCCACGAAGTTGCTCAAATCCTGGACGGAAAGATCACGCGAAAGATTGTCAAGCAAACTGTTATGACAAACGTTTATGGTGTGACTTTCATGGGTGCAGTGAGACAGGTTCGCAAGCAACTTGTTGACCACTACCCAGAGTTGACCAAGGAGGAAAAGAGGAGAGGCTCCCTTTACGTTGCAAACAAGATTTTCGAGGCCCTGGCGACCATGTTCAACGGCGCTTCCGACATTCAACACTGGCTCGGTGATTGTGCTAGCCGCATCACCCAGTCTATTTCCCCCGAACAAGTCGACCAAATCGCCAAGGAAGTGATGACACCTGAGACAGGAGACGCTGAGACAGGAGGCTCCAAAAGTGTGGATCCAGCCAAGAGATTCCGATCTACCGTTATTTGGACCACTCCGCTTGGTCTTCCCGTTGTTCAACCTTACCGTACCCGAAAGGCGCGACGTGTTCATACCACACTGCAAGACATCAGCGTTGTGGACCAGAGTGCCGAAGACTTGGTTTCACGGCGTAAGCAGCTTCAGGCTTTTCCTCCAAACTTCATTCATTCTCTTGATGCCACCCACATGATGCTATCAGCAAATGCCTGCGAACGGGCCGGTCTTACATTCTCTGCTGTCCATGACTCCTTTTGGACCCATGCTGGAGATGTCGATACCATGAACCGCATCCTCCGTGACGCTTTCGTTCACATGCACTCTGATGATGTAATCGGAAGACTTGCCGCAGAGTTCAATGTTCGCTATGGAAAGCACTTGTTCCTCGCCAAGATGAAGCCCGCGAATCCAATTGCAAAGGCTATTCGGTCCAGTCGCAAGGGTCAGAACAACAAGAGCGCGAAAATCATGGAGATTTTCGCTGAATCCCGTCGGCAATCTCTCTTGAGCTCAGAAGACCCCGCCGAGCAAGCAGAGGGTCGCGAGATGCAGACTGCAGCCAGTATCTTCGAATCCATGGGCGGTTGCGATGCGGATCTTGTTATCGCTAGCAGTCTAGGAGCCGCAGAGGTCGGCTCTATTCCAGACGACCTAGCCGCAGCTGAACGCAGACCCGATGCAAACATTGACTTTGCCGACCCTGCAATCTCGAGTCTTTTCACTGAATTGGATATGTCTGACGCAAAGAATGTTTCGGGCGATAATGACTTTGTCGATCCTGAGACAGCTGAACAAGCTCCCAAGAAGCGAATCGGCCAGGGTACCTACACATGGGTGTGGTTGCCTCTCCGCTTCCGTCCAGTTCCCGCAAAGGGTACTTGGGATATTACTCGCATTCGCGACAGTAAATATTTCTTCTCTTAAACCAAAAATCTTTGCTCTTGGTTGGAGTTTCCGGGGACGCATGTGACCGGCGTTATTGTATTATATTTTTGTTTCCAGCCTTTCATCGGATCTCTACCGATTGTACATTTACATCTGCCATAAAATGGCCATTGCATATATGTTCACACTGTCTTAAATACAATGAATCAATGTTATCATATCTTGAATTATTTCTTTCTTAATATAATGTTCAAAAACTTTAATACTCCCTCCAGAGGTCGAATGTAGGACTTGCACTTCATAAAGTGCGAGGCAGGAACACCCGTGGACGATCCAACTCTTGGTCCAGGTGACGATTTTGATCGAGTCCATAAAGCACATAAATTCCCAGTGCGTTCCATAACCTGAAATAATACATAGCTCATTGTAATGCCCTCCAAAGGAACCACGCTGCAGTTCCAAGGTCCACAGCCAAGTGACCAAAAGCCTTCATTTTCAGCCTCTCGCCCCCATTTGCCCAGACCGTCCATCCATCACCCAGCTCAGCCAAGGATACAACACCAGCGAAGATCGTAATAGCGAAGTCTTGCTGATAATATTGTAGAGCGAGGAAGTTTAAGCCCCAAGTAATCTCACGGATCCCTTTTAGATAAATGAAGGGGGAGGCAGTACCAAGTCTTGATGGCTTTTCTTTCAAGTTGGAGGATGTAGTAGGATCCGGTGAGAGGTAAACCAAAACGTTCATTTTCGTATAACGGATTACAGACAGCTTGAGTTCCGAAGAAAGCACAAACTGATGCCATGAAGTAAGTCGGTGGTGGACTGAAAGTGGCCATTATTGAATAGTATGGACTTTTGGGACTCGAAATGTTTGGAGGTCGGGCGAGGACTTGATATTCAAATTTTGAATTTTGAAACCGGTCTTAAGGGCTTATATTTCTCGATCTTTATAGGCACAATGCCGGACTTATCGGATCGTAGGTGAATCAGGCCCACTGATCTTCAGTGGTTCAGGCCCGATATGGAATTATACTCCAATTAACTTGGGATATGATGCGTGGTTAAGGCCCCCCGGGGGTAAAGTATGATATGCTACACTTTAATGTAGAGGAGCACTATTCTGTAATCGAGAATATCATTAAACGGAGTAAATTTTGAACATCCAAATGACGCAAAAAGACAATAGCGAGAAAATTATCATCCCGGAAAGTATCAAATGGTGAATCTAAGACTGACTCGTTGCCCCCTCTCGTTTGGTCAAAACCACTGGAAGAGCTGGGCACATCAGCGTGAAAGTATCTTTTGTCTCCTCCCAGAAATGGCGACCATCCTCTCCAGGCGGAAATGAGAGATCGAATTCACTAGCAATACGATGGAGGACAGTTCGAATTTGCATAAGAGCTAGTGGCCTGCCAACGCAGGAGTAATGACCTTGAATATGCATTAGTGTCACGGTGTATAACCAAGAGGGTTGGAACATGGATAACATACCTATACTGAAAGGGAACCACGCTTGGTCATTCTTGTGTAAATACTTTCCCTCATCCAGCCACCTTTCTGGAATAAATTCCAATGCATTCTCAAAATTTCGCTCATCTCGTTGGATGACATGTTGAGCTGCAAAGACGATCGTGTTTCCTGGAATCCATACCTCATCGACAAGTAAACCTTCAGGTGGTGTGTTTCTTTTCAGTCCGCTAGGTAAAACTGGCCTCAAGCGAAGCGCCTCTGATATGATCGCGTCAAGGTATGGAATCTGGGATACATCGCCTCCGCTTGACTTGATGTCGTCTAACTCTTTTTGTAACCTTTTGTACGCCTCAGGGTGCTTGGCAAGGAAATATAAAATATTGGTCAACGTCGATCCAGTTGTGTCGCTGAGACTCGTTAGTGATGGTCAGTTTGATATGGGAAATATTGCATACCTTCCAGCAATAATGGCTAATCGACCATCGTCATGGAATGCCTCAATAGTAGATGGTGCAGACGGATCACCCTCCTGCATTGCCTTGATTAACCAAGAGGTGACGTCCTTTGGCATTTTCTCTGGATCTGGGTCTTGATTCCATTCCTAGAAAGTGTTAATCCCCTGGTTGTCACATGCATAAGATACAATACATACCGCCTTTCTCTCATCAATTTGAGCGTTGGAATATCTGACGAAAACTTCGAGTGGTCCTTTCAAGCCGGGAATGGATGTCAATATGGGCACTATCCAAGGAATCGCACCAAATATTCCAACGATCTCCATTTGCGAATGCATGGCCGCAATAGTAAAATGCTCCTCTGCGTCGTCCAGCTGTTTGTAATCTTTGCTGAAAGTGACTAGTCCCATGACATCGAAAGTGTAGAATAGTGACCACTTAGTCATATCAACAACCTCTCCTGCACGCTCACCCAGTCTTTTCATGAGTATATCTGCCTTACTTTCAACTCGTGGTGCATAGTCCGCGAGAGCTGAGTTTGATGAACAGGTCAGCCTGGCTCTTGCAATATGAACGGAGTATCAGTAAATTTTACCCTTGATTCCTAGTCCCTTGTCCCATGCCTTGCGACGAAGACGATGGATCTCATGATCTCGAATAGTACCAAGCGAGCACTTTTTCTGATCGCCGGAGGTGATGCTATACCACGTTCCTTTTATGCATGGAGATTTGGGACCATGGAGCAAATGTACAGCAGAGGCTCTGTTAATGGAAATTTCCCGAGGACCTGAAAGAAATGTCAGTGATACCTCCTCAAAGGAAAATGAATATCAAACATTGAAGTGAAACGTACCAACTCGAACAAAATCACCGTACTTCTCGTGCATTGCATCAAGCTCAAGATGATATTTCATCCCGGTTCTCATAGTCTCCGACAAAACGAAGAACCGACTAATCTTAGCCTTGAAAGGACCTGGGAAATGATGCAACCGATGAAAGAACATGCGATATATCACCATACTGGTAAATACTGCCCCCAAAAATGAAGCACCTGCCAATGACGCCTTCGCAGTAGCAACAAGGATATCCATTTCGAAGACCCTGATAAAGACCGTGGCCAGGCCTGCCCATGATAATACAAAACCTGCGACCAGGGATGGTCCTGATCCATCAATCTCAAAAGGAATAAGACTGAGGTGGGTTAAAATGCCCAATGACGCAAATACGCTTGCGATGTTTAGCATTGCTGGATCTGCAAATGCAGCCTGAGAGATGAATGTCATTTTCACCGATCGTAGCGGCTCCTGACAGTTGACCTCGGAGTGTTTTGAGTTGCATGTAAATGTGTAAGTTCAGTCTTAAAGACTATAAACTCTGGAATAACTTGGTAGTTTCCTTGGAATCTGGACCTTCAGCTCTTCTCTGCCACTTACTAGGCCGACCAAATCGGGCTAAATAGCGACATTTTATCTCGCTTAAAAAAGACTGAGCTCCGTACGTGCATCGGAAATCAGCCTATGGCAGTTTCGGCCAATGTGGGCTGCTCATCCTTGTGAACATGGAAGAAGTGGGGGATAATGCATGTCGGCCAGTGATCACCAAGAGATATGTGAATTTCAGTTTTGATTGGATATAGACAGCGCCGTATATGCCACTCAGATGCGGAGTCTGAAGACTCCTGGCTGGCTGTGAAACCCCCACCTGGATGGTGAGTGCTCGAGTCACTTTGTTGTCAAAGTGGGGTTTCGTTGTCGTGGCGTTAGCTGGGTCGGCTGGTGTAGCCCGATTATTCAAGTTTGGACAGGTTAGTCTTGTTCTTATTCCTAGAGTGATTTGGCGAGGTCCTGCTATTCTCAATTTAGTGAGAAACCAGAGATGCATATAAAATTATGTGAAAACTAGCGGTTCTCCTCCGGCTACTAACTAACCTGTGTTCATCCAAGTCACTTTTCTTCTCAACTCCAATTTGAAGTACTCGAGCTCCGATTATTGTTTGATAATCAACAAACGCTATACACTGCATCATGCCCAGGTAATAGAAATATGGATGCAAAAATAAGACAAATTTATCACTGTCATCACTATGTACTAGTGAAATATTTTACCACGATTTTCCTTCGACAAAGCCATGGTTCGTAGTCTTCAGCGGCCCCACTTTCAAACTATACTGAACGGCTGATGAATACAATAAAGCGCTTGGATGGTTGTTTTCATGCAGAAAAAGTATACTGAATGAGTCGAGGGTGAGAATGAGATGATCCAGGGGATGCATGTGTCTGTTTTAACCACGACCCTGAGCACGGCAAGAGTAGGTCCCGCCTGGATAGCCAATTCTCTTTGGTTCTGAATTATATCTTCAGCTATTTTTCGGCGGTCGAAATACTCTGGCCCACGTATTGAATTTGTATATGGTGATATTCGGCAAATCTGCAAGGCTAGTTCCGTATTTCACTTGCCTGTGCACTGGCATTCCTTCCCGGGCGATCTCTAGGTGATGATCGAACATCAGCTCTTCCACCTCTGCCAGGCGATGCCTTTGGCTTGCGATTCCATCTGGTTGACCTTAAGTCTTTGTTGCTTCCCATTGCTTTCTTTAACGGACCATCACTAGGTGGAGATGAGCGGGTGACTTCCTTTTCCCGCTTCTGCTGTTCAGGGTCGGGGCTTCTATGCACTGATGGCGACCTTTGACTAGAACCCGGGCGATCTCCATTGGTTGGCTTGACGGCACTAAGTAAACCGTGATCACCCATCTCTGATGATAAAAACTTGGACAATTGTAGCTGCTGATCTAATAGCTCATTGCTATCCCATATTCTCTTGATACGGACCTCTTTGTCGGAATGTGCCTCCCCAAGAATTGACTTTTTGTTCCACTCCTCTGCTTTCACGTTGTCAGTGAAGCCGATTATCAATCCTTTTCTGCTATCGCGGATATAGCTCATTCCTGGCGAAATAGGCAAATAGACAGCATTGGTCTGATTAGACAGGATTCGACCCTCCCTGTTCAATGCTTGGTAGGCCGCTGCGCGGTCTGCGTGCCTAAAATCAATCTTAATTTCTTTTTCTTCAAAATAATAGACCACATCAATGTCCGGAGATACGCTTTTAGACATTGAAGTCCGTTATTGACAGTGTGCGACTGTTGAGTGTCTTTAAAATTAGGGTTGGCAAATCGGTAAAACACTGTATGTGGTATTAGAGAATGAATGGCCGTCAACTTGAAGCGCTCAAATGCTTGAAAGGGTACCTGGGTAAATCGTCTCTTCACAGTGTTCCAAGGTTGTTCCGACTCGGACACCTGGGTACACGGAACCTTGGATGTGTATAAATCTTTATATTTCACTTCCAAGCCCTGGAGGTTGACCCCAGCCTTGGAATCTTTGTGCATGTCACGGTACATGGCGGATCCCGGGAGCACCCGGGTGATTGTCCGTATCATTCATGTATGCTCCTCGTGGGTGGCTGATTCTGTGCAGCCTCACTCTTCTAGTATAATGCAGAGCGACGGCAGCTGGAAAGATCATGACCAATCATATATCCAAGGCTGATTCCTTGCACCGCGTCCGAGTCATTCTTCCTGTGGGAATGTCGATTTCACCTCACTGCGATAGTCAGCTGGCACAGCTATCTGTTACTACAGGCCACAAAAACAGACAAATACATTAATTACTGCATATTCGATGCCCCACTCTCATGGGTCATAGTTCTCCAAGGCCCTCTTCTCTTCAGAATTGAATGAGCGATTCCTGGGCAATATCAGTGGGACAGTTTTGTTCAACTTTGTCTATTTCACCCTCGAAGACTCGGAAAGATTAAATTCCAGGAGAAAATTTTGAGATGACCCTGGTCTATACATATTATGATTCGGACCGGATTAACGTGCTCCCCTTACTGGACCTTGCTGCCCCTGCTTTTAAGGTTGTTTACCATGCTGATCAATGACTGATCTTCGACCATGAGACAGCTAATATTATTCAGAAATAGGCTATTGGCCCCTTGTCAATCAACATGTTTTTGTACGGCAACAAGAATCCCCAAGACACAGCCCCGCGTTCATACCCAAACAAGGAACCAGTCAACCAAGTCAACAAATAAGTGGCCCAAGTTTGTCTATCAGATGATCCATACATTGGACTCCATGAGAGTGGAAAGCCCGGATAAATATCGATCAGGTGGTTATTACCCAGCTCTAGTAGGCGATACATTGAAAGAAAGATACCAAATTGTCGATAAATTGGGTCATGGATCATATTCCACCATATGGCTTGCACGCGATACGCAAAAGGAAGTCTACGTTGCACTAAAGATCAACACTGCAGACTTTCAGTCCAACCAGACCAAAGTTCAGTCATCTTTGTTCGACTCGTGTTATCTCGAAAACATAGGATGGTCCATGATTCCCATTCTCCAAGATCACTTCAAAACGGAGAGTCCGAATGGTGGCCACGAATGCTATGTCACATCACCAGCACGAATCAGCGTGGCCAACTCAGTAGAAAGGGGGAGCTCCTTTTCAGTTGAAGTTGCGAGATCTTTGGTTGCTCAGTTAATCCATGCAGTCGCTTATATTCATAGTCGAGGGGTAGTTCATGGAGTTGAGATGACTGGTCACATCTTTACAAAACATTGCTCACGAATTCAAACACAGACATTCATATTGGCAACATCTTAATCGACATCACTACCAGCTTTGACTCACTCTCAATACCAGAATTCTACTGCCGCTACGGAGAACCAGTTTCAGAGCGACTTGAGCGATGCGATGAAGGACCCATCACGCCAGGCGTTCCAACTCATATCACCGAACCAATTTTGCTTGGAAAGATAGCGCATAAATTCACAGTCCCTGAAGCTCGTCTTCTACTGAGTGACTTCGGAGAAGCCTTCTCATTCCACAATCAAAAAGAACCAAAGCTCGGCAAGGATTGCCATTCACCTCGTTACTGTCTCCCACCCGAAGCCTACTTCGAGCCCGACAAGCCTCTTTCATTTCTCACCGATACCTGGACTCTGGTATGTGCCATATGGAATATTGTTACCGGATACCAACTGTTTTCCTGCTTCTTCCCAGACTCCGATGAAGTCACTGCTCAGCATATTCAAATCCTTGGAGACTTGCCACCAGAGTGGTCAGAAAATTGGAAGGCTAAAGATAAATACTTTGATGAATACATGCAGCCAAAACATGAATGGGAGATTGCACCCCTTCGAGAGCTTTTCTTTGATAGCATGGAGAAAACACAGGAACATCGCAAAAAGTACAGCACAGTGGAAATGAAAAAAGATGAAGCCACCGGCTTGCTGGATATGCTTGAATCCATGTTGGCTTACAGACCTGAGCTGCGGGCTTCAATTTCGACGGTTTTGAACTCGGATTGGATGGCTTACTGGGGACCGCCTAGTTATGAAGTCAGGCATCACAAAGTGGACTCGTGGCTACCTCTAAGCACCGCTGTATCATAAGCTACCTGATTTCACATGTGAATGCGAATGCTTGTGTATGATATTCCTTTCGAAAACCTGGAGATATTGAAGAAGGATGTCTTCAAATATTCAGGTTTCAATCTCCGCTCTTATTTGTATATTAACTACCTTGATATCCCCACTCCAGTCAAGTTATCGCTCTCAAAGATAAATACTTTGTATTTTCATTAGACGTATATAATTCTTATCGTCATTCGGATAATGCGGCATGTGCCAAAATTAACATTCATTTGGAGGATGTCCAGGCCTCACTCAAACTCTTTGCATAGGGGTTTGCTAAACCTTGATAAAGTCAATCCCTCTTGCCAGCCAGCATCCAATTTTAAACCCGATGATGGCGCCACTCTCATCACGATGGAAGACCATGGTCCAGTCTCCGGGGGCTGGTGAATCCAGTCCTCTTGGACAGGTCAATCGCCAGACATCATCTCCCAAGTACACCATACCAGTAACCGAGCTATTTCCAAGATAGCCGTCAAATGCCCCATACAGCATTCCTGCTTCGCCGGTACAGTGAAAGACAGATTGAACCTCCTCAGATTTGTACTCGCCTTGGAACAAGGTATCCAGGAAACTAGAATCGCGTGGAGTGATGCGTCGAGCCTCTAGCTTTCTGTTCTCCGCAATGCGATGCATGCGTAGCGTATCCCCATCGATGCTTGCATAGAGTCCAGGAGCTTCAGCGTGGCTTGGGTCAGTCAAGTTCAGTGTTTCGGGATGACTATCATAAGAAACCGCAATCTCCCCAGTTGCCGATCCCTTGCTTACGGTAACCGACAATTGGGTTTCCTGGTCCAGGTAGCTTCCGAACCACGCAGGGTTTGGCTCAACAGGTGAGTATTCCCGCTTAGACTTATTCAAAAGGGCCATCATCACATCTTCAGCGGCAGCAACCATATCCGGTTCATAGTTAAAGAATACCATGACAGATAGACGTTCCTCCATAGCATGGCTTCGAGCAGAGCGGAAACCTGGAAGAGCACCAGCATGGCCCAGGGTTTGAATACCGTCATAAATCCTGCGGATCAATCCATAGTGATAAAACGCAGGGTTGCCATCAGCGAATGTGATAGGCTTGGAGATTTGGCGGTACCAACTGTCAGAGCTGGCATAAAGACGGTCCAAATGCTTCTCCCAGGCGATCATATCGGTGAGCGAGGCGACGATTCCAGCATCCCCGGACCACTCCATAAAATTCACAGCTGGGATAAATCCAGTAGCTTCTGTTCCCTCGTAGCCGACACATGGAGCGGGGAGCTTGGAATTGTCCGGGCCAAGGTATGCGGTCTTCATTCCAGCAGGTCCCAGAACTCGCTCTTTGAGTAGCTTATCCAAAGGCTCCCCAGTAACACGCTCAATAACCCGGCCAACAACATGGAAGTTGACGTTGCAGTACGAATACTCAGTGCCGGGCTTAAAATGGAACGACTTTGTGCGATCCAGCATTGGCGGGCAGTCTCGCTCGACAAGAAACTCGTCATCTGGCTTGGTTCCCCAAAGAGCAGTCATGGCCCAGTAATCACGCAGACCAGACTGCATATCGACCAGGTTCTCCAAGGTGAGTCCGCTATCTTTAGTCAGATCCGGATGAAGTACTTCTCGGAGCTTCTCTGTGAACTGAGCTTCAATATCTCCCTTGGCAAGCATGGCTGGGGTAGGGTTGCGCTTGAGGTCGAGCAATAAAGCACAGAAAAACTGCTTCGAGATGGAACAGATAGGCATTTGCATTTCAGCTGTTAAGGGGATACGCTTATCAAGGTCGGCATACCCCCACACACGCTGAGCGATCACTTCGCCATCTTTGACGACAGCAATCGCACCACCAGGTCCTCTGTAGCGAAGAGGGATGGTATCAATAATTTTTTGTGCAGTCTGTTGGTCGGTCATATTTGCAGGGGGTGAGGTGTAGGAGGGAATGTTCCAAAGTTGGTGTTATCGGGTAAGTCCTCGGTTTATCGCAAGGCTCGGGGACATCGGACGCCCGGCGGCAGACTCAGATTAGGTATAGATTGTATTTATTCTCGGTAAATCAGCGTTCATTTATCTTTCCTAGGTATCAATAAATAGATGTCAATGATAAATTTCATACGGATTATATTACGATAGCTCTAACCATCGATCTGATTTCTTCAATTTAACCCCGGATTTCGGCACTTGAAGTGTATAATATGGAGTAAACATAATGTACCTCCATGTATGCTAAGCTTATCCTTATCCAGTGCAATTTAGGCAGAAATGGCATCAAATCAGCCGGAATCAAGGCTAGACTGAAGACATTAATGCAGCACCTCTCCCTGTTGATCCCGTGGATCAGAAAGCAGGAACATGCAGGATACGTGAGTCCAGATGGCCCTCCAAGGTTGACTTAGGCGAGACTAGGATCCACCATTAAGTGGACAAAAACATTGGGTTGATCCAGGGCTACTCCCCGGGACTTCTACTATTTCTTCATACTACCTATACCTACTTCAAACGTTTCCAATACTCCTCTAGGCTTTACTGGGTCCATACATCAAGATACTAGTATTATTCAAATGTTGAATTGGTCGTTAACACCAGACAGGTCAGACAACACCTGAACTACACTTCTAATGGACAGGGATGCCCCGCAAGTCATGCCCAAGCGAGCACCTGCACGATATTACTGGACCTATGCTATTCCACACAGGAACTGACCAGGGTCTAAGATGTGTCCACTAGCACTGGTAGTTGTATGACCTCGAACCTTAATCAAGGGCTGTGGAGTCAGATTCAAGCATTTCCCGTCTGGAGTCACATTCCAAGGCACTCTTGAATCCCGTCAAGTCAGCGACTTGAGTAATTGAACTTGAAGAAAATGGATAGCTTTTGTTCAAAACTTGAGTTGATCCATGTGTAAACGTACGGGAAAAAAGGGTATAATAGTAAGCACCCATATGCAGTTACTCCTGGAAGTTCGGGCCTACTCTGTACTCTAGTAGATCGGGATGCGTTTCGGCAAAATCCCCCCGGAGTTGCAATTTACGAACTTGAATCTGACCGTCTCATCCCTCTGTATATGGACCCATCCTTCAGGTCTATTCCTTTTCATTCGGAGTAATTATATAGGATATTCTCTGTGTACACATACACATCTTGGGTCTTCAGGCTAGTTCGTCACCACGTGCCTTCCCCGCCTCCCCAGATTTTCGGATTTCCCCTCTTCATGATTTTCAAGGTGCATGTCACTCTCTCACAAATTAAGGGTCTTTTTCGGTCTTAACAGGAAATTCTCCGCGGTTTGAATCTGGAAATAAAAGAGAGGGAAAAAGAAAAGCAAGAAAAAAAAAGCAAGAAAAAAAAAGCAAGCTCGGAACCTTGGAAGGAGTCGCCGCTACGCAATCTGGGGTATTACCCATTTCACCCGGCAATGAGACTAGAGTCTCAAAATTTTCGGACTGAAGCATTATCAGATATCTGGGGCTTACTGATCTAATCAAGTTGTTGAGTTCTTGACCAGGGATCCCGGACTCTGCTGCGATCAACCCGAGTTAATGTCGCTGAACGTCTAGACCCCACAAAGCATGTCGACGACCTCTCTGCAATCTTTTGCCGACTCCTACTCTCCGTTCTCCTCACGATCGCAACCCACTCGAATGTCTCAATCCCAAACACCCGGTCTCGATACGCTTGCAGAAGGATCGCAGTATGCGCTAGAGCAGCTGCAACTGGCGCGACAAGCTGCTGCACCTTCCAATGCCCCGACCGACTCGGGTCACAACCACCTTAATGCGCCCCCGACTGAATCGCCGCACTTACAATCCTATAATGAACGGAATGACTCCCATGACGAACGAAAGATACATATGCAGCAGCGAGACCTGCTTGCTGACGCGCGATCGACGATTCGCAAGAATTCATCGGCCGGTCCGGTACGCCGCAGAATTAGCCGTGCTTGCGATCAGTGCAACCAGCTACGCACCAAATGCGATGGACAGCAACCGTGCGCGCATTGCGTTGGTACTTAATTTCCCTCGGGTTAATTTGGATCTTTTTTTACCTAAAACTAACCATATCCAGAATTCGGTCTGAGCTGCGAGTACGCGCGAGAGCGCAAAAAGCGTGGGAAAGCCTCGAAGAAAGATCGTGCCACTGCCTCAAATGCCAATGGCGACAAAATCCTTCCAGATAACTTAACCGCCCAAGAAAATTCCCCACATTCGCAGTCCTCTCACGACGCTAACGGAGCCTTCGATTCCAATTTCGATGTCGCTCGTACGTTGCCCGAATCAGCGCAGTCACATTTGCCGAATTCCAGCATCGCCGGGGTGGACAGGATCCAGCACAACCCACTCCCTACATCGACACATTTGCAACAGCCCATGGGAACGAACATGGATGGCATGTCGTTAAACTATAACAATCTCTCTGAATCAAATCGACCCCACATATCTGTCTCCGATCTTCGCTCTCTGCAGCTATTGCAGCACCCTAATGGGAATCCCAGATCGCCATCTTCACTACTTCACACCCAGGGCTTTGGCCAAGGTTATCATGATGGATCATATCCAGGCATGAACTCTCAAGAAAATAACCCATCTTCCATGAATCAATTCCGCCTGGGAGGTTCAGCAGAGAACCAGACCACTTCCTTCCTTGGATTCACACCCACACAGTCTCCCAGCTGGCTCCCTCTCCCGTCACCTTCTCCTGCCAATTTCCCGTCATTTAGTATTGCTCCTTTTCCAAGCTCGTTAAGATACCCCGTTTTGCAGCCAGTTCTTCCCCATATCGCCTCGATTATCCCCCAGTCCCTTGCCTGTGACCTTTTGGATGTATACTTTACTAGCTCTTCTTCGTCGCATCTTTCTCCGTTGTCACCATACGTCGTCGGATTTGTGTTCCGGAAACAATCCTTTCTGCACCCAACAAAACCCAGAGTCTGTAGTCCGGGTCTACTAGCCAGCATGCTCTGGGTGGCAGCGCAGACGAGCGAGGCGGCCTTTTTGACTTCACCACCATCAGCTCGAGGACGAGTCTGTCAAAAATTGCTCGAATTGACAGTTGGATTGCTTCGGCCACTCATCCACGGTCCGGCGACCGGTGAAGCGTCTCCTAACTATGCAGCCAATATGGTCATCAATGGAGTGGCGCTCGGCGGATTTGGCGTCTCCATGGATCAACTTGGAGCACAAAGCAGCGCAACTGGCGCTGTTGATGACGTTGCGACTTACGTCCACTTGGCTACCGTGGTATCAGCAAGTGAATACAAGGCCGCCAGTATGCGCTGGTGGACGGCTGCTTGGTCTCTCGCTCGTGAGCTCAAACTCGGTCGGGAGTTGCCCCCAAATGCCACATCGCGAGCAGATGGTGATCTAGAGGGAGACCCAGAGCTAGACATGAATGGCAACAAAAGTCATGGCCCTGGAAGCTCCAATGTAAATCTTACAGAGGAAGAGCGTGAAGAACGGCGGCGAATCTGGTGGCTGTTATACGTGATGGATCGACATCTATCACTGTGCTACAACCGGCCCTTGACTCTGTTAGACAAGGAGTGCGAAAGCTTGTTACAACCGATGAATGATGATCTTTGGCAAGCAGGTGACTTTTCTGCCGCGAGCTATCGACGGGCAGGCCCAGCATTTGAGTGCACTAGCCACAGCATGTTTGGCTACTTCCTCCCTCTAATGAGCATTCTCGGTGAGATTGTGGATCTACATCATGCCCGGAATCATCCACGGTTTGGGCTCCATTTCCGCAATAGCGGTGAATGGGAGAGCCAAGCTATGGAGATTACTCGGCAACTGGATGTATATGCTCAGAGTCTGAAAGAGTTTGAGGCTCGTTATACCAATTCTCTGACTCTGGGAGCTGGTGACAATGACACAGCGATGGATGGAGCTCATGTGAATCATGTGAGCCCATCAGGTCGGTCGAGCAGCACCGCGGGATCGCATTTGAGCGAGTCTGTTGTTCACACTAAAATGGTGGTGGCATACGGTACCCATATAATGCACGTTCTCCACATTTTGGTCGCGGACAAATGGGATCCTATCAATCTGCTAGATGATAATGATTTATGGATCTCATCTGACTCGTTTATCACTGCAATGAGTCATGCTGTCAGTGGTGCCGAGGCCGCTTCCGATATTCTGGAGTATGACCCAGATCTGAGCTTCATGCCATTTTTCTTTGGTATATATCTTCTCCAGGGAAGCTTCCTCTTGCTTTTGACGGCAGACAAACTTGCCGGGGATGCAAGTCCTAGTGTTGTCAGGGCCTGTGAGACTATTGTGCGCGCACACGAGGCATGCGTTGTCACTTTGAATACAGAGTACCAGGTACGTTTATTACCAGAATCTAGGACTTTTACATATTTTTTACTAACCAGTCTACAGAGAACATTCCGCAAAGTTATGCGCTCAGCCCTAGCTCAAGTCCGTGGTCGAATGCCAGAGGACTCTGGCGAGCAACAACAACGAAGACGCGAAGTACTAGCTCTTTACCGGTGGAGCGGAGATGGCAGTGGTCTTGCCCTCTAAGCCTCTATCAGAGAGAACCTTGAATGGTTCATTGCTTGGTGACTCTCCACCCCCGTCGTACAGCATCTGCAATTTTTCTATTTTTCATCTGTCTTTTTCTTTCATTTGGAGCATACTTGGAAACAAGTTTCCCTGAACATGGAGTATTGGACATCCAAAACGTGAACAATATCTGCTATCATTCGATTTTTGTGTATTATTATTTTTACTTATTTGGCACTCAAATGCTGGACATACCCCGGGGCGCAGTGGAGCGCAAATTTCTTGTCTGTTTATGGATAATACCCTTTTATTGTGCCTATACTTCCTGAATAAATCCAAGTCTTCATTGGTCATCATCGATTCAATCCAAGATGTATACTGTACCGCACGCCCGGGTACCTGTTCTTTTGGAAGAAGTATCGATCTGAAATTGGCTTCATGTACTAGAAGATTGCAAGTTTGGGTAAACAAGTATGTCCTCAGCTTTAACTGCTTGGTTAGAGTGAGCTACCTAGAAGTCTCAGTAATATTCTCTCCAATGTGAGACAAGAGGAGGATTGGTGATGGACTGCCTGCAAACCCTGGCCTTGGATTGCCTAATTGAGATGATTGTCCCTTTATGAATGAGTTTTTGGGAATCCTGTTCAAGTTCTTCCATCTAATTCCAACATGTCATTCTGGATGAGAGCTACATAGTAGATAGTAATACTACATGTAGGTAGGTTAAAGCACTGACGTCAGCGATAAGCAAAAGCATACTGCTCCTCCTTACAATATACTCGTGACTTTCAATTCTCATATGGCGCAGAGACTCGCCTTCCTTTTATCAGAAATGGAGACTTGAACATAAACCTCGAGATATGGCATCTATTACAAGATCGCCAGCGCGGACCGTTCCCGCATCCACCCTCTTCCATCCCCGCAACCCACGGCGGGTCTCAAGACGATACCTGGGGATCCCCTCCGCATACCTTCTGGACGACTATCTCCCACGCTATCAACTTCTCACATCCGTCGAGTCATCGATGAAGCGATCTCTCGCATACGCACACCTACGCGAATGTAACCTGTGTCCTCGCAAATGTGGTATTAACCGATATGAAACAACAGGCATGTGTTTGATCGGGGCTAAAACAGCCAAGGTCAATGTGATTGCACCACCTCGTGGAGAAGAGCCATGTATACAGGGACACCATGGGAGTGGATCTGTATTCTTTTCGGGCTGTAATCTTCGATGTGTATTCTGTCAGAATCATGTAAGCTCTATTCTATTCTATTTCTCAACGATATGCTTAACTCTATTCATACAGGGCATTGCACACCAGCGGAACTGATTTGATCTCACCCCTGAAGAACTTGCTGAGTGGTATATTAAATTACAGCAGGTCGGAAGAGTTCATAACATTAACCTTGTTACGCCTGAGCATGTCGTACCACAAGTTGCACTTTCGATTCTCAATGCACGGGACATGGGGCTTCGCATCCCAATTATCTACAATACCTCCTCATTTGACTCAATAGAGTCACTTCAGTTGCTTGACGGGCTGATAGATATCTATCTACCTGATTTCAAGTTATGGAAGAGCAGTACCTCAAAACGACTACTTAAGGCAGAAGACTATCCCTCGACAGCAATGGAAAGCATTAAAGAAATGCACCGTCAGGTTGGTGATCTTTCGTTTACATCAGATGGTGTCGCAAAGAAAGGAGTACTATTAGCCATCTCGTTATGCCAGGGAAAGAAGATGAAGGGAGAGAGATTATGCGCTGGCTTGGAGAGAATGTCTCGAAGGATCTATACGTTCACATTATGGAGCAGTATCATCCTGATGCGCATGTCGGCAAGAAACGACGCGTTACTAGACAGGTACGCTTTTGTGATGGGGAGGAGACTCCTCAGGAAGAGGTTCGTTATACGGAGATTAATCGGGCTGTACGCGATGAGGAGCTTAATTCGGTGAAAGATGCGGCTGTTAAAGCTGGTCTTTGGCGTTTTTGCGAGCCACATGAGGGTCAGTTTCATCTTTGATATGCACCGAGATGCAGGTGCTATAGGTGCCTGGATCTTGAAATCGAGCATTGTATATGTGCAGTAATAAAAAAATAAAAATAAAAATTATCACTCAAGATGGGCTTCAAATGGGGCGAAAAGAAAAAAAAACATGGGACAAAAAAGAGGTCCTGCCCGGAATCGAACCGGGGCTTTCAGAATCAGAATCTGACGTCATGACCATTAGACTACAAGACCTAATAGATACATTGAGGCTCAATTTTTGACATGATCCACCAAAATCACTAAATCCCAAATTGTGTGCTCAGATGGTGGTGTATGGATGATGGTTTGGTCTGAAGTTTAATCTTCAAATGTTTTATGAATTCAAATGTTTATTCCTTTGCTGTATTTCCCATTCTTGAAAAACTCATGCTAGAACCCTCTCGAACTTGGATTTTCTTTTTATTAATCTCAGCTGATATCATTCAGCCGGGGTATCAAGTTGCCACTTCAAGTTGAACCTGGCTAGCTCCAGATATCTGCACGATATGTATTTATATTTCTGAGACCCGAGGTCAACTGCACATGTCCGGGTACCGCTGGTAGTGCTATTCAAGTTGGTACATAAGTGCATGTGATCTCAGGCTGTTTTGAGTCAAGTTTGAGATATCACTCTTTTAGAGAGATCCAAGAATGAATTATACACTACGTTTTTATTTACCTAAGTCAATGGATGTCAGGCTGTTTTAGGTATATCAATATTCAAATGAACTGGGCATGCTTAGCTGAACCGCGGCGGAGCCTCAAGTCCAGATGTCGGCGAGCCCCTCTTTTAATCAAGCTAGGGCCGTCAACTGGTGATAGAAGCTAACCTGAATCCTTTGTTATGCTTTCATTTTAACCTTTTTTTTTCGTCTTCTTTGATTAATTTTCGGCCTTAGGAAAAAGGGGTATATCTCATATGGTAATACCTAGGCTACCAATAATAACTCTGGAACCTTCTTCAACTTGGGCATATCAGATTTACATAGTGCTGTTCTTCACGCTGGTTACTGTTTGGGCAAGATCTCCCATGCGTGTATAACCCTTCCCGCTCCCCAACTTTGTTTTCTCCACACATCACCCCTTCAACATGAAACCTGTCTACGGGCTTTCTTTGGTTGCCTTCTTGGTCTTCTATTCATGGAGACGTAAGTCCCTTACTTCACTCGGCCTTGTCACGGCTGGGTTGACGGCTACCGTACATGCCTTGCACCCATGGAACACACCATTTGTGCTCCTCGCCGTGTTCTACCTCGGGTCTCAAAGAGCTACCAAGGTAAGCATAAATCTCTTAATGCTTTAGTATATCCTCGATGTGAAAGACTGACTCGTTCCTGCGTTCTAAATTCAGGTTAAGCACGAAATCAAAGCACGCTTGACGGTCTCTGCGACAGGCGCAGAGGGCGGCGAAGGACCCCGAAACCACGTCCAGGTGCTGGTTAACTCGATTACTGCCACCGTTCTGATCATCGCACATACATTCGTCCTCTCCAGAGACGACTTCGAATCATGTTTCGCGATGGGTAACACCGCAGCTGATATCCTGATGGTCGGGATTGTAGCGTACGCCAAGCCCTTTGTTTTTCATCGTTGACCCCTTTCCTATGAACTTCAGTGTTTTCCTCCATGTCTGGCATGTACTGACAAGCTTTCCTCGTATATAGACACTACTGCGCAACCGCTGCCGACACATACTCCTCCGAACTAGGCATTCTTGCCAAATCCAAACCCCGCCTTATTACATCCCTGACCCTGCGACAAGTCCCACCAGGCACGAACGGCGGTGTCACAATGGCAGGCTTACTTGCTGGTCTGCTCGGCTCCTTCACAGTTGCACTGGGATCTGTCCTATCGACTCCAGTCTGCAGCGAACGCTCTAGTCTTCAAGATCGTGCACTGTGGGTCGTCGCACTCTCATTCTGGGGTCTGATGGGGAGCGTCCTTGATAGTGTTCTTGGAGGACTGTTTCAATCTACCGTGGTAGACACGCGGAGTGGCAAGGTTGTCGAAGGCAGTAATGGCCAGACCGTTCTCATTCGACCGGGGTCCTCGAACTCGAGAACTGGTTCCAAGCAGACTTCAACTGGAGAGTCGACAGGAACCGATCAGCTCAATGGGGCAGGTGGTGTTACACAGCGCGGCAGTCATGCCACGGGACAGTCTGTGGACGCCCCGGCGGGACATGAAGGTCATCAGAGCCGACAGATGCTAAGTGGACGTAATTGGCTCAATAACAATGGGGTCAATTTGGTTCAGGCTTTGGTGATGACTGTAGGTGCTATGGGTATTGCCCAGTGGTTTTGGGGAATTGATGTACGAGAGCTTCTAGAACTTCTGGCATGAGTGATGTGCGACAAATACGAGAACTCAACCTAGCATGGTGGCAACGATGGTAACGTTTGCATACAGCGATAGATTGTGACATATGATTTTCATGCTTTTTTTTTTATTTTTTATTTTTATTTTCTGGCCTCAGAATTGAATACATTGAAAGACACGCGGACATTGCTCCTTAGAGAGTAATATCTCACACGTGCTCAGGTGCCTTAACCCGTCATTTTACTATGGGAATACATACTAACTCAATATCATAGTTTCTCACGCCCCCGTATACCATATACCGTATAAATTCCACGAGTGTCAACTTGACTAACATCAAAAACCTCCGAGAATGCCAAGCGATCAACAGGGAAGCTTCCTTTACACACGTGGGGACTACCCGCACTCTCATAGGAACTGACCCCAGAGCTCCCCGACGCCCGCCAAGCTCCGCCCAAATTATGGATCCAATAGGGATCAAGTCAAGGCCGCGGTGCCAGTATAAAGGCCTCGATGAGCCCAGAATTGCCAAGGCTCCGCCAAGGTTGCCACTTTCACTATACTACCTGATATCTATATGTGATTTCGCTTCTAGGAGACTTCCAAGGTTTCTATTCATCTTGGCTTCTCTTCTATTGCGTGCTTTTCTACACAGGAACCATCAGAATGACCCAACGCCCAGAACAGCCACAGAGGTTTGACCTCAAGACTAGAATCCCGCCAAGTCGAAGCTGGAAATGAACGGAACAGTCTTGCGAGTCAATACCGCACGTGTGTCTGTTATCAATGGAACTGGAGATTGTAAACTTAGTATACTAGACGCCCGATGAATGTGACCCGGCTGAACATGGGCTGTGAAGGGCAAGTTGCCGAGCATGGAGGCAACGACTTTAGAATTCTCACGTATATAATCTATACAAACTCTCCTGATTCAAAGTTCCATTGCCCATCACCAATCCCCTCTCCTTTAAATCGCCTGCTCGTGGCTTTTTGACAAATCAAGATGTATCTTCATCAATACGACTACATCTTTGCTATCGGCACGCTCTTTGCGATGCTCGATGCCTACAACAACGGTGCAAGTGAGTACTATGCCCAAGCTTCCAATTCAAGCCTCAAACCTCCGAGATTGACAGTACTAATGCATCTCAGACGATGTGGCCAATTCCTGGGCAACTAGTGTTTCCTCCCGCTCCATTTCATACAGACAGGCCATGATCCTCGGTACAATCTTTGAGTTTCTTGGTGCTGTTTGTGTTGGATCCCGAACCGCCGATACCATCAAGAACGGAATCATCCCTCTCACGGCATTCCAGAACAATGCAGGTGTTCAGATGATGGCGTTTACCTGTGCTCTTGCTGCCGCCTCTTCCTGGGTTATGTGGTGCACTCGACACTCTGCTCATGTTTCATCTACCTACTCCCTCATCTCAGCTGTTGCTGGTGTTGGTGTTGCAACTGTCGGTGCCTCAGAAGTTCAGTGGGGTTGGAACAAGGGTAAGGGTCTGGGTGCTATCTTTGCAGGCCTGGGAATGGCCCCGATTATCTCGGGTTGCTTTGCCGCAATTATCTTCATGTTGATCAAGGTTATTGTTCATATGCGCCGCAACCCAGTTCCATGGGCTGTTTACAGTGCTCCCCTTTGGTTCCTCGTTGCTGCCACTATCTGCACTTTGTCTATCGTCTACAAAGGTTCTCCCAGTCTGGGCTTGACCTCAAAGCCTGCCTGGTACATTGCTTCCGTTACTATGGGATGTGGTGTTGGTGTCTGCATTCTTTCGGCCATTTTCTTTGTTCCATTTGTTCACGCCAGAGTGATCAAGAAGGACCACTCAGTGAAATGGTGGATGTTCATCATGGGTCCTGCGCTTCTCAATCGTCCCACCCCTACAGATGGTGAGGTGGCCAAGGTCCCCAACTACGCCGTCGTGCAGGATGACTATGAGGACAAGACCGAGACCCATGAGCATGGCTCAGTCGATGGCAACACTCAGACATCCTCAGTCGATGATGGCGAGAAGAATGCTGTTGCAGTGGAAACCAACCAGCTCAGCTACAAGGACATTATGACTCAGTCTGAGGAGAAGCACCGTAACAAACTTCTGAAGGGTCGTGGACCTCTTGGTTGGGCGATGCGCTTCCTTCGCGACAACCCCATGGGCCCTGGAGAGATCTACGAGCTCCGCAATGTGTTGATTCTTCTCAAGCGTATTCCTGCTATTATCACCTGTGGTCTTCTGTACGGTGCCCATTATGATATTCACACTGCTCAGACTGGTGTTGCCGGCACACCCGAGGGCAAGCGCATGAAGCGTGTCTACGATGCCGCTGAGAAGTATCCCAACGAAGTCGAACACACCTACTCCTTTATTCAGGTCTTGACTGCCTGCACTGCTTCCTTTGCTCACGGTGCCAACGACATTGGAAACTCCGTTGGTCCCTGGGCAGCTATCTACGCCGCCTGGTCCACTGGTGATGCTGCCGCGGCCAAGTCTCCTGTCCCCGTCTGGCAACTTGCCGTCCTGGCTCTGTGTATCTCCATTGGCCTGATCACCTATGGATACAACATCATGAAAGGTACAGTCTTATCCCTTGTTCACTCTCATCTTGACTCTTTACTAATTACTACACTACAGTCATGGGTAACAAGATTACCTACCACTCTCCTAGCCGTGGTTCCTCCATGGAGATGGGCGCTGCTATCACCGTTCTGGTTTTCTCGCAATACTCCCTTCCCGTCTCAACTTCGATGTGTATTACCGGTGCAACTGTTGGTGTGGGTCTTTGCAACGGAACTCTCAAGGCAGTCAACTTCCAGCGAGTTGGTCTGCTTCTGCTTGCTTGGATCATGACCATCCCAATTGCTGGTACCATTGGAGGATGTCTCATGGGTATTGTCCTTAATGCGCCTCACTTTTAGGCGGGTGAAGTGAGCCTCTCTCTCACTTCACTATTTCATTGTATTCATAGATCAACGGCCTAATCTAGAGCCCCCAGAATTTCTGCATCATGCACATTAGCAATTGCAAAAGCTTAATTTATTTCTATTTCCTCTTTCTTATCAAATTAAAAATTAATGAACACCAAGAAGATCATGTGAGAATACACTTTCAATTGACTGATACAAATACTAATGTCGTGCTTCCTTTATGCAAGTGCTCATGCATGTCAATGAAATGCTCCGGTCTTCAATGCTGATCGCGGCTACTGTCAGACTTCACACCAGGCTCCTGATAGGGGTTTTACAGACTCCCGAGGTCCACATCAACAACCTAAGGGTAAAGATCGGTACACTATCGACCTACTTGGACGCTGTCCCTGTCGATCTTACCCTTAATCTGCCATGTTCCCCACAATATTCGATTTCTCGATGCTCAGATACCCTCAGAAAGTCCGTGTTCATGGAACGCCTCTTCTTGGCCTTCACAAATCGAGCTGAAATGCCAACTTAATGATCCATTTCACCAATCAAGCATGAGATCGACAACTCACAACATGGGAAATTGCCGAAAATTCTGCGATGAGTTGAAATTCCTAAGAACAGAGGGGTGTCCTCCAAAAAACCCTTTTTCTTCGATGGGAGGATTCCAATCGTTATTGTCACTCTTTTTTCCCCTTTCGTTTCTTCTATTCATAGTCATTCTTTTATCTTAACTAAGTCACTCTTTTGAAGACCCTTACCACATGGCCCCTCTTTGGTCATGGCTCGGGGCACTAATTGCCCTGCCCCTTGCTCTAGCTGGCAATCCTGGAGACGCAGTCCCCAAGTCCTATATTGTCGAATTTAGTGGACCACAAGTAGTAAGTTTCCGAATATTAAATAAATTATTGTGAACTAGAATATCTAACTTTTTCTAGTCTACTGATGGATTCATCTCAACACTCGCTCGCAGCGGCATTTCTATTAGTCTCAGCCGCGATCTATCATTCTCTCTTTTCCATGGTGGATCTTTCACTCTACCTCAGAATACCCGGAATGAGGCTCTAATCATCAAGAAAATTTCTTCACTCTCTCTGGTGAAGAGTATCTCTCCAGTTCGAGAAGTCTACCAACCCAAGCGATCTATTTCCGCTGCCCACCACGCATCGATTCTGGATCATACCCATACTCTTCGTCGCCGTAATGTGAGCTATCCGATTGGCTCGAACGATGTTCCTCATCATATGACTGGTGTGAACAAGCTGCGCGAGGAAGGCTTCGTGGGCAGTGGTATTTGCGTCGCTGTCGTGGATGGTGGAATCGATTATAAGCACCCAGCTCTTGGCGGTTGCTACGGAGAAGGCTGCTTAGTTTCATTTGGTTACAACTTGGTCGATGACACAAATGACCCCTATGATAACTGCGATGGTCACGGAACTCATGTTTCTGGTCTCATCGCAGCGCAACCGAATGCTTATAACTTCACTGGTGTGGCACCTAATGTCACACTTGGACATTATAAGGTCAACAAGTGCCATTCTGGTTCATCTACCGATGTGATCATGCATGCTTTCAAGATGGCTTATGAGGCCAAGGCTGATATCATCACTGCTTCTATTGGTGGTTACAGTGGCTGGTCAGAGGAGCCTTGGGGTGTTCTGATCCAGCGCATTGCGGGTGCCGGTGTCCCTTGTTTGGTTGCTGCTGGGAATGACGGCGCAGACGGAATGTTCTATGCCTCCGATGGAGCAGATGGCAAGGGTGCTATTGGTGTGGGTTCAGTTAACAGTTTGACGTCCCCAATGATCTTGACCAGTGCTTCCTACTCTACCAAGAACAGTACCAAGCAGCTTGGTTGGTCTATTTCTGGAGACGCTGATTTTGTCAATGGTACTTATCAGCTATACCCTCTGAGCCTGAGCACTTCGGTTGAGGGCGACGGTTGTAAGGCTCTACCCTCGACTACACCCGTTTTGTCTAAGAAGATTGTTCTTATTCGACGTGGTGGTTGTGCATTTGAGGACAAGGCTATTAATGCTGCTAATGCCGGTGCAAAGAACATTCTTTTCTACAATCATGTTCCTGGTGTCGATGCATTCGATTTTTCTGATCATGGACTCGTCGGTATTGGAATGGTGCCAACCGCCACTGGTGAAGATTGGGTGAAACTGGCTGCAAAAAGAATGTTTCCGTCTACCTACACATGGTTAGCAAGAGCTCTGCCGCCACAATTTTTGTCAATGAAGTGAATAACCTGGCTGGCGGCTATGTGAGCGACTTCACCCAATGGGGTCCTACAAATGAGCTTGCAGCTATTACTACTGTCCTTGCTCCCGGTGGCTTCATGCTGTCAACTTGGCCTCTCGCTCTCGGTGGATATGCCGTTGACACCGGTACCTCGATGGCCACTCCATACTTGGCTGGTTGTATTGCTTTGCTCCTTGAAGCTCGAGGCAAGACCCCAGTGAAGACTGTCAAGTCTCTTCTCGCCACCAATGCTATCCCCAAAATGTTCCAGGACTGTGTCACGAGCTACCCATGGCTGAGCTCGGTTGCTCAACAGGGTGCCGGATTAATCGATGCGTATAGTGCCGTCCACTCCAAGACCATCCTTAACGTAAGCAGTCTCAGCTTCAACGATACTCAGTTCTTGGCTCCTGTTGCATTCACTATCAACAACACCGGTTCGGATATCGCTGTCTACACGATCAGCCGGGTCAGCAGTGGCACTGTCTACGCTCTTCCCGATGACGGCACCACGATTCCCATGACCTTTGATTCTGGCGACTTCATGGAAACCGTCAACAGCTCGGCCACTCTCAAGTTCAGCTCTACTCGTGTCTCCGTATTCCCAGGCCAGAGTACCACCGTCAAGGTCCTCGCCAGTCCTCCTCGCGGCCTAAACGCCACCCGCATTCCCATCTACAGCGGTTTTGTTACTCTTAACGGCACAAACGGCGATTCATTCTCCATCCCATACCTGGGTGCTGCCAACGCCATGCGCAACGTAACAATCCTGGACACAAAGCACGGCGAGAACTATCTCCTATCTAGCGAGAGCTCTGCCCCCGTTCAGGCTGGGCAGATGTTCACATTTGCAAGCCCCAATGCTACCACCGCAACAAACACTACCAACCCGATCTTCGATCTGCGTCTCTCCATGGGAACTCGTCTACTGCAGGCTGATGTGAAGTCTTATAACGGAACTGTTCTCGGATCTCTTCCCTACTACCCCCAGGAATTCAAGTCGCGATCTGCGACTGGTCCTCAGAAGGTTTCTTGGGAGGGTCAATTGGCAGATGGTTCGTATGTTCCTGCTGGCATTTACTCTCTGCGTGTGCGTGCTTTGAAGATATTTGGGAACCCACTGAAGGATTCCGATTATGATCTTGTTGAGACTCCGAAGTTCCGGGTTCGATACACTGGAGCTTGAATTAGTTCTGTTCTCAAGTATATTACCCGATGTCATAGTGGCTTTGTTGTATACTAACTATGCGGATTGCTTGCTATTGACTTACTAACGATGCCAATTCTGTTGTCTACCTAAGACTGGTTTAGTATCATAATTAATTATTACCCTCGTGCTCAATACTTTCTGCCTCATAGCGTCAAAGATTGGACGGTTGAGCAATTAGCAGGTCTTGTAGTCTAATGGTCATGACGTCAGATTCTGATTCTGAAAGCCCCGGTTCGATTCCGGGCAGGACCTCTTTTTTGTTCCTCTTGATTTGTGGCAGCAGACAAAGCGTTTGTTTTCTTTCAAGGGGTTTTTTCTCTTTTTATCTTTTAACAGGATTTTTTTTGCTTAAGTAATTATTCTTATTCTAATCACTCAAAGAAATAAAATCTTCAGACTAAATCAAATAAAATCTTCAGACTGAATCAGAAACCCAGAGCACATAAGGCTCACACAAAAAAAAACCAATAAAAATGGATAGCTCTCTTTCATTGAACCAGAAAGAAGAGCAAAAAAGAGGTCCTGCCCGGAATCGAACCGGGGCTTTCAGAATCAGAATCTGACGTCATGACCATTAGACTACAAGACCTGATAGATGTCCGAGGCTCAATTTTTGACATTATCACCCATGTGAAAGAGAAGGACAAAATCTCGGTTGATCGTTGCATCTGATTTCCTTTTGTGGTTTGGCGTCCTGCGTTTTATACACTTAGGTATACAATGCTTTATGAGACGGTATGGAATTAGGTCTAAGTTGAATTATAAGCTTAATGAAACCTTGAACCAGATCCAGCACTTACGGTACTAGCGACCATCCATCATGATGATCCATTCAAGTTCAAAATACATGGATGTTGATACCTACATATGTATATACCTCCTAGTACTTGCATACTATCCACGACTCTGGGTTTCATGGGCCCAGGTGGTGTAGTAAACTTTGAACTTGAACTTGAACTTGGACACCAAGATCTTTATCAAGACCGTGACCGTGGCTTTTAATGTTGTTCTCCAAGGCTCACCCATGCAGCATGTGAAAGATTTAGCAACTGTAGCACAACTTGAACCAAATGTTGGAATCGATCAACCTACTATCCAAACAAGAAATATGATACATCACCAAGTTTAGTCATTCCTTTGTTCAATTTCGTCACTCACATGTGCACTTTTCAAGAGAAATGGGAACTTCTAAAAATCACAAAATCAACGTCTGCAGTACCATAGAGTATATCAAAAACATTCATCAATGAGGCAGATACCTATGCACATGGATATTCCGAGTCTTCAAAGGCGCAGGTAAGCGGCTGCTAAGTGACCTAATCATGATAATGCGAAAATCTGGCGTCTCCACATCAACTAGCATCATTGGTCTAGTGGTAGAATTCGTCGTTGCCATCGACGAGGCCCGTGTTCGATTCACGGATGATGCACATTTCTTTTTTTGTCAAGGTCTCTTGACCTTGAGGAGCCTTTCTTTTTTTGCAAGGCACTCATGATGATAATAAACCCAATGTTGAGCCAGAAATGTGACATACTAGCATCGAGTCTTGGTTATTTATTAGAACAGTTGACTCCGATCCTCATAGATCCACTCTCCGGGGAAGCAAATTACACCTTGAATACCAGGTCTGAGGTCGGTAGTATGAAAGTCCTCATGCCGCGCGAAGAGCAGTAGAATTGGGAAAGCACTTAACATTTGAAAGGCTTGGCTAAGAATCTCGGTCAGGTAGACACCGTGACACTACGGCCATATTCACATACTTAAGTACTCAGTCAGTATTATGTATAGGTGACTGGTGACATACTCCTCTTTGCATGTAAGTACCTACACCTGGGCAGGGTTACCTACGGGGCTATAGGAGAAGAGGTCTATCTAAAGTGAAGCTTCCAAGGTTAGAACCTTGGAAACATTAGTATAAAATTACGGTTAGCGCTTGCGTTGCTCTCAACTTGAATTTTATGCGTGGTTCTACCAGCAAATTGTAACTGGTACCTATGTATTGATATTTTGGTACATGTATGTACTCTTCCTTGCTCTCATATCGAGTATTGTATGCCTAAGCACTTAGATTGTGATGATAATTTGATTCCAGTAGCCTTGAGAACTTGTAATATTTTCTTCTTTAATTGTCCAGAATAATGGATCGAGAGGCTAGGAGACCCTTCTGAGCAAGTCTATCAACTATGTTCTCAATGTAGGCAATATCTCCCGTACTTTCAGGTTGGCTTGCTTTGAATCTTTGATAAGCCACTCTGAGAGGATAGAACGTGGACGCTGGGCCGAAAAGCTCCATCTCATCTTGTAGTAGGTAATCCATGCTGAGGTAAATCTTCCGTCCAAGGTCAATCATTTGTTCCTTATTTTCAACCAAGTTTGAGATGAATGGATCTTCGAATGCTGAAATATGTGTATTAAACACACAGTCCAACGCAAGAGGTGCTAAGCGCTCGATTTCCGTGGCGCAAGTTATTTGGAAGGCCCAAAGATGAGTGAGCACATTTGCCATGGTGATGTTGGGGTACCATAGAGGGAGTCCAGTGTCTCGATTCATGCTCCCTTTTATTGTGTATAAATCTCGATCGGACATTGATGGGGACTGGCCATCATTTATGCAGACGGTATTTCCCCAACTCTCGAGGCGGGCGAATAAATCAAGGAAAAGAGTCAGTATATTATTAATATCGGTAGATTGGTTCCCTTGCAGCTTTTCAAGAATTGAATCGCTCTTATGCAACAGTGACGGGAGCATGATAACCTCGTTTAGAAGAGATTGCATGAGAGATGGTCCAGTGACGGAAAATGGAGTCCGAATCCAAGATTGCAAAGCGAGAAATGTTGGCTGGCGGGTTTGAATAGCCTGAATCATCTAAACACCAAGATATTTAACATAAAGATAGAGAAGATGTCGAGTGAGAGTGACATACCATCACAGGTCTAAATCCTACAAAAAGTCTGTGGAGAGTTCCGGTCTTAAATACTTTGGGGTTATAGGCTTGGAAGAGTAGACCCACGGCCGTGGTGTGTACTGCAATAGCGGCGACTGAGTCTGGGATCATAAACTTCACAACGTCAGCATCTGCATTACCACTAAAGTGACGCAATTCCAGTACCTCCACCAATGTGATGCACATGATAGCTGGGATATGTTCAAATTTAATAATGTTGCCGCTTCTTTCAAGGCTTCGGCGGAGCATATGAATAGCTGATTGATAGGCCTGAGAACAATCGACGTTGCGGATATTTGACCGTGATATTATTGAGATTCCTAAAGCTGTGATTGCTCTGGAAAGAACCGAGTTTCCCGTAGTCAAGGATGGAAGACGAGATAGAACCTCAACCCAAGAACCGCAGATTCGAGGCTCCACATGATCTGAATCAGATGCCGGAATGGCTCTTTCGCCCTTCGGGACGTATGTTTGCACAATAAAATCTGAGAAATAAGCCGAATCTGGTCGATTGAGATATCTTTGAGACAATATAGCTCTGGATGTATTCAAGTTGAGGTGTTCATGGCGATTTCTCAATGACTTCTCTTGGCTTCTGATTGGAATTGCTGCTGGATCGCACCCACCGTGGGAAGGGGGTGATATTGCTAAAGCACCTTGCTGTACGAAGGTCCAATCTTCTGGGTAGCCATCGCATTTGAGTTTGGAGAATGCACATTGACTACATGCTGGACGTTTTCCATCACACTAAGATTATTATTGTGTCAGTTAATGTCATTGTTAAGTGTGGATCTTCCAGGACTTGCGCCTAGTTTTCGCCTTCTGCAGGTTTGACAAATAGTTCTTCGCTTGGCCCTCATCAGATCGATTTCAAATCTGGAATAATCTCGAAATTTTTGCAAATTTTCCAAGTTTCCTAGAAGAAAATCCCCATAGTCAGCGCCCAGGTGGCCACAGGGCTCAAGAAATGAATGCTGAGTCATCCATTATGACGTTTTCTTGGCGGATTTGGGTTCCTAAAGCGGTTAGTCTGTTATCAAAAGCCCCACCGTGTATAGATGAGCCACTTTAATTTTCTTTTCAAAAAGAAGTTGGTTGCATAGTCAAAGCGGCAAATTATTTCATGGGTGCTGCGCTGATTTATTATCATGTCAAACTTTTTGATTTCTTGGCGGAAAACCATACCACAAATGCTTTAGTATACTTCGGGGCTGCGGTTCAACTATTCTTTTACATCTAATCAGTATACTAGTAATAACAAATCAACCTTGGAAGTTTGTCATCGACTTATCAATCATCCTGTATTAGGTAGACTTCTTGTCTGATATTTTACTATAAATGCCTCCATTCCTCCAGCATTCCTCTCACAGGGCCTTCTACTAGAGACCGAACAAATTAGTCCAATCTTACTCCATACTACAATACTTGACTTCCCTCAACAATTTGTCTTTGCATTCACAATGTCTCCTTCAACTTTCAAAAGCTCCTTCAGCATCACACACATTGGCACAGCAACAGCAATCTTTGAGATTGACAATGTCAACCTTTTGACCGATCCCTTCTTCTCGCCCGCAGGCACAACATGGGATATGGGTGGTGGCGCCATTCTGAAGAACACGGAAACTCCAGCTCTCGGCCTTGAAAACCTTCCCGTCATCAATGCCATCCTCCTCAGTCATGAAGACCATCCCGATAACTTGGATGCTTTTGGCCGTCAGTTACTGAATGGTCGTCATGTCTTCACCACAGTTGATGGTGGCAAGAACCTTGCTCCTCGCCCGGCTGTTCGTGGCATGAAGCCATGGGAAACCATCTCTATTGTTCTCGGAGGAAAGAAATACGATATTACCGCCACACCCTGCCAGCACCTACCTGGAGGTGAATGCACCGGTTTCATTCTGACTACGGCGGATTTTGGTGTGAGCCCTGAGGGCCGCCCTAATGCGATCTATTTCACCGGAGACACTGTTTATATCGATGAACTCGCGAAAATTCCCGAGATGTTTCATGTTGTGGTTGCAGTCATGAACTTAGGTTCTGCTCATGCTCCTCTGCCCGATGGCCCACTACAGATCACGATGGATGGTAAGCAGGCGGCCCATCTTTTCCGGACGATCAAGGCGGATTGCCTTGTGCCTATGCATTATGAGTCTTGGGGTCACTTCACACAATTTGGTCAGGATCTGGTCAATGTATTCGGAGAAGAGGGTATTGCTGAGAAGGTTCGCTGGCTTACTCCCGGTAAATCGGTAAAGATTCTGTGAACAACCTTGGAAGGTTCACTTCATTCTTGTGCTTATATGTATATTATTGGTTATCAAGCTCAAGTTCTATGTAAGAATTGATCTGACAGAGTCTACTGCCACTAAATCCACTGTAGCCCTGGAGATGGGTGTATTTCACCAATGACGAGAACTGAACTTCACTTTTGTTCCAACAAGAATCTTACAACCAATAACCCTTTCGAAATTATAGCAATGAAGCTGATATCAGTGAAGCCATAAACCTTCGCTCCTGTGATAAACGGATTGATGCCCATTTTTAAACGACCATCATAACCTTGGAAACATTGAAAGACTATGTATCAAAAACTTAGAACGATACAAAAAGAAAGTGGCCAGACCCGCACATGCGGCCTCAATCCGAGGATCTTATCAGTTTAAAGTCCAATTGGTACTGTTGACGATACGTCAGGCAGTGGTGGCGGAAAAACCACGGTTGTGCGTGTATTTCTGGGAAAATCGTGCATTCGGGAGGAAAAGACATCATTAGGTCCAGGAATGCAGCCACTTCATTTCCTTCCATTTCACACCCATGTCTCTGTCTTGAACTCTGAATACCACATGTGCATATTCATAAATCCTTAAATGTAGTTGATTGACTTTATATGACTCAGTTCTACTCAGTGAGCACTAATCCGGAAATGGTAACCAAAAATCGTCAGGACAAATCCAGTGCAGATGTACTTATTTTAATTCTGCGACCCATGCGGAGTAAATAAAATTTGAAGTAATAATGGGGTGATTTTGGTTGGGATTGTAAACTTGAGGAAACTGAGATTAGTTTTATGATCTCTCACTTCTGTTGGCGGTGAAGCAGATAAAGCAAACAGGGCAAACAAACATTATTATCCATATTTATATCGAAATTTTGAGTTCTACCTCTCTATCCCTTGGCATGAGAAATATCTCCAAGGTCTCTTCTATCTCTTATCTCCCCACTCGTCAACATCCAAGACCCAAACTCAGCTCGGAACTATGGAGTCTTCTACAGAGTCCAGAAAACTCGGCACAGGATGCCCTTTGTGCGCCAAGACAGACAATCTACGCCGTTGCTCAGGATGCAAAATCCTTCAATACTGTGGTCAAGACCACCAACGTGAGCACTGGCCAAAGCATAAATCGGCCTGCAGTGGTGTTCGGCGCGCTCGTAAATCACTGGAAGATGCTAAAGAAGCTCTGATCAACCACCTAGATTTCAAGGACGACGATCCTTTTGTGAATCACGTTGGCCGTTTCTGGAAACTCGATGGGACCCGCCCTTATATGATGGGATTGTCGAAGTTGACCCAGGTGATCGGTGAAATCGAGCATGTGGACGCCGTGCAGGCTGAATTAGACATCTACATGGAGATGCTACGTCTCTGTCCAGGTGATAATATGGGCGTCCGTGGGTCAGTCCCAGGTACGATGTTACGTTTAAACAAAGATCAGGAGTGCTATGACTTCATCAAATGGTTTGAAACGAATGATGACTATGACGGCAAATTCCTCAACCTCAAGAACGCGGACATCTTTGAACCCGTCGACTTCGTTCGCAAGCAACCCGTGGGTGATCTTTCACGCCCACTTTGCTTGATTCTACTGAAAATCAAGCTTTTGATTGACATGCTCAAGCTGAGGAACGGCGAGGCTGGAATCGATCGACTGAAAGGCGAGCTTGCCAGAGACGGGAAATCCCTTCCGGTTGAGCTTTTCAATGCATTTTCCAAGGATGCCCGAGCCAAAAGTGTAACCAGCCCAGCTATCCGTGCTCGAGACGACATCATGAATGGTCAGGGATTTTCAGAAAAGATCTACGGACTCAAGGATCAAATCGACAAACTGTACGATATGATTGATGCACAGAACAAGCATATGTGGCCAGCCATGGATGACCCTGCGGAAGCATTCAAACGTGAAATGACTGGTATGTTCTCGATGGGATCGGAGGATGAGATGCGGATTGCGTTGAATGAGACTTATCTTGCCTGGCTTGAAGTTCCCGGTGCAACCGAATTCATCCAATTTAAAATCCATGGAAAGGTGGACGAACTTCTGTGACGGTAAATTACTTTCAGATTAGCCAGCCTTGGAGGTCTTTGCAGAGAAAAATGCAATTTGATGCTACATACGGATGACATGAACCCCAGTATCGATTGACCTTATCAATACCAGTTGACAACAGTTAAACACTTCAAGTTGCCCAAAGCACGCCAAGTTAAAATAAATAATGAAAAATTGAAATAAATGACCAGGCTCAAGCTTGATCCAAAGACCTTACTAAATACTAGGTGCCTGCCCTTGGGCCTCCGCCGTGACGGCAGGATATACAATAACCTGGGGGTGGTAGCGGAAAAACCACCGTTGTGCGTGGCATTTTTTGGAAAAACCGTGGCATTCCCACCTAGCATCTTGTAAACCGAGAAGCTGTTTAAGAAACAAACGGAGGGCCAAAACTTAGCGTGTTTGTTCAGATTCCACTTGGGCAATACAGGTGCCAGGTGGTTGTGGGCACGTCTGACTAATCGCGGATCTTATCATAATCAGAGTATGATCTATCATAACATAACCCACTTTTTCTACTATTAACTTCCTTGATTGGTCAGGATTTAAGCGCTAGTTGAGGGCCGCCCTCAAAAAGCCCTCAGAAACCCTCAAAATATGCGGGCGACCCTCAAATCAGTAATCCGCCCTCAAAAAATGGGTAGTCGTGATACCCCCCAAAATCATCCCCAAAATCAGCCATAAAATCAGCCATAAAATCATCCACACAATCATTACCATAAAATCATTCAATAGTAATTCCTTATAAAATATAAAGCCATTACCAATATTCAACTTTGAATCATAATTAATAGCTTTTAAAATTATTTTTGAAATTAAAATAGTGTTATAAGGTTCAAGCTGAGAATACACCAGAGACCCTTGGTGCAAATATATATTTCTCCAACTTCACCATACAGACTTTGCAAGATTTAACCCTTTCTTTGTATCAATAGGATAAAAATGAATAATATCCATATTACCTATAATTATTTGCTACAATACTACTTGATTTCTAAAAATTTCATAACGATAATACGGAAATAAAGTAGAAATTCAGGATGGAAACCAGAACAAGGTTAAAAAACAGTATTTTATCAGGATAACTAAGCAACATTATGCGTCTAAATTAGGAAAGGTCAATTCTTTTTATGCAAATGCGGGCGGATTAGGGCCGCCTGCGGGCGGCCCTCAAAACGTTTTTAATGAGGTCTACCACTAATCACCATCATCTAAAAAACACCAAGTCTGCTTGATTGAGTTTTCCAACACAATTTGCTTAATATTTTTTATATCTATATATATTAAAAACTGTAAATCTCTAATAAGGTTAAGCTCTAGCGGTTCTTTTGAGCCTATTTCTATTCTATTTAAGCCTGTATCCACTGTAAAAAATAAAGAACAATGTTTACGAACTGATATACATACTACAGGTGTACTCACTTTACTCTGTGTCAAATATATATTTCTTTCTGAATATCATTAATGATTGAGTAATTTTGAATTGCCACATTACCACTAGGTAGAGTTGATTTAAAAATATATACACAAAGCTTTTAAGGTCATTTAATAATGAATACAATCTCAATTTATAATATTTCACACAGACTGTCAAGTAAGATAACGAGGACGCTCGTTATAACCATACCATTCAGATTTCATGTATAAAATCCGGTTTAATCAGCTGCACAACTGCCACCTGATCGGCTAGAACAGATTAAATTAGCGAGGTTTATGCTCGTGCTGATAATCTGCGGATATATACGATCGATAGTCGATAATGAAACATTATCAGTATCGTACGATATGCCGCAGTCTACTCCCATGCCGTCCATAATCAATAGCCGAAACCGGCCACATATACGGGAATTCGTTAATGGAATAAATGGCTTTCGTAGCCAACGTGGACCAATCTCATTGGTAGCCCAGCTATTATTCGAGACCTCAAACCGCCAGTCTTTTGGTAGGTTATCAAACCAACCCACAATAACAACCTTACCCTTAAAGGCGGTAGCGAAAAGCCATCTGCAAAACCATACACTAAAATCCGTTCATCAATGCGTCCTCTATGCCAGACTTATCCCTAGCTTGATTCTGGCATCTACAGTAGAATTCGAAAACAGATTCCCCACAGACACATACACTTTCTAATGTTCTATCCCAACGCCCTACTCGGACCACACTAGGTCAAACTAGGCTAGGTAAGGCCCATCTTGTCTCGATGTATCATTGGTAGATTATTTAAATTACCATAAATACAGTGCGAGTCGGAATCGGATTTCCCGACGGACACGCGTTGTTTGCCGGCACGTCCCTGAAACCACCCTAACCCATATTTCGCTAAGTTGTCAATATGATTTCTTAAATCTATTTGCCTTTTATTTATAGAACGACTAAGTGACGGAATATGCTGTTTCTTACCAGAAATGCAGATACACGCTCGTTCTCCCTATGGCCATCAATTTCCATTCCCTAACATCGAAATTCCAACCAAAAACAATATCAAGTCGTGTCGATGAATGTCTTAACTATGGAACTGCAGCTACAAAATTTCGGGATACTCCAGAAATCTTGGAGATGATTCTGGCTCGCATGGATCTGCGCACGCTTCTCACGTTACATTTAGCTGAATTTATTGTTGAAATATTTGAATTTACAATTTTCTAGTGGCGCTGGGTGGTGGGGGCCGGCCGGATGATCGGGAGGGCAGATACGTTATGGTTTGTGCCGACACGGCCATTTTCAGCACCCGTGTCGTACTATTGGTTCTTTGGCGCTCCTGGGAGATCCTTCCGTCTGTAACACGAGATGGATCGCGAGGCTGGTCGCGAGGCTGGCGACGAATCCTTCACGATGTTACTTTACCTACTGTAGTACTTGGCTAGTGCGCTCCACACCAAGAAATGCTCCGATGAGTCTAAGCCCCAAAACGGAGAGCTAATCCGATTATTAGCCCGTGATGCTCAAGCTCCTGGCACAATCTCAACTTCATATATGAGGTCACGGTGGATCAGCAGGGATCCATATTACGCGTAAATTCCCACCAACCACCCTTCAGCCAGCCTTCAGCCACCCCATAGTCTGGCCTTATTCGATCTAAAAAAGAGAATCTCTTCATCCAACCGTGATGGCAGTCTTTACAGACCCCCGGTTAACTTAGATCAAGCCTGAGGCTTTCCAGTCTTGCTCTGCTTGCGTGGCTTCTCGCTAGTCTGTATGTGGGGAAGGCCCGGTGACTTCTACAACATGCAACAAAGTTCACCACTGTACAAGAAGCACTTCCTGCCTTTCTCAGTATAGTGCGGTAATCCGAGTCTTATTATGGTATCTTAATTTGAATTACACGGTCAAACCCCCGATTGTCCTATCAGCAGCCTTGGAAGCGCCTTGAAAATTTCAAGGATGTATTACACATACTTCCACGTGCTACACCGAACGGGCAGTTGGAGTGTCTTTTTTTTGTTGGAGTAGGGTGCTTTCTGTATGACTATCTGAAGGAGTCAGTGGCCCTCTGGGGCCAAAACCAAGGCTTCTTGAAGACCACAATGAGATCTTACATGCTGTACGATGACCCCTTTTACACCTTCAATATTCTGTGCAGTTCCAAGATTGGACAAATATCTATTCAATACTTCGCTGAAATTACGAAGGGTTGAACTTTGTAGCGTCTGGTAATTCTCCAGAAGAGTCGGAATGGCTACTCCAGGTACAATGGTATCCGGAAAGCGACCTGCTCGGCGGCTGGCATGCAATCGGTGCCACGCCGCTAAGCTTCGATGTATTCAATCGCCAACAAACCAGCAATGTGTTCGCTGCATTAAGGCAGGCGTCGGATGTGTACACGATCCTCCGAACCGGTTGGGCCGACCCCGAGTACACCACCTTACTCCTCCCGATACCGTTTCTCTCTCTTCAACGCAGCTACACGAACCGAATAGCAACAATTCACCCATAAATGACTCGAATTTGGAAAATGACAATGCGGTCCATAACCTTTGCAGTCCGCAAAATATCGACGTAGATCATACCACAGCAGAGAGCATGGACACGACCGATCTACAAGGGCCGACCATTTCTCATACAGATTTGGAAGTTTTAGCTGGCCATGAATCACAGCCAGCAAACTTAGGTCTCAATATTGGTAAGGCAAACAAGACACTTAATTGAGAATCAAAAGAAGCATGCTGACCGAGAGAGCCGCAATAGACTTCCATCAAAGCGGGGACCAACCAATACAGAGTGATGATCCTTGGTATCTCACTGACTTCTTGAATTCCCGGGATAATATCGATGCCTCCCTGAATCAGTCAATCGAATCCACCGACCACTGCCATGAATACAGAGGTCCTGGTAAGCAAAATCCACAGACCATTCATATGGCGTCCGATAATCCAGAGACCGCTTTGCCCTCCACTGAGAACGGTGGCTACCATGATGCAGAGCCTGATTTGGGTCCACCGGAAGATTTATCACTTTTTTTAAGCCAAATAATGGTGAAGTTGACTAAAATCCACCATAAATTGACTGGGGATGAGCGGCGACCTTCACCCCCGCCACCGGGCAGGAGAACAACAAGACTACCAATCTCCGATGAATGCTTCAAGTCCCAACTTCAAGCTAATATTCAAGCTGCGGAGCAAATATTGGAGACATTGGGTCGCATCAATGATGACCAATCTCGACGAGTGATATCCGACATGGAAGGGCATTTACCACAAAAAAGCTTTGGAACATTCGAAAAGCGACGATCCTTGAAAGCCCCCGTCTCTACACATCGACAAAGAGATACCACGCCATTCCCAAGCCCTTATTCATCTGTCGGAGATGATCAAATTTCCTTGGATTCTCTTCCTGATGATTCACAGAACAGCATCACCGCAATGCTGGTAATCTCTATTTATCTACGTTTGCTACACAACTTTGACATTTTGGTGTCCATCATGTATACGCGTATCAGAGAATGCGAGTCAAATACGCGGTATTCTGAAACCACGACATCAAACTTGGAAGTCCCAACAAATAAAACCGAGCCATTCTCTAGTCCTGTGTTACATGTGTCAATGGGCAGCTGCTCATTCTCCTCTGCTTCGGCCACATCCCTACAGGTGCTCTTTAATGTTCAATTGATTGACACTTTCTCGCAAAAGTGAAAGTCTCCATCCAGCGTACTATTTTACGGCCGAAAATAGCAGCGCCATTAGAGATTGACCAGGACCCCTTTAGTGATGTACTTTCGAGGGCAACCCGATATCCCGTACCTTCGACCACTGATTTTGAACCGAATCACCCCTCGCACAGAGCTAGGCATACTAGGCAACTGCCGACACCACAACATGAAGTAAAACGTGGGGCTTTCGATGAATTTGCAACCGGGATACATGGTGTTACCGCAGGGGCCCTCGAAGAGATAAACTAACGTGATTCCCAAGCGAGCGGCCACCTCAAGCGAGCGGCCACCTGACCGCGTTCGCGTCACCCGCGTCATACCTTACCATCTTCAACCACCCACCATGCCACCAAAACGCAATGTTTCGGCCAAAAAAAATGGCAGTCAAGAAGACCGAATTTTACTTGCTATTGAGGCTATAAAGAAGCAAGATATCACAGCAATAGCCACAGCAACACGTGTATTCGATGTACCTCGCTCTACGTTACGGCGCCGCCTTGCCGGCCATACTAATCGATCCGAAACTCGCGCGAATAACCATAAATTAAATGAAAATGAAGAGAATTCACTTCTCCAATGGATGATCTCTATGGATATACGTGGAGCTGCCCCCTGTCCGGCTACCGTCCAAGAAATGGCCAATATTCTACTTACAGCGCGTGGCCAGACCCCCCCCTCAAACTGTTGGCAAGAATTGGGTTACAAACTTCGTAAGACGACATTCAGAGCTTACAACCCGTTTCTCTCGACGATATAATTACGAGCATGCGAGAATGGAGGATCCAAAAGTGGTTCAAGAATGGTTTAATCTTGTTTTTCAGACAATTCAAGAGAATGGTATTCTATCAGAGGATATCTATAACTTTGATGAGACTGGATTTGCAATGGGACTTACGGCAACTGCTAAAGTTGTTACTCGTTCTCGATATTATGGTCGGCGATCACTTTTACAGCCTGGAAATCGTGAATAGGTAACAGCTATTAAAACAATTAATGTTTCTGGATAGGTACTTCCACCAGTAATTATTTTCAAAGGCAAAGTTTCGATTGAAGGATGGTTTGAGAATCTTCCATCTGATAGGCGATTCAAAACTAGTCCAAATGGATGGACAACTGATGAAATTGGACTTCGACGGCTTCAAAAACACTTTATTCCAGCAACAACTGAACGGACACTTGGAAAATATCGACTTTTGATTCTTGATGGTCATGGGAGCCATTTAACTCCCCAATTTGACCAGACTTGCAAAGAGAATAATATTATTCCAATTTGCATGCCAGCCCATTCTTCACATCTTCATCAGCCACTTGATGTTGGATGTTTTGCACCTCTTAAACGTGCATATGGTCGGCTTGTTGAGAATCAAATACGGCTTGGTTTTAACCATATCGATAAATTTGATTTTCTTGAAGCCTACCCAATCGCTCGTAAAGAGGCTTTTCAAACCCAAACCATTCAAAACAGCTTTGCAGCAGCTGGTTTAGTACCATTCAACCCAGATCAAGTACTTTCTAAGCTTAATATTCTTCTTCGAACACCTACACCCCCAGGTAGCCGCCCTACCAGTCGACCAAGCCAATTTTCACCCAAGACACCCCAGAACCTTATTCAGCTTCAACGGCAAGCTAGTTCAATCAAAGCTCTTCTAAAACAACGTTCAAGAAGCCCTTCAAGTCCACTGAAACAGCAGATAGACCAAGTTCTAAAAGCCTGTGAAATTCAGATGCATTCGACAGCTTTATTGAAGGTTGAAACACGTAAATTACGTGCCGCCCACGAGAAGCAGAAGCAGAAGCGCCAACGGTCTACTAGGCAGATACCTAATGAGGGTGGAATGACGGTTCAAGAGGGCCAGGAAGCTATACAGCGTGCTATACAGGTGGTTGAAATACCAGTTGCCCCTCCCGTACCGCGGCCCAGGGCACCTGTCTTACCCTCTCAGCTAGCTAGGAGAAAGCTGCCAACATGTAAGAAGTGTGGAGAAGAAGGACATAGATCAGATCACTGTGATATTTAGATAAATATTTTAATAAATTGGCGTTATGGTTCTAATAATTATAATGAAAGCTGTAGGGTACGCGGTCAGGTGGCCGCTCGCTTGGGAATCACGTTATATGGACTCAAGCCTGGAAAGAAAGGCCAACTATATCAAGCAATGGACGATCGAAAGGCCCTTATAGGGTAACCCAGGGGTTCCTGGAAGTTTACAATAGATACCAATACATCGGTCCCGCAATCTCTAGACTACCGTCCAAAGGGCTCAAGCCTCAAGATATGTCATGTAAAAATCGAATGTTGGCGACGCTGAGTGAATGCTTAGTACCCTAGAGTTCAATCGACTGGGGGCGGTGCACATTCTTATGAAATATAAAGAAACATCACGATTATCTCAATTGGTATGGTCATGCATAATTCAAACTCGCGACAGTATGTACAGGTCATGTTTAGATCATGATGATCGATGGTATCAATCCACCAATGGGGATAATCCTGAAGAAGTTTCTGATTTTTTTTTTTCATCTTCACCACCGCGGAGACTATAGATGTCTGTTGGTTTTTGAAGTTTCATTATCGCTTATATTAGAACTTTTGCTCATAAATGTCTCCCCTACTCTTTGTGCGTAGATAAGACGACGACGAAGTGCACCTAAGCGATAAGGACTAACACAATATGCAGGTATAATCATATGGAAATCTAGCGCCAGGAGATTTTCCTTCATTGGATGATTGCCGCTTTTAGATGGGTCTACTGGATCATACCTGGATCATGCTCACTGAGTAGTTACTATCACAGTGTCAATACCCTGAGCAGGCTGTCAGACCTGGTGGATCACGTAAGGAGTTTATGTAGTTAGTTAAGCTCTCCTTGTAACTAACTAACGTGATTAACGGTCGGCCGGTCGACCCCACCAATTTTCAAAAAACCATTAATTTTTAATAACAATTAAAACAATAAAAACAACAAAATATTAACTATTAAACACGTCCAGGGCATTTAGTATAAGCATGAACTTGAATTCCACACCCAGAGCACTTAATTTGTCGACGAATAATAGGCGCAGAGGGTAAAGTTGGCTCAATCGTTGGTTCTACCTGCGCCTGTGGTAAAGATATATCTTTGCTTTTAACCTCATCCTCGACCACCACATCATCCTGACCACCTTCTAGGCCTCCAAATAGGCCTTTTTGAAGGGTAAATTTATGCTTAATAGCACGTTTTTTGACTTGTTTTTTGTTGGTCGCCTCCAATTGGCTACAACGATCTTGGAGAAAAATGTGGTTGTGGACTATCTTTATAGTCATATTGTAGGACCGTTCAATTTCTCGTTTAATCGGTGACGATATAATCGAAGATGAGGATTCTAGGCCTTTTTTGACCAAAGATTGCGATTTTGTAAATTTTGAAAGCGTCCAAAATGTATTTTGATCGCTATCACTGCCCGAAGATAACGTTGGTCGTTCAATAGGGGGAAGAGAATCTAAGCAAATATTTAATTTTTCTAGGACCCTATTAGCATTAAATGGTGCTAGTCCAGTAGCTAAAAAGCTATTTTGGATAGTAGGGCCCTTAAAAGTATTGAGTCTTGCTTTAGCTATTATCTCAAGGAAATCTTCCTTGTTAATAGAATTAACTCAATTCTATATCAAAGTTGATACCGTACCGCCATATAACTTTTTCAACACCGAAAAACAGCCTATATCCAAAGGCTGTAAAAGATATAAAGCATATAGAGATATAAAGATTGCAATAATCTGGTTCTCTTCATAAAGTTAGTCAAATTCAGGGGTTAAATAACTCCCATGACCATCGAGGACTAATAGGTAATATTTCCTAACTCTTACTCTAATACTTAGAATAAAATGATATTTTAACCACTATAAACTAATTGTATTGGTAGTCTAACCATTTTCACTTAAAGTTAAGCAAGATCCTTTTTGGTTTTAAAGGAGAAAAGGGCGTAAATATTCTGGAAACATTTTACCCTTGAAAATAAAGAGTGGAGGTAACACACTTCTAGAAGCTCGAATATATTTAATAATCGTCACCTATTCACAATTTCTAGATTATAGAAGATGTCTTTTTCTATAATATTCTGCTAAAGTGATGATTTTTTGTGTTAAGCTAATACCTATAGCAAAACCACTCTTATCAAAGTTAAAGGTATCATCTAAAACGATACCCTACTTTTCAATTATTTTTTGGACCAAATCAAACCATGGCACAATGATTCGAGGATCTTCTGATAAAGCTCTCTGATAGTCATATCGTCTTAAGAATCGACTAGCAAGATTTTCACGTCATTTGATAAATTGGGATGGCCAATTTATACCAATAGTAGAGGGTATTGTTGAAGACGTAGTTTTCCGCGCTTAAAGAAGAAGATTGGCCATATCTCGTAACATAGACTGATTGAGAGCTGCGCCTCTTGAATCCATATCAAGTAGCCAATTTTCTATCGATTGTTCCTGGATATCAGTGAAAATATGACGTCCATTCCTCTGTTCAGTCAAAGATTCTCGACCGTTAAGGCGGGCCTTTAAGGTTGTGGCTGGTAGTTGAAATGATCGGGCAGCAGCAGCAGCTGAGGGATATCGACCATCTTTAATAGCTTGAAGAGCTAATAAAAGACGACCCTCCTGCTCTATTAACTTTTTTTTCGATCAAAGCGTTGGGGTGGCATTTTGTTTGTGGTTAAAAAAGAGGGATTGTTTTGAAAGTGGATTTTTGATGGGTGGACCGGCCGACCGTGTCGACTGGCCGACCGTTAATCACGTTAACGTAGCTCCCGGTTGATCTGGCCACCCCAAAATGTGATGGGCTCTATAAAGACTGAAGCAGAACGATATAGGCCGACATGCAGTTTACATTCATGCTTAAGGAAGAGGAAGCTATAGTCCATGATGGGGTATATATGTCTTTCCGCGGATCACGTGTGGGGCTGTAAGCGGAGACGTCCGTGGTCAACTGTCGTCGAACGTGACCGTACGTGATCGTGGCTTTGGGCTTCGTCGAGGATTGACAAGCCCTCGTCGGGTTCAACCCGTTACATTACCCCCCTCCTTTAGCTGCAAGCTCCCTCAACACCCTTGTAGACGTGACGCGTATCCTCTCGTCCGCGGCCTGCTTGCCTTGTTCGTACGTGTCCAGCGCTGCACATCCTTTAACATTCGTAGCTGGCTCCCATGACGTCTCAGCGTAACCTGTCTATTTCACCAGGTACTCCAGTCTCGTTCCTCGTCCGATCTTCTTCATACGTTATCCCAGGATGGCTTCAACTTCGTATTCCATCTGTCTATCAACATCAATCGGAGGCGGCTGTGTGTCATCGACCACCTGAGAAGGTAAGGGGTCGGCCACGTAGGGTCGTACGAGGTCAATGTGGAACACTGGGTGTATACCAGCAGGGACCTCAAGCTTTATATTATAAGGGTTTAGGACATCAGTGACTTCATAACGTGCGTGGATCCAATCGAGCTTCTTCGAGAACCTTTCTGATTGTACGTTACGTAGGTTTAACCATACGAGATCTCCTTTCTTGTATACAGGAGCTGCTTACCTTGTACGATTGGCGTGGCTTTCTTATTGTTCCTATATAACTGTGATCGCGGCTTGTGCCTAAGTTGTGGCTTCTTCTATTTGTACAACGAAGTTCTTGCTAGCTTTAGCAGGGCCTGTGATCTCTTGTGTGTTCTCGCTTTCTTTTGTTACGATAGCATCAACATAGTACCTCTAAGTGAAGAAGAAGGGTAAGAGGCCTGTTGAGGTAGTGTCTTGATTATTAATCATTATAGCTACAACCAGTAGCATTTATTTTTAATTATCTTATATATATATATAATAAACACTTATAAGGCTTATTCAACTTCTTGATTAGCCCTTTCCATAGAGCCATCTATCTATAGGTGGAACGCTGTTGATAGTCATCGTATGATAGAGATGTTACGGGCTGGCTGTCAAGCAACGTGAGTATGCACTTCCAAAGTGTTACTTACCGCAAGCCGTTATCCTGCAACTGTACCGTCGCCGTCGCTGGGCCTTACACGGGCTCGAGTCTTTAGGGATCCTTGCACGGTAATGTTTGAACAGGGAATCCGCTAGCAAGTCAGTCACGAGTGAGGTTATCACGAGTGAGCTCCCAAGCTAGTTGAGGTTCGTCTTCAAGGGTTCGATTGTGATCAAGTAAACTGTAGTCTGATTCGTACTGTAGGTCTCAATAACAATAGAGTAATAATCGCGGGGAACTAAATACATGATGGGTAGAGAGTGTCCTTATATATCTAGTCCGTCCTATCCGTCCGATGGGATCGGGTCCCATCTGCCAGTGTGATCCGGTCTCATCCCATCATGGGATGGGACCTCGTCCTATTCTCGCATGGGATCCATTGTTGGAATAGATCCGTGGTCACGTGTCATGGGGCCAGAAGTGGCCTCTCATGCACCGTTCTTCCCTTATAGCCAGTATATGTTGCAGTGGTAAGCGACAGGCCATATCTGGCTCCCGTTGGTGCCTCAGGCACCATCGTAGCCCTGCGCCCCTCCGGGCCGTGCGTCCGTTATGGCTGTTCGTCCGTACTTGGCTTCGACCGCCAACTGATTGGGTCATAGTTGTTCCTGGGAGGTCCCCCGTGGTGGGTCCGTAACAAAAGGAATTAGAATGGTTTACTTATAAAGCTAGCTACAGGCATAGGGATTCCTTTATAGAATATATATATTGTAATATCTAGCCTAGGTGTCGTCATACTTACTCGGCTTACCTATATCCTTTATCGTAGTATCTAAAATTCCTCGAGAAGTATTTCGGTCATATAAGATCCTTCTCGTAAGGGGTTGCCATTTTCGGGTATTGTTTTGGCGCCAAAAACTGCTAGCTAGGAAATACCCCATATAGCGAGGCTAGCACAAGCAGAGCCCTAGTGTGGCGTTCCTGCAAATCTAATTACCCTGGTACTTAAGGCTATAAGTCTTCTCCAGCGAAGGATATCGCCTAGTGTCAGATTATCCTCATTCCATGCTCCAGATAGCACCTAAGTAAAGAAAGAAAGAAAAAAATGCGATTAATGAACATCGTTTGTCTCAATTTGTGTGATTTGATATTCAAACATACTCGCTTAATTATCAGACCTCTAAGCTATATCCAGATAAGATTGGAGGGCGCTCTCACTAATAATCTACTCGTCTCACATTTGCTACTACTGCTAAAAAATGGTCTAGTACCCTGTCCGGCCAAAGAAGCTGAAGACATCTATATTAAAACCAAACTAAATCTTGTAAGGTTGTCTCGCAGACTTAAATAATATCTTAAGATCTTCACAGAATAATTAACTCACTCCTATTATTCAAGCTTAGGGCTAGCCATCTACTTCCAAGTCTTCTATAAGTAGGTCTCTAGGCCATATAATACTATAACAGCTACCAAACCCTTAAGAGCTATGTGTAAAGGTACTTCCGATCGCACCATTGAGTCCATGAAGAAACACAATACTAGATAGGTTTAAACATAATAAACATAGTTCAAGTCTTAAGTGCGATGACTGATATAAACTTACTCAACAAGGCAATCAGCATCCGCGTCAGGTAAGATTGGATGCCAAAGCATCTACAGAGCATGTTAGCGCATCATAATTTCTGGTTCGGAAACTTAAGATGATAATTACGATGCCATATCTTTCTTCCGACATCCTTTCTCCTTCCCTGCTGGTTTGTTTTCTTGGGGCCCAAAAAGGTCAGGATATTAGTGACAGACTGTGAACGGGAAGAGGGGCTGAGGAGCCCTCTAAATCATTCCTGGATTATGATACAGATTTTCCATCTCGAGTCTAATAAGCGAAGGGTCCAGGTGCCTTAAAAAGATTAATATGTTTTTCGATCGCGCCGGTGGCGCTTTGGCTGACGCGAGGTTCTCGTATTGATCAGCTGGAGTATCATAAGTCTTTCCTAGATCAGACGCAGCTTAATCCATTGGGCAAATGTGGCTGCTAAAGATTCTCTGCGCTCTCGATGGCGTTGGGTTGTTTGGCTGTCTCCTAAGCTCTGGAGATACAAGTTTTTTAGTAAGATATTATATGTATGTTAGGAAATCCTGCAAGATAGCAGGACCAGAGGAGGGTGAGCTTGCCACAATGTATAGCTGCCAGTGCTCCAATTGACATTGGAAATTCAAAAAAGAATCCTGGATGAAATTCAATATCGATAACTCAGATATAACTACAAATGAAAGTGTTCAAGCAAGAATGTTCTCAGAGGGTGGTGACTACGCGAAGGAACAAAGTGAGAGGAATGTGTGGAGAAAAGGGGAATTTATGTGTTGTGATTGAACTGGGCCTTTGTGGCTTAAGCGACAAACTCGAAATGGGGTGATTCAATTGAGTTCTTATATGTGAAATGAACTGAAGTAAGAAAACACTGAAAAGCATTGTCAAGATGAGAATTGGCACAAAAAACCTCATGAACTGATCAATTCCGCACTCAGGAAATGGAAATAAACCCGCTGGAATATCATTATTTCGAGCCATTATTTTTTCTTCGGCAATTCGAGCCTCAAGTTCGGTCTGATCTGTTCGACCTTTTCAGTCACTATTGCTACTTTGGTGATTGAATCCACAGCTGCCTCATTCTCCTGGCCATTCACTACTATTCCCCAGGCTTCGAATAGGATACCATGTAGGGTGTCCACAGTTTCTATATCGCTTCGAATCTGGGTATTGCCCGTCGCGTTGGGGTCAAGGTTATTGTCGGCAAAATCCTTCATTGCGGATACGAGCTTGTCCATTAATTCAAAGCGATTTCCATCCTGATAATCACGCTTCTCAGGCGGGAGATTAGCGAACAATTGTAAATGCTTGAGTTCGCTGAGGGGCTCCTCGATGTTTGCCTGATGAATCGAGTTGGACTTGGTGTCTGTCCCAGAACTGTTATTCGACAGCTTTTGAGACAAGTTCGTCAAATTCGTGTATTGCTGGCTGAATATCTTCTCGATAAATTCTCGGGACCGGGGAGACAAGGCCACATCCTTATTGATCAGAGTCATACCCGACTTCTGCTCGTTTGTCATATTGGGTACTTCATTTATTTTCCCAGGATTGATTTTGGAGTTGACCCCAGATAGAGCCTTCGTTTGTTTCTTGTCCATGGCCTTAATCTTTTGGGAAAAGACCTTGGAATTGGGATTTGTTGGTTGAAGATTGGGGGCCAAATTCTGAGCACGAAATTGTTTAGTGGGTTTCATGTAGTTTTCGGAATAGGCTTTGGCAGGACGTGAGACCTTGTGCTCAGAAAGATTGACTTGTATTAGATCCTGAATGGTTAGAATTTTGCTTCTGTGAAGCAAGTCATATTCCCGGGTCACGGACAGAGTGATAGGGTCGCTATACTTGTTCTCCCGCTCAGGGCTTCTTGACGTTCCAAGGGGATCCTGGAAATTAATCGGGTCGTTCCCGACGTAGACAAAGAGATTTGGCCCATCTACATCGCCCATGGGATCTGGTGCTGTCCACCGACCGAGCCAAGGACAGTAATATCGCGCTCCACAGGCAAAGAATCCTGTCTCACGGTCCCAGCGATAACGAGCGAAACGATATTCACGCCGTGCCTGGATCTCCCTGCCGGTAGTAGCAAAGATAGGACTGCCGAACGGGGTATACTCTTCATAGGAGATCAGGCGGCCTTGCTCATCTAGCTCAAGATTATCGCCTATCTGGTAGCGAACCAAGTGCACAGAGCTTGACTTTGAGGCACCTGTTTCAATGAACGCAATCCGCCCACCGGAACCATCTTCGACTTGTGCCACCCAGCGCTGCGAGACCTGACCAGAGTAGAGAATCTTTAGCTCAGTACCCCCCAAGAAAAACGTTTCTCGCTGTTTGCGTGGAAATGGGTTTCCTCCGGTGTCTCTGGCAGCGGCCTCAGTCACTTTCCGGACACGCTTGCCAGAGGAACTGTAGACATAGTAGGTGGTTGTGGGAATACTGTCGTCGCCAACACGCTGCGTGGAAGCTGCGGCTAGACGATTCTCCTCGTTCCAACGCAGAAGAGCAAATCCGGGCAAACTAGTCATGCAACCGACTTTGCCAGCATCGTGGAGTCTGCTTAAGTTGTTGTTGGTGCCGTCAGTTTCAATGTCGTTCGTACGTCCTTCGGCCCATTCATCATCGTCTGGGTCACTTTGGCTAACGTAGCGCTGTTGCTTCTTCCCAACAGTTGTTCGACTCAGTTTGTTGCCCATCACTCTAACATCATCGCTTAGTAGACTCGGCTCCTCATAGTAGAAGCGGCGGGTCCAGCCCGAAATAGAAGCCCCGCCAAGTGCCTCATGGCGCATGCGCGTCATGTTACCTGCCAAATCATATGTGTAGGACTCTCTGTAGTTATAAGGCCGATCCCCCTCTGTAGGACCCGATCGTTCTGGGCTGCCATTCAAAGCGCTATGCGGCTGTACCTGTGTTGCAGCAGCCGGAAGTCTGCCACGTCCAGTTGCACTCGTAAGCTGTCCCATTCCGTCGTAGCTGTAAGTGAAATCTGCACCGATGCGCGCATTCCCGACGAATACCGGTTTGTCCGCTTTATTGCTCTTGAACACGCGATGACCTGCTATGTCATAGACGAAGGAAAGGTCCTCTTTGACATCTTGCCGCGCGGCTTGAAGCTTACTGCTCTGTGATTTAAGAACCACAGTGCGCTGGCCTAAGAGATGCCTCGATTCAGGATGGTAGATATAAGTCGTCCGCGTGCCATTGCCGTACGTCTTTGAAAGAGGAAGTCCAGTAGCATCAAAAACGGCGTCCATGAGATAAGTCTGCCATTGATCGGGCTGGTTGCTGACGTGTCGAAGCTCAACTTTCGATGCGTGACCTCGACGGGAGAAAACTCTTCGGGTCTCGTTTCCCTGTACATCCACATCCCAGACCGCTTGCCCCAGGTCATCAAATTTCACTACACTCTGGAATCGTCGACTCTCGTCAAGTTGAGTATTCTCCTGCTTCTTCCAGCCGATCACCGCCTTGTACTCCACTGCCGCCTGGAATCCCGAGCGGATGCACCGCCCGCGCACATCGAATGCGAATTGCGTGTGCTCGCCTGCTTGATCGCGAACCTTCCAGACGCGACCTCGAAGGTTGGACTGGATCGCATCCTCATTTGTCTCACCATACTGCGTCTCAACGACCAGTTGGCCATTCACCTGCTCCGTTGAAATTGATGAAGTAGGCATCACAGTTAGCCAGCACTCCGTTTCCCGACGCAGTGCATCATATTTATAGTGGTAGCAGATGCCACGAGAATTCCATGAGAGGATTGGTGTTCCTGCAGCATCCGAAATCGACCATTGATCTCCCTTGTCCATGCCGCGTACCTGGATTGGTCGACCCAGTTTGTCATACAATGCTGTTTCCACTAAGCGGCCCAAATTGTCCCATGAATGCGTCTGGTTACCAGCAGCATCGTACTCAAAGGCTTCGGTCATCATGATTCCATCCCCAGCTTGATGGATGGAGCGGATTTGTGGTGCTGCCGGGTGACAACCTAAGAATGTTGTTCTTGGTGTCTGGCTGATATATACTCTAGACTGTGTGATTGCCATTTCGATTGCACTCCGATTCTCCGTCTCATTGTCCTGCTTCTGCTGTAGATCTAACCATGTGGGTAGATACCTTGAAGGAGCAATATGAGAAAAATAGTGCCCCACGTCTGGGTCCGCTTTCGGATCAGTCAGGGGTAGTGTATCGCCTTCATGCCAGTGGACCACCTTCCATGGAGTGTAGATGGTCTTGGTCCAGGAATGGTCTGATGCAAGCTGGGCCACGCAGGCACCACGAGCGTCATGAAAATTCGTACTTGCGTTGCTGTGGCAGTCATTTACAGGTACGAATGCTGGAGTGCAAGCAAAGAATGGCTCAAACATCCTTACCGGGGCTGTGGCCTCGAATCCACTCATCAGCCATTTTGTATCAGAGGAACTCGGAAGTCCACATTCTTCTAAAGTGGCAGTTTGTAAAACCTCTCCTGCACCCTGTAGATAGGTGACCGCTACATGGAGCTTTGGGGTCCCTGGGACTCGAAATGAGCGTTCTCGGGTGATGTTAATTGTAAAATTTGGTTTCTGCGTTTTCACAAAGGCATCGAGCACACGGATTGTACGGCTGCCAGCGCTTCCAAGTAGGCGACATGCGACAGGTCCGTTGGGGTCGCTCAAAACAGACTGGATGTCCGTTTCACTGACTGTTGTATCGAAATCGTCGAGGCTGTCAACTTCATCAGAGACATTGGCGGCGGTGAGTTTGCCGAGAACTGCGGTGGTGATCACATCTCCCAGTGGCCCACAGAGGACACTTTGTGTATTCTGATTCTCGTCTGTGACTCGGAATGGCTGAAGGGTTCTGTAATCATTTGTGAAAGTGATTGTATTCCCCAGCGCATCTTGAGTCTCCTCTACCATCAGGTTGTACCTGTCCATCCTCAGTTTGGAGCGGCTATTGAATACGTCCATGCTCACAGTTGCCTGATAGAATGAACGACGTGCGCTGGCAAGCTCTTGATGGGGTGTTCCCGAGTCTGTAAAGTAATGACATGAGGACGGTAGCCACCAATTCCCATCGCCTTTTAGCTGAACGAGGCCAGTCTCAGCTAAGACTTTGTCAACCATCAGGTCAGGCGCAGTTAGCGGCGTGATTCCACTCCTCTGTTGGCCAGTAGCTAGGCTTGTCACGAGCTCAGGAGTAAATGCTAGATTGAAGGACTGCTCTAGCACAGAAAAAGTCTCGATCTTGCCAAAGTCAAGCGTGTCATTCAGCGCGGAGTTCTTGAACAGGACCCGGGACTCGGAGAGGAGAGTTTTTGACCACTTCTCGGAGTCCGCATTGCGCAGCACATCAATGTCAAATATGGATTCACGGAATGAAAAGCCTGGAACCTCAAACATCTGCTGCTGCCAGCAAAGAGGACGTCGGAATGCGCGCTTTTCAGGAAAAACTTCGTCCAAAATCGCATTCGTAAAGCAATAATCAGTCATGAAAACCTGACCTGCTCGCTGACTCTTCTTGACATCGGAATATGAGATACCAGTCATGTGCTTTGGCTGCCGAGGGTAGACGATAGAGAGAGAACGAGCTACTTCTCCCCAAGAAGTTGTGCTCAGTACAACCTCGTGAACCATTCGCCCATCTTCAACAGAGCGACCGTAATCGGTTGTCAGAGCCGCTCTAGGCATGACCTGGAAGACTGGATGCTTCGTTTTGCCATCCAAGCGGTGCTGAAGCTGTCTCACATCGTATGAGCACTCTTCTACAGCATATGGCAGATGATCCTTTGGGGAGCCATCCAATCCGTACGTCTCAACACGCAGAAGCTTTCCGCGCAGAGCAATGAGGGCCTCCTGTGTAAAGGCCTGGTCTCCTTCGAGGGCTTCGATACTAGATGACACGTTCGATGGTGTACAAAAGGCTGTTTGGTCCGGCAGCAGCTTAAGGCCGACATGGAACCAAGAGCGAGTATACAGAGTAGGAGCCTGATATACCCCCTCTTCGCCCAAGGGAATATTAGCACGCACCCAGGTCTCCACCATCTCAAACCCAGCAAAGGTCTTTTCAACACCATCGTAGCAACCGTTGTGGTATGAATACTCTGTTGTGCTTGTGTTGTTGGTGATACTGTCTCGTGTGATCAGTTGCGTCACACACTGGACGGGAAATGGTAATCTTGTCGTCCATGGGCTACCAGCAGCTCTATCCTTCAGATAAAGCTTGATAGATGGGGTATAAGCCACGCTCGTCATGACCCCTGTACCATTCTCATATGACTGCAGGAGATGCGGCTTTACTCCACCCATTAAATCGATGTACTTGATTTCTGACGTTGCCGGACCATCTCGTCCAGCTGCGTTATGCCAACAGAGACATGCTGTTCCCTGGCCCAAGAGATCCAGGACAAAGACAGAAGACGGGTCAATTATTCGTGGTAACCGCGAGACCAGAAGAGGAGCCGTCCATGAATTACCCGCTTGGTTGAAGTAAATGTGAATCCCACCCATGGGCAAAATATATATCAAATCCGTCGGCCCGCTACCGTCTACATCAATGAAGCGTATACGAGCGGGATCCATGGATTCTATGATGGGCGGACTGCCCATCTCCACAGGAGACCCAAAGGATCCATAACCTCGGTTTGGAAAGTAAGTGATCTTCCCTGTGGAGCCAATGTGAACAATGTCGGAAAGGCCATCGCCTGTCATGTCTGCGACAAAGGTGACATGGGCTTCTGAGTCGCCATGCAAAGAGTCTGCGCGACGCTGGCCAGAGACTCCCTGCTTTCCCAGTGACTTTTGCCAAATCAGCCCATGCCCAGCATCGCCCTGGTCTAGCAAAAGATCTGTAATTCCCTCACCCGTCAGGTCGATGCTGATAACCTCCTCTCGTGGCTCGGAAACGGGCGTTTGTGGGAATTCAGAATACTCGCTCCATGTCTCGGAGTCGCAATCACGCTCGTAAAAGCCTTGTTGCTGCCCGTCTGTGTCGATGCAGACAAGATTGAGTCGTCCGTTACGATCCAGATCACTAAACCCTCCAAAGAAGCCGGTGGCTAGAGAGGGCTGCTGACTGAGAATCTCAGGGGTTCCAAACGTGGTGTCGCCGTTGTTACGTTGATAGACAAGATGGCCATCGCCAGATCGAGTCAACAGGCCGGGGATACCCTCGCCCTCAAGGTCTATCCATTCCGCAAGTGAGCCTGGGCGTGGCATGTCTGCCAGATTGACGACGTTTGCCCGGAAAGCCTTGATCTGGCGCAGGTCTGGAGCTGTAGTATATGTAAGGGTCGTTGGAGGAAATGACTCGGTTTTATAAGACGCTACAGCCCCGCTAGGCTTGTGTAAATCGTCAATCATATGTCCCATAGCTGTAGCAGACACCAAGAAAGTCCCCTGTTTGGTCTCTTTATAGCCCAGTCTCGTTGAGGAGACCAATGCCTCCCCTGGATGCCCTGGCTCCTTGGGGAAGCGATGGAACATGAGAAAACGGCGGCACAGCCGATAGGTGCGCACTTCGAATCCTGAGTTCCCCGTTGAGAAGGGGTCTTCTCGAACGGACCAGGGCGTATCTTCGGTCGAACGTGGTACCAAAGCATCATGTTCGCCATAGTCCATCACCACCTCAAATAACCAGCCTAGATCCTTCCAACTCTCTACCGGGCGGTAATTCCATGTCTCTAGATCTCGTGCAGGGACGGTGTTTGCATATAGAATGCGCTTCAGATACTTCTGCCGACACCTTTCTTCTTTTGAGCGGTGCTGCTCCCACATTGGTTTGACTCCGCCTGGAAAGAGTTTGACGCCGTCTTCGGACTTGTAGACGTTCATGACCGCATTCCCCGACGCATCAAACGAGCGCGTGAGTAGCCAGGAAAATATACGTCGGCTTCTACCAACTGCATCAAGATCCATGACGCGCGAATCATCGGTCTCCCCATAAATGGAGACGACATTGTCAGATGAGATGCTTCGCCAATGGACATCGCTCTCATCAACAAGACTGGTCCATTTCTCAATCCGAACAGATTGAACATCAAGCTTGTTGGTGTTAGTGGATGGATAGTCTTGGCTGTAAAATAGGGATAGGGCCAATTCTTACCCTCGGTCGGTACCTCGTAACCCTAAATCCGCCAACACTTTGAATACTAATCTCATTGCCCTCACTGTCTAGAGTGGGCACCAAATCGCTGCCACCAAAAATGAACTCATCTCCATCTGTATCTCCATCTACCTCATTGGCAAAGCCACTTCCATCTTGATCCTGATAACGCGGAATCCCCTTCCCCGTCTTTCTGCTCACACTTGCCCCGTCAACAGACAATTGCCACCCCATGCCGAAGACTCCATTCCCTGATCCAGAATCATAGCTCAAGGACAACGTGGGACCAAACCCCGCTCGAGCCGGAGAGGTATGAATAGGAATGGAAACATTGAGGGTCCCATTGATCGGGTGCACATTGAAACTGGCTTGACCGTTCGTTCCAATCGGTCGAAATGCGCCTCCGCCCTTGGAAATGGCCTCAAAGTTGCTATGAAACCCGAGAGTATCTGCGCCAAGAGACTTTGATTGAGGCAGACTGGGTTTAGAGAGGAAGGACCCTGCCACAGAAACTTGGTGACTGCTTAGGGCCGGGATACTTGTTCCTTTACCGGTGAGGTGATTACGGTTGGTGGCAATTTTGTTTCTGTTCGCATGGGCATGACCAGTAGACGGCGGAGCAAGAGAGTGAAAACCCGAGCTCCGAGTTCTTTGTGGTGGTGGGACACCCATTTCTCGAAAATTCGTATGCTTGTGAGGTTGAGTTGGATTGACTTGAAGGTTGAAAGAATATGTACGGTGGTGGAAATACCTGGGCAATGAGGGGGCACGGAGACCTATTTATACCTTTTCTCAAATGATGTCGCCTAGAATTACCAAAACTTGCATGTCGAAGACCATGAATACCGTGACACTGGACGAATTTCAGCTCTGCTGGATAAGCCTCCATCTAGCCTGCCGCCCTAGCATATTAGGCTCTGACCGGATCCAGCGCGAAGAATCTCTCATGAATACTTGGATTATGCTCACATGCCACCATTTGATTGTGTTTTCCTACTCAGACCATGACTTTATTCCGTTATCGGAACTCTTATGTACTAAATTGGACCAACACTTGAAGACGTGTATTTTTTCTACTGGTGCTACTAGCTACCTGTGAGGAAACCCAGCTCATAATATCACCCCGAGTCCGAGTCCTTCCGTATACTTCCAAGGTTGATTCTTCGCTCATGGTACCCTAGTAATAAGCTTAGTTTTTTCACATAGTTACTCCTTCTTCATCTGGATCTCCTTGGCCTGATTGTAGTCAAGAGCCTTCACCGTGCCGTTACCCGACGGGTTCAGCTCCACAGCCACGTAGGCGTATGGGAACTCATCAAATGCTCTGCTGTCATCATCCGTTGGATCTGCCCAAAATTCCTGGATCTCGAGCAGATATTTGCCAGAAAGGGACACTTTGCCATCAAGAACAATTTCCAGTACCGCATCGCGGCCCAGAATGACCTTGCCCCCTTCATTAATATCGCCGTCACTCCCCATAGGCATGATCTCGAATACCATGTCAGTGCCATCCAGGCGTACCCACATCTTGCCCTGGGCAGTCACCTTATGCTGTTTGAGGAGGTATGTGGCCTTGGGCAGCGGCGGCAGCGGCTCTGGATCGGGTTTTTCAACCAGAGGGTCTTTCGGAGAGTCGAACTTGTCTCCAACTCCGCCTGTATTCTCGCCAGTAGCGGTGGCTGGGACCTGGATTTTTTCGGACAGGTTTGACTCTTTCCCAGTGAGGATTGAGTCTTCGGCGTCTGGAATTATTTTGATTGGAGCATCAGCGGAAGGAATCTCGAGGCCAGCCACTGGCTCTTTCTTCTCTTGCTGTTTACTTCTCTCCTCATCAAGCTCAGCTTTCTTCCTTTCATCTTCCGCTTTCTTTGCAGCTTCCGCGGCTTCTCTATCCGCATCAATTCTCGCTTTCCGTCTAGCTTCCCAATCCTTGATGATAGTCTCTGGATTGACCCATTCTTTCCACTCGTCGAGGTTGTCCTCAATGAACAAACAGGTTGGCGGAAACCCGATATTTGTGGTCGGTATCATACTAAGTTTGATCCGTTTGAAGGCAATGGCTCTCCCAGTTTTGTTAGTTGCACGGAGCGTGATCAAGCCGTTGCTTGGCTCCGTTGGCTGCGAAGGAGGAGTGTATGAGTCAACAGAGCCGGTCCATGTAAGCAAAGGAGTCTGGCTCGGGAATTGGTCAGGGTCCATAGTTGGATCACCGATAACTGTCTCGGGCTTCTGAACCTCTGGCTCCTCCCACTTCATTCTTCCAGGAGGGCGTACAGAAACCCTATCAGCCGGCAGGCTTTTTTGAGGGAAGATACCAGTCAGTGATCAGCCTGGATGGCTAGGACATGGAAAACTTACTCCTTGTAGCTGATTGTGGCAATAATATCGCCCGATTTAGTCAACCGGGGTGGGCCAAAGATTAACTCTTGGGTACCAGGATAGAAGAAGTTGCCAATACTGGCAAATTTTCCCTTGATGGCCCGATTGATGTTCGAGATCGAGGCGGCGATTTGCTGGTTGATTGTATTACAAATTGGCTCGTGAGCATTGTGGAGAACATATTGCATGTGGCTCTTATCAACATTGTAGTCATTTGGCAAAAAGGTCTTCGGGTCGATCCCCTCAAGAGTTGGCTCGATAACTCCATTGTACTGTGTGGGGTCTTTCTGAAGATCTTCTGGCACTCTCAGGTTGATGATGAAGCTCCACTTTACAATGGTGGAGAATCTACCGTTTCCAACGGTCAGTCATAGCTCATGGACAGGGGGGGGGGGTGAGAATGAAGTCTGAAGAGAATCAGGTAACTTACTCGCCCCATTGACAGCTTCCATTTTTGCTAGCTTGAAAGTTCGGGGTTGACCGGTTATATCCCTCCCAATGGAAGTACTCCGTGCGTCCAGACACCAAGATCTTACTTGTGCCTTCTACCCAGGAGACCTTGGTGCTCATTTTGGCATTGATATCCCACTTACGAAAAAAGGGGCCGGGCTGATAACCTGCAGCCCCAAAATCATAAACTTCGGTCTTGCTGCCCCAAGCCTCCACAAAATCAGACCATTCGTATCCCCCTCCAGGGGATGGCTTCCAATCGAAGTGTGCATCCAAGGGATCGCCGCGATTGACATGTGAGTTTGGCAGTCTGTTCTTGTCCCACGCCTCGCTAGGGTCACTACCAAAAGCAAATCGTGGCTGGAATCTGTCCTTTTTGTCGTCGTTGACGGTACATTCAGGCGTCAAGGGAATGACTTGAATCGCACGAGACAGGTCCCGGAGTATTTTCAGGAGGTTGCTCTCCAGGTAGAGATGGTGGCTAACCACGAAACTCCCGTTGATCTCACCGGTTCCAAGATCTCCTCCTAGAGGCCCGTTGGGTTCCGCCAGGTTTCCGGTAAATGGAAGACGCTTGACCTTAGGGAGGCTTCTCCCATCTGTGGCCTCGCAATACACAAAGCAGTTGTAGAGACGACCAACCTCTCCAACTGTAAAGTTCTCTGGTTCCTTATAATCTCGAATCTCCGCATCGGTAAAATATGGGTAGTTCTGAAGGCGCAAGGCCGTGGGAACTGAACATCATCCCAACCACATTAGCAGGTTATGGAAAGGATAGAAATGCAGATATTCACTTACTGAAGCTCGGGGTGCGACTGTCTTCTTTCTCTGGGAGTTGAATTTGGAGACCCAGAGTGAACAAGGCTGAGTCCCTGTGATCGGCAGCCCAAGATCGCAGGACGTGCATTACGCTTGCCTGTCGGCTCCGATTCTCGGCCTCCTCAGTCCATTCCTGTAGGCTGAGCCTGCTGCCATTGGGCCCCGGCACCGAGGAAGCTTGCATATCAGGGAGGCCCCAGTCGCTGTCTGATGTTGGTGCCCATACATTGTCATTACTCACTGACAGTCAAAAGCAGAATTTAGCAGGGAAGGGGTCTGACTGCTTACCGTTAATGGCTGCAAACAGGCGATGTATGGAGTATTCTCCAGGCTTCATCATACGACGAGGCGGAGACTTGTCATTCGAGGGCCGCTGCTCCTCTGGCGTTGCTGTCGCGTGAAACTCATAAGTCTTCTGGAGCTCGTGGAATGAGTTATTTGCTAGCTTTCTTTCCTGTTTGGAAAGATTCTCGGCTTCTGGTGGGTTGACAACCATGGTGCTCAGGTTGGCAGGGACCGCAATCTCCCAACCACTCAGGTTGATCTGATTACGCTCACCCTTGCCCACAATTACGTAGCCAGATTTGAAGCTGAAAGTCAACAGGTTAGCCACCAGGATCCCACAATGTTCCTGGTCCCTTTCGTGGGGTATGTTCGACGTACCTTAGACGGAAGAGCATCTTTGCATCAACATCATCAAACTTCAGAGTTATAACAGGTGGGTTGAGAACAGCCATGACCTTTCCATCGCTGATGTCTCCTTTGTAATATTTAAGCTGTGTGATGTCATCTTTGCGCTGTTCAAACAGCTTCTCGAAGTTCTTGTTGATAGTCTGCTCAGAAAGAGCGCAAATCTGGTCATAGTACGATTCCGGACGCGTATGATCGGTCTGGAGGTCGAACGTGTACCGGCTAAGGGGTGCCATGTTCACTGGCTGAGCAATTGAGATGTAGAAGTAAAAACTTGTTGGCGAATTGCATGACCCATCAGGATGCTGCACATCTTGCCACCTATATACTTCAATACCAATACTTCAATATTTCAACACCTTTCAATGTTCAGTTGGCAGCCATGAAATTTGGGCGAGACTAGCCGAAAGCCCAAACCAATGTTCGAAGAGCTCCATGAATTATTCCTTCTGTCCGTGGAGTAAATTTTTGGCGATTGGAAGACAGCTCTCACAGATGTGACGGGAGATGTGATGTCGAGATTTCAGCTTTGAAATTCGGAAATTGGCTGAAATTCTCGGTAGTTTTTCCATTCAATGCATAACAATCGCGCTCGACGGCGCAGGCAGGGCTCTTGTAGCCGACTATCACATTTTGGCTCCTTCGGAATGCTCATGCATAAACGCCACCGGTAGCTGCAATTGGCCCGGGGTGCATGAACGCCTATGGGTATGTTCGGACATGCCGAGTGCTGACAAGAAAGCTTACGTATTCACTATTTCTGGGCTTGAGGTAGTCCGAGCTGAGGAGCACATGATATCCACCAGCGCGTGCAGGGATCATAGTTTAGCCGATGGGAATCAAACATATCAGGGAAAAATAAACGATGGCATACTACTTACTGCACTAGTATCGGATGAGAGAGTCAACATTGAAGGCAACATCTACTCCCCGAAGTGATTCCAAGAAAATCATACTACAGTCTTCACCAACATGGCCTCTTTTACAGCAGCCAGTTTTCTCGCCGAAGCGACTATTGCAGCCTTTCTAGAAACTCATCTAGATAGCAATGTCAATAAAGTGTTGCGAGAGAGGAAGACCACAGATCCTTTCAAGGTTCAGACACCTATTCAGGCCCTCGATGAGGTCTTGCGCGAGGGTAATGCCTCCCCTGAGTCTGTGAGCATTCTCCGGTTCCTGAAAGCTCTTTTGAACTACTGTAGCGATGCAGCAGTTGTGGCAGATCCCGACCTTGGAGCCATTTCAGTGGTCGCTCTTGCTGTCTGTGGATGGATTCTGCAGCAGTTGAACCCATGCAAGTCTGCTGATTTGGAAGACGAACTGGTGAAGCTATTGTTCCCGAAGACAGAGCCCAACAAGGGCCTTCATCCTTCCAAGAAATCTGATTTTGAGGTCATATGTGCCAACATGGGATTGGAATTCTCAACATTTCAACCACCCAAGGCGCTGAGCGAGCCCGTTCTTATCCAGTTGCAGCATACTGTATTCAATGGGGAGCCTCTAAGAGTAATGTGTCGAGTCCTTGATCAGGGTCTGTTCGGTACTGCTATCAAAGCCCCATTACTTGCTCCCATACGTGCCATTCTGGTTACTATGGCTCAGGAAGGTCATGGCATCGGCACCCCCGACCTGCTAACCCGAGCGGCCACCCGTCTCAAGTATAAGGAGCCGGCCTTCCCTGATGCGCTAGAGGTTGTTCAGTCACTCAAAGTGCTGGCTGGGATAGCGGAAGATCCAAGGGACGTCCCGATCATGTACCGCAAGCAATACCGTACGCTTCGTGAGATCACACAAGCTGACAAGCAGTATTGGATCACGCTTATGATCGGCGAAGGTATGGCGAAGCAGAATGCCTTGAAAATATATGACTGTGCAGAGCGTGTGGATTGCTGGAATGAGAACATGTGGCTGTCCCTGATGCAATCGCGCCGAGCCAAATTCACTCCGATTGCAGCGCGTGAAATTCAGCAACTTCCCAATGACGACGATGAAGATCCGGCACGGGCGAAACACAATCTGACCGATATATTCAAACTGGAAGACATCGCCTGCGAGACCTGTTGCTCAGTGACCAGCCTGTCAGCATACTTTGCGGACTTGCTCAGTCTGCTCAAGTCCACACCTTGTGGAAACACAAATCTGCTGGAGATTCTCTCTCTGCGAAGACCCGACTTGACCAGACTAGAGCTGACGTGTGCGAACGCGCAAACACTTGTGCCGTACGTGAGCTTAGTAAACGAAGTCCTAGAGTCATTCATCATAGCCAAGAACCGCAACAAGAAAGCAGGAGCCGCAATCAACTACGACAGTGTTCGTGTCTTCAACACACCGGATAGTGGCCATAACCATTCTGAAACTGCAATTCACCGTCCCGGAAACACTATACTTGAAGCCTATAAATTGATCTCGAAGCAAATGTTCCCCTTCGCGGACTTCCCATATAGCCAGGCCCGAGACACATTGACGCAGTATTTTGCCACATTTCATGTAACCATGCTGGATCTTGCAAAGACTTTTCAGGCTCCTGAATCGGTGTTGGGTCCTGTTTTGAAGACTTTTAATTCAAATGGAGATGTCAATGCGCAATACCGACGCATTGAGGCAGGCGTGCTTGACACCTTTGAACGCTATCGTGCGGCCGAGATACTTGGCTTGCAACTAGCAGAATTTGTTGCAATCACTGGAGAAACGTTTTACCCCAAATGGCTGGCTGAAACACTGATGGGCCTATCGAAAAATCCATTAGCTATTGACAAGGAATGCCCCTGGACTGCAGCGGACCTATGGGGCTACGATGCGACTACTATCAGAGCTAAGATGCAGAATGAAGCTGATGCTAAGTTGCGAAAGGCAATCAGATCCGGTGGTGACCTTCCAAGAGCTGAAGTGACTCTTGAAATGGCCGCAGAAGCAGCGAGGGAGGCACTGCTAGATCCACAAAGGGGTATCTCAAGAATCAAAAAGCAGTTAATGCGACGATCAGGCCTCAACTTCCAAAGCATCTTTGACCTGGTCAAGACACAGTGTTTTAGTCAGCACCTTGTCATTACCAATTTGAAAGGCTCTGGCAAGTTTACAAACTCTTTGGAAGAGCTACGTCTGATGTCGGGGGCTTCCGAGCCACCATTCAGGCCACTGACGGAGGAAACCGCGCTCGCATTGCAATCATTCATGCGTGTTCAGGCGAAGCTCGGATGGTCGACGAAGCAATTGGATGCTGCTGTGGTTTGTTTCCGAACCCTCGAGATGTCAACGAGTCCACATATCAAACGCAGCAGTGCCGCCACCTCACGAGAGGTCATATCGATCACCCCGTTCGTTTTAAAGGCACTCGCAGCAGTTGTCGAGCTGAGCCAACTCTGCAAGGGAAGCTTTCTTGATCCCATAGAACTTCTGCCGCTATGGGGCCCCATTGACTGTTTCGGCGAGGACTCTCTAATGCACCGCAAATTTCTATCCCCTGCAGCCGGCGAGGTCGATAAATTATTTTTCGCGCCTCTCTCCAAATCCGGCATTGCGAATAAACTTGGTGACTACTTCAAGCTACAATCAGGGCTCGGATCTAAGAAGCTCACATCCTTCCTACTAAGCGAGCGTAAGAATGGTATTTGTGTGAGTCTCGGATGGCCAATCGAGTTCTTCGACGATCTACTAGCGGCCAGCGGACAGAAGGGAGAGTATCTGAATGTACCTTCATTCTCTGCTCTTTATCAACAAGTCTTGCTTTGCAAACTACTTTCTATTTCTGCTGCTCAATTCGCCGCTTTCTTTGCTGTTTTCCGTGACTCTGGTGGCAGAGAGTCCCTTGCCAGTCCCATGTCTACAGTCTCAACTATTCGAGCATGGAAGACCTTACTTCAAACCGGATGGACGGTCTCCTCTCTATCCAATGTCTTGAACCCCTTGTCGCAGCCTTGTGAGGATAATGCTCAGGCTTTAGCCATGGCCTCATCCATCCTGCAAGGCGCTCAAGATATTCGAAAATCTGTGCCATTCGTCTTTGTAGGAGGTTCCGAGGTGGCGACTACTCTTCATGTCGCAGATTGTGCAGCCCGTACATTTGATTCTTCTACGGCCACCACTGTGACGGATTTTATCGAGGGCTCACAAGTCCAGCTGGAGAGAGTGGATACCACGGATAGTAACGAGTTACAAAGTCTTGTGAAGGGCGTCTCTGAGCTTCCATACAAGATCAAGGTCACTCCTGAGATTGGACACAATAATAAATTGAGTCTGGAGCTTCAGCTGACTGGCATCCTGTCTGCCAAGGAAAGGGATCAGGTTAAATCCTTCTCAACACAAGCTCTTTCCGATGCAGAGAACAAAAGCATCATAGCTGCAGTTCTCCAAATGGCTGATCAAGCTGTAGAAGTACGAGGGAAGATTGCGACGCGATTTGGCTCTGAAAGATTTACTAGTCTGTTCAAAGCTGATTGGCCGGAGCTCACGATCGAAAGAAAGATTGAAGAGGAAAAAAGTGACGTCGAGGAGCGTCTTCTCTCGGAGCTCGCGCTCCAGGTGCGAGCCCGGCGAAAGGCTTTTATTGAGCTCGCTGGTCCCACAATTATCCAAGACTTGCTAGAGGCATACATTTTGAACCTCATGAAAGACCTTATACCGGACCTAGATGTCTCAATTGTGGCCGTCATCATCTCCCGTGTTGTGCGGGTGGCCTCTGCCTCTGGTGTGAGTAACGACACGAAGGAATCAGTGATGAGCGCTATGAAATCCCTGAGCGAGGGCAAGGGAAGCAATTCTTCCGGGGGGGTTTGAGGCCTATTTCACACCGAACTCGACTGACTTATTTTCCTTGCATTATACGGGGGTCAAGACGGGGACCACCGGAGCCACATCTGAGGAGCCCCACCTGACTATCAATGGAATCACATTGGCTTATAGTCCCACGTCCAGGTCGTTCATGGGAACACGGATGAGAGGTGGCCAGGCATACCTTCTGAAGGCTAACTTCGCATCCTCGGAGTTGCAGTGGTCAACGCCCAAATTGCTACCGGCTTCCATGACTGACAAGATGTTGCTGCCATCATTTGTCATTCAACGTGCTTCAACTATCATCAGTGCTGTGATGAAGGTTGCGACTATTTGTCGAGTCATGTCACTGACTGCTGAAGAGCTCGGGTATTTTGCGAGTGCGCTAGAAGCCCAACAGGCTCAAACCCAGGGAGACTTGACATCACGCCGGATGTTAGCTATTGACCTGAACGCACCCTCCATTGCAGATCTCATTCAGTTACAACAGTACTCCGATCTAAGACGGAACACTTCGATGCAAAAGACGCTGGAGTCACAAGGAACCAATCCCCTGCTTGCAAAGATTTCTTGGTTGAGTACTACTTCAACCACAACCATGGCAGATCTTACATCGAATCTTGTTGCTGGCACTCGATGGGATCAGTCTCGAATGCTCGCAGCTATCAAAGCCAAGTATGGTGTCAAAGAGCCAACAGACTCTGACGCAGTGACAATACTTACTGAGTTGCGTAATATGGACTCCCTCCATAGTCTTTATGCGATAATGCAGCTAGATGAGCGCCTTGGCAAGGCCATTGGTGGACCAGCGTCACGACCAAGCATATCGACTCTATTCCAACTCGCGCAGCCGCCCAAGTTACTATCGGTGGATGATTCCGATATAGCACGCACCCTCCAAACAAGGCTGATGCCTGATCAGCGTGCCCAGTTCGACGGCCGCTTGATGGAGAACCAGCGACGTGCGCTCGTGGCATACCTGCTTCAACAGCAATACGTGCGCAAGGATCTCAAGATTTGGGATGCAGATGGCCTGTTCGAGCATTTCCTGATCGATGTTCAGATGGGTCCAGTCCTGTGTACTTCTCGCATCAAGCAAGCCATCTCAGTCGTGCAACTATTTGTACAACGATGCCTAATTGGTCTGGAGCCCAGTGTACCGAAAAATACCTTAGTACGTGCCAAATGGGATTGGATGCAGCAATACAGTCTCTGGGAGGCAAATCGAAAGCTCTTCTTGTATCCCGAGAACTGGTTAGATCCTTCTCTGCGTGACGACAAGAGCCCTCTGTTTGAGAAGTTTGAGGCTAGCCTCATGCAAAAAAACCTCACACCTGTCACCTTTGTGGATGCGATTCGAGCCTACATCGCTGGGCTGAACGAAATCGCGAGTCTTGACGTGGTCGCCTATGCCCATGAGCAGGTTCACGAAGCCAAGGATACATTTCACCTTTTTGGTCGAACTCGTTCTGCGCCACACTCATTCTATTATCGTCGATTGACTGTACAGTGGCCCAGTGGCGCACGATTGTGGCGACCGTGGTCGGCGATCGAGATCGACATTCCTTCTGTGGAGTCAGACTGGGACGGATCTCGATCAACCGGTTCGGGAGCATATATATTGCCTGTTGTTGTCCCGGGAGGTCGTCTATATATCTTCCTACCTCAGATCGCCCCCAAGACGTTAGAAAGGAAGCCCAATGACTCGGACAAGTTGAAAAAGTTTGATGACTTCCGTAGTACTGCGGTTAATGAAATGGCTCCCCGACGGATTTGGGAGATTACCATGGCCTGGACAGAGCTCGTCAGCGAACAATGGTCGCCGAAGCGGATGTCCCCTGGCAGCGTGACAGTGGAGTCCGGAACAATGCCTGCGGTGACGGCCTTCCGAGTTGATACCATCACCAATTCGGTCTCCAGAGCCGTAAGGCTTGTTGTGAGCTACACGAACTCAAATGACGGGCTAGCGACCGTAGTCGGATATTTCGTCTTCCGGAACGACCAGATTCATGCTGTTGACCTTCCTGTGGGGGCATTTGCGCCTGCAGGGGTGTATGCGCTCAATCGCAAACTGCCCAGCTCGTTCCAACAAATCAGCGTTGATGTCGACATAGAAAAGGAAGGATCACAGTACGCGAAAATGTCACTGCCGGAGGCATCTAAATCTGAAAGGCAGGAAGAGAAACCTGAAGTACTTGCCTGGGTACCGGATGCGATTGAAAAGCTGAACAGGAAGAGCAGCGACCCGAAAAAGCAACATATTGATCTTCCTCGTGGCCAGCTGCCGCTTAAAAAGATCACCTGGACACTTGCGATGGATTCCAAGGAGGAGAAACTGACAGGTCTTGCCCTCAGTGCCAGTGGCGCCGATGGAACATGCAAGAGTTACTTCAACATTCCCGATTCAAAAGGGCGCGGTCTCTGGTGGACCTGGGACAGCATGCGCGAGAACATGGATACTGTTGTATTAGACCATGTCTCTTCGACAGAGCTGATGCAGGCCGCCACAGATCAGACAAACCCACTAAAGAGTGTATTTGATTTGATTTCGTCTTCAGCATCCTCTTTTGGGTTAGAGTCTTTTGGTGCTTACGAGGATGAAGGTTGTCATGAGCTGGGACAGCCCAGCGCGATCTATAACTGGGAGATCGGGCTGCATTCTGTTATGATGGCCATGGATCGGTTCCATGCTTCGCAGCAGTTTGACGAGGCATTACAAATTGCTCGATTGGTGTTTGACCCGACAATTGATACCGACGTGAAGCGACTGATGAAAAACGTAAGCACCAATGCACAGCCGGGAAATGAACAGGAAGCAGACGTGAAGTCGGAGGTTGTTGTCTCTCTTCTTGCCGCGAGTGCAGCCAGAATTGATTCGGACCAGACAACCCTTACTGTTCAAAAGCAACCTCTTGGATCTGCATGGCGATTCCCTCCATTCCAGGACATTGCGAGACGTATTGCAGAAGAGAAAATCAAAAGCCCGATCGCAACAGACACTCAAACAGGCCCTGACTCAAATAGAGAGCTGCAGGCTGCAATTCTGGAACGGCGATCCCATGGTACGCTTGTACATGCTACAGCCCGTGGTCGTCCCGAGGCGTACATGAAATGGATTGTCATGAAATATGTTGAGATTCTGATAGCTAGTGGCGATGTACATTTCCGCAAGGCTACTCTTGAAAGTTTGCCACTCGCAACTCAAAGATACATTGAAGCCATTCATGTATTGGGTCCGGAGCCACCACAGGTGGCGCGTTTTGGAGACCACAAAAGCATCGGGCGAGATTCTACCTTTGATGACTTGAGCAGAGGTCGTGATCCATGGACTTTCGAGCGTCTCTATCAGGAGAACATGAACTTCGGGATTCGCTTGCCTTTTTCGCCGGAGCTAAAGCTGATTCAGGGTGCAGCTACCAGTGGGGATAAGGATAAGGCCAAGGAGAATGTAGTTGGCTTCCTTCTCACTCCGTACTTTGGGGTGCCCTTGAATCCCAAGTTTGCACAAGTTCGCAGCGTGATCAAACAGCGCTTGTTCAATGTACGGAATAGCTTGGATATCGACGGTCGTCCCATATCATATGCGCTGATTGAACCCTCAATCGACCCGGGGGCGCTCGTTGCGCTGAGCGCAGCGGGGCTCAGTAGTGCCGATGCGTTGGCCATGGTCATGGGTGATCGGGACAGTCCGCTGCCTCGTCAAAGATTTGATTTCCTGATTCATCGAGCGCTTGATCTCTGTGGAGAGGTTCGTTCCTTGGGCGAAAGACTTATGATTGCAATTGAAAAGAAGGAGGGTGAAACATTTGGTGTCTTGCGCGCAAAGCATGCAACGGCCATTCAGCAGATGATGCATGACATCAAAGAGACGCACATTGTGGAGAGTCAGCAGACTATTGACTCCTTACAGTTAAACCGCGACTCTCTTACGTCGCAGCTTGCCTACTACCTTGCTCTCCTTGGAGAATCTGAATCGTTGATACCCAGTAGAAAGGCTGCTTGGAACGATTTGAAACAAGACATCGATAAGCCGAGCCAGGGTGAATTGCGGATGTCGGAATACGAAGAACTTGAGATGAGTTTGGCCACATGGGCAATGGGTCTTAATGTTGCCTCCGCGGGCATTGATGCGCTTGTGGCTCCCTTTTGCATGGTTCCATCTGTCTCCATTAATGCTATGCCTATGGGTGTAGGTACCACCGTTGCTGCCGGCGGTGGAAGTAATATCGCTACTTGCATGCAGGCCGGATCGGCGGCAATAAAGATGGCTGCTATGGTAGTCGCAGAGAGGGGAAATCAAGCAGCGCGTAAAGCCCAACTGACGCGCCAACTGCAAGAGCGTCGCTTGCAAGCCAATATACGCGGACGAGAGATTAAGGGTGTTGATAAGCAAATTGAAATTCAGGAAACGCGCTTGAAAGCTGCAGAGCAAGAGCTGGAAATGCAAAACGCGGAGGTTGAAGAGTCAAAACAGGTGGAAGCATGGTTGCGTTCCAAGTACACCAACGAGGCCCTTTACAGCTGGGTTGAGAAAACACTTCGGGGTCTGTACTTCCAGGCCTACACTCTCGCCATGAACATGGCTCGCAGCGCTGAGGGGGGCTCTGTCATTCGAGAATGGCCGCAGGATGTCTGTTCTACGTCCAGGTGGCTACTGGGATGCATCAAGAGATGGTCTCCTCGCGGCCGATCATCTCTACCTAGACTTGAAGCGTCTTGAGGCCGCTCATCGTGAGGGACGGAGACACGATTATGAAATTAGCAAAACAATCTCGCTACGCCAAGTCGATCCACTGGCCCTCATGCGACTACGTATCTCTGGTAGCACGACGTTCTCACTCAGTGAAATGCTCTTTGATCTCGACTTCCCTGGTCATTACATGCGAAGAATTCGTTCGGTCGCTGTATCTGTCCCTGCTGTGCTCAGCCCTCACTGCGGCATCAATGCCACATTAACTCTACAGCAGCACAAATACCGCGTATCACAAACTGCCTCAACTTCAGAGGAGTACGCTACCTCATGGTCAAAAATTTCCGCTGGGAACGACGAGGCTTTCCGCACAGATCGAGTGCCTGTCTCCGCCGTGGCCGTCAGCTCTGGCAACCATGATCCGGGTGTTTTCGAGCTGAACTTTGCTGGCGAGCGTTACCTACCCTTTGAAGGAGCTGGCGTCATTTCTTCTTGGCGCTTGGATCTTCCTCAGGAGATAGCTCGTTTTGACTACAACAGCATCGCCGACGTCCAGTTACACATCCAATACACCTCTCTAGATGGCGGTGCCTGTCTTCGAGGGGCGGCCAATGGTGCAGTCCGCAGCGCCCTGAATACTGGTCATGAAAATGGTTTTTGGGCCATGTGGAACTTGAAAAATGACTTTGTCAATGAGTGGTATGACTTCAGTACTCAGATCGCTGCCGCAAGGGAGAACAGGAGTGCGAGCACTGAAGACTCTAATATCACCATGACATTAGGCGACTTGGAGGAGCGTTTGCCATTTTGGGCTAAGAGAATTGGCAAATTGGAGGCCAGAGGCATCACATTTGTTACCAAGCATAAAGGGTTACTTGATGCGTTGACTGTCTCGGTTGCTGAGGGAACCAGCGAATCTACTGAGATTCTGGATTGGCAAGTCCGCTCCTACAAGAACCTCCAGGAGAAGAACTGGAAGAATTGGACGATTGCTGTGCAGACCAATAGCCTCAACCAGGAAGATGAAGTCGGGGATGTGTATATATTGGTGCTGTATGGAAAGCAGTCGTCGTAAGAGAGATCATTGTCAACAGGTGGCTATATGTGGCTTTGCTGTACATAACTTGGCAACGTTCTCTAGTCGTACTTGCATGACTTTTTGGAGATATTTTACATTTCAACGGCACTCTTTCCTAACAATGACATACTACATGTTCTAAAAATTGACACCCTCCTACATTATGAGGTCCTCTTTAATAGTCTATCAAGCACATACGACCACAGGGTGTGGAGAACAGGGCTTCCCGTCCGCTCAGCCGTACTTAAGCCACACGCCGGTCAGTTAGTAGTATGGTGGGTGACCACATGCGAATCCTGACTGTTGTATGTTTGTTTTTTTTATTTGTCCCTTACGACCATCGGGTGTGCATATGTGGAGAGTACTCCTTCTTGCCAAAGATTCCTTATTCCCCCCTCTTATGGTTTGAGAGACTCGGAAGAGGAGATAATTTCAATGCTGGCTCAAAACGCGTGTAAATTGAACTTAGAGGCCCTATAACGTAATTCCCGGTCTCACGGATCACCCGGTCTTGCGGATCACCTCAAAACACCATACTAAACATGATTTTTCATAACTTCTTATTTTTAACATTCAAGGCAGGTCACATAGCCCTCAGGTACCTTGATGTTTAACGTATTGCACTAGGTATTTTTATAGGCTCTATAAATATTTTGGAGCATGATAATGTAGATACGGAGTATATATATCTTCATCGCTGGACCAGAGTGTATTTTTGGTAATGTATGTAAATAATCATTTCCTGAATATGCCAGCTATAATACTCTTCTTCTTAGACTAGACTAGAGATTTATAGTGGTTTGAGAATCAAATAAAAATATATTCTTGTTGTTGAAAGATCATGACCTGAAAAATTGTGTTTAGTATAGTGTTTTGAGGTGATCCGTGAGACCGGGAATTACACCCCCACACAATAAGTCTTTACCCACCACTTTTTCAGCCTACATCCGCAAATATATATATCTACATTACAGTATGCTACACCACCACCTTTCTAGCTATATATTTATGCTTATAAATATTGAAAATTTAGTGTGTGAAAATTGAAAATTCCACTTATTTAACCCCTACTATTTCATATAAAACCCCTTATTTTTCTATACAGCCTCCACTCTCTTATAAATCTCACGGATCAAGTTATCAATTTTAACCTGATCTATAGCCCACCACGCTGCCTGTATACACTTTCTATAATAATGTCACGGTACTTGTCAGGTTGATCCTGTAATCACAGGGGCACCTTAGGCAACGAACTGCGGGGTATCCAGTACTTAATCGGACCCCAGTGAGCCGGTGTTCCAAGTTCTTCAAGTATTAGTTCTTATTGTATTGGAAAGTACTAAATACTACCTGACTTATCACCGATATCTTCCTGATTCACCTAACCACCAGGTGCCACCCTAATCTGGCACTTTCTCTCACAAATAAGCCCAATCAGCCTTGGATCTTCCCATATGCTATAGCTCTGGGAACATCCTTTCTAGCTTCCGTTTTAACATCCCTCATACAGGCTCAATTGGATCTAAATCAGGTGAATGGGAAGGCCAATCTTCCACATAAATCCCATGAGTTTCAAACCACTCCTGGGTAAGATAAGCTGTATGAACACGTGCATTATCTTGCTGAAAGACCGAATTAGGCTTATAGATCAGAAGAAGGCCTTCTTCAAGAGCTTTGATATAAGATCTTGCAATATAGCCTCTTACCCGATTTTTCACCTTATCACGCTTCATTAGAATCAAATCAGACCTTCCACCAAGCCAAATAGCACCCCAAACCATTTGAGATATATCTTTCACATGAACCTTGGAATTCACTAGATCAGGCTGACATCCCTCGTTCTGATATTGCAAACACCATCCTAGGCCTATATTTGAATTCCACATCACTGAACATTCATCTGAAAAGATCCAATTTTCCACCTAATCAGACCTAAATTCAGTCTTCCATTTGATTGCAAACCGCTTTTGGGCCCTAGCTAGGCCAATTCCAATTGGGATTTTTGCCTTAGTCCGTCGTTTTACTTGGCTAAATCCTTTAAGGATTGATCGCACTGTAGATCGACTAGGATTACCTGGGATTGAAGAACCAAGGTCCCTATAAGACCAAAAGGGGTTCCGACAGGCTGTTATATAGATAGTTTAATAGTCCCTATTATCAAATTTAGGGGGGCCTACCAGTATAAGGCTGTGAGCTATATGTGTTGAATTTTTTGTGATGTTTTATCATGTTATATATAGTCTTCTATGGGTATCTATAATCAGTAGCTAGTGCAGTCTGTGTTTTACCAGCCTTATAAGCACTTACTATAGCAGCCCTATCCTCCCTAGATAGCTCAGCCCCTGGCCGTCGAAATGAGCTATTTTTCGCACCTGTAGGTGCCATGGGTGGTGTGTAGGAAGAAAAAATGAACAGGGGGTGGTTGTTGGGGTGATGGCCGGGTGGGTCAGTGGGTATGTGTATTTGGGTACAAAACAGTACCTTCAATAATATCCAGGCTATTTATTCAGGGTACCACCCTAACACAGCCTGAATACCCGAATAATAGGGCGGCAAGGGAGATTCCCTAAATAATCAACGAGTATAAAAAAACAGACATACAACAGTCAGGATTCGCATGTGGTCACCCACCATACTACTAACTGACCGGCGTGTGGCTTAAGTACGGCTGAGCGGACGGGAAGCCCTGTTCTCCACACCCTATGGTCGTATGTACTATGTATTTGGGAAAGATAGCTTATATGCTTAAATATCGTGAGTAAAGAATTTTTTAAATGCCGCTCTAGCGTCACGCGACCAAGTGTGAGAAGGGCGAGTGCGCAATAGAAAGGGTGGGGGCTATCTCACCAATCAACTCATTGCGCTCATCTAGGCTACACTTATTAAGAATGTTAATTACTACAATAGTTTGATCACAAGAACCTATAAGTCCTATTATTAGATCTGAGAGCTCTCACAAATCAAGACTGTTTATTAACCTGCCAGGGGACATTTCAGCGTGGGGAAGACAGGACCAAAGGTGATGACGTCACGCAGAGGATGTCAGCTGAACAGGGGCACCAAGCTACAGGGAACCCTTCGGAGGAAAGGGTAAAGATAAGACCAAAAGATCAGACAACACGGATCAGATGGAATGAAATATGACCAAGCTGGATCCAAACTTAGGATGGAATGGAAGGAAAGAATCAAACAAAGATACTACTGATCCCAAAAAGATTGAATTCGATGCCCAACTAACTAAGGGGTAAGATCAGGTTTTATAGAACATTAGACTAAACAGATAAACATAAGACCAAAGGTCTCAGAACATGGGATGAAAGATCCACGGAATCCGAAATGATCAAGTCTTTCATCTCATCTTGTAACCATTGGTCTCAACAACGGGGTTCGGGTTGCGAATCTTCTCGGACGAGAGAAGATGATCTTTGATCTGATGGATCAGATCAAAACAATAGCCATTCATTCCGCAACAAAATGCTTGATCGCGGGATGAATTAGTCAGCACAATCTTTAGACCTGACAGAACACGGGTGCAGAACTAGCCCAATTGGGTTAGTTCAAACCACTATTGAATGGAGAGCTCTGATTGGTCGAACCAGAATGGATCACATGACCGATCAGGTGATCTCCAGGCAGAATTTATGTGCGTAATTATCAGAATGAGAAAACCAGACCTGTTGATACATCCCATTGGCGACCGCCTACTGCATTAGACATTGTAGTCTGTCAAGACCAAAAGAGCCACTTTTGGTCCCAGGAATTCAGGCAGAGAATCAGCCTGAATTGCTGACAAATAAGAATAGCTAAAGGGAGTTTCTTAGGGCTATAAGAGATATCCTTGATGAAGTACACCTAGAAAGTAAGGTGGGTATAGGTACATTGATCTTACGGCTATAGCTAGCTTTATAACCCCATATGTTTGTCTTTTATCTTACTAGTATAACACATTCTGCCAATTAATATTCATCCATAGAACAGAATAATTTATCTCAAATAAGTTTACCTTAGTTAAGTATTAGCATACCCTTAGAGCAATAAAGGGTCCCACAAATTGGTCATAATGACCAGGGCATAGCTCTAGAATATCATATCAGCCAAATCCACCCTAGGCCTATAAGTAGGGTCATACAGATCAGGAATCCTATAGTATCAAATAGAAGTACTGCTGCCGCTTATAATATACATTCAGTTTAATACAATTATTTCATAACACAATCAGGATAACCAAGCCACTCCTCTCACAGCATGTCCCCAGCTCCTGTCTCGCCTTATTATCCACATGATAATACAGGGCCCGGTTCAGATAATACCAGGCAGGAGGTTGAAGAGATTCCGGCAGTAGCAAAGAGTTCTCGTTTAAATTCCAAGTATAGAAGCCAGACGCAATATGCAACTACTTTGTTTCGGCAAGCCCTAGATAAATCAGAGAAATCGCATAATCCCAAGATTCGGCACCAGACGCCCGCAAATCTGGGAATGGTTGACTGTTATTGTGATTTGAGTAAAGGCACAAGCTCTACTAATAAAGAGAAACTGACTTACATTCGAAATGCCCGACGCCTATGTGCCAAAGCTATGCAGCTCGCCACAGAAGCTGGTTTCCCTGGTCAAGAGAGACAAGCACATATATACTCGACACTGTTAGACGCCCAGGAGATGATATTGAATTGTGAGAGTCATCATGGAGAATTATCACAAAGGCTACGACCTGATAAGGAAGGAGTAGAAGATAGATTGCGGAATCTACTCTTGGAATTGGATCGCGATGTGGACAGAAATCATGAGCTTTGGCGCCTTGTTGAAAAGAGGATAAACCAGCTGAGGAACATTTAAGTATGATGGGGCAATGAGATAGAAAAGTGTATTGCATTTGTAAATGAATGTCTACGTGGGGGTGCCCCCCCTGATGCGTAGAGCTTGAAATACTCGGTAGATCATCATTCTCGTATGACGCAGTATTATCTGCCCTCACAGAGCCTGTACCTGAGAAGGTAGTACTTTCTGGCCTTGATCTATCATCTAATAACATCAGCTCAGGCTCATTATTCTGCGGGTATCGTCGGCGCAAAAGCCATGCGCGCAGCTTGGACCAAGTAAAGGCAAGGACCAAAATTGGAGAGAAAAACAACAGCACCCAGGACAATTCCAATGATTGCTCCGAAAGCCAAACCTGATGATGCGAAAGCAAAGTCACCCTATACAAAGGCAAAGCCCGATGATAAAAAAGCGAAGCCTGACGATGTGAAGGCAAAGCCGGATATCAAGGACTCAAAAGACTCAAAGCCCGCGCCCAAAAAGGCTGATGAGGATGCTGATTCAAAGGCGACTGATCCCAAGGTAGTTAAGGGTCAAGCCTCAGAAGCCAAATCTACGGATATCATCTTATGCTATTCAGCTAAATAAATCTGTCTTGATAAATGGACGAATGATGATTTGTCTGTTATTGGTAAAGAAATGTCCAATGTTCGAAGTTCGGTTTGCTATTATCTCATAGTGAGCTTACTTCCTAGATATACTAGCTGAAGGTCAACTGGTTGAGTTATATTAGTAGTAATACCAGCACTTGAGTATGTGAGGTGAGATTGGAATCAGGGGACCAGACCAAAGGAGCCGAGGAGGTCTCGAATGCTGCTTTACAAAAAATGCGCAACACATCTGGATAGACCAAGTGTACATAGGGTACAACATAAATGTGCTGCGTGTGTACGCAAGTCCGTCGGTTAATTCTACCTCGTTCTTATCAGACTGGACGCTCAGGCAGCCACATGCGCACTTCATCGGCATGCAAGGCTTTTTTTTAAGATCCTAGGACTACATGATCCCTCCCAAACTACTGCTGGAATCATGTTTCTGGTACGGAGTACATAGCTGCTGGTATGACCTCGCGAGTTAGATAACAGCCCTGGAGGGCAACTTGAACCGGTGCTTCTGACTTAGTGGTAACGAAGAATCAGATAATGCAGCCGAATTGCCCAGGTGAGTCCAATTGAATTGTGGTGAAACTTAAAATCGAGCTTTTCTTTCTTCCCAGTTGACTTGCGAATTCTCCTCCAGTCGCCCAGGATGCCAGACAGCTTCAACTTTGGCGCTGGCCTTGAGCCCCTGGGTTATTCAAAGGTCCCGACAGAATCTACTTGAATGTCGGGTCTCCTACATACGACCACAGGGTGTGGAGAACAGGGCTTCCCGTCCGCTCAGCCGTACTTAAGCCACACGCCGGTCAGTTAGTAGTATGGTGGGTGACCACATGCGAATCCTGACTGTTGTATGTTTTTTTGTTTCTATTTTTTGATCCGTCCGGAAATTGCCTCTTGCCACCCTACTCTTCAGCCCCTTCAGCCTGTTCACCCTGAATGTCCTGAACACCACTATTTTGCACCTAATTATCCTGCACGTGGCTGAAGCGCTGACGTGGCCCTCCCCTCGGCATGCTAACGTCTGCTCTGTAGATACGTTGTTGCAATCACGACAATTTGGTCTGGGCTGGGGTACCTTTTCTACCCGGGTGTAGTGATATTACTAGAATAAAAAGATACTGGTTCCCCATATACGTTATCGGATGACTTTGCTACCTTGATTAAGAGAGGGTCTAGTTAAACCAGATGCTGATTTTAGTAAATTAGTATCCGCTATAGGCATAGGTATTAATATTATTAATGGATCTATACATATTTAAGGGGCATATGGCGATGTGCAACAAAATTTGGCTGGTTTGGTGGAGTTGAGGGACCCGTAGGTGACTGAGTTGGGATGAGTCCGAATGGAAATTCGACGATTGTTATCGATGTGCATTGCCCACGCCGCTCGCATGGCAAGTATTAACCAATGAGAACTGTTATTTGATCTACCAATGGCAGCAGATACAAGCAACCGATGACTTGTCCGAACCATGGATTCTGCTAATCTTCTCCGCTTTGTCTCCTCTATTAGACCCACTGCCCTCACGCGTTCATGCTACATTACCTAGAAAGTATGGCCTCAAACTCGAGCTCATTTTATGGTCCCAACTTTGGCCTTACAGTTGGACAAAATAGCGGAAACATATCAGCCATTTTCACAGGTACGACGAGCGGGATTTTCGCCCAAGGGATGTCCATGAGGCCCACTGGTAATTCTTGCTAAGCTAACGATACGAGCGAAGCCCGTGAGAAGGCTCGTCCAAGTCCATCATCGACGGTTCCATTTCCTAGAGACCCAGATTTTGTTGATCGCCCAGAAATTCTTGTGCGAATAGACGAGGCTTTATCCCAGCCAGCAGCAAGAATAGGTTTAGCCGGGATTGGGTATGTGATCTACGAAAGTCCACATCTCTTACCAGGATACCAGTTGTACTGAACAAGCAGTAGAAAGTCCCAACTGGCCATCGAAGCCTCATATCGACTCCTGCTTCAAAATCCCCATACATGGATCTTCTGGATCTATGCAGGGAGTGCTGCCCGATTCAAGCAGAGCTTCGAAGAGATTGCGACTCGAACAGGAACCCAAGGCCAGAGAGATCCTGGAACAAATGTATTCGAGTTGGTTGAGGCATGGCTCAATAGCGAAGAAAGTAGAAAGTGAGTGATCATACTCGATAACGTTGATGACGATCGATTCCTTCGTGAGCGCCCAGCACCCGACTCAAGAACGCAAGAGAAGCCGCGCAAGCCCTTGCTCAACTATATCCCAAAAAGTCGGGGTGCAGTCGTTGTGACTGGTCGAAATGAAAAAGCCGTTGTGAAGATTGTTGGTCGCAGGAACTTGATTCAGATCAACCACCTGCCGGAGTCTGAGGCTATTGATCTTTTGCACAAGAAACTTATATTGCCAGGGGATAAAACAAAAGTCAGCGACCCAGACACTTCAAAGAGACTTGTCAAAGAACTTGGCTTCTTGCCATTAGCCATTAGCCAAGCAGCCGGGTTCATTTCTTATTTTTCACCACGTTGCTCAGTCTCTCAGTATCTTGAGAAATTCCTCAACAGCGATCATAGTGCCGTCATGCTCTTAGAACATGAAGTATCCGAGGAGGACTCACTCAATAGAGACTGGGAGGCAGAGAAATCCATCGCAACAACGTGGCAACTTTCATTCGATCACATTGCGCGAGTGCACCCTCCTGCCGCAGATTTATTATCATTGATGTGCTTCTTCGATCGCAACGAAATCCCAGAATGCGTTCTCCACGTGCTAACGAAAAGCTCCAAGCAACAGACGGGTCTGCAAAGCGACACCAAAAAAAGATCACACTCAGAAATGGAAGACTCGGATCAAGAGTTCGCCGTCAATATCGGTGTTTTGAGAGATTTCGCCCTCATCACCATGATCAGTAGCAAATCTTTTACCATGCATAGGCTTGTACGATCGATTACCCAGTCCTGGCTGCGGAAACAACTGGGAAGGTTCGACTTCTGGTATACGCAATTCATCAATAATCTCCGCCGCGAGTTTCCGAGAAAGTTCGAGAAAGCCGAGGATCTCGAAAAGGGTCGTCTCCTCTCTCCGAGTATTTTCCAGATCTATTCTTTTGCCGTTGAACGGCAGCAAAGATCTTCACATGCCCAGCCAAAAGTAACAGCTGAAGAATACCATCTACTTGAGATGATACGATTTTACGAAACACAAGCTACAGAGAGGGCCATGGTAGACTTTCTCAACGATAAGATGGCTCTTGCAATTCAAGGCCTACACCGTCGAATAGCGGAAGTCTTACCAAATCTAAACTCGGAGTCCGGTGAAATGCTGCTATTTGAGACAGAGAGTCTGATTCAAGACAACCAGCTGGATATCACCCGGAGGCTTTCCATGCTAGCCGCATCTCAAGAGCATTTTCAAGACATAGAAAATATGATGAAGCGAGTGGATGAGACTGGTCAAGATATTACTGTTGACTTTACCGATGAGCTAGCCTCTGGATTGGATGCCATGAAAAATATCATATCTACTTCTAATCCAAGCAAGGTAACTGGCCTGGTAACAATGACACTCAGGTGCTGCGAGGAAATAGACAAGCAATTTGTGGAGAATTCCGGAGCTCAACATTCATCGTACCTTGGGGAAAGGTTGATACCTCGCTAAACTCTTTGTCCAACTCTAAGTGTGGCCATAAGCTCATATGTAGGGTGAATATTGCGAAGGAATGGAAGACAAAGTGGCCCGCAAATACCACCAACGCTTACTCTTTGCATATCTCCTCTTAAATCAACTTGAATGAACCCATATGCGATAATTGATTACGCACTTAAGCCCATTTGCTCTCAATTGAAAACATTTCTTTGTTTCCCTCGGTTAGTGATTTTATCCGCTTCCTTGAAAAGACGCCAATATCCTTTAATGGCTCCTAGAGTCTGGGCATTAGGCATAGAACTTACTTGTTGCCAAAGAACATTACTGATTCCAGTGAAAATCTTGGAGAGGAATAACCTACTGCAGCGACTTTCCCTTCGGTTGTCAATATACTGGTTGAAAGTTAGCGGTTACTCGGTAAAGTTAAAATAGGCCATTATGGTAGAACATACCCCCAACAGACAGGTAGCTTCATTCTGTTTGCCGCGACCTTCACATCTTGTGACATGCGTTTGTGCCACGCTGGCTTGGATGACTCCCCGGAAGCACTGCTCGTGGCGTATTTCCTTCGTGATAGCCCTGAGAACACGCTCTCACCGTCGTCTTTATCGTCAAATTCCAGTTCCAGGGTAAGAATGTCAATCACAGTCCTTCCCTTCGCATCCTTCAAATCCTCATGGGCACTACTTACAAGTAGATTTTGGCAGACTTCCTCGCCGTAGGACATCGCAGCCGCTATAAGTGGCGTTTTATATATCCTGTCTCTGGAATAAATAGCCGCGCCGTGGTCGAGAAGAAGTTGCACCACTTCTTTGTGGCCCATTAGCGCAGCAAGGAACAACGGGGTTGACTCTTTTTGACCTCTGCTGTCCACCGCTTCACCGGAGTCAAGAAGAAGTCCATGACCGGCTCAAGACCTGCCCGTACGGAGAGCAGAATTGAGTAAATCTTATCTTTGAATTCGCCTTCAGACTTCTCTTTAGAGTCTCTTTCAGGTGCTTCTAGGGACTCTTTTGTAGACCCATCTTCAAACTCTTCTTCAAATTCGTATTCAGATTTGGGAGAGTAATCCTCAAAGAGTTTCTCCATGTCTTTATCATTATCATTAAGTCTATCTTTATAATATGTGGTACTGTAGGGGCCGGTAGCCCAGTGTATCGCTTTCCGGCCCTTAATATCTAGAAGGTCCTTAATATCTAGAAGGTCTTTATTTACACCCGCACCAAGGAGAATCCGCATAACTTCTACCTGTCTAAACATAGCGGTATATATGAGCGGCGTACGCTAGACCTTGTCGCGCCGAGTCAAATCAGCATCGGTATCAAGAAGTAGCCGCATAATCTTCATAAACCTGTGACGAGCAACGATTGAAATCGGAGGAATATAATAGAAAGTTTCGACGGATGTGAACTCTAAATTTGCTCTTGATTTAAGAAGCAGCTCCATGATACAGACGAACCCTTTCTCGTAGGTATGAGCCAGCGGCGTTTAATCCATGTTATCTTTCACGTCTATACTAGTTCTGGCTTAAAGTAAAAGCTCCACTACTGCCGTGTGGCTATACTCGGTAGTAAGTGAAAGTGGCGGGGTCCCCTATTTATCATCCCCATTATAGCGAGTGCCGACCTGTAGAAGTAAACACACCATAGCTTTGTGCCCTTTACAGGCTGCTATAGTCAAATAGGTGGCTCCGGACTTGGCCTTTGGGTTCGTGCGAACCCCCGCGTTGAGTAACAGGCAAGTGGCCGTTGCGTATCCAAAATAAGCAGCAAAATGCAGAGGGGTCCTAGGAATGCGGTCCATCAGCATTCACATCTTCGCCCCTCTCAATTAGAATGCGCAACACAACAGCATACCCCTTTTAGGCAGCGCAGTGCATGGGGGTCCAGGGTCCGTTAGGTCGAGTACCACACTTCTGGAGACCAGCCAGAGCCTTGCTGTTGCTACTGATGGAACCTCCGTCGCTCATCCAGCTCTCACTGTCATCGTCATCTGAGTCCAATCGATATTCTTCAACGCCATTTCCGTGATCGATATCCCACCTTTTCCATGTTTTATTGTCATATTCGATCGGCCAATCGGGGCTCGCATCCAGGAGCCGCCAAATGGTGATTTTGTATAATTATAAAATGATGCTTTGATATCAAAATGGTAAACGCCTTTATCCATAAATAGAGTTCATTTCACAATTTTCCTCCAGAAACCTCACAGACCAAACTAATAGTCTCTATGTATCCTACTCCGCTCTATAGCTTTATTCAATTATGATTTAGTCTCTACTACTATAGGGACTGCCCGAAGCTATATTTACAAGAGTGTTGTATAGGATTTTAAAGACATTCCTGAGTTATATCATCGGATGATTATTAGAAGAAAAACTTTTTCTTCTAGGTGTTGGGTATCCTATACCAGTAAAAAGGAATATTAGGAATATTTTTCTGTATTAAGATTATAGATCATCTAGAATGTACCCCTGGTGTTGTTCCCCGATGATTATACCTAAGAGCTAGCTAGCTAACCAGCAGTATGAAATATTTGATTTTATAGCCGTAGGTTAGATTAGGAAAATTATCAGGTTGTAATATCTATAGTTCAGTGGTACAAGGGTATTTCTTATTGAAAGGGGCTGGCTCAGATTGATTTTCCAGCTTGGGAACCTTGTCCAAAAAAGGGAACTTATAACTCCAGGTTAAATTTAGTATTGAATTTTGACAATAACTTTGTTAGAAAACCATACATAGGCTATTTTGAATGTTTCATCCCTTTCTAGTAAATCTACTTATATGTGATCCTGAAGAAAAGAATACAGGAGAGCCACCTACGGTTTTGACGACCTAGATTTTCACGTCGTAAATTTACTTCTTGATGTATGGGCTGAGAATTTGAGAGACCTGAATAGAACGGCGAGCCGCCCACGCTAGATCCGTGGGCGCTAGGTGACTACCAACTTAGACATGCTGTTGTATGTTTTTGTTTTTTATTTTTATTTTTGGCTTTAAGTTATTCATATTCTTATATCGTTCGCCCAAGGTATACACGGAGTCAAATCTGTACACGAAAAATATTCTTCACCCAGTCCATCTTGGATTGAATAGCCTTTTTCCCCAGCGCAGAGTTCGGCGCCATCATGTCAAACCCATGGAACCCTCCCGGCCATACATGAAGCTCAGCCTGCACACCAGCCTCCCACAAGCGGGAAGCATAAGAAACAGCCTCGTCGCGGAAAACATCAGTAGACCCTACATCTATCCATGCTGTAGGAAGACCACCAAGATCAATCGCCCTTGCCGGAGCAAAGTACGGACTCACATCTCGCCCGTAGTCGTTACCACGATGCTCCAAAACAGCCGCCCAAGCAGCAATATTGCTCTTCCGATCCCACGGCTCCTCGTCTTCAAACTGCCTACAACTGACACTTTTATTACGGTCATCAATCATGGGACATGCTAGCAGCTGTGCGCAAATAGCCGGTCCATGCTGATCTCGCGCAAACAGCGCAATTCCGGCAGCTAGTCCTGAGCCACCCGAGTGCCCTGCGACCATGATCCTGTCTCGATCAACGTACAGTGTATCGGCGTGAGAGTGAACCCAGCATAATCCGGCGTAGCAATCATGTAACGCCGCAGGTTGTGGGTCCTCGGGACCCAAGCGGTACTCAACACTAATAAGGACGCAGCCTGTCTCGATGACCCAATCAAGGGGCTGCTCTAGACCGACGTGGCGGTTCAGAAAGATCATCCCGCCGCCATGCATGAAGTAGACACATGGCCTTGGGATATTGTCAGATGATGCTGGCGAGAAAATAGATAGGATTATTGGTGGGTCATCCGTCTTGAACCCTGTAATCTCGCACTTTTTATGCACAATGGGCCGTCCTTTGATAAGATCAGACACGCTGGGCAGCGGCCCATAAAGGGTTGGATCTTCATGATGCGCAATGATGAGCTCGTTGGTAATTGGTCCGAATGGAGGAAAGCTGTCGCGAATAACTGCGAGCTCTGGGTCATATGGGGGCCTTTTCAATTTCGTTTTCGCTTCGGTACTGGCGTATGTCATTGCTTTTATCGTTTCGACGAAGGAGCCGTGATTGTGAGTTGTGATGCTGTGACGGAGAGACTTTGGAAATATTAAATAAGTAGGGTTTACAAAATACCATCCAGGAAGAGTCTCGGATTATTTATAGAAAATAGTGCAATATCAATTGATAAGATGTTTGCTTGGTGATATGCCGAGTGTGCAAAGTGGTATTTAGTGAATGCCAACAGTTTTCTATCAATTTTAATGTCAACTTATAATAAACTTCATTACCGCAGTCTATCTATTGATGATACTGAATCCCTTACGTTTGTGAAGCCTTATCGGATAGGGTCGGCTAAAGCATAAGCATTCGGCTAGTGATGATCTCGCGTAGTCTGGAGGCCTGATCAACACACGTGGGTCCGTACATCGGGACTTATTTCACCCCCCACATGGATATTTCGCGTCAGCAGCGTATTGAGGTATTTACTGTAAAATAACGAATCTTTCACATCGCGTACCTGCGTAATTTTCTTTACATGAACACACGAAAACGGCACCTGTGTATGAAACAGAAGTTGAAGTAATTATCAATTAGATTACCCCAGGAAATATTTACAATAATAATAAGAAGGTTTATCGAAAGAAAATAAGGGGTTCGATCCTTGAAGCTGCACGACTCGTAAAATGAAATTCCTAGTAAAACTCAACTCGAAGTAATTTGAGACATGTCAGAACGAAGTAGTATTTGAACAGGCGCAATCAATATTGAGCCTTCGTCAATAAGATATATGGTCATTATCCTATCCCCTATAAAGCCATTTTTTTTCTCGTTAAGAATCTTGACCTTGATTTCACCTTGCGTGGGGCCCCTTTCCTTGTCATACTTGGGACTACCAATGATACGCACATGGTGGATCTGTAAATCGTGAAGGGTGGTGTTCCACAGCTCCATATCAAAGGTGTACATCAGTCGGGCCATAGTGAGATAAATCTCGGCATACGCCATGCTAAAGATGAATGTGGTGTTAGAAAGAGATAATGAAATGAAATTTTATAGAGACTTACTTGATACCAAGACATTGGCGTCTGCCCTTAGTGAAGGTGACCATAAAATTGTCCAGCTGGAATCCTTGCTCTGCAGCCCGGATCCATCTCTCAGGATCGTATTTGAGAGGGTCAACGAACACTGAGGCGTCTGTGTGAACAATCCAAGTTGACTGACTCACCGGGTACTTTTTTTAACTACCATTAGTTGCCGCTTCCTATAATATTAGGAGCTGATAAGGAGTGTCACTTACTCCAGGAGGAATGGTGTATTCTTTGTACTGCAGAGTCTCTTCCCTAGAAATACGGGGGAGGCGAATGATAGGCCCGAAGGAAAGTCGAAGGGCCTCCTTAACGCAACCAGTCTAGTTATAGTTAGTAATACAGTTCTAAGTAGAATTATCCATAAATAAAAATGAATACTCACAAGGAAAGGCAGGTGCTCCAGTTGTTGTAGGGTCCACGTCTCTGGAAGCTGGTCTCGTGGGACAGCCGCAGCAATCTCCTCACGTAGTCTGGTGATAAGAGACTTATTACTAAGAAGATAAAAGATTCCAACTGACAAAGCTCTCGCTGAGGTCTCAGTGCCGGCGATAGTAATGACAAGACCTTCGTCAACTAAGCGCTTCATAGTTCGCTCTTCCTCCGGAATCCGCTCGTCGGCCAAAGATTCAAGAATGATAGACTTTTTCCCAGAGTTTCTCTGCTTTTCAGTTGCAAGATTAGCGACCATCTTGTCTTTGATATCCTTCTCGAGGATCAAAAAGTTTGCGACCTTGGGCAGGACGCAGTTAATAACTGGAATGGGCAGCTTCCTCAGTACTGGAATGAGGCGGGGAGCGAAACGGGCCAGATGGAAGATCAAGGAAACACCAGAAAATCCGTCGCGAATAGGAAATTCGAAATTAGGCTGGTTGACATAATCGTAGTGTTGACCATAAAATCGCTTGAGAATGATATCAGCAGTCATGGCGGAGATAGACTTGTCACAAGAGATGTGGTTCCCGTTGGCCATAGCTTGACGGAATCGGTTAGACAAAGCGGTGATACGCTCATGAATGTCGGGTTCAAGAGCCACAATGGCTTTTTTCGAGAAGTAGGGATTGATGTAGCCCCGTCGTCTGCGGTGGTGGAAATGTTCAACCGTCGCCGCAACAGAGCCTGGGACGGAGAAACCACTGACAGTAGACGGATCCTTGTCGATTTTACGAGTGCCGCTTGTGTAGATCTGCTGGTAAAAACTGGGATCTTGGATATGTATCTCATGAGGGTTTACCCTGATAATAGGGCCTTTAAATTCGGCCCAGCCGCGAGAATTAGTTGCCTATTGAGATGGATAACACACAAATATAGGGTCAACTTACCATATTCCTCATGCATTGCTTTGACTTTTTGGAGGTAAAGACCATTGCGCAAGACATCATAGTAAAATTCATAGCAGGAAGTCATGGCAGCCAGTCTGGGCCCCGGAAATTTTTCGCAACGGATGAAAGTAGAGGTTGTAAACCCAATGCAGAACTATCCAAGACCCAAGGAGAAGACAGAGTACCCCAGGGGTTACCCAGTCGCATAGAACACTGAGTTTGCTAATCTGTGCCATGATGACCAGCAATACACCAGTAATCGGAGAGACAAACTTTTATGTAAAAGCGTAAAGGAAATCAAGATGACTTTGTCGTTCAAGTTGAAAAGATAACTTGAATTAAGCCGCGGTCCAAGGAGGATTTGACAAAAAAACAACTTGAAAGAAGAGAGGATGATGTTTATTTTGACCTTGCCAGAGAAGCTATATATACTTCAGTTCAAGCTGTTGGAAAGGTTGGAAAGCCCTGGAAACCATGCATGAGTGCATAGCCCGCCCCAGATGATAGGGCCAGAGTAGTATTGGATAGTGACCAATGGGAATGGTCTGAATCTCCAGGCTTCGTTATCAGTACATGAAGAGGGGTAGGTCAGCCAGGGGCGAAGCTGTTAGAAAGGAGGAGCACTGATAGATCAGAGTCGAAGTATATTCAGCCGTGCCGTGATAGTATCAACTTAGGGCTCCAAGGAGTTCGGAGTCACCTGTGATATCGCCTGGGCATGTACCGTAATACCATAATACCGCAATACTGAAATACAGTACCCACTGTCATATTTGCGTAATATTTCGATACAATACTAGCTGTTCTTATACCTCCGTAATACATAATACGGCTGCACACAATCTTGAAAGTATCAGACCCGCATCCACGGCCCCATTACCCACTTCCCATGTACGATCTAACTAATCTTGGGAAGTTGACCTTTTAATGTTACATGGCTTAATACTCATTTTACCTCATAGACCTAGCTAATCGTAATCGTCTTATCTGGCAAATTCTGATGATAGCGACGACAAAGAGACCCCCTTTCAGTAAAGTCGCAAAGACCCAAGATGGGTCAAGCCATATCGGCTTCAGGGCAATTTCCGATTTATTAGAAGACGACAATAGCCAAAATTGTAGCGTTGTCGTCCACGCAACAGTACTACATAGAGCTCCTTTCTTTGTAGTCTTTCCGCTTCGCCGCCTTCTGCATATCCCTTTGTGTTCCCCCTTTCTCGCTCTCTTTCTGCCCCAATGGGAAAGAAAGAACCTGTCACGACCACCATTGTCGACTCCAATGCTCGAGCGACGTCTCTGTCCACGCCATGCGATAGCATCGATGGCGAAAAAATACTGACGGAGACAGACAGCCAAAATGAAAAATCCAGGGACAGTGTGAGCGCCCACGTGACCGTGGCAGTTGCGCCTGAAGACAACGAGGGCGATCATGAAGGGCCACTGACGTCTTTTTTCCGCGTTTTGTACGAATTTTCCACCCCCTACGATCATGTGTTGCGCATTGTTGGACTCTGCGCCGCGATCGCGTCGGGGGCCGCACTGCCTTGTATGACGCTGGTCTTTGGTTCATCCGTCAACGAATTCAATTCATTTGGCTCCAACGAGCAATCATCGAGCACCTTGTACAAGTCCGTCTCTCATAATGCGCTATGGTTTGTATACCTCTTTATTGCCCGCTATGTACTTGTCTACATTCATTCGACATGCTTTGGTGTTTCGGGTATCAGAGCCACCCAAGCTTTGCGCCAGCATTTCATCAAGGCTGTGCTTCGACAGGAAATTGCCTATGTCGATTCGCGTTCTCTCGGAGCAATCACAACAGCCATCTCCTCCAACGTTGATATGGTCGAAAACGGAATCACAGAAAAGATAGGCAGCCTGATTCAAGCTATCTCGATGCTGATCGCTGGTTTTGTCGTGGCCTTTACTCAGCAATGGAAACTTACTTTGGTGACGGCCACCACTTTGCCTGTCCTCTTCGCTGGATTCTATATCACCTTTGGCCTTGGTAAGAATTATTGAACTCTTTTTATTTCAAAACCTTTGATGAGTATCAATAACTAAATATTTCATGTAGACGCCAAGATTGAGGGTAAGATCCTTAAAGTCTACAATTCCGCCAGCGGCCTCGCAGAAGAGGCTATGAGCAGCATGCGTATGGTCACGGCACTCGACATCGGAAAAAGACTGGGCCAGAAGTACGACATTCCTCTAGCAGAGGCTGAGAGACTTGGCCTTACAAAAGGCCCAGTCATTGGGTTTCAATATAGCGTCGAGATGTTTACCACATACTGCGCATATGCCCTAGCTTGGTACTATGGTACTAAACTCTTGAAAGAGGGTGAAATCGGCTCTGGTGGTGGTGGCATGATAACGTAAGAAACATTTCCCGTCCATATTCCTCAATTTTAGTCTTGCAGACATGTTAACAAGGAATATTAGAGTTCTTTTATCTGTCCTCTTGGCAACGCAGGCTGCATCTGATGTTGCTCCGGGATTTAGCGGCTTTACCAGAGCATCGGCCTCAGCAAAGGAAATCTTTAAGGTGGTGGATCGGCGATCGAAAATTGACCCCCTCGGTGAAGAAGGGCACAAACCCGAGGTCCTTGAGGAGAGTAAGGTTGAGCTACGTGACGTCACGTTTGCTTATCCTTCACGACCAACGCTACCAATTCTCAGAGACTTCAGCATCACCTTCGAAGCAGGCAAAACAACCGCTCTCGTTGGCTCTTCTGGATCTGGAAAAAGCACAATCGTTGGCTTGATTGAGCGTTGGTTCGATACAGAATCGGGATCAGTCCTGGTGGGCGGCCATCCTGTTACCAATCTGAACGTTCGATGGCTACGTAATCAAGTTGGCTTGGTACAGCAAGAGCCTGTACTGTTTAGTGACTCCATTTATAACAATGTGGCTCATGGTTTATACGGTACCAGTATGGACTCGCTCCCTGAGGTGAAGAAGCGAGAACTCGTCCGTCAAGCTTGCATTCAGGCATTTGCCGATGATTTCATCCAAGATCTCCCTGATAAATACGACACTTTAGTTGGAGAGCGTGGTCGTCTCCTCAGTGGCGGACAGAAACAACGAATTGCCATCGCCCGTGTCGTGATATCAGACCCCCGAATTCTTCTTTTGGACGAGGCCACGTCGGCTCTGGATCCAACCGCGGAGAAGAAAGTCCAAGCCGCTCTGGATAATGTCTCTAAATCTCGCACCACTATTATGATTGCGCACAAGCTTTCAACTGTGCAAAAGGCTGATAAGATTGTTGTTCTCTCGCATGGAAAGGTGGTCGAGCAAGGCACTCATCAAGAGCTCCTGGCAGCCAAGGGCTCGTACCATAAACTCGTCTCTCTGCAGAACCTTGACACCAACAATGAAGCCATTCACAGTTCCAAAGACTCGCAGAATGATGAATGTTCCATCGTCGACAACTCTCAAGGATACCATGTGGAGCTTCCAGAATTACCTTCATCTCGCTTGTCATCGACATCTGGCGAAGACACAGTGGTAATGCCCCAAGTTGATGCCAAGGCAAGTGAAGACAAAAAGGAAGAATATTCCGAGGATGATGACCTTACGGAAAAGCTTTCTTTGGTTCGCTGTATTGCCATCATAATTTGTAAGGAGCAGCGGCACATCTGGTTTCTCTTCTTAGCCGGCTTGCTATCCTCCGCTGGTAGTGGTGGCGCGTTCCCTGCTCAGGCTGTTCTCTTTGGAAAGAGCATTTCCACGCTACAACTTCCTCATGACCAGCACCTGACCGACAGAGGTAGTTTCTGGGCACTCATGTATTTCGTGTTGGGTCTCGCCGTCTTTGTAGCCAACTGGGGAGTTGGCAATTGGTGGACCGTAGGTTCGTTCCGCGCAACACGTCAATATAGACGTGAATATTTTGAGGCCATGATGAATCAAGATGTTGCTTTCTTTGACTTGAAAGGTCACAGCGCTGCCGAAATGACAACCCGTCTTTCTACGCATCCTCTCCACCTGCAGCTACTTTTATCGACCAACCTGGCCCTAATTGTCCTGGTCATCTTCAATGTCTTAGGATGCTGTATCCTGTCTCTGGTCATTGGCTGGAAACTCGCACTCCCCGTGATGGCTTTAGGCGTGCCACTTTTGTTTGGCGCTGGCTACTTCAGGATGCGGATGGAGATGAGCAATCAAGATCGCGTCACAGCCATTTACCAGGAAGCTGCTCGCTTTGCCTCCGAAGCAGTTGGCGCTATCCGAACTGTTTCAAGCCTAGCACTCGAACAGAAAGTCCTTGATGGGTACGAAAGAAGACTTGATGACTCTGCCAAGCTCGAGATGCGGCATAAACTGCTGAGCATGCTTCTATTTGCGTTTAGTGAGAGCATCAGTCTCGCAGTCTCCGCCTTTTCCTTCTGGTATGGAGGGAAGTTGTTGTCTGAGAACGAGTACAGTGTCAGTACTTTCTTTATCGTCTTTATTGCCATTAGTATGGGCATGCAAACTGCTGGCTTCATGTTTGGATTCACGTCTGGTTAGTTAAAATTCCCTTCTGCCCTTTTTACCCACCCTAACGCACATCTTAGATCTCTCCAAGGCACACAAATCGGCCAATCATATTATCGACCTTCGCAGATCTAAGCCAGCCATCAATAATTCGACTGGTAGCCACCAAGCACTCATGTCAGAGAGCAAGACTGCTATTGAGTTCAAAAATGTTACCTTCTTATACCCAAATCGTCCGGACATTCCAGTACTGCGCGACATCAGCTTCAAGATCGATAAAGGTCAGTCTGTCGGCATTGTCGGTGCGTCAGGGTGTGGAAAGAGCACTATTATTGCTCTCCTAGAGCGATTCTACGATGCAGAGATGGGCCAAGTTTTGATTGGGGATGTTCCGATGCAGCAGCTGAACGTACAGGAGCATCGCTCTCGCCTGGGCTTGGTCTCCCAGGACACGATCTTGTACCAAGGCTCCATTCGTGAAAACATCTTGCTGGGTCGACTACCCGGTCAAGCTACTACTAGTGAAGATGAATCCAAGTCTGAAGCTGAAGCCGATGAAGCGGTTATTCGCGCCTGCAAGTTAGCCCAAATAGACGAATTTATCATGAGTCTTCCGGAGGGCTATCATACAAAACTTGGAGGCCATGGAATTTCACTCAGTGGAGGTCAGCGACAGCGTCTTGCCATCGCCCGTGCTCTGATTCGAGAGCCGGATATCTTACTCTTCGACGAAGCGACCAGTGCTCTTGATACGGAAAGCGAGGCTTTGGTTCAGAAGGCCTTTGAGGCCATCACACAGAATAATGACACCCGAACAGTCATCTCAGTTGCCCATCGCTTATCTACAATCAAGCAGTGTGACCGCATCTTCGTGCTTTATCGGGGCGAAGTAGTGGAGGAGGGAACACACGACGAGCTTGTGGCACATTGTGGCCGTTACCATGAAATGGTTTTGGCCCAGACTTTGGACGCAGAAGCTTCTTGAGATGCAATTTTCTTTCACTCGACAGTATATTATCCATTTGAATAGAATTATTTTTTACGTATCAATTTTTTTTTAGCATATGGTATATTCAAAGTTCTTGCAATATGATTAGGATCCCTATCACATCTCTTCGCATTCAAATATTTGTTTGTAGAAAAAAAAAGTCCGTTGAGAATCCACAGAGTACGCCGCATGTCACATGGTGACTTTGCCCCTGGCTCTCCTTTCTCCCCCTTCTCAACTTTCCTTTAAATTTTCACCTGGGCAGTTACATTCAAGCTCACACTCTGCTTGCTTCCATATGTTTCTATTCTACTCTCATGTCCATGACTCCGCCTCTTCAGAGTCAAAACCCAAGTAGGCTTCATCAATATCCCCTCGGTCGGCTCCGACAACTTAAACTTCCCTATCAAGGTGCACACCTCGCACTACCCAGACAAAAGCCATAGTGAAACAGGATATCATCCAAGTCTCATCTTTTCTCCGTGTGAAGATAGTAAATACTAGCAATCATTGGAAATCCGAAATACGCGTTACTACAGTAGGCACATGCTGATAAGATATGGATAACATAGTGATGACTAAAATGAGGCGAAGCATTCCAAGAGTTCTTGGCCACGCCTTGAGCGGCGCCCATATCCACTGGATGGATTATTTGGGGTAAAAGAGGTCCGGGCGGAGTCCGGGCCGTGTTCAAGTTTGGGTCATTTGGCGGCTCGGCCCACCTCTCGCCACCTCTTGGCTGGGCTTGATATTATAGCCGATGACTAGTAAATTTGAGCACCAGACGATAAATACCGATATGTATTCTTGGGGGCGTTAATGAAATAGTATTCTACTAACCTCTTTCGATATGAACTAAAAATACAACTTATCTTATCCAAGCTTATCACCTTTCATGCATGTAGATCACTGTGGAGATAAGCTTTATCGGGTGGATTCAGGGGTCGATTCACTTTAGTCAATAACATTGAATCATAAATATTTATAAATACGAGGTTACGCTAGTATAATCTAGTATCGTCAGGAGAGTATATATTACGAACGTAAATAACCCTGATCAGTACGGTAATTATACAAATACCGATCTGCCTGTTCATCCATACCAGATGTGTATCTTACACAGATAATATCTTACACAGATACGTAATTATATGCCCTGCAGAACATTATCTCAATTGCTTGATTTGATAATTGTTTGAGAGAAAGATAGTCTATCAAGTCAGATGTAACTTGGCTATCAGATTCGAAGTAAACATATATCTCGTCGAAGGTGAAAGCATCTTTTGGATCCGATTCTTAGCCGGTGTTCGGAATCTCCCAAGACCCCGAGCGTGGACTGGCGTGGTTAAAGACTCTCTGCAAGTTCATTCTCAACATTTTTCAACACTCCCTTTGTTATTTATCTCTTACAAAATGCACAATATGCTTGTTCAGATCATGCCTGAGTCCCTCGATTCAATCGATACTCTGCCCATATTGGCTCTTCTCTCGGTCTTTGCTGTTGCTGTCAAGATTTTCCACTCGTTCTTCTCCTCTCCAAATGATATTAACAAGTATCCATTAATTAATGGACGTAAAGGATGGAGCCCTTTTATCGCGAAACAAAAGGCCAAGTTTGTCACGGACGCCAAGGACCTTATTGATCACGGACTGAAGACAGTAAGTTTGCGAAACTCCTGCCAAACTTGGCTCAAGAGCATTTCAAAGCCCCATGCATTTTTGATTTACTTCTTCTAGCTTTGAGAGATACATTTAAGAATAATCTTTACTAGCTTGATAGCTGACGGCGAGTTATAGGCTGGAGGCGCATTCCGACTCCAAACAGATGACGGGATTCAAGTTGTTCTGGCTGGAAAATATGCTGATGGCTTGAAAAGCAATCCAAACTTGAATTTCGGCAAAATCAGCGCCGAGGTAAGTTCAGATGCATATCTATCTCTTGAGCAATTCTTCCTCGGCATGGCGTTTTCCGCGTACTGATGAGGAATCATTAGGACTTTCACGCACATATTCCCGGTTTTGAGCCTTTCAGACAGGGTTCTTCAAATGATGAGATTTTTCACAACGCTGTCAGAGAAAATCTGACACATGATTTGGGTACGTTAAAGATTACTCTCCCATAATTCTTTCTTATGTACATACAACTAACATTTGAATCAGCGAGTCTGAACCGTCCCCTGTCAGAAGAGGCAGCTGTTGCACTCCAGGACCACTGGACCGATAATCCTGGTATGTTACAACATTTGTCACTTTCAGTAGTACAATATGAGCTGACTTTACTTGAATAGAATGGCACCAGATTGAACTCAAGCCCACAATGCTGCACATCATCTCACAGCTCTCATCTCGTGTCTTCTTAGGCACAGAGCTCTGTCGCAATCCAGACTGGCTACGTGTTACTAGGGACTACACAGTAGATGCCATTCAAGCTGGCCAAGACCTTCGAGTGTGGCCCAAAACTATGAGGTCCTGGGTTCATTGGTTTATCCCATCCTGTCGTCGGCTCCGCGCGCATCTTGCTGAATGTAAAGATCTTGTCAATCCTGTTCTTGAAAAGCGTCGACTTGAAAAAGAGACCCGCATTGCGCAGGACTTGAAGCCAAAGGAGTACCTCGACGCTATGGAGTGGATGGAGCAGGCTGCTAATGGCAAACCATATGATCCCGCGATTTCACAAGTCATGATGGCCATGGCTGCTAATTTCTCAGGCTCTGATGCTATGACACAAATTCTGTTCGATCTCTGTGGCCAGCCAACCCTTGTTCAAGATCTCCGGAAAGAAATTGTCGAAGTCATTGGAGAAAGCAATTGGAGCAAATCTACCATTTATAAGTTGAAGCTCATGGATAGCGTCCTCAAGGAAAGCCAGCGTATAAAACCAGCGGCCGTTGGTCTGTACCCTTTGCCTTATCAAATATCATTTTTTTGGTTGAATACTCTTACTGACTTGCAATAACAGCTATGATGCGTCGATACGCACTGAATGACACCACCTTGCCAGATGGAACACTGTTCCCCAAAGGCTCAAAGCTCATGGTATCTGCCTCGGACTCCTGGGATGACTCTATCTATCCAAATGCTCATGAATTCGATGGCTATCGCTTTCTGCGCATGCGGGATGCCGGCGATGTTGCGAACGCACAGTATGTCTCCACTGGTTCCAGTGTCTTGGGCTTTGGTCATGGAAAGCAAGCTTGCCCGGGACGTTTCTTTGCGGCGAATGAGCTCAAGATTGCTTTGAGTCATATTTTACTGAAGTATGACTTCAAACTTGCGCCCGACACGAAGCCTCAGACTTCGACTTATGGGCTGTTCTTACAGGCAGATTCTACCGCACGTCTGATGATCCGGAGGGTCAAGGAGGATATTGAGCTATGAGTTCAAATATCGCTGCTGATCTACGGAAGATGTGTACAATGGGTACACACAGGATATTTCATCCTGAAGAAGGTGGGGTTGGTCAATCTTTTTTTTCTATGAGATTTCATATGATGAGTGTCAGATTATACTACGTAAATTGGGAGATCTTGGCGGTATATAGTCCTTTTCTCAATTATAACATGAATTTAGACGCTCCATGACATTTGAACATTGAGGTTTGCACTTAATGCCACTGGCAGTAATCCAGCATAGTTGAGGTTTCTCAGATGCTTTAAACACAATCTATGGCACCTATGCGGGGGGGTTTTCAATTGAAACAGAAAAGTAGCCATATCATGATATGCATTTATATCACCCACGGACGGCCTCAACTGCCAGCACTTGAGGGCCAGTGGTTCGAATGTTTCTCCACTGGCACTGGAGATCCACACCTTAAGTGCTATAACGGGCTGTGGCATCAATATATTGATCCACATGCGGCCAGTGGGGCCTGGGCATTGGCACCTTGGTAACCAGTGCTCAGGCTCACAACTTGAAGGTGTAAGTTATTGAATGGAAATAAAAAAAGGCCATGATCACACGGTATCACTGGAAAATTATTGAGCATATATTGATAGATCAGCCCGAGGTTATTGACAACTTGAACAATTCAACATTGACGGGAACATTTAAATACACCAGTTGACCATGATTTTCGACCCAATTCACCGAAGGGTTGAAACACTATTTCCTGAGCATAAAGAACAGTAACAAAAAATTCAAAAGAAAAGCATCCTGAAATTATGTTAAATCGAACAATTGAACCTAATTTCCTTACTACTAGTAGCGAGTCATGACTTTCTGTGCCATGAAATCCTTGTCGTCAACTTTGAAGGTGGTCGTAATACTCCACTCCGTGAGGTTGACCGCTTGAAAAGCGAATTTGTAGCTAACTTCAAGCTCAGCTGTTCTCAAGTTATTTGCATAGGCCGACCAGCCATCCTCTCGTTCCTCCTCATCTCGGGGCTGCTTAAATTCAATTATGTGAGACAGCGAATTTGCTCGCATAGGATCATCATGTCCCACGGACCACACACTCAACAAGTCTACCTGGTCATCATAACGCCAGACATAACGAGATTCAGGCTTATCAGTAGCGCTGCAATCTTGCCATGTCCTTTTTTCGACACACAGATACTCCAAGGCGTCACCATCGTGCTTCACCTGGTTGCCGTTAATCAAATGTTGCTGTCCATCTCTTGTTGCCCTCCGAAGCAGGAATTCCATATTTCCAACCAAAATTTCCTCCGGGCTGGAAGAGGCTAAGGCTTTGATAGTGGTTTTCATCTTCCACGAGCCCAAAAGGCTGCGGAAAATACCCCTCGCAACATATTTTGGAGTGGTAAGCGACAACTTGATAACGGTTTGGATCCTTTGAACGGCGATTTCAGCATCATTGGTCTCGATATTTCCAGAATAATTGTCGCAATATCTGGCTGGAGTAAACATGTCCAGAGGGAGGTCATTGTGAGAAAGGGTTGGCATCCCTTCTGGTGTAGGCAGGGAGAAGAAACTCAGGTCCAAAGCTTCTGCAAATTCTTGCATTAAATAAGGGTAGTCACCCATTGGATACTGCGAGACTCGAGGATCATCACGCAAGGAGAGCGTTGTTTGAATAGAGTTATCGTTGGCTAGCTTGCGTTGAAGTGACGCAGAAGTTGGATCTGACCAAAGTTTTGTCAGGTAACGTGCGTGCATCTCCATGACACCCCAGTAGGGGTTTCGATAAAAGCCAACAAAACCAAGCTTTGGGATATCAGGATGATGTGTTCCGTGGAAAGCCAGAGCTAGAGGCTGATTGACGTGCTTGGGGGAATGAGAAAGCTTTTGACGAATGTCTTCCGGCAAGAAGCTCAAACAAGGGCTCGGGTCAAATCCAGTGGCAATAACAACGGCAGCAATTTCTTTGATCTGCTGGTCCCCTAGGGAGATGTACGCTGTGTCTCCCTCCATAGAATTGACTTTTCCGTGCGACACGGTAATGAGCCCTGATCTCACAAAGTCGCAGTACCAATCACTCACGGACATGTGTGGCTGGATTGTCATCGAGTCTTCCGTAATCTGGATTTTAGAAGAAAACTCAGACTGATCACCACCAAGCATGTACTGGTAGAGCCCGTGCATAAACTCAGCGTTCTCTTCGTCGATGTGACCTTGAGTATTGGCCAAGGTTTCACCTCTATTATTGCGATTGAAAAATCCAAAGTCCAATGGTAGGAATGGAGCACCGGCAGTAGTAGGCTATTATAATGGTTAGTATGCTCGCTTTCGCATTAAGTTCATCTTCATCTCAGCACTAACCTCGGGACTTGTAAACAGCGGAAAGACCCATGTGGGTCTGGGCACAACATTGTGAATAGAATAGCTGGCGATGTCTGGTATATCAAACTCATCCGCAGAATTGATAGCAGAGGATAAATGTGTACCAATGGTGCCTGCAATCTCCACTCCTGACATTTGCCCTCCAACTACCAGAATTTTGCCACCTCCTGGCCGACCCTTGCCAAGCAGGCCTTTCAAATCGCGGTATTGGCAGCTATGTAGAACGGGAATGCCTGAAATTTGTGTCTGATGAAAACACGGAGGCGTGATGGGCTGCCCAAAGAAGCCCGATGCTACAATCAAGTAATTAAAGGTTCTCGTGTGCATCTCATTACCAGATTCAAAGTGTACAATCCACTGATCAGAGCCATTGGCTGATGGTTTCGATTCCATGACCCGGCTGTTCAATAGAAGCTGAAAATTGGGATTTCCGTGGAGGTAACGATCATAATACCGGTGTAAGTACTGCCCAACGTTGTAAGCTCTGGGGAACTGAGAGATGTTATCGTCTTCCCAGCAGAGGTCACTGAAGGCAACTGTGTGTTTGCTTCCATTCGTGAACATGAGCGGATGAATTTGACGGCCCGTATCATCTTTCGAGGTCGGCCACAGTCCTCCCAGGTCGCTTTGAGCTTCAAATATGGTTACTTTGAAAAACCCTTCTGGGGCGCCACGAAGGAGGTTTTTCGCTGCCACTAGACCAGCTGGGCCTGCACCTAAAGAGAATATTAGATGATGAATCACTTGGTAATTGAAAATGACTGAAAACTTACCCACGATGCAGACTGACTTAGCCATTTGGTGTGTTGACTTAGAAAGTTGAGACTTCCAAGGTGTTGCAAAATGAAGGTAATCTCTTTAACATGTACCTGATAAGTACATGCGTCTTTAAATCTATGTGTCACGAAAGTAGAGATACTGCACGCCCTTTTATCACTTTATCATGGATTGAAATTACTAGCAACGGCTGAAACATGCAATGCTACCAAGCTTGACTCTGGGTTCAAATTTGTATCTTGTAGATACTTGTTTGATAGAGAGCAGTGGGGTACCTAGATATGCTCCGGCGTAATAACGGGGCTAAGATTTTGGTAATGTTTCGCCAACTTTGGAAAGTGACAACCCGTATTTCCAGGTTCCGAGTTGAATACATGACAAACCTGTAATTACGAAACTTCAGGGGGAAAAATATTGCCAAAAAGGTTAGATCTGAACGATTGTTAAAATACAGAGATTCAGGTGAAGATCCTTGGAATCTTACCTAGCTCCACCCAGGGGCTGAATTTATCTCATGACTAAAAGCTTGAATAATGCCCAGGTGCGATAACCTTCAAGGGTTCCAATCTTGGAAGTTTGGAACGGCCCTGGCGTCATGTGACCTGTAGTCTGGGCTGTGTAAGGGAGTTAATGTCACCATTGTTATTAGCGCCTATCTGACATGAATTCACTTCCAGGTTTGCATCGATAGGAAAATCAATTCATGTCAGATAGGGGCTAATCGAGTGCAAAACAGTACTCCGTAATAGATTATTGAATTGTTATTTGTTCTATCTAAGTTATCTAAGTCGAGTTATGCCAGTTTGCGGGGGCTAGTCCCAGGGGTTCAAGTTGTATAACCCGGACGTACGCTTAGATATGTGTTACATACCAAAAATACCTTCCGGGCTGTATTATAAAACCCCATGGAGGATGCCCAGGTGGACTCCGTTGGCGGACAGAGCATCCGTCGAATCGTCAGACCACGATAGGAAAAGTGGTAATATTCCTTCCGCGGAGTTTCCAAGGTTGACAGTTTATTTTGTGACTAATGTGATAACGTAGCCCTGGAGTGATTCAGCCACGCACGCGTTTTCTCGCGTTCGTACTATTCGCAACATAACCCTGAAGCAGTAGATCTGGCTAATATTCACATGCAGGTCTATGTTATTTTTGGACTCATATGGCAAGCCTGAGGGTAGCCAAGGGGTAGGTGCAATGAAATCTCACAACAGCCAAGGTGCTATCCAGTTAAAAAGTAGCTTCAAGTTGACGTGTCGCCAATTCCGACTTAAAGAGTAAATTCCGTGAAGAATAAACGAGAGTGTTGTCAAAGGCGCTGTCAAACTAACATTTGGACATGATAGCTGAGTTTTTTACGAAGCTAGTTACTACCTTGTACATATTTGTTTAATATTGAATCTGAAAACTTGAAGTCATTTAGAATTGTCTATCACTAAACTAAACCATATCAAATTTGTGATATTGAACTCGGAGTGTGCCGAACTGTCCTGCCAGTGTGCAAGCTGAGTGGAGGATAGTAAAACTTTCCATCCTCAATGCAGGCTGCCATGATGGATATGTCTAGGAAATCGCTTTATTACTCCTCTTCGGCAAATTTGAGCATGAAGTCTGCCAAAACATCCAAAAATTTCCGGGCCATAGCAGGTTCAAAGCATCCGTCATTGTAACAGATAGACAAAACTGTGGAACCTTGCCAGCTGTCCATGCGAATAAGTCTATATTCAAGTCAACAAGGAACTCTTCATTGGGAAGCTGAGATCATACATATCAGGTCCGTATGTATCAACCCCAAAGTGACAGCTATCAACAGTAAATATCACGTCGCCACTTGAGGTAGAAATATTAGCAGCAACGTAATGGTCGACTAGTCCATCTGTAACAAAAATCTATTTCACGTTAGAGGAATGCATGAATGGGTACGGAGCTCAGCTATGCCACAATAGCGACTTACTGGAATGGAGGATCCTGTGAAAGGCATTGGGTTGCTGTTTTGTGTCAGTCAGCATGTATTCATATTGTTTGGGGAGTTGAATTGTACTCACGATGCCAGGAGAGCGCCTAAAAAGTTGTCCTTCGAAACACCAACAGCTAATTGGAATTCCTTTTTCAGCCAATAGTCATAAGATTCCTTGACTTGATTGCATAGTTTTTCCAAGGCAGCAGTGGGATCTTCTGCGTCATTGCAAGGTGCCCATGTCTTCAAACTCGGAAACTCAACCACTGCACCAGCCTGACAAGTACCAAATCGATGATTTGCAACTTCGTCACGGAGGAATCTGCGTCCATTGACAGGCAGAGGTGTGATAAGACCTATATTCCCAGGAGCATCGACAGGCAGAGGGTTGTTCTTAAGCAAGGACAGCACAGTGGCAGCATGGCCTAGGTGAGAGATGGTGTATTTGGGCCCTAGGCGCTTCTTCACAGCCTGAATGATCTTTTCACTGTCAATCTTGCTGAACTTGTACCAGTCTGAGCGCGGGTCCCCGCTCCTATTTGTAACAGGCATACCCCAACTGGACTATAATGCTGTGTCAGAAGTGGGTTTTGACGGTCTCAAAAAGGAATTTCTTACCCGGATCTCATCAAGCCGTCAATAAAATCTGCACGTACTGCCTCAAAGTCGGTACCTAGAGCCTCAACATTCACTTTGCAGGCGTCCAGTATCGGGAGATCCAAGTTGGATATTTCATCTCCCCATTGGAACTCTGGGAGTTTGTAGTTGCCTCTAGACTCCAATATCTTGCCGAGGTGCTTTTGCAGCTGCCCGACAAACTCTCGACTGCCCATAGCGTCCCAAAAGATGTGATTGAAGAGCATGAGCATTTCAACCGTATCACCTTCATTGAGCGCTGCCTGGTCATCAGCGGTATTGGCTATCAAGATGATAGAGACTGAAGGGGCGGACTGTGCCACAGCCTTTGCTCTACGTTGCTGAGAAAGCTTCAGGCGCAGCTCTAATCCGCCATAATTTGAGGTATGGGTAGTGACACAGCCCTTTGCCCATTCAAGGGCCTCTGCATTGCTTGCTGGTGGCTCGTATTTGATGTGTGGCAGGTTTGGGTTTTTGCCTTGGCCCCAAATGGCAGTGCAGGCAAGGTCAGGATGCTCGAATCGAACGTGAACGAGCGCCATGCTAAGCGCTTCTTGTAGTTTGGCCAGAGACAAACTCATAGTAGCTCCCACGCGCAAAGTCGTGTTCAGGTAGTTGTCGTATTGCCCTTTGGCATTTTCATCTCGAATTCCAACCCAGGCTTCAGTGCCATTAGCCAATCTTTGTACGGCTTTGCTGTCGGCACTGAATGAATGCCACCGAAACAGAGAAGGTTCAAGCTTGGGGATCTCCATTTTCTTTCGATTGATGATCAAAGTTTGACTTGGAAGTGGTGGTTATCCTCTGAGAAGCGGTAGAATGGAAGATCTGGATCAAAAAAGGTTGGAAGCGAGAAGAAAAACAGACACGGAAAGACAGCGAAGGAAACAGAAACACTTAGAGGGTTGAGCTTTGCTTTCGATTGAACCACTATCTTCTAAACATACTACCTCAACTCAGATAGATCAGTATCTCCTTATCGTGCAATCTTCTTATCGTTTAATCTTATCATGCACATATGAATTTGAATATACATACCATTATACGCACGCGGCCCCGGGGCCGTGCGAACAGTATTTCAAATGGCCTTCGTGGCGTCACTGTATTGAAAAATATAAACTTGAAGTAATACTGCGAGAAAAACAAGAACCGTAATTACTTGATGTGTAAAATTCAAGTATGGCTCCACGAAGTGCGGCATGGCCCGAAGCGCTACGGAGTACGGAGTAGGATACCAGAATTGACCAATTGCGCACCGGGTTAGTTTATCGCTTCCCCTCGGAGTTATTCTTGACGAATTTATCTCCAGGATTCTTCATAAGATCTCAGGTTAGAGTTTGGTATTGTAGTAGAAAGCAGCTCAAAATGCCCCACAGTCGAAAAATCGTGATAAGCCTCCAGGGCTTGGAACCTTAGAACCTTGGAAGAGATGGTCATGTATTTTTCAGTTATGTTTCTGCAACATGATAATTTGCTCTTTTATTCTTATTTATTTTATTATCATTTATTTTATTATTTTCCGTTTGGTTTTTTTACGATACCTTTGACAGGTATTCGTAAATGGTATTTTCACCGTGGTCCGAAAGTATTTCAATGGTCTCTCTGTATTATTACACTCAAACATGTCTCGTAAGTCTTCCCAGTTGCCGATGGTAATTCAGGACATACAACCTTGGAAGGCCACTTGGGCAGTCCATCATCGTAGATATTCTGACATCCTTTCCTATCGAGATAAGCCAGTTCATAACTCCGAAGAGCTACTACTACTTTGGGCATATCAATGCCATTTGTAGAATGCTTTGAAGTGACTTTGAGATATGCTACGCAAAATGTTGATCCGGCCTGAAGTGCCCATTACTATATAAGTCCATAGAGGGCGCTCATTTCATCCTGTGAGCCTACTCGCATACATCTGCACTATCTTACTTCAAGTTCTTCAAGTTCTTCAAAGTATCAGCAATCATGACGATTCAAGTCTTTCCCACTGGCTACTATGTCAATTCTATCGTTCGATTTCTGGACACAATTGATTACAACGACACCAACTATACAACAGAGGAACGTATAGCCAAGCTTGCCTATGCGTACACAAAGACAGCCAAGCACTTTGCCCACCCCGACAGACAGAGGGAAATCAAAGTGAGCCCAAGAAAGCTTCAAGCCTCTCTCCAAACTATTGTTGCCATGGTAGTGTACAGTTGGGCCACAGCCTCAGAAGAAGTCATGGCAGACCTGAGTATTCATTACACGTATATGCTCATTCTCGATGACAGTCATGACGATCCTTCTGAGAGTATGGAGTCATTTTATGACAACATGCTTGCAGGTCGAGCTCAAGAGCACCCGTGGTGGCAAATGGTGAATGGACAGTTCCCCCAGGTCCTTCGGCATTACGGTCCCTATTGCGGCCTTAACATGATTCGATCAACTACAGACTGTATGTCAACATTCCCCCCCCTTTCAAGTATCCACAAAAATACTAATTGAGTGAATTGTCAAGTTTTTCAAGGCTGTTGGGTTGAGCAGCACAACTTTATGGGCTTCCCCGGGTCCTTTGACTACCCTACATTCTTGAGACGAATGAATGGTTTGGGACACTGCGTTGGTGGCTCTATGTTTCCAAAAGAGCGCTTTGACGAGAGAGAACTGTTCACAGAAATCACAGCTGTCATTGCACAGATGGAAAACTGGATGGTTTTTGTCAACGATCTACTCTCCTTCTACAAGGAGTTTGATGAGCCTCGTGACCAGACAAGTCTGGTTAACAACTATGCTCGTTGTAACGAGATTATCCTGGAGGATGCTCTGGAAATTGTGACTAAGGACACCATTCGAGACTCGGAACAGCTCCTTGCTGTCTTTCGCGACAAAGACCCCAAAATCCTCCACACGCTGCGCACATTTATTCAGGGTTACGTCACCTGGCATCTCTGCGACCCTCGATATCGACTACAGGAGCTGACTACCTTGCTCACGGGTCAGACTGGGGCTTCAGCCAAGCTTCACAGCTATTTGCAATCTGCAAAGACAGTCGGATCCGTTGACTCCAAAACTTGGGCGTATCCTAGCGTGGCATCTTTTGCCGCTGAATATGAAGCAAAGTCCTTCTCAGAAGCAATTTGGGCTCCGAAATATGCGACTGTCGAAGCCTTGTTAGCTCAAGAGCTACAAGACAAGGAAGATGCCACGGTGTTCCCTCTCGAGCAGAAATCGACCCCAACCCAATCCAATTGCAGAGAAAAAGCATCGTACACATTATCCAAGTTCCGTCTGCCAGAGAGTCAAGAGGCAGGAATGTCGTTTCCTAATATTGTTCATGCAGCATGGGCAATTTTAGTGGCTCAAGAGACCCACGCAAATTCTGTCGCTTTTGCCATATCAACCTCAGGCCAACATCCCATTCCAAAATTCGTCCGCATGAATGGTGATCTTCCTGTTCGCAGCTTTCTTCATGATATTCAGGAAGCAACTATTAGGAGTCTGCCATTAACCACATTCAAACTCCAAAAATCGGGTAGAATTTCACTCGACGGTCTTAACACCTTGGTTCTGGTTGACGAATTCGATGAAGTCATGGAAAATCCAATCATCAATCTACCTGAAAATCCGCGCGATGAAGTTGAATCATCATTCCCGCTCATTATTCGGGTGTCCACCACTTGCCTTGGCATTCACATGGCCGCGGACCTCGATACGCGATACATTGAAAAGTCAACAATGTCTAGAATCTTTGCGCAACTCTCCTTCATTCTGAAGCAGTTATGTGATAACTACTCAAAGGGCACTGCTTTGAGCAATATGAGTTTCTGTAGTCCTACAGATCTAGCGGAGATCTTGGCATGGAACAGCGTCAGCCATGACCCAGTAGAAGACTGCATCCATTGGCAGTTTTCGAACCAAGTCAAACTTCAGCCTGAAGCAGAGGCAATCTCGGCTTGGGACAGATGCTTCAACTATCGGGATCTGGATACCTTGACAGCTCAGCTAGCAGCACACCTTCAGTCATTACCACACCCAGTGGGCCCGGGTGTTACAGTACCCATTTGTTTTCCCAAGTCTGCATACGCTGTCGTGGCTATGTTAGCAGTCCTTCGCGCTGGTGGTTCATATGCGCCTATGGATCCAGCCTATCCACAGAGCCGTATTTTTGAGATACTTGGTCAACTTGAATCAACTACTGTCTTGGTATCACCTGAGAACAGTCATTTGTTTGATGGAACTATTGCGGAACAGATTCTCGAAGTATCAGAGTCCACACTCCTGACTTTGGCTACCGATAGGACACACTCTTCATCAATTGAACAGGACACAGTCAAGCCTTCTGATCCATGCATGATTTTATTCACATCTGGGAGTACTGGAAAACCCAAGGGCATAGTTCTCGAGCACAAGTCTGTTTGCAAGGTCTTCCAGGAACATGGGAAGGCCTCCGGCTTCCGACGAGGCATGCGAACACTGCAATTTTCCGCCCATACATACGATGTATGCCATGGTGAAATATTTGAGACTCTTTATTGGGGTGGCACTGTGTGTATCCCATCAGAAGAGGATCGGATGAGTGACATTGCCGGGTTTGTTAACCGTCACAACGTTGACTGGGCATGCTTGACACCGTCAGTGGCCGGCCTCTTAGACCCTGCAAAAATGCCATGTCTCAAGACCCTTGGCCTTGGAGGTGAAGCTGTACCAGGTGAAGTTTTGCACTTGTGGAAAGACTATGTTCGCATTGTTTTGATGTACGGGCCATCTGAATGCAGCATCTACACCTCGGCCAAAGACCTAGAGACAGATGCCGATATCGGTACTCTTGGCATTGGCCGTGGTTGTTCATTGTGGATTGTCGACCCCCAAAACCACAATAATCTCATGCCTGTCGGCGCTGTTGGAGAGCTGGTGATTGAAGGACCCATCGTTGCTCGCGAGTACCTCAAGAACCCAGAGCTGTCAAAAAAGGTATTCATCCAAAACCCGGAATGGCAAGCCGAGCAGAACAAGACAAGTCATTCCCCACGCCGTTATTGCAAGACTGGAGATTTGGTACGTTATGATCCAAATGGCGCAGTACGGTTCGTGGGCCGAAAGGACACCATGCTGAAATTGCGAGGTCAACGACTGGAACTTGGTGATGTGGAGATTCATCTCAAGCTTGCATTCCCAAAGGCCAGGGCGGTTTATCCTACCATAATTGCTCCTGAAGCTTTGGGTACAGCAAAACATTTGACAGGCTTCATCCTTCTAGAAAAAATGGAGCAGATCTTTGAAAAAAGACTCGAAACCCATGGATTTGACCATCCGGGAATATACACAGCTATTATTGGCAGCGAAAAGTGGCGGCTTATGGTGGAAGAAGCTCAGGCTATCTTGTCGAAGGCTCTCCCTCAACACATGATTCCCACAATGTATATCCCTATGCTCCAGCTACCTCTCAGTGCATCTATGAAAACCGACCAGAAGCGGCTGCACCAGCTTGGAGCATCTTTGACGCTGGATCAGTTAACCCTGCTCAACACAGCCACAGCCCCAAAGCTATCGACTTTCCAGCGGGAGATGTCCAATGAAGAAAAGATTCTGCAGTCTCTCTGGGAATCGGTTCTCGGTCGCGAAAAGAGTCGCATAGGCCCAGATGCTCACTTCTTTCATTTGGGCGGACATTCAGTCCTTGCTATGAGTCTTGTACGACTCGCCAGGGATTCTGGATATGCCATCACATACAAGGATGTCTTTCAAACACCGGTTTTGGCCGAGTTGTCTAAGATTATGACCAAACTTATTCGTGAAGAGTCAAGTCAAAACAACGTGAAGCCGTTCTCACTTCTGAAACAAATCGGCAACCATGACGATCTTCGTCAGGAAATCTCTCAGCAGCTGAAGATTGAGCCATCAAATATCGAAGACGTACTGCCTTGCACACCATTTCAAGAAGCTTTGATTTCAAGCACAGTCAGACAACCAGGGAGTTATGTAGCGCGCAGCGCATTTCGCCTGCAGCCACATGTTGATATGTCACGGCTGCAGTTGGCATGTGAAAGCCTTGTATCATCGATACCAGCTCTCCGAACAAGGATTGTTGATCTACCAGGCCATGGATTTTTGCAGGTTGTTGTTGATGAACCTCTGAGTTGGCTACAGCATGACGACTTAGATCGAGCTTCTGTTGGACTCGGCACACCTCTAACATTCTTTGAGCTATCCAAAGACACAACTGGCTCATACCTCCTTTGGACTCTCCACCATGCCGTTTACGATGGACACTCTCTCCCGTTGATGCTTGAGAGCCTTGAGTCCTTGTATAGCAAGGGGTCTATCTCATTTTCGCCAACACCATTCCCAATTTTTATTGAGCACATCACGAAGCAGCGAGGACTGGACGATGCACATCAATTCTGGAAGAGCCAGTTTTCTGGAGATTTTGAATCGTCACGTTTCCTTGGACTCCCCTTGCCAAACTTTGCTCCCTTTGCAAACAGCTCGAAGGAACATTGCATTACGGATATTTCGTGGCCTATGGCAGATGTGACCCCTGCCACAATTGTGCGTACTGCCTGGGCTGTACTGCAATCCCAGTACACAGGCTCGCATGATGTACTCTTTGGGGCAACTGTGAGTGGCCGTCAGACCCTAATGCCAGGGGTAGACTCCGTGGTAGCTCCCACTATGGCGACTGTACCCGTGCGCATCCAGCTCGACCACAGTTTGAGCGTGGAAGATATCCAGCGCAGAATTCAGACTCAGGCGTTGGAGATGCATTCTTATGAGCAGATTGGACTGCCTGATATCAGACGCATTTCTCCTGCTGCAGAGCATGCTTGTCAATTCCAGACTCTGCTTATTGTTCAACCCGTTTCTGAAGACATGAATCGCATCTCTGAATTATTCAAATATAAAGAAGACACTGCATCTGACTCCCCCGTGCATCATAGCTTCACCCATGAAGCTAAAGATCATGCTTTGATCTTTGAATGCCAGTTAGAACGGGAGGGTGTCAAGGTCCACGTCAACTTTGACCATCGATTTATTTCTGACCTACATGTGGGAAGACTTGTCGCTCAGTTTGATCACATTCTACATCAACTCTGTGATAAAAGGATGCGTCATAGTACGCTATCTGATCTAAACCTCTTGAGCCCGGAGGATCTGACTCAGATTTGGAAATGGAACGCTCATCTTCCCGAGAGAATCGAAGAATGTGTGCATAACATTATCCAATGCAAAGCCAAAGAGCAGCCAGATGCCTCAGCAATCGATGCTTGGGATGGAAGAATGACCTACCAAGAGCTCGATTCCAAATCCACATTGCTGGCACAGCACATGATTCAGCACTTCGGTTCATGCGTCGGCAAGGTTGTTCCGTTGTTCTTTGCAAAGTCCATGTGGGTACCCGTCGCTGCCTTGGCTGTGATGAAAGCAGGAGGCGCCTCTCTGCTGCTGGATACAGCGCAGCCAAACGAAAGAATTCGAGCTATTATTGATCAAATCACCCCAGCATTCATCATTTCCTCTGTCACGGAGCGGGAAAGGGCTCTGAAAGTTGATGGCAACAAGCTTCTTGTTCTTGGGGAAGAGCAGATGAATCAAATTTGCTTTACTCCCAGAGCATCTGACATAGACCTGCCGAATGTCCCCTCTTCAAGCTTGCTTTACCTTACATTTACATCTGGTAGTACCGGTACTCCTAAAGGAGTTCGAATCAGTCACGCCAATTTTGCCAGTGCACTGCATCATCAGAAGGGGCGCATTGGATACGACGAACATTCGAGAGTGTATGATTTCGCCTCATATTCTTTTGACATTTCCTGGTCCAATATCATCCATACCCTGGCTTATGGAGGCTGCATCTGCATTCCTTCCCTAGAGGAGCGTGACAATAACCTCGTGGGCTCCATGCAGCGTCTCAAAGCGAATGCGGCCAATCTGACTGATAGTGTTCTCGCTCTCCTGAAACCCTCATCCCTGCCACTCATGAAGAATCTCATCTCAGCTGGTGAAGCCAGCAAGCCGACAACAATCGAAAAATGGAGCTCTGCTGTCTCTTTGTATCAGATATATGGTCCTGCAGAGTGCACTCCTCTCAGTACAGGACAGCTGACTGAGCATGGGTCAACTTCAGCCACCATGGGAACTGGATTGGGCTTCAACACCTGGGTGGTTGATGCATCAGGTCAAAAGCTTGCACCACTGGGAGTTGTCGGAGAACTTTGGCTGGAGGGGCCTGGTGTGGGCTTGGGCTACGCCCAAGATTCCAGTAAAGAGGCACAAGCTTTTGTTGTCGATCCACCATGGCTTCTCACTGGCTCCGCCTCCATCCCTGGTCGGTGTGGACGATGCTACAGAACCGGAGACTTGGTAAAATATCATGAAAATGGTGCCTTGGAGCATATGGGACGCAAGGACAGCCAGGTTAAGATCCGCGGACAACGAGTTGAGTTGGCAGAGGTTGAGCATCAGATTCATCGCGGTCTATTGGCACTGGGGAAGGATTTCAATCCTCAGATTGCTGCAGACGTTGTCATCCCCAAAAACTCAACTGAACCGACTCTGGTGGCCTTTTTGAGTCGAGCATGGAGCATCAAAGACACAGAATGGGAAGCAAACCTGGTCAAAATGGGTGATCGTCTTAATGCATGGCTGGCAGATTCACTTCCAGCATACATGATCCCATCAGGTTATGTTGCTGTAGAGGATTGGCCTGTTTCTGGCACCAAGAAGCTGGACAGGAGACGGCTGCGTGAGCTCGGTACTCAGAAGACTTTTCAAGAACTCCAAGCTTCAGGCCAAGGGTCCGCAGAGCCAGCTCCAGCTGAGGAAACCATGACTGCAGCCGAGATACGTTTACGGGCACTCTGGGCCATTGTGTTGAAGGTTGACATGAACACCATCCAAAGCAAAGACAACTTCCTGAGAGTTGGAGGTGACTCCATCAAAGCTGTTCGTTTGGTATCTGCAGCTCGCAAGCAATCTCTAGTGCTCAGTGTGGCCAAGATACTCAAGCATCCAAGGCTCAGCGACATGGCTTTGAGTATGACGGAAGGCAAAGATGTGACTTATACTGAGCCTGAGCCCTTCAGTCTTCTGAATGGTGGAAGTGCTTCATTTGAAAGTGTGCTGGAGGATATTGGTTCGGTCTTGGATTTTCCGACAAACCAAGTGCGAGACATTGCCCCGACCACGTACACTCAAGCACTATGCGTCGATGCTGCTACATACTCACCGCCGCAGGGCTGCTTTGTCTTCCACGTTGATATTCCAGAGGAGATTCCTCTACAATCAATCCTTGACTTTGCTCAAATGCTGTGGGACCGGGTGGAAATTTTCAGAACTGTTTTTGCCAGATCGGAATCTGGAGACCTCTTACAAGTGATACCTGAAGGACTCACCGTTCCACTTGAAACACACGAAGTTGGTGAAGGGGCCACTCTGGACGATGCTGCAGCAGAAATCTTTGAGGAAAGTCTTCAGCCACCTCTGGAAATGGGAGCTGTCTATGTCAAGTTTATGTTGATTCATGGTCATGGGAAGCCAAGGAGATTTGGATTCCGTGTCTCTCACGGGCACTTTGATGGAGTCAGTTTGATTCCAATTTTGGCCTGTCTTGCTGCAACCTTACAAAATCGCGAGTGGCCGAACATTCCGAAGTTTGTCGGCTACATTGGTTATGTTCGCAAGCAGGACGCGAAGACCATTGAGCATTGGAAAAAAGCTCTTCGGGGATCAAAGCCCATGGCACTTGATCCAACTGGAGAGCAAAGTCGTATTATAACACGCACCAAAGTCATCGCATCTCCTCCAAACATCCCCGACTTCACCGCAGCCAATATCTTCCTTGCTGCTTGCACAGAGGCATTAGCTCAACTCCATGACACATCTGATGTGAATGCTTCATTGACAGTATCCGGGCGAACCATGCTGCCTGGTGGTTTGGACAATGTCATTGGGCCATGTCTCAACCAGATCCCCTTACGAGTTTCTCTGCCAGCTGATCGGACTTTTGAAAAAACCCTCGCCATGGTCCAACAAGCTCAGCTGGATGCTTTACCAGCCGAGGTTGCTACTTCTGAGAGCATCTACAAGACTTGTGCTGAGGATTGGCCTGTCCATCAACGCAAGATGTTCTATAACGTGCAATTCCACAATGTCATCTTCCCATCTATTGATTTGCTGGGTGACGGAGTCAAGACACCTTTGAAGGTGCATGGTCCAACCGGGGTGTGGGATCATTCGGAGGAAGTCTGGGTAATTGCCAGACCAGTGGGAGAGACCTGGCACATTGCTCTTAGTGCAAACGCTTCGAATTGTACTCCGGAGCATTTGGAGAAGGTTGGAGATACAATCGCCTGTATCTTAGATTCGCCAGATCATTAGACCCGCATTAGTCCATGATGCTATAAATTGTTAAGAATTGAATATTGCCATCATAATTGTTTCCTGCCTGTATCGAAATTTTAGTACGGAGTAGTGGGGCGACATTTCAGCTGTAGCTCATTCTCAAACCCAGTACTTACATAGCCTTTAGATCCATATAACTCAATATCTTTCAAGGTCAAGTACATACGACCACAGGGTGTGGAGAACAGGGCTTCCCGTCCGCTCAGCCGTACTTAAGCCACACGCCGGTCAGTTAGTAGTATGGTGGGTGACCACATGCGAATCCTGACTGTTGTATGTTTTTCATCCCCCATTTTTTTTTTCTTTTTGTTCCGGCTACTACATTTATTTTATAGTGGGGCCCGGGGCCAATGGAAATTTTTTTGTCTCCGTGTAGGGAGGTAAATGACCTGTCAGCGCTTCAGGCGCAGGATATCCAGAGACAGGACTAAAGAGTAGTCAAAGACAATCCTGATGTTACATATATTGGATTTATTCCACCATATCGACGAAATACTTGTGGCAAAACTACCTTTTTATACAGCATTGAGATTATAAAATTTGAATTTCAAAAACATAATTAGACCAGTTGATTACAATAGTAGTTGGGAGGAAATCTGATGACCATGTTGTTCTCTGTAGCTCTATGAACAAATATTGCGCTATTTATAATATCAAAGAATTTGTACCAAATTTTGAGCTATTTTAGGAGGCTCTATCAATCAAAATCACCTTAGCTCTTTTTAGTTATACATATGCCTATCCCCATGGAAGCCGAAATCGTGAGATCGGACTTTCGCGAAACTCCACGGAGTTTCGCCAACATGCAACTCCCAAGGTGGATACCTCCTAATCTTAATCGTTCCAACACTGAACACAAAGAAATAAATGCCCGAGTCTTCCATCATGATTTCTTAAATTCTCTTACTCCCTTTCTTTTCTCTCATCAAAGTACTCTAGTTCCCTAGCACCGTCACACCATGGTGTCTACCAAGGGTTCAATCACTCCGACCGGAATGAGCAACCCCGACAAGGAAGTCATCCTGACCCCAGGGGCTATCGAGAAGGCTGAGCTGCAGGATGAGCCACCGATTTTCTCATCCACCTTTCAAGAAGCTTTTTTCATCTTCATCATTGGCCTATCGCAACTATTCTCCATCGGCGGCGTAAGTATTGCTGCATACCCAATGCAGCAGATCGGTACAGCTCTTGGTACAACCAGCAATGGCCAGATGTCCTGGTTTCTTTCTTCATATGCTCTCTGTGGTGGTGTCTTCGTCCTAGTCACCGGTCGTTTAGGCGATCACTTTGGCCATAAATATGTCTTCCTCTTCGGCTGGATCTGGATGGCAATCTGGTCTGTGGTGTGTGGTTTCTCTCATAACGTCAAGTTATTTGATATCTCTCGAGGGCTCATGGGAATCGGGAATGGCGCTTTAGTCCCCAATTCTTTCGCCCTTTTGGCACGTGCATTCCCTCCTATGTCTATGAAGAAGAATATCGCCTTTGCCTTCCTAGGTTTCTGCGCTCCGTCGGGCTTTATCTTTGGTGGATTGATCGGAGGTGCTTTCGGTGAAAAAGTAACCTGGCGGTGGGGGTTCTGGTTCTGGGCGATCGGATGTCTTTTTCTGACTGCGGCAAGCTTTTTGACTATTCCTCACCGAATCGGCTCGGCGATTCCAGGACTAAGTCTCCGGAACTTCGACTATATTGGTAGCTTGTTAGGCATATCAGGCCTGATTTTGTTCTCATTTGCTTGGAGTCAAGCTTCTGTTGTTGGCTGGCAAGAGCCATATATCTACGCCTTGCTTATTGTCAGTATATTTCTACTGGTCGGATTTGTATTCTCCCAGTCCTATGTCTCAGCACCCGTCCTACCTAATTCTCTTTGGAGCCGTCCTGGTTTTACACCGGTGATTGTCTCTATGGCATTTGGGTGGATGTCCTTTGCGATATTCCTCTACTACACCACGGTCTATATTCTCACAATTCATAAAGCCCAGCCGCTTACTGCAGTGGCTCAAATGGTTCCACTGGTTATTGGTGGATTTTTCGCAACCATATCTGTTGGGCTCTTTATCGGCAAGACACCTGCTCAGTATATCTTTGGCGTTTCAATGTTCTCCTTCTTCATTGGCAACCTGCTAATGAGCTTCGTGAATTACTCCAATGTTTACTGGGCCTTTATCTTTCCTGCTTGTCTGTTTGTTGTCGGCGGACCTGACTTATCCTTTGCCTCATCTGGAATCATTATTTCCAATTCGGTTCTCCCTGAAGAGCAGGGTGTTGCTGGATCGTTCGTTTCAACGGTCGTGCAGTACTCTCTCTCACTTGGTCTTGGAATTGCCGCCACAGTCGAGTCGCATGTTAATGAGGGAGGCGAGAGCCCTATTCTCGGCTACCGGGGTGCATTCTGGCTGGGGATTGGATTTGCGGCTGTGGGATTCTTCATTGTGATCTTTTTTGTTCGCGATCATAGGTTTGACTCGAAGCCAGAGGAAGATTCCGTCCCAGATGATATTTCTGAGGCAGCATCGCAATGAGTCGATGTGCGGAATTTTGTGATGTTGATCCTGAATTTGGGCTATGATTATCATCTTGATTATTGTCTTGATTGTCATTTTATGCTCTGGTGTCGTTAATCAGTGTGCAAAAATCTCTTCATGTATAAATAGATTGAATATTCAACATAAATTAACATGTTAATCTCCTAAGATCTTTGATATAAATCAAATCTGGAAATTGCCTACTGGACCTCTTTGAATGAAGTAAGATTTTACTACTAGTACTATTAGTAGGTGAATAAGCTCTAATGCAACTTTTAATGTTAGATGAATATCATAGTCTACTATCTATGCCCGGGGGGGCTTTTATGAGCTTCGAATGTTGAAATACTTGATGAGAAAAAAGGTATGGCTCAAAATACTAGTAGTTTTTCAACATCTCATGTCATTCTTATTGATAACAGTTTCAAGTTTCGAATATTATAATAGAACATGAGGAAAAAATGACCAGCCACAACAGAACACAATTTAATTTACATGCACACGCCAGTGCTCACGGTGACCGTTACTGAATGCAGTGCGAGTATGGTGGGTGGTAGCGTTGTCATTGAAAATGAAGTCACCGGCCTTCCAATGGTGGTGATAAACGACACGGCGGTCATATAGCAAATCAGTCAGTTTCTCGCAAAGTGCGTCGCTTTGAGCCTCAGGCCACCCAACAACCTGCACAATGGTCGGTTTACTGGTTTCCGCGACGCACTTGGATTCGGGCCAAGGTTCATGGAAACGGAATGTATCAGCACCGGTCTCTGGGTGAGCGACGATAAAGGGCAGGTGCAGATCATGACCACCGAATGCATCATTGACTTCGGTGAAGGTCTTCCACTTTAGCGACCGTAATTCTTCAAGAGAAATGGTCACGGGTCCTAGGAGCGGCAGGAGGTTCCGTGATGATGAGAAGAGCGTGGCACCACCCTTGGATTGCGAGGCTGAGCGATTACGGAACATCTGGAAGAGAGGTGGAGTCGAAATCCATTCACCTGTCTTTTCGTCCTGGGCCATTTTGAACACTCCATCGTAGTGAAAAGGCATAGCCTCATTCGTGAGCACGTTGTTCATATTGATATCTACATTCTCGCGAACCTCGAGGATATCACCAAATGGCCATTGCTGAATTTCACCGAGCTGGCGCGCCTTCTCGCGAAAGACTTCTTTCTCAACTTCCATTGTGAAGTCACGCAGGAGGAGAGGTGCTGAAGATAAAGCGAGGCGACGCAAACGCTTCATATCAACGTCCTCGAATCTGAACGGACCGTGTCCTTCCTTTGGACGGACCTGCATACCACAGGGGAAAAGTGGCTCAAAGTCGACCTCAATCCCTGGCCATTTAAACAGGTCGCACTTGGCACGCAGCAGCCATGGATGGCCTTGAGCATTGTTTGCCACCTCGAATTCGTTCATATCGACGGTAGATGCGTCAACGACACGCAAGCTAGCGTCCGGAAGGATTGCCAAGGCCCCATGCCAGGGAGTAATGAAATCAGGGTTTGTCGCGGGAGGGAATAGGTCCACTGTGATTTTACCCATGTTGTTAGACTCGTGAATCGATAAGCGGATAGCGGATGGTGCAGCAGACTCCAACAAAGCTGCGTAAGCCTGAACATGTTAGCCCGACTCGATTTCATGAAGGAAAAGTAATCTGTACCTTGCCTCGCTGGAGTATCGCATTCTTCAAAGCGGCGGGTTGGTTGCTCTCCGGAAGAGCTGTGTCATAGTGCCGGCTCGTCGCTTGTTCGTTCTCGTCATCAAACGATGAAACGTGGAAAAATGAATGAGCGAGGTGGTCGCGGGTCTTGCTCAAAACTTCGGAATATTTTTCGAGAGTCGGAGCTTCCTGCGGCACAATGCCAACCAGGGCTCCTGGGCTGGTGAATTCCAGATATTGAAGGTCTAGCGATGCAGCCAGCTTCTGAAGCTCTTGGTTATAAGCAAAAGCGTCGCTCTCGGCGATATTCAGAAGATCTCAAGGCATCTTAGCTATGTGCATCGTAGGAAAGACAAGATTAATTCTTACCGCCATAAATTGATGCGTCGGAGACGATCACAACTCTGGCACCGCCATCATAAATTTCGGCAATCGACTCGGCGAATCCATTTAGCGTCTGCAAGGCTATTTCTTCGGCCTTGTCCGGGAGAGGACCAAGGGTCTTGCGCTTGCTTCCCTCAGCTGGGGCCTTGAAAGGGAACGCCGGAAGGATGAAACGGACGGTCTCTTTCTTAGAGACGATATCTCCGATCTGCTTCTCAAGCACGGGGGCAAACTTGGAAAAGCGATCGGAAACGGTAGTAGAGCGATGGCGATATGCCGCAATGATGCGGACAATCTGGGAGACCTTGATCTCGATGTCTGATAATGGATTTCCAGCGTGAGGCATGTTCCAAGGTTGTATTTCGAACTACCAAGTTGTTCTAGGGTCCTTTGAATGTACCTTGCGAGAATATATCTAATATATCATCATATGTTGCGAATCATTGTCTTTACCCTATTTAGTGCGGCTGCAAGCTGAAAAGGATCACGGACTCCGCGGATGGCCCCCAGGCGTGTTTCAAGAGCGCTGAGAAGCGTCCGCGGACTTGCAATGTCGATAAGACCAAGTCGACATTGATCGCACTCCACATAAAAGAGTGGAGTATCGGAGTTTTTAGTCATTGACGGCCCCGGGGGCTGTTTAAGACCAAAAAAAAAAAACAGTATAGTAAGAATGCGTCAAAATGTACCTAGTGTAGTGGGGACCGTTTTCCTTACTTGCATTTACCATCTGTGACGTGTTTTGTTTGTTTTCGCTAAGGTTATGTATCGTTCAATATGTTGTCGAGATTAGAAGATTGGCAGTTTTAGTTATTTCGGAATACACTCTCCTACACATCTCTGAAAGTACCCCTGAGGGTCATGCGGGTGCACAAATGTTTTTCATGACTCATCACTTATGATTAGAAGGGTGGTCTGATTCAAGTTTGGTCCATCAAAGCTGAATCGACCCTGGGGCCGTACACCAAGAGTGTACAGCCTAGAGGGTTCCCTTCTTTTTTAGGTAGGCAATCGTGCTGTAGTTAATATTATTACTATTACACCTTGATCTATTATCCATGCAAATCGGAAAGCTTGTGTAGATATCTGTATATCTGCACAGGCGGTAGAATTATGGTTGAATTAAACTTCCACGGAGCTTCAATGTTGGCGGTTTCAAGTTTCTGAGAACCCGAAGTCTCGGGAATTCGGAGCGAGGCTTATATGGAGTATACATCAACATCAAACTTCCAAAGCATGCATTGGATTCCGCAATTCGAGATTATATACCTCTATGTAGCATGCCAGTTATGGTGCAAAAACACAAGTCTCGGTCTGAACCCGCGGCGCCAGAAATTTCAAATGTTTTCGCCTACGTATACCTTCCAAAGTTTACATTCGCTCCGGAGCGAGGGGAGCATGAACTTGAACCTAAGAAGCAACTCATTTGAATAACCCCATAAATTAATTAAATCTGATACCAACAGGACAAGGATCAGGAAAGCCTGGGAGATAAACCTTCAGTCATTCTATCCATGGATGCAGTTTTTTGAGGGTAAGGATATCTGGAGCCCTTTTAAAATAGTTGGACCTAGAACTTGAACATTGTTGATTACAGCGATAAGATTTGTAGAAGATGCCTCCAGGGCCGAATATCAAAAATTCAAGTTGTCTTGAATGACGGGATATCTGGATGAGGAGCGCTCCATATGTCGTCGGGAGGCCATTTAGCTCCCCTTCCAAAATTACCAAGTAATGTAGCTCAATAAGGGACTGGAATGGTGCCTTGGCCCCGATCTACGTATCTTTGCTATCGAGCTAGGAACTGGCCATGGGTAACTATAAATAGACAGGAAACGGAAACCGCGGACGACAACGGAGTTGGCTATGGCTAACAGGTGAAAATTTTGAAGCACATAGGCAACCTTTCTTACAGTCAAATGAACCATTCAGTCGGATTTAAGCGGAGCTGAATCACTGACGCTGAGGTCTGCAGAGAACGGACAGAATAACAGTAATGGCACTATTTCTCTTGTCATAATTCCACGTGCGAGCAGAAGAGGTAGTTATCAAACCTTGTGGGGGGGGGGAGGCTCCCTGAAAAACTAAATTTTTTCCGTGAAATTTACATAGAAGCACTTGACTTCCAGGATTTACTTCCTTCGTAAGAAAATTCGAGATTTCTGAAATGATGTATGTGTCTTACAGAAGGATTTCTAGTCATAGATGTCGAATCCATACAATCTCCATACTAGTGTAAAATATTAGAGAAAAAAAATATAATTATATACGGTTAGAAAGCTTTCTCCATGGAAACGGGGGCTAATTCCAGTCTTGACAGTTGAAATAGATTCATTCTCCCGCTTAACAGACTTTGAGACCTACATTGTACCTTCAAGTTCCGGTGATTCAACTTTATTCCAGTCATCAATGACTCCAGCCATAAACATGTTGTCCAACGCATTCACAGCTTTCAAACCCTCTCCCATCGAGACTCGCCTTGTCGAGACAACTCTTCCAGTCATTCAAGCATCACCTATAGTAGAATTCGTGACCCAAGCAAATGCCCACCAAAGCCGAGAGGCACTCGTCGACCGCATTTCAGAGATCATAGCCTCATATCGCATCCGCGGATCCGATGACCGCTATGAAGAGGTATATAAGCCCCGACTTCTGGAGAAGTTGCGGTGTTTTATCTCAAATAACGAGGAAATCAACTTTGTGATACCCGCATACCCATTCAAAAGCCCAAACCACGAAGAAAAAGTTCTAGGGCCGAACCCAGACGTTGGCGAGCGCTTATCTCTCGAACATCTGAACTCGCTCGGTGCCAGAATCACTCAGATCTATCCAACAGGTGCCCAGATCACTATCGTCAGTGATGGCTGCTGTTACAATGACCTGCTCGGTGTATCTAACGAGGAAACATACCGGTACACCGAGGGTCTGCAAAGAATCGTGGACAGACTGTGCCTACGCCATATCCGCTTCGCAGATATATTCGAACTTGTCGATGGTGCACTGAGCGTGCCCGTTAGCGAGAAAGAATACGTTTCCCACATCGATGTTCTGAAAGCCCGTCTGTTCAAAAATTGTTCCGGAGAGAAGCCCCGAGAGATGGATAACAATGCTACTCTCACGTATCGTGGATATATCAAGTTTTTGATGTCTGATTTGGCAGTTTTCTACCGGGAGAAGAAGATGAGCAAGAGCGCTATCAAAAAGCACTCTGCGGTGGTAGCACGTGCCATGATCGAGCGTGGCCATGTTTTCTCAGCCCTCGTCGCGACTGCATCTGCCCCGCATGTTCGTCTTTCCATTCACGCGAGTGACAACACGAACAAGCTCTCCGTGGCTTTACTGCCTCACGAGCAATATAGTAGCTTCCCGGTGACACCGTGGCACAACACCCCCTGTCTAGGGGCAGAACAGTCGTCTGTTAGTCTGGGACGTAAGCCCAGTATGGCTACCGATGGAGCAACCTATCGAATCTGCCAGGATGATCTGGGACTACAGTTCCTATGCGCCGATGTCCCCATGTACAGCGTGCTCGAAAATAACAACCAGCCTGAGCTGCATCCGCTTTATCCATTTGGGCTGAAGGTTCGTGTCCCACGCAACCTGCCAATGACAAGAATGCGGCTGGACAGGGTTGCCGAGCTAGCTCAGGTCCAGACCCCAATTCTGTTCGAAGGCTTAGACTCCATGCATTATACCGCCAAAACTGGCGAGGAGTTCCAGCGTATAGCTGGGCGTGGATTGTCGCTGAGCCTTCTGCATGAAGGGGTTGCTTCAGTCTCGGCTGTCGCGTCTTATTTCGTGCAGATTCCTGCTGAGAGGGAGGATGATGATGCTCTTGTGCCGTTTGTTGAGGCAGCAGCTGCATTAGACGATCTTCGTCTTCGTGTTTTGCACCGCTGGCAGGCCGGTGATGTTATGGTTTGTGATCATCGTAGTGTTCTTCCTGTTCATCTGAGTCCCTCTTTCTTGAGGGTTCTCCGTGGCAACTGATGGATCCTGGCTTTTTTTTGCGATGCGAGATGAAAAATAATTTACTACTTGAGATATTTCTTTATAAAAATGCGAATTTCTTTTTGCTTAAGATACGAAATACTCCCCCAGTTGCCAGTTTCCCGTTCTACATAAGAGATTGGCAATTACTGCCTAGGTAGGCCTCACACCATTATTGCCCAGGCGGGAACGTCAACCTTTTCTAAGTATGCCAGCCTGAGGGATCTAATTATTTATGTAAACCTGAGCTTGAAAGTGAGCTGCAAGAGGGCCTGTAGTAGTTGGGACCAGTGACCTCTGTGTAGATAGCTCTCACGCAGCCTGTAGTCTTCCCTCTTCCACATTTCCGTCGTCACATTTTTTTGCCCCCCTTCGTAGTCTCCAACAGATTAAAGGTAGCATCCCTCGTCGTAAAATCAGTCCAGGCACCGATGGACATACTACCATGGTCTGGTTCAAAATGCTATTCCGGGCAGAAAATCCCCATAGAGAACCAAGATGACGCTCTGTGGACGCTACAGGCATCTTAAGCTTCACTGCACCCTAAAAAAGATTCTTCAACCAACTCAGTAATCCATAATTTCAACCGCATACTCTAAATCGAAATCCAAATCCATACCGGTGTGTAAATCAACTGAAGGCTCATTGGAAACCGCGGGAAGGCTTTCGGCGTTCATAAACGCGTGGAAAGGGAAACAGAGGGATTCAAGCCTTGAAACAGATGCAGGAGCCGTATTTATCAATTGCAGCTCTGACAAAGTAGTCTGCTTATTCAAATCGACCTCTCCATTTTCAGTCATCCGGTACTTCGAGGCTTGCTTCTTGTGGAAGAGCCAAGTCACCCATGAGGAGTCCATTGATGGAGAAGGTGTGTGTAGCCAGCCCTGGCGATGTGTTTGTTGCTCATCTGGAGTTGCGGAAACCAAAGTAAAATAGCTAGTGGCTGTACTGCGAGATTCCAGAGTGTTTGAATCACGAAGGGGGGGTTGCGGGCAGCGAAGTACCTCGATTCTTGCGACTGGCGAGCCATTGTACCCATTTAGTGTCGATGTCTTTGCCCATTGCTGTTGAAATGTATCTGATCGCCACTCAGTCGTGTTTTTTTTCTCTCTCGGAAGGCGAGTCAAAGTCAGGCGAGTATAGGTGAAAAAGGGAACAATAGCGCCGGGTCAATCCGTTCGGGTGGCTGGTTTTAGCTTGCCAAATGATCCCGAGGTCGGCGTCTCGGAATGAGCGAAACTCCGCTAGAAGCCCAATGAAACTCCACGGAGTTTCACATTTGGATCGCACATTAGGCATAAAAACTGGCCATCCGAATATGAAATTTAACTCACCTCATTCCTTACAACTCTGTGCACAGCGAGCAAAAAAAGAATGCCTACCCAACACCGTATCTTATCACTCGTATTTAACGAGTTCGAGGCGCTGGATCTCTTTGGCCCGCTTGGCGCAATCATCCCACGAAGCGACTATTACAGTGTTGACTTCGTCAACCTCCACATCGTTACCTCATCTCGGGGCATAAAAACATCTATGGAGAATGGACTCGGCATTGTAGGAACTATTTCACTAACCGATGCCCTGCGTGAAGACCGCACTTTCGACACTGTTTTCATCCCGGGCGGCTGCGGCATGATGCCACTAGTCTTGGACCCGATACTTTTGAATCAGATCGGTCAGCTAGTTGATCGCGCTGCCAATATATTCACCGTGTGCACTGGGTCAATTCTCCTTGCTGCTACTGGCCGCCTGGATGGCCGCCAGGCTACGACTAATAAGCGTCTCTATGATGAGGCTACTCCCAAGTGTGAGTTCAATTCCCTTATGCATACAGCCCGTGAAAAAAAAACTATAATACTGATCGCACTCGTACCCTGCAGACCAAGCCGTGAAGTGGCAGAAGCGTGCCAGGTGGGTCCAAGATGGGAAGTTCCTCACTGCATCAGGCGTGACGGCTGGCATTGATGCAGGATTCGCTTTCATTGCAAATACGTATGTGGCGCCTGAAGATCGTCAAGCAGAGGCACAGGAGGTCGGTCTCCATGGAGAGTCGACGCCTATTCCTGGCTACAATCAGGAGAAGGCTTTAAAGTTCACTCATATGAATGCTTTTGATCTAGAGTATCGCTGGCACTCGGATCCTGCTGATGATCCGTTCGTGGATTTGCCTAGTGCTTAGAGGGGGCGTGAGAATTTACTAGAACAGAGCTTACGAAGAGAAAATTTGTATGGAGAAGCATAAGGAGAGGACTTTCTATAGGCACGGTCGAGAGCTATATAAGCCACGTGTCTCTTACAGGGTGGAGGTGATTGCGAGTGAGAAGATGCAAAGAGCGTTGATTGTGGATCGTTAAGCTACGAGCTTCATTTGGGGGGAGGGGTTGAAATACCTATAAGAATACTAATCACTTGGCGGTTGAAGAGCCGAGATGGCTCCAAATAGCCAAAATATAGGAAAATCAGAGAGGAGATGTGATTGTGAGGTCCTTGTCCTAAAGTTTATATGTAGGTTCTTGAACAGTCCATATAGTGCAAGTGCCGATGTTCATTTTCATGACAGATCTTTTTTTTCTCAAACTGGTGGTCTGATGAAGTACGTCATTTTTTCAGTCAGCCCTACAGCAATTCAGTCCGCCAAAAGCAGGAATCATATTGGTAGACTCCATTTCGTGAGCTTTTCGAGTCTGAATATAACTGCTGTCTCACCAGAAGTCCTCATTCTCTAGAGAGTCAAAAAAGTTCGCAGCCGCAAAAGCATCGGCGCTTGAAGGTGTGATTGCAGGGTTCAGCGCAGTTTCGCTCCCACTACCGAAACAGGACGGAGATTCATGCGTCATGTGAGTCCCTGAAAGGCCACTGCTCTGGCTTGGATATAATGTGCTGGTAAAGCTCAAATTCTCGTAAATATCTCCCTCCTTAGGTGAGTTCCCCTTCCTTACATCTTCTGGTAGCTGGAAGTCCAAAAAGTCCCATATGTTCAGACTCAGGCCATCAGAGAGGATGGGCATTAATCCAAGATCGGAGAAACCCTTTGCAACAGGTATTGACGGGGTCAACAAGCCGTTGCCAGCGGTTGACGACGCCGCAATTGGTGAGTTTGTTGAGGTGGTTTGAAAGTTTAAGTCTTTCAGGATCTCCACTACCTGGTGGCGGAGGGAAAGCTTCTGCTTCGATGCCGTATTGTGCTTGGTCCCATCGCCTGAGTCAGATTCCAACTTCATCAATGCCTCGAGGGCCACAACACTACGCGAGACTGAGCTATTGATATCAGATGAAGCTTGGGTACGTAGCAATTCAATGGCTTCTTGGATGTGATCTCGCGTCATAAGTCGACCAAGTTGGGCACTTAAGCGCTCAGCCTCGGTTGATGGGGAATCAAATAGTAGATCCAATACCAGCACAACGGCCGCATTGAACAGGTTTGTTTCGTTCGTACATAATGAGCTACAAACCGTGCATCGAGCTTGAATCTGAGTTTGCGTGTTGATAATGTTATGAGCTAGCTGCTGGCATGACGCCCGGCCTATGGGAGTGGAAAGAGTAGCACGGTGCAGGCGAAGGAGTAAACTCCACAGTTGTTGATTTAACATGAATCGCTGGACAGGGATGGCAGCCATAGGACCACCCATGGCTGTGAGTCCGACAGTGCTCCCCAATCTGAAATAGGATGGTAAGCTTGTCACGTACTTTTCATACGTTTTATTCAAATGTTGACGTCGCTGAGAACTTGAAGCTTGGTTTGCAACCTCCCCAAGATCGATTAATTCTCGCACGATGATGGAGAGTTCCAAAGCGTGTACGGTGTAGGAGAGCATAGTAAACTCAGACCGAGGGCGCTCGGGAATCTTGCCATCATGATACACCTTGAGTAGATCTTCATCATTTATGTGCAATGGTATGCGGGTATTATAATTTGAGGGGCGGATGGTATAATAGCCCAGAGCTTGTCCACGCGACCAGTCTCGCATAAGAAGAGTCCACCTAGTAATTAGTAAGTACTTTGTCTGAGCTAAAAAAGGTGATAAGGATCCCTACCAAATACGAATTGCAATCTCGGTGCGAATATGAGGGGGGGTCAACAGTTGTACATGCGCAGAATAAAGAAGACGAGACATCGAAAATAGGATTACCCAAGCGATGTAATCCAAGCTTACGCGCACCCGAAATGGCAGTAACCAATATAGAATCAAGCTCTAAAGAGCTCTCTTTTGTGTCCAAAAGGAGCAGCATAATAGCAGCTTGTAAGCCGGGGATAGAGCCACAAAAGAGGGAAAGACCGCCCTGAAGACAACGCACACCAAGGGACCGCCATGTCGCAGGCTCATCGGAGGCGCGCAACTGTTCCACACGGAAAGTCAGCGGAGTAAGCTGGACTCCCAAAATGGACGGTGTTGGATGAAAGGCGAGTCCGAGCACGAGCTGCGTGAAAATAATCAGCAAATGGTTAGACTAGATAAATGGGCTTCAAGGAGAGCAGCACCGCAAGAAGCAAACCAGCAAGCGACTCCATAGAAAATATACTGATAATGGCGGTATCCGGGGAGGCCATACTCAAGCAGTGGCGCAATTGGTCGGCTTGCTTCATGAAGCTTGGCGTATGTACCACATTTCCCAGCGGTCCTTGACAACGTGTAGCAAAAACCTCGTAGAGGACTTGGACAACATCCCATTCTGGCAGAGCTTGAATCGCATCTCGAATTAAGCTAAGCTTTTCGTTCTGTCGCTGCGGATCTTGGCTTTCCCAGTACCGATTGGCGATGTCAGGTGCCACATCCGATGAAGGGAGCGGAACGACATCCACAAACTGCTCCAAGATCTGCGCTGTTTCCTCAACCTCGGGAGCTTCTTCTTCTGGCGACGTTTGGCTAGGGCTCTGCTCTGTAGGCTGGGTCTTGCTTCGTTTGGCTCTCGGTTGCCGCACATCCTTCGTACATAGGTGGGCACAGTCGCGTTTGACGCATTCCAGCTAGAAAGAATGAGTTTGGTATTCCTGTGAGACTCGTAAACTCACACAAGGCTCATTGCGATCGCATTTCAGCTTCGAGGCGCGACATCTTGAACAGGATAAGGTGAGCTTTTTCGGGCTCATGTTGGATGGGATGTAAGATGAAGAGTTGGATGTCGCATAGTGGGTGTACTGATTCGCTTCGGCCCCCAAAAGTGTTCGGTTGTTGATCACGTTGTAAGAGAGCGGGCTGATTCCGAAGTGACCACTAATTCACATGCTAGCCAGATTTGACTAGGTATGTCGTATCACTTCGTATTGGTATTGGTATTGGTACTTTTTAACATCCAGCCCCGCCTGAGATTCTCGTCGAACCGGGTTCGACGTTGGCTGCGGGCCGAATCCACATTAGATCGCCGATCTTACGAGGTCCAAGGTAATGTATCTTTCGTTGCACAGATCTCAATGTTATCAATCTACTCACTCGGTACTCTCGAATCGGAGGAAAAGATAACAAGTAACACGGATATACTCCACACGAATGCAGTCAGGAAAACTGAAGTACTGGGTAAGTTTTTATTTCAATGAATCTGGAGGTGTCAGAACCTTGAAGTAAAGTAAGTCAACTGGGTGCACTTTTCTGCCGAAGAATTCCGTATTGGAACCCGGGCCAGCTGGTCACATGACATGCAACATACGTAACCAATACGGGCGTCCCGGACGCCACAACCTTAAGAGCTAACTCAATTCCCAGATCACAATCTGAACTTCAAGTTTGCTAAGTTCTTCATCTTATAAGTCACATTCCCCAACTAGAGAATCAGACAACGATTTACAAGATGGTTTGAAATGTCTATTTGACTATTTGACGTATATGTGGATGGACTTTACACAGTGAAGTTAAAATACCGTGAATGGAATTGTATTTTTGTCTTATAAATTTTCTGCTTGGCAAAACTCAGGCATAAATAGGCGAATTTAGAGAAGTCCTTTAGGGCTAAATTACTAATTTCCGGGTCTGAACAATTGCAAGTTGGATGTAGTACCTATAGATTTCCTGAACCTTATGCTTCATTGAATCTATGTTTTACGATCACGTTCCAGACCTCGGCCCCGAGGATTACGCCAACTAACACAGCCAAGAGGCTAAAAATCGTTCGGGCAAGGCTCGGAACGGTACGGAGTAGTTATAAGTCTCGCACTTAATATAATTTGTCATCCACAGTAAGTGGGGCACTTGCCACATTACTTCTCGTGGCCGCAACACTAGCCTTAATAGGAACAGTACATACAGTAGTAGATTCAAATTTGACCCTGACGGAATTCATTAGGATCATAATCCCTCGAGCCTATAGGGCTTGACCGACCGCCCGGGGGTACTAAAAAACTTGCCCACGTCAACCGGAGCAAACGAAATTACGTACTAGGAGGCATGATTCCCTTGGCATAATTATTAGAGCCCCCGGGGCCTGGAGGTTGAGTCGGAAAACAATGCTGGAAAAGAGGTAAAAGGGAGGAGCGAAATCTGAGACCGCAGGTGTTCCTCAATAAGAGTCTTTGGTTAAATAGTAGGTACAATCATGTTCTTGATCCTTATTTCCAGCTTTTTTTCCAGCTTTTTTCCAGCTTGTGTTGAGAGCATATAGTAGCACAGCCCCGGAGATTTCTTGCATTTCAACATTTTCCGAGGAATTCCGATTTCGCCGCGATCCAGATGTCTCATTAGTTCTTTGTGCCTCCACCTGAAGCACGATTTCGCCGCAATCCAGATGTCTCATTAGTTCTTTGTGCCTCCTCCTGAAGCAACTTCTCGACTTTTCTGTCTCTTTTTTTCTTGGTCGATTTCAGGTTGGCATCGGCGGCTAAATAGAAGAATGGCCGACGTATCGGCAGCACCGATGCAGTCATTCTCTCATGGCTCGACAGCTTCATGCTTCAAAGTTTTAATATTACAAGCATTCGGAATTTTTGATACACGCACACATGTAGGCTCCAGCCATTGGCTTATACCCACCATTTGGCCCCATTTGGCCCCTGATCCACATAAGCTGTCTAAACATATCCACTGCTGCGACTGTAACGTTGAAAATATCCAAGTCTTCATTTTGGGGCGGCGTTCGAGGCTAATTAGCCTCAATAAGGCCTTCTGATGGGTCCAGGCTTGGGCAGAAAATTCTCAGCTCTCGCAGTTATCCTGTGTTCGATCAAGTTTTCCCATTCCTCAAAAACATGACAGATAATAACCTCTGGATAGTTGTTCAGTTTACCTCTCAAATCATTAAACCACATATGCAGGCAATCCCTGTATCATTTCCTCCCTTGAGCCAAATCAAATTTCCAATCTCGATATGAATACTTCAACCCCTTCTAGACCAAAGAAAACCAAGGATAAGAAAATCTTCAGCTGTCATGCGTGCCGACGGCGCAAGCTCAAATGCGATCGATTCGATCCATGCGGAGCATGCCAGTCACGCGGTGAGGGAGCTCGATGTACGTGGGAAGAAGGGCAGAGACCGGAGTATGTGCTCCTTTATTATTTTACAATTCCGAGACTTAATTCTGATGAAAAAGCAGGCGGCACCATTGTGAAAGTCTTGAAACCCTTCTTGGAATGATTGTAAATTTGAGCAAAGAAGTCCAGGAGCTCAAGCTCCTTAACTCGAATATGATGGAGAACTTTGCTGGCAGGAGCACAGAGATCATGCATGTGGTAGATCCCGCCTCAATGACGCCCGAACCACGATCCTATTCATATGGTGATCTCTCCTTTGATCCCAATAGCCATCAAGGGTCCCAGTTATTAGATCCGCATCAATGGACCTCATTTGAGTTGACGGCTTTGCTCCCTGCGAGCCCACTCCTCTGGGGCTTAGTTTCACATTATGTTCGTCCTTCCCAGTTTGTTCTGAAAAGAGTATTTGCTGATAGCATTAGATCTCATCTTTCGCGTCACTCACAGGTTTTATCGATGTTCATCAACTAATCGCTGATGTTGAAGAAGTGGAGAAAAGTCGTCAAGCATTTGATATGAGCCAAACCTGTGAGGCCTTTCGAATAAAAATATCCCGTATCCTAGCATGCGCCAGCCTCGCCGCTGTGGACCTGGATGTAGCGAAGATAAAACAGTTAGGAATTGAGAACAACGGAGTTGATGCTTTGATTCGTGACTTGTCGCGAAAAGCACGAATGCTCATTGTGCCAGCTGATGCAGACACAATTCCCACTACATCATCATTAGTTACAACACCATCACCAATTTCCAACATTTACAACACTCTTGACCTGAATTCAAACAATATGTCTTCCTCACAAACACCTTCAACCCAGCTTGAAATTGTTTCCATCAAGATTCTCCTTCTTCTGACAGCGCGATGTTTTGCTGCTCCCTCTGAATATCTCAAAATTCATCTTGATGCTATCTCGTCAGCAATAGACGTGTCCTTGGATTCAGCCAACAGTCCTGACATTTCACCTGCAGAAAGCGAACTGCGCTGGCAGTTATGGTCCACACTCTGTATCATGGATTGGTCATCCTCAGGCATATATCACCACGGTAGCTACTTCATACGTCCCGAAATGCTTCCAGTTCTATCATCACCAGCACCAGTGGCCGATGATAGCAATGATACGGACCTAGAACGTCGCCAACAGACGCGCCATTATCTTGAGTACTCACTCGGACTAGCACATCTGGCACGACGCGCAGAGGATTGTATTCTACGAACAGGGCCCGTATCACCATCTCAGGCGGCGGCTCTCTGCGCCGAGCTGGATACCTTTAACCACAACCTAAGGTTCTACGAGCTACTCGGAAGCACAAGTCCTCCTCCCGAAAGGGTAAATAGCCCTTCATCCAACGAAGGAGTATGGCTGGCTAGAGAAAGCATCAAACACTCAGCTCGTCACGCCACAAATGTCCAGAAGATGCAACTTAGCCTCGACCTCGAGCTAATACGATTCAAAATACTACGCCACGAGACGTTTTACCTGCTGCATGAGCCCTCAACTGCAGCTCCATTACGAACTATGTGTCTGGATGCCTGTATGGACGCATGCATTCTTGTTCTGGCTCTGTGTCGCCGCCTCAGAAGCGGGGCGGATATCATAGATCGTATGCCTGATGCCTTCGAGGGTGACAATCAACCCAGTACGGGAAGTTTGCGTCGTACTTTACAACCCGCATCTGTGGCCGCATTGGTTGGGCAGGTGTTGCTGCATGAATTCCGATCCGTCAATGGAATATTTACAAGGCCCGATCAGCCCGTAGGTCGTGGCCAGAATTCCTTCGCTTTTTCGAGTGGCTTCAAGAACAGCTGGGCAGGTTCCGCTAGTGTAAGTGAACAGAAGGTTAGCGCCTTGCAGTGGCATGTCAATACTGTCTTATCATTGTTGGAAACAATGCATGAGACTTCTTTATTGGCAAGGTATAAGTTAGGATTACATGTGCAAGGTATGTGAAAGGAGACATAATTTTCGTTTTCTTTTTTTAGTTGGCCGCTACCATGGATATTCAATCAGCTTGAACATAGTCTTCGGAGAGCAGAACAATATACACTCTCACTGGCATGAAATTTACATAAATCAACCACAGAAGAAAAAATAGACATTAATGGATTTACCTTCAACTTGCCAACATACTATATACTTCTACTATTCTAAACGCGCACCGGGGTCGAGGCCGTGAAATACAACGTCGAAATCGTTTCAGCAGTGGTCTCCCGCTCGTGCCGCAGGCTTCGCATCGGATGCGTATACCAGAGCCTTGACTCCATCAACCTCGAGATGAGGGTTCCAAATGATAGCAGCATCCTCCTCAGAGCGAGCCTCGCCACAACTGTAACAGAGGCGCCAGTCTGGACGGCAGTGAACCCAGGTACCACACTTACCGCATTGACGAGAGAATGTATCCTTGAAGGGCTCATCAGGGTGATAGTTCAGGTAGATGTCATAATAGCGAAGAAGACCATCCCAGCGGATGTTGAAGCGATCAGAGCCGACTGCGACTGTTTTGGCGGAATTAGACAGCTCGATCACCTCGCGAACAATGTTATCTGGGATGGTTTCCTCTAGTGGAATTGGAGCCAGGAGATCGAGAGTTCGACGCGCCACTGAGTCATACTCTGGTGTCATGGATCCCCAAGCCCAGTTAATGGAGTGGGGCACGTAGGTCTTCATGGTCAGGTTATATTCCTGACGGATGAGCTGCCAGTCTGGAATGCCAATTCCGGCAAGGAGCTGCCAGAGGCAAGAAACTTGAGGCCCTAGACGGGGATCGCGGAAACAGACATAGTTGAACTTGTTCATTTGGTTCAAGGATGGGTAGAGGCGGCGGAAAAAGTCATCATAAGGTGACAGGGTCTGGCGAATACTGCGCTCAGCGACCTCATCATCGGTCTCGGTTCTGGCTTGATTCAAAGCCTGATGTGTGAGTTCAGCAGCGTAAGTTGATGTTGACATAGCCACCGTGATACCCGGCGAGTAAAGCGGATTGGTGAAGCCACAGGCGTCGCCAATAGCGAGCCAACCAGGACCGGAGACGACAGGCGATTTGTAGGCGAGGGACTCGCGAATGAACCAGGTCGTTCCGGGGCCATAGAGGTTCTCGATCAGATCAAAGTTTTTCATAAACTTTTTGATAATGTCGTACTTCTGGACAAAGTAATTAAACTTGCGCTCGGCTTCGCGTGTGCCGTACACAGACATGTCGTTGGGGTACTTTACGTCATTGCGCACAGCAAACCCAATGCTAGTGACCCATTTGAATTTGAGGTTGAACATGCAGGCGAGCTCCATTGAGCTTGGAATCTGATCTCCAGGAACACCGGCTTCGGCACAGTCCAGCAGGTACGAGATCATATCCATGAGGTTGGCAGTAGAACTGCCTTCCTATGAAGGAAGCTTAATAACCCAGGCCCAGCCCTCGGGAAAGCATAAATGGTTGGTGTGGTCACCCTCATAGTGACGGAGAGGAATTTTGCTCTCATCTGCGGGGGTAGTGAAATATTCCCAAAAGGAATCGTAGTTCCAGCCCTGGAAACGGTGCATTGGGGCCTTCTTGGATGCAAGCTGGCGGAAACGACCAGTGGCGTCAACCAGTAGCGAGGAATTGATACTACTGGCTGGCTTTCCGTCGTACTTGCCAGGGTTGATGGAGATCTTGTTGCGGCCAGGTCTACCGGTAATGGAACTGGCATTGAAATCAACCTGGCGGCCGTGGTAGACGTCGACTCCCTTTCGCTGAGCCAGCAGCGTGAGAAGAAGCTCACTAATGCTTCGCTCAACCTGAAATCCACTGAGGAAGAGCCCTGGAGTGCCATTGCTGCAGAATTCCGAGTACTCCCCTTGGTTCTCGCTGTCGAGGAAGTAGAAGGCCAGTCCGTCTTTCAGACCGAACAGCCGCAGAAGATACTCCGCTGTGAGGCCATGCATCTTGCACCACAGGGAAAATAGCGGCAGTGTACTCTCGCCGATCTTGTAGCCAGGCTTACATGCTTTTTCGATCAGCGAGATGCTGAGGTTTCCCGGCTGATACTTGGCAGCATGTATGGCGCAGATCAATCCATTGATACCACCGCCGGTGACGACAACATCGGACTTCTCTGGAATATCGGCACCAGAGTGGTTGTTGGAATTGAGGATCTGGGCATCGTTGAAGTTATTGGCAGCCGCCCGATCAGCGAAGGTGTGCTTAGCGGCGGGGACGGCGACAGTCATTTTCTGGTAATTCAAGTTTATGAAGGCGCTGTTTGCATCCATGGATGCGATGATTGTTTCAGAGATTGAATCTTTCATCTGCGACGTGTTCAGAATCCGTATATACGCGGACCGCGCCGAGTCCCCGTTTCACCATCAGCCACCACATGACAACATAACATGACGGATATCCGTGACAAGTCCGTTGATGCTCATAACTTCGATGATATAGGGCCTCCCGAAGGATCCAAAGATTTTTTCGACGACACAAGTCGCTTTTGTGTACAGGGTAGATAGGCGGATAGTGTAGTGGAGACGGCCGTCCTGGGTATTTACCGCCCGAGCGACTGTGGCAGGTGTTGTTTTCGCTTATGTACGTTACGTACCGTCATCATGTATACACCTCCGGGGCTTTGAAGATTGCAGTTTTAATTATTTTAGGATATACACTGGCACCCGAGGTCTTACTGCCGACCATGTCTAGGGTTCATTGTACAACTTTCCAATAAGATACCTCCATTAGTGTGTGTGATTTATCGTACTCAGTTAAGGATTGATTGATGGAGTGTCCATGGGTGTTCTGTGCCTTTTTTTGCGCCTCATAGACCGCGGTATATGTTATGGTTTTGTTTTGGTCTTGACAAAGCCCAAGCCATTAATCGACTCGGACTAGTACATCTACCAACGCATTCTCCTCGACATCCTTCAAGTTACCCACGAAACTCGTCGGCGCGTACTATGGAGGTATCAGTGCCTGTGGGATCTGTCAAACGCGTGCTGCCAGTTGCTAGAGGAGACGCCGAAGGATTTAATGGAGCCGATAGGCCGGCTGGTCCCAATCGTGGGGGAGATCCAGTTTAGCTCGGTGTCATTTCAATCTTCTTGGACTACAAATTTCACCAAAAAATTTCCTGCAAGTGTACACAAGAAAATCTAGGTGTATCATGTAATAATATGGCCGATAATGATCCGAACAAATGATGGAAGTTTGCCACATATCATTTACCGTGGCAGGCGTGTCCAGCGTCGATTCGTCCAGTTCTGCTATCTGTGTGCGGAATTATGCTGCAATGAGGCAGACTGGCAGACTCATTGCCAGAGCCATCTTGATAACTTACACCCTCGATGCGGCCTTCTGACCTTCCGATATACACTTGTCGCCCCTGGATTCTGTCCCTTCTGCCTAGGAGACACGAAGAAGAAACCAGACGAAAGATTTCAGCAATGGCTGGTCAAGTCTACACTCCTCAAACATATAGATGATCGTCTTCATGCACTACTTAGCTCAACAGTCTTCTTCTGCCCACATCCGTACTGCCAAAGTATGGATTATAAGGACACATTAGGTCTCTGCCGCCACTTTTTTGATACACACACAATTGAAGAAACGCGTTCCAACTGTGTGAATCGAAAACGAAAGTGGCAGCATGATACGGAGTTCAATCTTGAATAGCTTCCCCAGGATAATCCCGAATCCCTGTTGGGTCCTATGCATCCTGCGTCGGAGATTCACCACGAGCAGACCACGATGAACGCCTTCGAAGAAGACACGTGTACGGACATGGAAAACCTCATACAAGAATTCACACATTTTGGTGCAAACCAGATTGAGGATGAAAAAGAGTAATCTGGATTGGCCAGCAATACATCTCCTGTCACTTAGGTAATTGCCTTTGTGGTGAACCTGTGCCTTTGTTTGATTATATGATAAAGATTCTACGAGTAAAAATGTTTTCTGTATGTACCAAAATTTAATAAGTAGGCTCAGTTATTGCATTACATATCTGCGCATGATCTAGCTTGAAGGTAAAATAATAAAGGGAGGATCAAAATTAGTTTCACCGATCCATCCTCGATCTATCTTCGATATCATCACATCCAAGTCATTTCTAGGTGACCCACAAGGGTCAAGTAACTAGAAGATCTTATGAGTATATTTCTAGTATGTGCCTTCAATTCCTTTACAAAAGATACTGTATATCTATGAAAGCTTAGACTTAATACAAAACAAACTAGGAGTCATGATGGTTGGAATGGTATTCATCAAGATCAAGAAGGTAGGTTAGAAATTACATAGGCAGACTAGAGATATAAACTTTATTATAGAGAAGTAATTTCACAGTCCAATTAACTTACGGTAGGTAATTGTGATCAAAGGGGTGAATTTTTAAGATGGCTAAACTAGATCCAGTCCCTGATATTTGTTATAGGTAGGTCTGTAACGTGCGGGTGAGTGGGTTATGGGTGGTATTAATGATGTTGATAGGTTGAGTAGGGAAATTCTTAGTGAGACTAAGATATGGTCACAGACCGGAAACCCTGTCGCAGGCGGATGACATCAAAGTCCTTTCTAGGTGATCATTCTTTGGTGATTCTACCTCTGAATTACACGGCAGTGACAATTGACTTAAATTGACCAGCATTATTGATAAAATTTCAAATTCTCACTGGGCGTTCCTTTCACAAGTTTTGTTCTTATTAGAAAGAATTGGCAACCTACTTCTATCCTGAGATCAATATTCGCGCTTCCTATTAAACAATTGTTTCGAACTTTATCCAATTATAAAAGGAACCCTTACCTGGTCATGTGTCTCCTATATGGAAAGTGATTACCAGCGATGTAATATTACCATACAATCGTACGATCCAGGCTCGCGTCTGGCCGCTGCTTTGTCATTCTTTCTTCCAGCAAAGAGGCGTATCAACATCTTTACGCTATGTAGGCTTTGCAGAGATAAAGGCGGGCATTTCTCACACAACGATCAACTCCAAGTAGTGCTGAAGAAGAGAGATCAGACTTACTTTAATCGGTATACTTCATGGGCGCGCTCGCAGTGGGACTTCTGGCTCTCCTGTGACGAATGTCAACTTGTGAATGAGTCACTCAAGGATCTAGATGGCAGAGTTTATATTCATCTTTTTGGGAATTTATTCATCAGTTGAAACCCTTTTTCATTTTCTGACGAAGAGAGGTTAAAGGGCAGATTATTTGAATTAAAGTCAAAAGGAGATCCAAATTAAGTAGAATATGATATCTTTTGTATTGCTCAATTCATATATCCTCAGTCTGACTTCCAGTACGAGCACTTCCTTCAAACTTGCAGTGTAGAATCCTCAACCCTTACTACTATTGTTTCCATATAAGAAACTTACAAAAGCTGGTTGAAGCCCTGATAATATAACGAATTTACCCTTTTGGTTTAAATATAGGATATAAGTAGGCTAGCAAGTAACTCTATGTTCGTGACATCTAGATATGGAAGGTAACAGCGGCCTTTAATATATCATGGCACACTATAGTTCCTAATAATATTTTTTGATTATACCTGACCACACCATATTTCACTGGCGCCAGGATTGATAGGGATACTGATTTCATGATCGCGAAGCCAAATCTCATTACTAATAGCACAAAACTCAGAGATTAAATTTAAAGCCAATCAAATCGAATAAAAAAGACTCAGACCCAAAGCACAGCAAAAAAACTACTCTATAAGAGTTTTGTGGAAACTTAGCTCTTACTCTCCCAGCTCCCATCTTTAAAGTACGGGGCAACCAGAGATAGAGGCTGAGGCCGATGGGGCGCTAATAGAGTTATTTACAGAGCTTGTAGCAAAGCCGGTGGTAGAGCTGGTAGAGCTGGTAGAGCTGGTAGGAGAGGATGATGAAGCGCTTGTGGAAGTTGCAAGCTCAATATCAGTAGCACTACACCAGCTACCAACATTTAGTCCATCGCTCAGAGTACATTCGGACTCGTCACCAGCCTGGTTGAAGAAAGTAACAAGGTCATTCTGGTTCACACGAATCCATGCGGTATCGCAGGCTCCAACATTGAGCACAGAAAATGTTTTGCGGCTACCATCAATCACCTCGCTCAATTCTATGACTGTTAGGGATTTCCAAGCAGACTATGCAGTTATCACTTACTTGAGCAATCGCTTCCATTGAGCTGGCCGAATGATGCAGAATATCCTGTACATCCATGATTATCACGAGACCACACCACGCATTCGCCAGAAAAGTCTTCAATCTGGAGAACACCGCCAAGTGCGATGCTTGCATAGAGGCTAGTAAGAACGAGACAGACAGAATAATGCATTTTCGCTATTATGTGGAATGCTTCACTTACAAGCGCAGTACTCGGGGTATTTATATGGAGGGTACGCTACCTCCGACCTGCGGAGCTGGATATAATGAGTGGGGCTTGCGACGTTGTTTTGGTGCTCTAATTCTTGCGACCCCAGATCCAGTGAGGCTGCTCCACAGCGACTCCAGCTAGGCCCTTTGGCACCTAAAACATGGTCGCAGCCCTAGCACAGTCCAACGTACTAACATGAACTCAAATATCGATGACCTGAGTACTGAGAAATATGAATTTTTTAAACAAGCTGCCATCTCACAGTATTTACGGAAATCGGTGTCACCCCTCACACTCTTTCATTGTTTCCAGACCCTAAATGCCAAGATATACTATGTTTGGAGCCAGTTTCACACTCATTTGTTTTGGGGATGTACTATAAATTACATGATTATTACCAGTAAGACACGAGATTGCAATATGCGCCAACTTGAGTTCCACCCGGAATTCCTGTAATTTATGGTTCCTAATATAGCGTCGTCTTATTTATGTGGATATACAATATTATGAGCAGTAATGAACTGAATGCCTCATTGTAATAAAAAACGGGAAAGTCACTTTTTTATCTATCTCTTACCAAGGCCTAGCTCGGCATTTGGGGTCTGGGAAACAATGAAAGGGGTGACACTGATTCCCGGAAATACTATACCACGCTTGCTGTTCATCTTAAATGAAACAACTGATCTCTCTTGATTCAAGGCCATATCGTAGACAACATAATTCTTTAGGAGTTTGACCTACGTCGAAATTTGTAATTCATATTGGAGTCGTGCTAGCTTCCATAGCGAAGTTTCTAGGAAATCCGTAGACTGGGGTCCTATTCTAACACAAGAAATCACTCCTGAGGGCAACAGTAGTACAAGACGCAATTTTCAGGAACCTTTAACTCTGAAGAACTCATTCTCAAGAATTTTTCATTCTCAAGAACATTTTCGTTCTCAAGACCTTTTCATTCTCAAGACCTTTTCTTTCTCAGGAATATGTTATTCCCAGGAATGTTCCATTCTTAAGAGCATTGTATTCTTGGAAATGATTTCCTCTCAAGACTAAGTTATTCTCAAGAGGCCGATTTTTAGAGCTTGATCTTGAAAGTGGTTTTCCAAGATACTGTGCATAAGACAATTGAATTCCTGAGAATGGGCTCTTGATCTAAAGGAAATCCTAAGACTGTGCTCATATATTTCATATACTCTTCAAACAATAGATGTTCCAAGAAGCCTTTTTTGTGCAGGAATCTGCTCTAGGAATCAATCACACGAGCCCGCTTTGTTGCTCTTTCTGACTGATCCCGATCCGCAGGCATTAACATGATGATTTTGTTTCTCTTCATCTTACCCTTGGCCACAAGTTTATCCTCTTCTTCTTTTGAAAGGACAAATACTGTATTATTCCCATCCGCAACGCCTGCTGCAAAACATGTTTTGGGGCTGTGACTATTCAAAAACCTATCATAGATTGAGAATTCTTTCCTCATATACTTCTTGGTAATGCTTTCTACATGCGACGTGTCCGAGGGATTGACCCAAAGAGAATTTACCACTTGCCACTCTCCGCGCTCAAAGGACCAGAAATGAAATTCGATCGACTTCGGCTGAGCATGCATATGCAGCCCTTCAGATAAGCTACCTGCCGGCTGATCCACCATCTCCGGCTCGACATAAGGGGCCGGGCTAGATGAATTACTTTTGCTAGTGTCGTATGGGTGACTAAGACTTTCAGGAAAAGTGGGACCTTCTGAACTGTTCAATGATTGAGGGACTTCAATGTGCTTTGGAACGCTTATGCCAGGTTCCTGCTCCAGCCTTTCTCGTTCCCAGTCTTTATCGATTCTTTCCCTCTCTTGAGTATATCTTGCTAAGTCCGGAGAAATTCGGCCTGGTATTCCAACCTCTTCGTTCCCGGTACTTGTCCTCCTCCTGGTAGAGTAGATAGAGGGGGAGTACTCCCTGGTAAGGTCTGGATTAGCCTGGCCTTGATTCTCGTATTCCGACTCGCTTTTGTTAGGCGTTGATGGCTGGTTGGAGTAATCTGAATGGTTTCCATCAATTGAGTCTGTAACAGAGTTCTGCGAAGGTCGCAACACTAAGGGATCGATCAATAGGCTGTCTGAGCTTACGTCAGGCTCATCATAACTTAATGAGACAATTGAGTCATCTGCTAGCGGGCTCTCACCTCCTATGTCCTGGTCGGATATCGTATCTGCTTTGACAAATGAGACTCTTTGTCCCTCTAAGAGTTTTCGGGTCACAAAGTTCTCGTGGATTGAACGTCCTTTCCTAGGTGATTCTTCTGATGTATTGTCGGCTGGCTCAGGGGACCCCATTGATTCATCTTCATCGGCTGATAAAGGAGAAGTATTTCTTGGTGGCACAGTCCCTGACTTTGAAGATCCTCGATCAGGAAGCGAGCGTCTCCCAAAGAAAGCGAAGTAAAAACAACGCCGTACGAAGAGCGTTGTAACAGGAGAGAATGGAGTCTTCAAGTGCATCTCATTAAGAAAGAGATGAGAGATATTCTGAGGAAACCCGCATCTAGCACGTGGAGAGACATCGATATCAGCTAGAAGCTCAGACTCCGGCTTCCTATATTCAGCAGCGAAGGAAAAACATGCAGAAACGCGATCAATAAGGGTCTCAAATTGGGTTGGATCGTATTGGAAATAGTCAAGTTGTCGAGCTTGGAGCAAAGCATTACGAGCTATCAGGCGGTCTGGGGACTTTTTAAGAAGGGTATCTATCTCCTTCGAACCAAAACCAAGTCTCTGGGCAAGTTTAGCCATTTCGTAAAGAGCTCTCTCATCAAGCTTCCCGCGATCTGGCTTTACCAGAAGATCCTCATCATTTTTTGCAGGTAGAGGGATGGCCATGTAATGACGTATAGCATATAGCCATAGCTGTCGGTATCCTAGATCTAGCCTATCGGAAGAGCTAGTGCACAGTGATCGGAACGAAAATTCAGCTGTTTGGATGGAGCAAATTTGATTATCAGTAGCCATAAAATGATGCTTCATCGTGTTCCAGATACTATCATCAGGACCACCAAATAAGCGCTTAATACAATGTGCGCAGCGTTTAAAAAAGTCGAAATCCTTCTAAAAAGTATACAAGGATGGGATGATCCCATCAAATTTTTGTATATTTTCCCAGATTTCCTTGCGTTCCGATTCTTTGAACGAAGAGAAAATTCTACCGCTTAGCACGTGCCCCTTGACTTCGTCCGCATCTTCCTCGCAGTTTCCAGGAGACTTTAACTGTAAAAATAAAACTGTTTAAGGTCCTACTCGCTTTAGTGCATTATGCCTGCTGCTCACAAATGACAGATACGTGTCGAAAATGTAGTCAAGATAGGTCAGTATTTCCTGGAGATGTAATTAGTTAAGGTTGACTTGATCATTAAGTATGTAAGCTTGCCTCTATTGAGGTTACAGCAATAGCCCTATGGAGTTTGCTGATTCTCATTCCATCAAGCCAGAGACCCGGAATGGCAAGTAACCGATCAAATCCATGGCGCAGCTGGGCATTTGCATCTTTGCTTAGCTGCTTCAGCCGCTTACGCTTACAATCAGATAACCGTGTAAGCCACTTCTGACGAAGCAATTCTTTACCTTCACTTTCATATTGACGTAACTTTCTGTATATTTCGCCATCTGTGGAAGTTTCTTATTTGAATACTCTTCGACGATTGAAGTTCTAAGAGCGTTACTAATATCTACCGAAGAGGTCAACATCAAGACGATAACTTTATTGAACATACTTACCATGGAGATATAAATCGACGGTCCACCATCGTTCAGCAGGTGCCAGTACCTTATACCCTGTACGTAAGCGGTGTCGCCCATAGAGGCCTTGTATTTGACCCTTTAAGAAGGATAAGAAAGGTATATCCCTTCCGGAGCTCAAGAGAAGCGAGCGAGTGGGAATATCAGCTCTATTCAGTGCTTCCGCCAGAGCCTCCCGGGACACAGTTGCAGGTATGTAATTGGAGAGATCGAAACGACGACAGCGACTTTTGCGAAAAACATCGCATAGTCTTTGCACATTCTTTTCATCTACCCACTGAGATTTTGATGCCCCAAACTCAATTTCCGAAATCTTCACTCGAGCAGTACCTTGGTATTTAAGTCTTCGCTTGTTCGACTATTTGATTTCGTCTTCGGTAAACAATACGCGCCGCATCACGGAATTTCTTAGAACCCTCTAAGGTTTGTTTGTTTACTTATAAGATGATTTTTCAAGCAGGCACTTTTAATAACGGGCCTATAACACTGATTTCAGAGTAAACGAAAATGGGAAAATTTAATCATACATTCGGAACAGCAAAATGGTACTACGTGGGGTTGTAAACTAAGCTCTCAAACTAGTAGGAATTCATTTCTAGGGTCGCAGAAACAATAGATTAATTTCTTGGCGTTCTGTCCCTCTGCGCCTCGATCTTGCATAAAGACTAACTTTTATTCTATCCCAGCCCTCTTCTCATATTCACGAACCAGTGACGCGTATATTGGTGTTCTCCTATTGCCTTCTCTTCTTTTTTTTTGTTCCACCCCCCATAAACAACAGAGATCGTCCTTCCAAAGCTACCAAGATGCCTCAGGGCGAGAAAAAAAAGAATCACCCATTTCGATATTCCTCGGGATAAAAGTATTGGACAACATGAAAATGACTAAGATTTACCCACGGGCACAAAGAGAATTCATTTGGAACAGAATCACGGTGGAGTAGCACGCGAACCAAAGCGGGACAACAGCCCACCAGCATCCAGAAAACGAAAAAAAACACCCAATGATGACACCTTTGCGGGTATAATAAAAGCCCATAAGAAGACCGGAATAAATACTCGGACCGAATCACCTTAGACTTACTTTAAAGAACTCTACAAGTGCGATCTTGCCGGAGAAATAACGGTCGTAGTAGACAAGTCTAAGCCGGGGGAACTTTATTTTCTCACAAGCTTCTCTGGTAATAAACTAGACAAGCTAAGTGAGCTTCTTCACCGTATCTTTTTCACTCAACACGATAACATTAACTCGGCAATAATATACTTTGCTACAAAAGATGGATCATTAACAATTACCGATTTTTTTATCCTCTGACACTTGGACATATTATGGCTTACCGACAACATCCTGATGAGGACCAGCTGTGTGCGATTTTGGCTTAAGTTGAGATAACCACCCTGCGTCGATTCCTCCTTTTCTGACCTATATCGCAGATTTTAAGTGTTCTTGCATTCATTATCTCTCGGGGTTTATATCATAACTCCCTAGAAAGTTCTAGTATCCTAATGGACATAAATAGAAATCTTAAAATTGGTAAGAGTCAGGTGCCGAAATTTTTTTACGCTACTATTGATAAAGGCTATAGGTTGACTCGAAGAATACGTTTCTTAGGTAAAGACACAGTCTTATAAGGCGGATATACAATCTGTGGGGAATATTGTAATAGAATTATTGCAAAAATATGTGAAGGATGACGGCAAGGTTAGCATCGACAAATTGGACCGTTGGCTATCTGATTTACTTCTAGTTTCTTTCCTTTCAGCGACAACTTCTGCCGACTCTATACAAACTCTCATAAAGGTATATGTCTTATCTATCTAGAAATTTGCTCTCAAATTCTCGCTTACTCTTGAGTCTTAAAGCAACCCCTCATAACTAAAATTCCTTTTCGTAAAGAGGTGCTCGTGTCTCTCGCATGGTTTGCTCTTTACTCAACTCGAACTTTTTGGTTATACACACCGTCATAGATTGATATGTATATTTATATTGTCATGACTGAAGCCACTATGCTTCCAAGTAGCTCAATTCAAAAGAATTTACGGTGATAGATACAAATGTCTTGCTAGAGTGGGATTGTTACACATCATTATTGCGTACAATTTTCTCACTGCTCAATTTCGTTTTCCCTTTAAGTTACAATTGGTACTCAAGTTCTGCTATACGAATATTCTGATCCAGATGCCCGCGGATGATATTCCGTAATCGATCTCGGACTTGACCGACCGAAGAAACTGTCCTTCCTTGTTTAGCCTTCTTATCGAAAAGAAAAGAAAGAAATCTTCACCTTACCCATTATAAGTAATCTGCCTTGGGTGTCCTGTATATGTGATGTCTTATTAATATTCTCGCCAGACAGCTCCTCGGAAATAATAGATAAATAATCAGGGACTCTTTGATAAAGGAATGCTCGCTCATGTCTTCCGAAAGGGATATCAGGCAATTTAGCACCTTCTGCCACATAAATTGATATGCTTAGAATCTATTTTTATTATTAGATATTGCCTTGGTGTAAATTTCAAGCTCCACCCACATAGTTGGTTATTTGTATTATATAATATCATTCTAGGAAAAGCATTTTGCCGTGGTCTGAGCATGCTGAAGTAATAATACGTGGTCGACGGCAATGGTCACCGCTCTTTTCAGCTGTGACACATTGCCCTAATTCCACCAATGACAACAAGAAAATACCCACTATTATGCAAGAGAAAGGAGTGAAGCAAAATTGATTGGTGAGCGGGTTTCCTTGAGGGATCCAATCATATTCTCCCGCATCCATAACAGCTGTGGTTAAAGCGGTCTGGCTATCCTTTTATCGGACCAAAGGGGGTTAACCCCGCGTAGATGGCCCGAAGTCTGCCTGTAGACTCAAAAGCTCAGAAACGATTTCTGCCTGAAAACTAGACCGCTAGGCAGACCGCTCTATTCAGGTAATATAACACTAGTCCTAATTGGGGTAGATCATATAACCTCGGGATGGATCTATGCTTTGAGTCTCTCTCAATTTCCCCCTGAACTTCTCCTTCAACCTCCCTATCTCAAAGCCACTTCTTGAAGCCATTTTTGTATCGTTCAGCAGGTTAGATCTATCTTCCTCAAGCCGAGTTCTGGATTTATCCTTCTTCTTCGAAAATCAATATGCTTAGGCTATGTATATGTGATTAATAAATTAAAGTAATTCTGATAGCTTTGTCACTTTTGCAGTGTCTCACGGCTTCAAGATTCTGAAGGTCAACCAGAGATATAATATTGCGGGGGTAATACTGTATTTAACTTTTCTGCCAGTGTAAAACCGGGTCTACTCATAGAAAATCAGGCAGAAATTGTTTCCGAGCTTTTGACCCTTATATACCTAAGAAAATATCTTTGCTAAGAGATATTAGCTTTTGAATTCTCAGACTATTGATAGAGTGTATGATGACTGAGTTCAAGTCAAAAATTCAAATAGAAAACGCAAAAGAAATAGAAGGGAAACAGCAGGAAACAAATTGGAAAGAAAAGAAAAGAAAACCAAAACTCGAGATTGAAGATTGAAGAATGCAGGAAGGGAAAGGAAATTCATTTAAACGAAGATCTCAGCTCCCTTCGCCCCTACAGTGTCCATGATATCCTTGAGCAGGATGTCAGATCGAGTGATACGGGTGATGTTTTCTTTCTCAAAACCTGCAAAGACCATCCCGACAATAACTCTCTGGGAACCTTCCTCTACCTTTCTCTTGTAGCTGACCATTGCTCCGGAATCCCCTTGTAAAGCGAAGGGCTGTCCATTAACACCAAGCACAGAGTATTCAAGGGTAGGGATTCTGATGGTATCCTTCTCGCTTATCTGAGCTGCAATACTGGCAACCCGGAGTCCACTGTAAATGCCGGTGTTATTCCTAGTGCGATATCCGTGGTGAGAAACTTCCGCCTCATGCAGCTCGAGGCTTTGTAAAATTTCAGCTGAGGCGAACTCGTCGGGGAGAGAAGGTCTTTCATCGAACTAGATATATCAATTGTTAGCAGATAATAGTCGGAGGGATATATATAGAGTTAAATACTTTGTTGGATGGTTGGCGATGAGAACTCAAGTGAACAAGGGCCCAGTCAAGACTTGTGAAATATTTGATGCCACCTTTTGTTAAGTTCAAGTCTTTATACTTGAACCCGGAGCCAGAGAAAACCGTCCCAAGGACTTGATCGTCATTTTTGAAGCGTTCATGGAGGATTCGAAGATTTTCCTCATGCTTCTTTAGTTCGGATTTGTCCTCGTCGTAGTTCTGGCGCTGCTGGGGAGTGAACATCTCAAGGGCATTCCTGAGCTCAAGATCCTTGAACATTTTAAACATCTTTCCATCTTTAATTTCCTGAATTGTTTCCTCGATCTTTCCCACTTCCTCTTGATAAGCAAGTCTGGTGGCGTGATCAACCGGAAGCAGGCGACGAACATCATCGGTTTTGGCGATGCTTGTTGGAACCCCATTTTTATTCCAGTTCTCGATCACTTAATAGCCATATCAGTATCATCAGGCCTAGTCATATAATAAAAAGTTAAAGTCACTTACATTTTTGATCATCATCAGATAGACCAGCAAAGGGCGGAACCACCACATGCCAGCAAGTCAAGGCAAAGGTCCTCCAGTCATCGGAGCTTGGGCTTCGCAGTTTCAGGAAACAACCTAAAGTTCCACTGCCATAATGATTGCGAGATGAAGCAATGGAATCGCCTGCCATAGTCCGGTCCTTTTTCTCCAGAAATCCTTTGAGAAGCCCAGGGCTAATACCTTCGCGGTATCCCCGAGTGACCGGCCTATCCTTAACGATCTCAACAGCCAGCATTTGCAGGCGTCGCCTCTTCAGAATCGAAATAACCTTCTCACGGGTGACGGTCCAGTCCTTCTTGCGATCGACTAGTATCAACAAGGTTGGTGGACAATCCAGGACCGTGGTGCTTCTACCCCGTCTGTAGCAACCAATAAATATGATGGACTTGAGATCCAATTGTGCAAGGAGCTCTTGCAGAAGGGGCTCCCAGTTCCAGAATACATCATCAGTGTGGAGCATAGGATATGTGTTTGTGGGTGTGAACGCCATATTGTCAGCAATTTCAACTGAGCAAGACTCGAGTTCGTTGTTGATCAACAGATTGCGAAGCATTCGGGCACATTTGAGCCAGGTATCATCCACTTGCTCTCTCTCAGCGGGGACAAAAAGGGTCAAACAAGCCTGGGGCTCGGGGTCAATTATAGACCTTCTGCCTATGAAAAGAAACCTCACACCGGTTTGTTTGAGTAAGAATTGATCGAGAATAGTAGTAATCTGTTGTGCGAGTGCCATTCCTTCTGGGGTTTCAATAGATGTCAACTGGAATTTGGGGTGCCTCGCGGGGATGGCTACATTTTTTGTAGGGATGGAGCACAGATAAGGGCCCCCGACCCGCAGATCCTCATTGTGTAGGTTATCGCTAGTCAGTCCGCCTTCGTCATCGCTACTTCCCAAGGACCGGCGCTTTCGTCCATCATCACCAAGCTTCCCATCTTCATCATTGAAGGACCCACTTCGTCGTTTGCTATTATGCCTCTCAAGAGACTCTGTATCTGGCCGATCTCCAGCCATTCGGATAACCAGAGGGGAGGCATAGGATAATTCATGATCGGATCCGCGGGAAGGGGATCGCAAAAGTGTAGAGATGGCAGCCATATTTGATGGGGAAAGGCTCTCGTCGAGATATGGGAAGATGCGAAGGTAATGTGTTAAATGTTTGAAGTTGATAGAAATTAAGAAGACAAAAAAGGAGGTTGAAAGTCAATAGTTGGAAGAGGGAGTTGAATGAGGAAGAAGGCCAAAGTTCGAAGTTAGAATAGTCCGAAACCTTACAAGAGGAAGAAGCTGGGGGATGGAATTACCAGTAAGAGAAAAGAGAGGACCTCGGGGAAGATCATATTTATCACGGGTAGAACCACCTGGGTAAGACCGATCAAGAATTAGACTCGTTCCATACATCAAGCCGCTCAAATAGGTTTAGTCGAAATTTAATCTCTTAGGCTTAGGAACACTAGTATATTTTAATAAATACTGCAAGATCTTATTTAAGAAGCATTTTCAGAATTTCTCTAATATAAAAGCTCTACAGTAAAGTCCTTACTTAAACTTCCGGTTTACTTCAAGCTATATTGCATCTTGACCAAAATGCATTTTCGAACTTTCCCTATTATAACCACAATATAGATCATAAGATTGTCAGTGGTCCGGCGCGTTACGCGTGTAGATATTGGACCACTGCGGCCATATACTCTAGCTCTCACTTGCACGTGGAGATCCTTCCCTCCTCACGCTTCCTTCAATACGTGTTTCTGGCCTTCTTCACTCGTAGACATCCAAATCCAAATCCTCCAACAAAGATCTATATAAGTAAGCTCTGCACAGCCTCGGATAGCATCTCAACCTGTGCTTTAAATTCCGGGGATTGAAATAACCCATAGGTAGCTGGCCTTAAATCATACAGGCCGGTATCCCCGATTGTCGGTATGTCTGGTAAGTTATTCTGAATAGGGGTGGTCAAGCCTACCCACTCAAGAGTATTTGTAATAGAGGAGCTCGAAATCACCTGCTCAAGAGCATTTGGAATAGGGGAGCTTAAAGCCACCTGCTCAAGAGTATTCGGAATAGGGGACCTTGAAACCACCTGCTTAAGAGCATTGGGATCGGTATAATTATTGTCTCCCTGGCCTGGATGGGATGCCAGGTATGCCTGCCGGAAACTACAACGATGCTTCTGACCACCGTAGTGGCAGCATGCGCATTCTGGCATCCCATCCAGGCCGATCACAAGCACACAAAATAAAAAAGGGCCGCAGCCCATCTGACAATTCTTGCATTGCTCCTCACCAAATTTCACTGTGCCCACAAGCTGGGCATATAACGCCTCCACATTGTACTTCTTAAGTGCAATATTTTGGTGGAGCCTTGCCAGAGACCAATCCTTTGTGTCTCGAAGAACCGGGGCTCGGAGTACTGGAAGGTGTTTTAAACTGTGAAGAAGAGTTCCCTTCTTCACTAGGTCTCTGACGCCTAGGCGCCAGACGTGCCTGTCTCGGGCGTCTTCCCAATACTGAATTGTGTTTTCAGTCATGGTCTAAATTTCCATTAGTCTGAGACCGTAGATCATCAATCAAAAGCCTGACTTACTATGGATATAAGGGCTGATGGGGGACGAGAAATGTGGGTCTTAAAAGGCGGATATAGAGTGATGGGAGAAGAGGGATCTCGATCTGAAGGGATGGATATCAAGTCAGAAGAGAAGAGGAGACGAAGAGAGGAATGGGAGGTTATGAGAGAAGAAGGAAACTAGCCTAAACAAGCAACCAGAAGGATATACATACATGAGCAGTAGACCATGAGTAGACCATGAGTAGAGCTGACTTGAAACTGTTTCCAAACCCGGTCGATTTAGCTTAAGTAGACCATAGGCCGACCATACATAGGCCTGCGCTTTGATGGCAGCCTATAGCTGGGCTGCGGTGAGTGACGTTCATATCTCGTGTCCTCTCGTTCTCCTTTTCTTCTTGGGGAACGCGACAACAGGGGCAACCAATGTCATTGCCGCATTAATCGTTGATCTCAAGGCGTATAGGCCAGCAAGTGTGAGGGGTGCTATGGCGATCTTTAAGTCTCTTCCAAGTGCCGGGACTGCTGCCGCTATCAATCCAGCTATCAATTCCGTAGGGTTTGGTTGGCTGAGTACCATCATCAGCAGCTCTTGGGTAGCCTGTTCTTGCATCCTGTGGATCATATACTTTCGAGGGCGGCAATGGAGAACATTCTTAGAAGTTTGAATAATTGAAGTCGACACTTTCAAGATATCCAGTTTCGAGGTATATACAGATATCATACATCGAGAAAAGAAAGAAAGAAAGAAAGAAAGAAAGAAAGAAAGAAAGGGAGAAAGACTGCAAATAAGCCCGACCAGTGCGCGATGGGCTCGACAGATCAATCAATTGAACAGAACATCATTTCCAAAACTAGATGGTCAGCCTGTTCTGGCAGGAAAACGAAGCTAAGGCTTGCATGAGCCCGGCATGATAGGCAATTCTTCTGAGACCGAGGCTGGCTATGTGTTTGGACTCGGGCTGAGGCGCAGGTGACCGAATGATAATGATCATCCTCAGAGGCCACATAATGGTCAGTGATTCTGCCCAACTTGATGGTATTGTATCATTAACCGGGTGTAAGGAAAGCAAATTATTCAAGATGCGATCGGCTCGGTTTTGTGACTGCTCAGTGATAGCTTTCTGGAGAAGCATGAGGTACTGGGCAGACTCACCTGAAAGATCAGGGAGCTTGGATGCACTCGATATGAACACTAGCACAATTGCATAAGCCCGAAGTAGACAAGCATCGACGTAGTTATGTATTCGTTGCTGTCCTTGACGACTCGCTCTGGTAGAATCGGCTGAGGCTGACAGTGCATCGTTCAAGAGACCGGGCAAGGCTTGATCAACAGATCTTTCAAATGCGGCTTAATGTTAGATCACGTGGTCTGTATAGTTCAGACCAAGGTGCCTAGGTAGATAGCTCTCGACGTGTCGGGGCAGACTTCCCCTCCGCGCGCTTCCCCCCATACATGTTCTTTCCTGTAGCTGTTCCAAAGGCACACCTCCTAACACTTAAGCCAATGACAGCTTTGTACTAGTCTATTAATGGCGGCGAGCTTTTGGGTGGTAGAACTGGCTTTGGTGAAAAAGGTATATGCGTCGCGATATACGCGTACAACCTCATTGTCGTAAATAGAGGTGGAAAGAAGAAGAGTTCGTTTGTTCCCAGGCGCGACTGTATTGTAGCAAACCACTCTCTCGCCTCCGATGCAGGATCAGAGATTGAGTTCAACGATTCGATTTGGTAATCTGTGTGTGAGTGAGAGTGTCCCAAGATAGCATCTACTCAATATATGACTTGATGCAAGGGGCGAGCCAAACAAACAATTTTATGATAAGAAAGTTAGAACAGTTGACAACCTGTCTTGGTTGTTAGCAAAAGCTTCTGAGCTGCAATAACTTACCAAGTACTCTAGCATGGATATCCTAGTTCATAAGCCTATCATACAGACCATTGTAGAGATCCCCTACCATAAGCTTTTTATGAGTTAGCCAATACCTAGGTATAGACAGAATCCTTCGTTAAGGAATGCCAACTTTATATAGGCATGCGAGCTATACAGTAAACAAAGTTATATGTTGCTTTATTGTATAGAGTTAATTAAAGCCTTTTATAACTCATATAATACGCGACAATACAGTCTGCGATACTTGATCCCAGGATCGCGTGACTTTGTTCGATTTGCGAGATAGACATATCCCACGGCCTTAGAGAGGAGATTAAGTACAGACTCTGGCTGGGCACTACGTAGAATAAATATTGGGGAAATATTCAAAGGAACCACGGACACGGCCGCCTTGAGAGGATTGAAACGAGAAGCTATATACAATCCATGGCATTATATGTGAATCCCATTATTCCGACATAGTTAGAGGCCGTTGTGAGCTACTATGATGGTCTGAATATAGCCGAATATCGTGAATAGTAGGGCGGCAAGAGGGGATTTCCCAACGAATCAAAAAACCGGATCAGCAAAAACATACAACAGTCAGGATTCGCATGTGGTCACCCACCATACTACTAACTGACCGGCGTGTGGCTTAAGTACGGCTGAGCGGACGGGAAGCCCTGTTCTCCACACCCTGTGGTCGTATGTGGTTATAAACCCATATAAGAGCAATATATTGTAAGAATTAGAATTCTTCCGCCTGAGGTATATATAAGGTGAGCACTGTACTGTGTATTGCTAAAAGGGAGGAGGAGATAATGAAGGAGCATGGGAAGAATAAGAGAGGATTTCAGTAGTATGAATATATAGCATTCAAAGATGGAATTATGAATGCCAGTATCAGATAGGCAATAGACATGTGTATCCAAGGAAAATAAAGGCGAGCTGGAAAAGGAGGAGGAAACATGAATAACTCAGCATTCACCTGGGCAGTCATACAGACCTTAATTCACGGATGCTTCTTCAACATTTGAAGTTGCCATTCATGGCTCAAGAAAGAATAGGACGTTGTACTTGCATATGACTCATTTCATTCGTCATAGAATGAATACCAGTCAGACCCTCCGTGGGAATGACATACTCTCCAATCCCCGCCTTATAGACCATCCCATTGATCATTATGATGTTAAGAAGGTCATGATCCTGTAGTATGGTTATATTTTTCAGTGGATCTCCATCGACCACAAGACAGTCCGCATATTTGCCAACCTTGATCTGGCCCATTTCATGAGAGCGCATGAACAGCTTAGCCATACCAAAGGTTGCGGCTATAATAGATTCATGAGGTGTGAAATCAAAGCGCTCCACAAAGTGTGAAAGCTCTCGCGCATAAGTACCGTGAGGCGTCCAAGCGAATCCATAGTCACTAAAAGGAGTGTCAGTAACTCTCTTCATATGTCTGACGGGCTGTGAAAACTCACCCTCCTGGCAAAACCACGATTCCCCTGCGATGCATCTCTCACATAGCAAGGTCGGCCGCATCAAGCTCGCGCTGGTAACCTCCTTGCTCAGCCTTTTCCGTGGAGTAGCCAAACATGACAGCATCATGGAGCGTAGCAACAAGCCAATTGATGGCAGGTGCCACGATGATTTTAGATTTCTTCTTTTCAAGTGAATCCATTCCTGTCAAAGTCAGCCGCGTGCAAGGAGGACTCAAATTAAAGGTAAAATACCTTTTTCATCGATATAAGATGCATGATAGATGACGTCCACTCCGTAATCTACTGATTGCTGGACAGAGTCTCTGGCTCTTGCGTGCGAGCAGACTCGCTTATTCATTTTGTGTGCCTCATCCACACATGCTGCTGTGTCCTCTAGGGTGAAATAGCAATCCTCCGCATCTCGAGTCTCCGTGATCTGAAGATAAGTCGTTAGCACGGGTAGGTTCTCCGGAGGCTGTACTAATACGGGTGTCTCACCGATTCTCCAGACATTGAAAGCTTTACTTGATCCACTCCGAGCTCGATATGTTCACGGATCCTGATTCCAGTTAGCAATGTCTAAACCATTCCCTTATCATTCGTCGTACACTTCTCGCATTTCCTCAGGGCCATCAGCATACGCAGTAATCCCTCCAACTAGCTCGCCACCTCTTCGTGCCATTTCCTGACCATTAGCAAGAAACGGGGACCTGGAATGTCCCCAGAGTTTATTGCGTCTCGAATCACAACCTCAAGGCGCTTTTTGGCTGACGCAGCTCCAAAGCACATGGTGTACCCGGAATCCAAAAAGCATTCAGCACTTCTGGCGGTAAGAAGAGTATGTTCTTCCACACCGAGAGTTCCCAGCCGATCTAAATCACCACCATTCCAGGTAAAATATGTGTGCGCATCCCCCAATCCCGGCATTAATGTACGCCCCCTTCCGTAGGAAACACGGACACTGGGATCTGCCAAGAGTGTTTCTTTATTAGGGACGTCACCCACATGGGAAAATCTTTCGCCTGTAGAGACTACTGATTAGCATATAAATCTCGCGGTGGCAGTGATGAAATAACATACCTACGATGAGGACATCTCCTCTGTAAGGCTCCCGGCCGGTGGCCTCCAGAATCTCAACATCCAAGACAAGGACTTTCGATGACTTATTTGTTCCAGCGATCTCATATTTGACGGGCTGGAGCTTTGAATCAAGATCTAGCTGCTCAATTTATGTGACATTGCGTGGTGGCCCATGATAGGGGTTGATTAGGCAGTCCTTAGACATCCAGGACACATTAGACATGGTGCATTAGATGTGAGAAAAATGAGATTGATAGAAACAAGCCTCTTCTGTTCGTTTTGTCTTTCTTTTTTTGTTCAATAAAAAAGGGGGGGGGAAGGAAAATTTTTATTTCAGTGTTCGGTCAAAGGGAATCTTTTTCATATGTGATTTAGGTCCTGTAGAAATGGTGAATACAACATTTGAGGGACTTCCCCACAGGACATGATCATCCACCTTTGGGGTTGAGTGCGCACCAATCGGAGCGACTTTCTCCATGTTCTCGGACTTAAGGTATCAATGCCCTGTTCACTTCCTCTCTCCCTTCTCCGCGCTTCTCCGCGTTTGAGAGATCTAACCAAATTTTAAGTTTGGCACGGCCGCATCTTTCAAAGTTTTGATAATAACTTTGTCAATTATCATAATGGGTTGGTTCAGTCTACGAAGCCGACTAAACGGCTCTACGGCCTCTACTATACATGTCACAAACTTCAAACCTGCCACCGAACACGTTGAGCATGTCGAAGAAATCCATCTTGAATATTCACTTCAGAACTTCTCTATCCCTGACGCTGATTTACCCTTTATTCCGGCCGGGGTGGTCCGAGGCAAAAGGTTAAGCCTCTCAAACGGTCATCAAGACCGGGCTTGGATTGTGGTGGACAGTATTGTCTACGACTGTACCAAATTCATCGACAGCCACCCAGGGGGAATCAGGAATCGATTCAAAGAGATTCCAAGATACTTTGGACCCTCTAAGATTCGGTAGTATAATACAGATTATCCTGTCTGGAAATTCCTGGTTATAGGGAATTTGGAATATATAAGCAAAAAGCACATGTATGAATTGAAATGTTCTTGCTACGAGACATATAATGTCATCGCGTAACTTCAAGTTCAACTTGAAGTCGGACTTGAAAGCACTTGAGTGGAATTAAACTTGATATCTAGAGGCTCTAAGGTTTACCTCCAAGGCTACGGTATAAATTTTGAATATTACTACATACATATTCAAGTTCCAGGTTCAAATGTTCAAGTGAGCATCTTTCTCGTTATCAAATCCATAATTATTTTCGCATTGCGTGCCCAGCTGTTTGCGTATGTCAACGGTAGGTGCTTGGGGGAGGGAAAGAAGGAGGTGCCGTGGAAGGTGACATCTACAGGAGATGGGGCCTATGGTCCCATGTCAACAGCGTATTACTACCTAGGGCTAGTAGTAGTCAACTGGTCCAAATAAAGATGGAGGGCTCTCCCCCACTTAAATCTTTAGTCTCCAGCGCTCCTTGGTAGTATGATTTCATCCCGAAATTTGGATGGACGATGCCAACACCATCTCGGAGATCACTAATGGCACCGCGTCTCCGCAGGGGCGACAATGGATACCGAACCAGGTTATGAGTGCGTGCGCTTTTTAAGGCCGACAGGAGTTCCAAGGTTGTCGCTGCGAGAGTTACTGTGATGCGTGGGGATACATGGGGATACATGGGAATACGAGGGGAATGTCAACCTTGGAACCTTGGATGTCGGGGACACCTCCGGTATATATATCTTTTTGCCCCAGGCCTGAACAGCTTGAGATTTATAAAGCTAGCAACCTCAAATCGAAATTCTGGCATGCAAAGATTTAGCCTCCTTAACCTCAGCAGCTATTCTAAGATGACGATTAACAACCTCACCAATTATGTCGCCTACCAAGAGCCTGGAAGTGGCCCCCGAATCGGTCATCTCGACTTCAAGACATCAAAAATCACTCCGCTATCCTTTCAATCTGGCACCCCATTGAAAAGCCTTTATCAAGTCATTGGGATCGGTGAAAAGGGAGTGAATGCATCCGGTGAACCATCTCTCTCTCTTTCCAGCGTGAAGCATCTCCCCCCGATTTCCGGTCGTGATGTGCTCGTGGTTGACAAGAACTATGTCGACCACGCGAAGGAGTTCAACTCGTCGGGCTACGATGCTAGTGACAAGATCGATCAGCCCACTCATCCCGTTATTTTCACAAAGCGTGCCACTTCCATCATTGGCCACGAAGATCCCATTCTCCTGCACCCAAAGTTCACCAGCACAGTTGACTACGACGGTGAGATTGGTATCATTATTGGCAAACCGGGATTCCAAGTCTCCGAAGAGAATGCGTTGGAGCATGTATGGGGTTATACCATCATCAATGATATGACCGCGCGAGAGCGCCAGCGTGATCACAAACCATTCTTCCTCGGAAAATCACCCGATACCTTCTGCCCAATCGGCCCTATCGCTGTCCCGAAGGAGAGCTTGCCTGAGAACCTGAAGATCCAGACTTTTGTGAATCAAGAGCTACGCCAGGTGGCCACCCTTAATGAGCTCATCTTCAACATTCCTACTCTCATCACTACCATCAGCGCAGGCCAGATCTTGCAAGCCGGCGACGTTATAGCCACTGGTACACCATCGGGCGTGGGCTTCGGATTTAGGCCTATGAAGTTTCTTCGCGCCGGAGATGAGATCAGTGTGTCCGTCACGGGATTGAGAACGTTGAGAAACCGTATTGCAGCTGCAGATGCTGTCAACACCACCTCGACGTGCGCGGAGTCTTATATTCCTTTGGCAAATCAGAAGGCACCTGAGAACTCTGGATTGACGAAAGTGAGCGGGAAGAACTTGTTCTACCAGCGATTGGGTCTAGAAGCTGGTCCTCCAGTCTTCTTTATTCATGGACTGGGAGGGTCCTCAAGTTACTTCTATCCTCTTATCGCCAAGCTACAGTCGACACACTCCTTGCATCTCCTAGATCTGGAAGGACATGGTCTCTCTGTTGTCAGCACTTAGCACTCTTTCCATTAGCTCTTTCGCAGATGACTTCTACCACTTGTCAAAAATAACTGGTGTCGACAAGGACGTGACCGTGATTGCTCACTCAATGGGATCCCTAGTGGCTGTCAAGCTCGCTTTGAACCATCCCACGCTTGTATCTAAGCTTATCCTCATGGGACCTCCCCCCCAGCCCGCTTCCAGAGTTAGTCAGCCAGGGATCTTACTCCCGGGCTGCTCTGGTTCGGAAACATGGGATGTTGTCCGTTGTGGATACCATCGTGCAAGCCGGAACATCGGCTCACGTCCAGCTCAACAAGCCGTTGAGTATTGCGGCGGTGCGCACCTCGCTTCTCAGTCAAGATGCTGAAGGGTATGCCAAAGCTTGTGCGGCCCTTGCTGGTTCCGCAGCCGATGCCATGGATGTCAGATCTCTCCAAATGCCTGTTTCTTTTGTCACCGGTGCGGAAGATAAGGTCAGCCTGCCAGCGCTATGTCATCAATACCCCGAGGAAACCGGAGGGGGTCATGTCGAGGTGCTAAATGATGTGGGACACTGGCATCTGTTTGAGGATGTGGAGGGAGCCGTGAAGGCGGTTTTGGCGCAGATACAACAATTTATTTGTTAAATTACTTTCTTTCGCACTGTTTTATATGGGAAAAAGTTGAGAAAATTCTCATAATTAGCCTAGGTAACTTAGAAAAGAATCATCTTCACTGCACTAGTCAAATGTCGCGACGTTCCAGGCTCAGTCAATTTGAGTGGATGCTTGTAGTAAAAATACATATGTAAAGCTCCTAAGGCCTGCCTATCGTAAACACAGTACAAGCTAGCACTATACTCAACTTTCAAGTTGATGCAAATGTGTAGTAGATAGTGCATATGCCCGCTGGTAGGTGTCAGTCCCGAGGTCGAAACATTTTGAATGATGTTCGAACATTCTTGAATATTGAAGTGCTCCTCGTATCCATGTGTCATGCACATTTGATCTATACATGAGCTACTATTAGTAGATGTTGAGTGTTGCGGCCGATTTCCAATAGGGGCCGCCCCAGAACATAATAGATCATAGTATTTGTATGCCCGAGCATAAAGGAACCTTGAATAATAGTATTGTTCTCAAGTTTTCTCCCCAGCATATGCACCAATCTATGACAGCACTACCGGAATCTGAGCCATGGAGGAAGGTGGTTCAATCATGCTGCCTCAAAAGCCAAGTCTACCTGGACAGAAGTCCGCTCAAGTCCGCTGAAGTCCGCGCAGGTCCACTCTACCATGCCTGGGACTCAAATCTCAAATCTTCGATAGATGGACCAAGGGAAGTGCAAAATTTTGGAATGCGGAGAGCATATAATGTGGATTCGGGGGTAAACTGGTCAGAGTATGTAGTCATTGGTATTTACCTGGTTGTGTAGATAGCTCTACGTAGCCTTTCCCCGCATTTCAAATTCATGCTGTGGGGATCTCTGTTTCAGAAATAGTTAATAGGAGGTAAGATTTCAAGGTTCCTTGAGAAATTGCAGTGTATATAATCCCTACATACACTTCATTAAAAAGCTTAAGTGACTGAGCAATCTTTGAGGTTCAAACAGTTGAAGTTTTGATCCCCGGCCAGGTACAATGGACTCGAATGACTTTGGAAACAAGAAATCTGAAGAAGCAAACAAGCCTTCTTCATCCCACTCAGATCAGCTTTATCATGCAAATCTTGAACGCCTCCACCCTGTCGGTGGACATGTAGACGACAGAAGTCAACCAGCCCTTCCGGTTTATCATCGCACGTTTGCCAGTCCCTCTCCATTGGGATTGATATCATTTGCGACAGGTATGGTGCTTCACCCCTGGTAATTATATACCGACTAATGTTGTAGAAATCTTCCTCATATCCCTGTTTGGGCTGCAAGCAAGTGGTGTCACTGCACCGAATGTGATGGTTGGGTGCCTCCTGACAGCTGGGTATTCTTTTGGGTTCTTGGTGTCATTCCTTTCTTGTGAGTAGAAGTACCGCCCTTATTGACTAATTCGTTGGAGTTCATAATTTGCAGACTGGGCTGGTTGTGCCGGGTTATGGGGCAGTGGAATAACCCCGATCAAGCTCCCGACATTTAACATGTTTACGTGCCAGGCTGTCTGAGCTGCCAACGAGTTCAAATAAATAACGGTTCGACTGAGTAGTAGGCTTCATAACGATGATGGAATGATTGCCTCATTCAATCATGATGCGTTTTTACATTGGTTCAATCCTAGTGCGGACAAGATTTCTAAGAGACATGTATTTAGCAAATTATCTGATAATGCAGCGGAAATGTGACTTACTTAACCATCCCAAGTCAGACCCAAAAAGCGGTTCTACCAATTCCTTTCCATATTCTACACCAGAATCACCAGAAAAATAACACACTGCACTGTTGCCCACGGATAGAGCCATCTTGGGCTCCGTTTGAACGTATGACTCCAAAGCCAATGGCCAGCTTGGGTTATTTTAAGCCACCAGTGAGGAGTAGATATCAGCCGCCGCTACACTTTCCATCACCACTGCGGTCCCTCTCAGCTTGACTCCAGGAAGATTAACAACATCCCCAGCTGCAAACATTCGTGGAATGGGACCGTCTTTTGAACTAATTCGAAGACTGTCGATTTGAATCAGTTTCAGTTTCTTCTCTGCTTGTCAAATCCAAATACAAAATACCCACTGTGCATCAATATTGATTGTTCCGTTGATGATAGAGGAAGGTGGCAGGAATTGCGAAAAAGGGTTGGAGGATGCTGTTGCCATGATAACCATGGCAGTATGTAACCGATTTCCATCATGTAATTTGACGTAGGATGTCCCATCTGGCAATTCTTCAACATCAGCACGATGGTTGAGTAAAACTTTAATTCCTTGTTCCTGGAGCAGCTTCAGTGTTCTTGTCTTGAATTCTATCGGTAGCGGCTCATTGGAGAGCAACTGATCCCGCGAATGGACCAAAGTAACCGCAGTGCCGGGGTAGTGTGTTCTGATCTTTCCGGCAAACTCAACACCCACGGCGCCTTTGATTCCAGGACGATTAGCTTCTCGGTGTAATAGATAAAGATTTCATGTGAGCATTTCATCTAAAAGAGAAAAGAGGGGCATTCCGTGGGGATTTGGATTTCAACATACCTCCTCCGACAACCACTACGCCGAGCTTTTTGGTGCCAACAATCTTCTTGGTAAATGCTGAAGCATCTGAAAGGTATGAGGTGAATCTTTTGCACCTCGGAACAACAGGCCATGGGCGCCGAAGACCTGAGGATATGATAATGTAGTCGTAGTCAAGAGGCTTTGAGGTGCCTTCTGAGCCCTGGTATATCAATGTCTGACTCGTTGAGTCGATGCTTGTAACGGTCCCCTGGACAAAATTATATCTAGGCGATTCAACACAGAAAATCCTTGGTAAACCTTCCACATAGTATCCCTTTTCGCGGGGGAGATATGGGCTAATGGCGCCCCAACACTATGAACTAAATCACGAATACGCGGGATCAGTCCATGTTATTGTGACTTTTGCCTTTTCACAGAGTCTCTTGAAGACTTACAGAATCCGTCTCTCTCATCAACGATCGTGATGTCAAAACTTGTCCTGAAGAGGCGTCTTGAAGGTGACTGTAGTCTGAATAAGAAGCAAATGGGGGTGGACGACCATCTTTCAAGGCAGTTAATGTGAGAGTTGCAGACATGCCCGCGTAGGAGCACCCCACAATCACAATAGAGAGATATAGCCCCGAATAAGCGGATAAAATGTTATAGAACTATAATAGCCCTGGAGAGGCATTTGCTTACGTTTTGCTCGATATGTTTTCTCGTCCAACACATTTGGTACTAACCAGAATTACTTCAAGATTCATCTAATAGGATTACGACCCTAAAGCATAGGTCAGTGCTACCATAAATTGATTTTTTCCCGTATAGGACTTGTGTCAGGTAGAAAGGGTTACGGGGATACTAGACGAAACATGGAAACTGTGAGGAAGGGAAGTTCTATAGGCCTGTCCAAGGGCTATCATCCACAGGGATCAGTGGTCCGATCTATAGACCACGTGACCTATTAACTTGTAATGCACAATAATAAGAAAGAGGAGAGTGGAAAAGAGCAAAGGAAGAGATAAAACTACCTAGATAAAATTAAGTCAAACAAGGTAAAGCAGAGGTAAAACAGGATAATTCATGATGAACCAAGTCAGAAAAAAGAATTTCAATGGCTTTAAGGACTGCTATGTTTATCTCAGTCCCTATCCCCATCGGCATTATCACCACTTCCATCGCCATGATTATTGTTATCTTCACTATCTTCATCACCATCATCAACCTTGTCAATTGGAACAAGGCACTTAACATCTCCATCATCCGCATCCAATGTAGCGAGAGTCATTTTTCATCTCCAACTGTAGTGCTGCTTGGATTCATGAATCTTTTTCTGAATGCTTGAGAGTCGCCTTACTCCGCTAAGCACCTGTCAACGCCCAGATTTCCTCTGAAGAAGGCTAGGCTTCAAGATCTTATCTGTTTGGTCTCTTGCTTGGAAGCAAGTGCCCAGAGCGACAGGAGGCTCTTCTTGCTTTCCTCGGCATGGTATCAAATGGAAGAGAGGAGTGTTCTGGTTGGCATAACTGATTTATACGAGCCTTTTCCTGATCTTTGAGACTCCATTCCTCTTTGCCATTTGTGATATGCTTGACGTAACATAACGTCTCCATCCAAACGCTCCATTTGCGCACGACCCTTACTGCATGCTCCTTGGACACCTCAAACCACTCAATATGCTTTTTATAACAGCCTGAACACCTGGGCTCAAATCTCCGGTAGTTCATAAGCTCCAAGTGTATTAATTTTTCAACACGCGCAATATGGGATAATTGTTGTTGATCTGGCGAGCTCTCACTCGATTCCTTTGACAGATCCGGATAATGTACCCCCATGCTTTTTTTTACACTATTCGTCCCACTCTTTCAGTCGGTGATGTGCATTTTGTGACCGGCGAATCTTTAAGTAGCCGAAATTTGGCTGTTGCCAAAAAATGTAAATTGAACCTTGTCGTTGCACCTCGGTCTTGTTGAGAGGTTCGATTAGAAGTTTTGCTAGCTCTTCTGATACCGATCCCGTCAATCTTTTAGGTTTGTAAGGTTTGAGCTCTTGAATTGGATTTATAAACTGTGTTTGGATATCTGTATAGTCCTTGGACAGAGGAACAGAGTGCTGAAATATTTCGGTTTTTGCTGACTGGTGAAGGAGAGAAATCCAAAGCACAAGGGTCTGTAATCGCTTATTCTGTGGCAAAAAGACCGATTTGAGGTCGTACATATTGGAAAATTCTCGAAGCTCCTTGTCCCAGGTTTGAATTTCTTTCAAGGCAACCTTCCGGTGAAGATGACAGAACGAGATATGCACCAGCTGCTTTATTTTTGCCACACACAGTTCTGTATTGAAGGACAGCATGCTCTGGAGCTGAGCTAAATTGTAGCTTGTGACATGACGAATCTTGCATCTCCGGCCTTCAGACGTCAGAGATAGACACTTGCTGTTGTCTGCCAGATAGTGTGAGATGATGCCAAGTAGAATCACTCTACAAAGCGAACTTCTAGTCAGACTCTTCTGATTTATGTCTGGGATAGAATTGAACGATTTGTCTTTTGGGGTTTGAAAGTGTTTCGTTATTGCGGCTTTCGACAATTTTCACAAGTTGTAGGGAAAATGGTTGATTAAACGCGTTGGAAGCCTCGTGATGGGTGTTGTTTGTCTCATTCTCATGATCGTCATGATGGGAGATGTTGACTCCTGATCTTGGAAGTTTCTTCAGTCTAGGATATGGGAAGAAGGAGTTATTGATTGGTTTCACTGCCTGCAAAAGGGCTTCTGGGCGATCGAATTGGATATTGATATCTCCCACATTAGGCAACGAACAAAGTTTATCGTTCATTTCATGGAATTTTTTCTTATTCGACAGAGCTTTCAATATGATTCCGTTCGAGTCCTTTGCTGAAGTAGCCGTCGAAGTTGTTTCACTGAATTTTCGCGAAGTCTTTCGACCACGAACCCATTCTTTTTGCTTTCGTTCGATTAAAATGAGTAGAGTGCTATTTTGGCGACTTGCAAAGGACGCTCGCTGTTTTGAGCCATCTGGATTTGACATGTGGGAGGCTTCGCCGCTCGATGTACTCTACAATTTCAGGGCTGTCGATTTGGCATGCTTCTCACTTCCAGAGAAACTAGCCCTTTTCACTCGACTGTTAACGGATAGATTGGATAATGGTGGTCTTCTTGACCTCACGGCATCTGACTTTGACTCATCATGTCTATTGGGTTCATAAGTACGTAGTCGTATTGACCCAGTCTGAGGCATTAAGGAATTGAGGGCAGCCATGATAAAATGAAGTTAAATATTAAGTACCGAGCTAGTTGATGTTCTTCTAATGTATGAATTCATAAAATGCAATATGAGGACAATAAATTCTAGACGAGCAGAAAATTAAGACCTGTCCCTCTCTTTTCTAAGTGGGAATAGGCAGCAGCTCTGGATATCTACCACAGAGAGCTGAAGCGCTCAAGGCTCAAATCAGCAGGCGCATCACGCAAGGGGTTGTCGGAACACAGCCTCTAAAGGTATTCAGCTTCTTGGCTATAATTAGAGTAGTGAGGGGTAGAGATGGTGTGCTTGAAAGACTACATGCAGCTTCTTGCATTCCTGTAAGCGCTAGGAATGGCAGCGGAAACCCCAGTGCAACGTGTTCTCTACTCCTTACTCAAAACTACCTAGCTCGCATAAACACTAACCAATAGTTTCTTTTGAGCAAATTCCATATCTGAGACCAATTTTGTATGCTTGTATTCTCGGAGTCAGCGGGTTTCAAGTCCAATAACAAGATCAAAAATGAGGGAGGGCAAGGCTTTTCGACCTTGAAACTAGGGACAGAGACGAAGCCTCTCAAGGTTGACCTGATATACAAATCAGCATTTTCACGGAACTGAGAAGAACCGCTCTAGAGCAATTTACCACCCATCCAACAATGCTTCTCTGTTGGCGCGTATGGCTGATCTCGATCTTTTGAAGCGAATTGTTGTGGGGCTTCCCATCAACGTGGGGTTGCATCGTACCGCCTATTCCATATGAGCTATTTAGTAGCTTGACTATTAAATAGGTATTACTACTGCCTTTTAGAATATACTTTGTTATATTAAATTTATCTTACCTTGTAGTTCAAACTTTTAAAATAAAAATCAACATCTAGGCCTAGATAGAAATTCTACAATTATCCATTCACGAAAATACACAAAAGCAAATCATGATGGAGTATTTACATTGTCTCAAGACTAATGATGCCACGTCAGCATTCATCTTGAGGTGCAAGAATAGTGGCTTTCAGGACATCTAGGGGAAGAAACTGAAGAGTAAGGTGGCAAGGGCAATTTTGTGGATCACTTGAAAAATACAAAAACATACAACAGTTCCAAGGTCACATCTATATGGTTACCTAGCGCCCAAGGTTTGGCATGGGTGGCTGGCCTCTATTTAGCCCTCTTCAGGGTAATTCGCCGGATGTTCTGGATACACAGCTGAATATTCTCCACCCTCATAGCCAGCCTCTTGCGTCAGTGTGTACAATTTTGTATTATTTGCAAGTTCTTGTTAGCGAAACTAGGAAGTCCAAATTATTTTGGGGGAATTTCTGAAAATAAGCCGCTATCAATCTACACACTAATCTGCCAGCCCCTTGTCACGGCTATAGGCCTGGTGCAAAGACGATAAAAGTGCAAGAAGTCGCGTATTCAAGTTTCGGTGGGATTTGGTCCCTATCCAAACATTTTAGACCCTGTCCTCCTAGTCTACCTTCCTAGTCTACCTTCTTAGTCTATCCTGCCACTGAGTATACAACTGAATTATGCCGACCATCATGCTTGCTATGTCAAATACTAGCAGCATGACTTTACTCAAATAGATTATTCTTTCGCAAAGCTTAGCTGCCTGTCCTATCAAGGGCCACTACCTTTTAGTGATTCCCCTAGACCAGTCATAGACCAATTGGTTGACAACCGAGGCGGAAGACAGAAGTACGGCGAGAATGGACACACACCGTCCAAAGAGATACTGTAAGCATCGACAGGTCATTTGTGTTTAGGTTGGACTCACATTGCTCTGTAGCCAGCTCCTAATGGTATGGTTTCTCTTTCTCTGTCGTCTCTTTTTGTTTAGATTTTGCCCCGAATTTTTTATTCAAGGAGCCAATTTTTGGCTGGTTGTTATATAAGAGCCCGGCCTTTTCTGCTCAATTTTAGTACTCTTCTGAGCTGCTAAGAAGCTCCCTTTATGGGTATATCTTGCTTTGTATTATACTTTTCCCATTTTTATTGAGAGCAGTCTTTTTGTTGCTATAGACTCACATTAATATGCTTTACTGATAAAGATGTTCTACTGCCTATATCAGCTATCTATGTATCGGATTCAGCATCGTTTTGGCCAATAGACTAGCTTGATCTGACTTTTTATAGAAGGTATATAGAAGAAGAAGTGTTGTTTTATACATAAGATAGACTAAGGTATCTTAGATTATCCTAACAGGCTACAAGTAACAATACATAATACAGCCTAAGAAAGGGATTCTTCAAGTTCCTAAAACTACTAAAGAATATACTCCTAGAACTAACACAGGACTCATATTGGTTTAAATGTTCAATTCTGGCAAGTATAACACTACTAGCTCCATACTAGTATAAATGTCTATATAAACACCATACATACATTTTCACAAATAACACCCAAGTGCTTACAACTTCGACATCTGGAACACATGATATACTACCAAAAACAAAGGCAAAAACTAGTCATAGCCAAGCTCTTTACAGTGCCCATCCCTAAAACCTCCGCAAAGTCTGGAATTATGTGGCTTTTTGTTCTTCCTCCACTCCCAGAATATCTGTGGCATTTCCAATCCACTCCATTTCTTAATCCGATAAGCAACTCGATCTGCATAAGAGTCATCTAGCTCTGGGCGACTCAGAATCTCGCAGGACTTGCAGTACTGAAACTATACTCTAGCATTATATCGAAAGCCAGGGTAGAGTCAAATGATAATCGCTACTTTTTGCTCAACCGGCCAGTCGCCGTACATGCCCTATTCCTGTATATGAACCGGCCTTTGATGTTTGTGCTGAATAGTTTTTCGTAGGTAATAGGGTCGTTAACTGGATTAAATTGGAAATGGGGTAGCTTTACCTCTAAGAGGAGCTAGTAAATATCTTTATATAGATTAGGGTATAGATTAGAAGTCTTTGTCTTAGTCTAAGGCCTGGTGTATCTTTTCCGTGAGGGTATCTTGGTAATCTAAGGGGAATAGGATATATTAGGTACTAGTCTATATAAAAGGGTATATATCTATAGTTATAAGTATTGTCATGTAAGTTGACTTACTAAGAAAGAGGGGGAAGGCAGATGTATTTATTTACAGTGTCAGAAGGCATAGTAGACACCTAGGTATATGCATATTCAAATAACCAAGCTTATTTATCGGCGGAATACCGAATTTTAACATCCATACATATTCCGCGAAACAACTCTACAGGGGTTAGGTTGGTGCCAGCATAATTTCTAAGGTTGATATGATCATACATACATACGCTAGTATGATAGAATCTGTGATCTACCACTAGGAGATCGTGGTATCCCTGGACTCAAAGAATTTAGCCCCCAGCCCACCTATAAACGGCCGGCTGGACCAGAATACTTAAGAGGGGATGGCCACGTCAGCGTTTCGAGTGCGAAATAGTGTATTCATCCAGGGCTCTTGGGTGCTGACGAAAGGCCTCATGTAAGAGGGGCAAGGGAGCTGGTGAAATAATTGAAATTTGGGTCAACAAAAATATCTAACAGTCGTGAGATCTTAGGAGGTAAAAGTGCATGTTTGATTAAGTATAGAATAACAGTAGTTTATATACAATCAAACATAATGACATCAGGTGATCTGCGATCATAACAGTAACATGATGTAAGCAAGGAAAGATACATGGTAATCTTGGGGCGAATATCACAGTCGTAAGTATGTCGATAGTCATCTAGCGCCCACAACCGCCAACATTTAGGCGTGGGCGGCTCGCCGCTCTACTCACCCCTCTTCAGGTCTGCTCAGGCAGATATTCACTCGCCTGAATATTATCAATATTCTCTACCTAAATCTTTAGGTAGTGCATGAAATATAAATTTTCGCATTTTAAGAGAAAACCTAGTAAGCCACTGGCTTTTCTTCCCCTACCAGCCCTCTCTCTCTTTCCTTTCCCTTTCACTACAAGCGAAATGCGTACCAATAGCCGCCCCGCGCAGGACATGAACCATTTTTTCTGCTCTTTTATGACCGATCGAGTATGTTGAATTGTAGATTTTTGACCAGAGCAGAGCAGCTCCATGATGCTCTTGCGAATTAAGATATTGGTCAAGAACATGTTACCAATAAACGTGGTCATCCACCAATCTGGCTCAGATCGATTTTCTAGCATGAGCCAAAAGAGCCTTGCAGGCTCTTGTCGGTATAAAGCGTGATCTAAACCTTGTTTTGACCACATATGTTCAAACAAACCATCCAGACTGGGGACAAATTCGTCAGTCCGTTCCAAAAGGGTTTGAAACGAGTCCCCATTTTCTATGCCTCGCAAAAGACTTCGAGTAACCAAGTGAATCCACAAGAATATTCCGTCTCCTTTATATACGAGTTGCTTCATCATATTATAAGCTTTGTATTTGAATAGCTCATCACGAATATCTCCTAGTAATCGAAGACTAGGATAAAGCTTTGTCTGGACATATGCAAGTATGCCGGGACAACTCACATCCTGTATGCGAAGTGAAGGGTATGCTTCTAGACCGATGAAAGGATTCTCTTTATGGCTTAACACATAGACTTTCACGTTGGAAATATTTACCAATATCTCTATTAATTGAATAGCCAAGCCTTGGTCCTTGCTTTGAATTTCATCAAGTCCGTCAATGACGAGACAAAAGGATTTCTCAGACCTTTAAAAGGCATTGATTAAAGCTCTCTGAAGTTTTTGTGTTGACCAATCATGCTCAGATGTCTGTTGGCCCACAAAGATTGGCTTTCAAAAGCTTTGCAAAACAAAACGCGATCTGAGCTAAGCAGTTGATAG